AACCACACCGTTGAAGGCGTTTCGTTAGACACTTCTAAAGTGTCACTCCATTTTACTTGAAAGCTTCCAACTGATGATATTGGAATATTATTTATTACAAAACTGCTGTATGCTATTTTAAGCGGATATCATTGTGTTGTTGTTATTGGTGTTGTTATCGTTGCTGTTGATGACTGATCAAATTTTGATTTTTTGGTTGCTGGGGAGTCAGATTCGATGTTGAAACTACCTCTCGTGCTCATTTCATTCTTCATTAATTCGAAAAGAGTAAGGACATAGCCAAATATAAGCTTGCATCTGTCTCTCACGTCTTCCATTTCTCCTATCACTTCTAAAGATTTAGTCAGTTCCAACCTTCGGTATTTTAGCGTGCCATTTTCCAATGTAGATTCAACAAATGCCCATTGAAATGAGTTGGTTACGATTCCATAAGCCCTAAGGGCTCTAGGGCAATCTCCATCCTCCTCAGTTCGTTTTCGTTTCCTATTGTGCAAGGCTACATCGAGCTGTACCATATTTTGTGCAAGGCCTTGCACATGATCGTCCTTCTTCACTTCCGTAATGCCAAGAAATTGTCCCGAATTGATACAGTCAACAACAGCAAAGTCCAAAGTCCCATAGCCGCGCGTGCCTTTCAAAGACTGTTGTTGCGAAAGGATCATGTCGGGCGCATAGAGCGATACTGCTCCAACCATGAATGCATCGACAATTGTTGATCTTGTAGCCTCATTTGATTGTGCATTAAATGCATAGGCTCTACCTTTGCGAATGCAATCGTCCACAATATGTCCCAATATTGTCTCTTCAGCTTCTGTCAAGTCCTCCTTGGGCTTGAGATCAAATTTTGGTAGATCAATGAACGATTGTAATTTATACGTGTCTTGAACTTTTTTCCAGTCCCATGACGAAAAACTAATGGCTGGGGTAGCCAAAGATATAATGAGCCTTTTCCACTTTTTTTGCTGAAGTTTTTCCAAGATAGAACGAAATTGAATGTCGTCTCTCAACAACGGAAATGTCTTCGTTTCCTCATCGTACACAAATATTTGGACTTCCTCGAACTCCTCAAACTCCAAGCAATAATCTCGAAGGCTTTCTCGCAGGCTTCCTATAGTAGCTGATTTAATATTGGTGGAATATGTGCAAATAACCTTATTCCGATCTCTTTTGTTCACGACGCTCAGTGCTAGAATAACAACAAAGTCAGCTCTCTTTCACTATGGTTCCTTTCGACATCTTTCCATTCCACATTCTCACTTATTGTTGATTATCACTTACTAGTATATGTGTCCGCCTGTAGTTGTTGCTCCAATTCGGCGTTTTTCTTTTGTACCATTTCTAAATCTGCTTCCATATGCAGTTTTTGTTGCCTCAGGTCGGTCATTTCCTTGTGTAAATTTATGATTATCGTTTCTAAATTTGCGATTGTCGTTTCTAAAGTTACGATCATCGTTCCTAAATTTGCGTTCGTATGCAGTCGTTGCTTCAAGTCGGCGATTTCCTTTTGTAGATCTGCGTTCGTCGTCTGTAGACTTGCGATTATAGGTTCATTCCCTTCACTTTTAACTTAGGAGAAAGGAATACAAATAGAAAGTGCGTATGACTTGTTTAATCATAGTTAACTGTGGACAAAAAAAAAAGGCATACCAGTAGAGTGGAATAGTACCTGGTCGTTCAATAATGACATGGATGGTTTTTTTTGGTGGTACAGCGCCAAAAACCTCAGAGACCTCGCTAGTCGGATCTTCGAGCTTCTCTGGGTTTTTCTGCGCCTTCTGCTCGTCTGTAAGATTGCTTAATGTAATTGGTTTCTTGGAGATAGAAGAAATGGCGACATGCCAGAGAGTGAGCTTGCTTGCATTAATATCATGAAACTCTAGCTGCTTTTTCTTGATGGCATCCTTGAGATGGTCTATCGTTTTTGAAGAGGAGATATCCACTGAGAATATGGAGGAATCTCCATCGATAACGCAAAAGAGGGTTACTTCGGTGGCCATGGTAGTGTTATGATTGTTTGTTTCAATAGTTTCAATGGAGCGAGTATTTTAAAGGATGGCGATAGCGCAAAGCCACAATGCGCCTTGCAAATAGGAAGAGAATGTTATCCATTTTTGATTCTTATTTTAAAATATAATAAATGAATAGCTATATTTGTGATTCATATTGACGCAAGGAACTCACCATAAGAGAATGATACGGATAGATAGATGGAAATCAAAAAGGGAGGACTGAAATATCATGTGACGACATATATAGGATCACAGGAAAAATTTTGTGACCCTGTGCACGCTACTGAATCAAAGATAGCCTGGAAAGGGGGAAAGGTGTAATTTGATTCAGACAGAACCAGTCAACAACTCTAGATTTTGCGCCCTTGACTAGCGCCGAATCGGAGGAGCAAAGTTTTGTCTGAAAGATTTGTATTTATCATAGTTCATGGAACAGTCGAGTAAATAACATTTCTCTATCTTGGTCACAGTTCGTTGCTAACATATACTTTATTCAGATAAAAAAGAAAAAATAATCAAAGGCTTCAAAGGATTATGGACTCTTAATGTCTCCCTATCGTTTATAGTATTCTAAAAGACATGTCCCTCCCTCCCTCTCTGGGATGAATGGGAGACAAGCAAAGAACTATTCTGGCTGAAGTTAGGGGAGGGGTCATACTCATGTGTTATATTCGTGTAATAGCAATTGGAGCTTGAACAATTATCCGGTGGCATGATTGTTTGCCTAGACTTTTTTTTTTTTTTTTTTTTTTTTTTTTTAGGCGAGAGAGCTGAAAATATCTGAGCGTTTCTGCCATGCTTGCCGACAAAAAAAAAAAAAAAAAAAAAAAAAGTAAGGGTAAGGTAGGGTAAGGCAAGGTAAAGATGGAGTGCCAGGTTGTTCAAGAACTCAATGCACGTATACCAGCTACATCTGTATGATAGAGCAAAAAAAAAAAAAAAAAAAAAAAAAAGATATCCAACACAAGGTATAGTCCAGCGCAGAATGCAGAATGCAGGATAGGACAAAAAAAAAAAAAAAAAAAAAAAAGATTAAATGACCAGCCAAAATAGTAGGATGTGAGAGCTCTAGGCCCTCAAGAAATATAAACATATTTATTTGATTATGATTGTATATAATGTGTTGCGTATTGTGTGAATGTGTCAAAAGGGTTGACGGACTTTTTTTACCCACTGTATATACAATCAGACAATAAACACACACCATTGAACCTAAAGAATCCAATGAACACACAACAATAATAAAAAAAAAAAAGAGGGGCGCAACAATCAAAGATGGGGCAGGCAAGGTACATTTTTTTACACGCACATGCAGAGTGTTTTACAGCTAAAAGTAGAGAGATTTTGAGTGAGAATAGAAGGAAGATGGCGATGAGTAAAGAGGAAGGTGAGGACCCAAAGGGAGTCGTCGAAAGATCACGAGGATGATGATGATATATGATATATATATAATGATGAAGGCGAGAAGGAGAGAGGGGTCGGTAGAAAAAAGAAAAAAAAAAAAAAAAAAAAAAAGTTGTTGTTCGCGTACGGAGCATTAGGGTCAATTGGATGAGGAAGGAGATCGATGGTGATGGCCGATGTCAAGACGAGAGCATGCGTGAGTGTGTGTATTTACACACACAATAACAACAATAACAAACATTCATTCGCTTTCGCTTTCACAACAAATTTGCCTATGAAGCATTTGTACTGTAGCATGTCGCTAGTCTACAGTTGTGGCAGAAAAGCAGAGTACAGTTGTAGTAAGCAAGACAAACACATTACATGTCAATGCAAACAAAACAATACACAACAATAATAATAAATATATAGACATTCTTATTTATATTCCAACATCTGGGGCACAACATGGAAGTTCGTTTTTCAGCCTACTAAAAATGAATAGCGTGTTTATACATGTTTACTGCTGCTGTACATGTACAGGCATAAAACTATTTCATGAATTCAGTAAGGTTATTCAGAATCAGTTATAAAAGAAAAAAAAAAAAGTTCAAGAGTGGTATAGAGTTCGCCTCCAGCCTGCTCTGTTGTCTTGTTGTTCCATGATTATTATTGTATACTATTAAGCCCAGCCTAGCTCATAACCTAGTGAATAAAGTCAACCCCATCCTGTAACGAAGGATTGAAAACCCAGTCAATCCAGTCAGTCTATCGCGCACCGCACTCTCCCCCATCCCATAGCCATATCACATCATATCCTATTACCCACAGTCCCCGTTGTCCCCATTCCATATTTTCTTTTTTCCTTTCTCCAATACACACCCGAAAATAAGGATTACTCTGGGCAGCAGTAGACAGCTAGTAAAAGTGCAAGACTAACGTAGAAAAAAAAATAAAAAATAAAAAATAAAAAAATAAAAAAAATAAAAAGTAGATGTAGGTTAAAGGTTAGTCTATAATTGTGGTGGTTACGGTAGTAGAGGCCATAGTAGTGGAAGTAGTAGATTGTTCCTATAATAACCGACAATTGCTCTGAAGGAGCGCCGCTGTGTCAGGTCAAGATAAAGAAATAAATAATGTAGCTCCTTTAGATAATAGGGCCAAGGAAAACCAATGATGGGCGCTATGCTCTCAATCAAAGTCTCGCCCTGTTCCTTTGTCCTGCGCCCGGGGCTTTCTTTTTTTGCCGCCCTTGTTCGATAATAACTAGCTTCCACCCTGCTTGCTTTCTTTTTTATTTTATTGTTTCCAGCCCACTATTCATCATTCCTTCATTCCTTCATTGCTTCATTCCTTTGTCCTTCATTCCTTCATTGCTTCATTCCTTTGTCCTTCATTCCTTCATTGCTTCATTCCTTTGTCCTTCATTCCTTCATTGCTTCATTCCTTTGTCCTTCATTTCCCTTCCTCCTCCTTCCCACCATAGCCAACCACACTTACACCCGACTGATCTTTTTTTTTTTTTTTTTTTTTTTTTTTTTTTTTCCTGTCTTATTATTGAATCTGGCCTATTCTATTCTACAATCTCATATCAGCGTTAAACAAATTCAACCAATTCACATCCTTCTTGGCCTGGTCCAATCCTCTTTCCTTCTACTCTCAATCTTCTACATCTCTCCTGTTCCTATTGTGGGCCAAGTGTGCCACCTCCCCCCATTTTCTCAACTCTACCCGACTTGACCCTCTCCTGGTCACCGTCGAGTCCACAGATGTATCCAGTAACAACACAGTCGCACCTGCAACAGCAGCAGTCGCATCCTCTATCTGGAGCTTCCTCCCTTGAGTCTTCCTATCCTTACCATCACCCTACACCACCTTACTATAGTCAAGCAGAGACCTTTCAAAACTATAAAGGCCCCTCGCCTACTCGACAGCATCAACAACAACAGCATACACAGCCAAGGCAATCTCAACAGAAATATCTAGCAACTCCATCGAGCGTCTTTCCAGCCACATGTCCTCAAGTTGTACCACAGCAACAACAGCACCACCGCCTGCAGCAACGGCAGCATCAAGCTCCGTCTCCCTTGGTCATCAATACCAAATTTACTATCCCAGTAGGCAACATCAATCCCAGCTCAGGCCCTAACTCGGACCAGATCCAGTCCCCGACCTCTAACAGAAAGCATCAGCAACAATCAATAGCTCAGCTGGCTGAGTTTGCTGCCCACATGGTATGCTACCTACTTTATGGTCATCAGCCGCCTAAAAACAAAAGTCGCAACAGCCATTGTTTTGGTACCCCTCCATCATCCATCCCTTCTTCTCCCTTGCCGGGCTACACTACATCGTCCTGTCCTTGCGAAACATGTAGACGAATGGTCTCGTGCTCACCAGCAAGATCAGCATCCGCTGCCTCTACATATCCATCAGCTACACAGGTGCAACAAGCTCCGCAAACTCGGCCAACCCACCGTAGAATCTTGTCTGAATCAGATATTATTCAACCAAAACCAATGTTTCGTAAATTCTGTCTAGATGTTCTTAGCGCCACACTCCTCTCTCCCAGTGTCGTTTTGTTGTCTCTTAAATACATCCAACAATTGATGATCAACCTCAAAGAATCAAACAAAATCGTCAACACCGGGGATGGTGCCGAATACCGCTTCTTCACCGGGGCTTTGATCCTTGCAAACAAATTTCTGGATGACAACACTTTCACCAACAAGACATGGGCAGATATCACAGGCATGAAGATCAAGGATGTGAACCATCTGGAGATGCAGTTTCTCAATGGTATTGACTTTAGACTCTTCACCAGTTCCAGTCACTACTCGGAATGGCTCGCCAATTTGACTCAATTCACCGGGACATACATGCCATCGCAGCACCAGGTTGCTTATCAACAACAGGCAGCCGCAGCCCAGTTTCCGCTTTCCCCAATGGAAACCGTTAGCACCGTTAGCACACCGGTGGATTCAGGCACTACGTCAGTGCGATCCCATGGATCAGCAATGGAAATTAGCCGTAGCTTGCAGTCAAATCCCTCGCTTCCGTTCTCCATGGCCTCTATCTCAAATTACATTGACAACGTGAAGCAATTGCAGCAAAGGAGCAACACATCCATTGGCCGCTATCAGAGGGTGCCCTCGACATCCTCTGCCTATAGTCACCAAAGTCAAGGCGTACATGGCTCTGGAGGACATCCGTCTCAGCATCATCAGTACGTCTCCTTGCCTCCGTCATCCTCCACTATACAACACAGTTCAGGACAGCAATCAGCCGGCATTGGATCGTCATACCATGGTTCTTCAGCGTCATACATGTCGTCACCTGCTGATATGTCATACTCTTATCAACAAGGATTGCCGGAACCCATTCAGCGCAAACGATCTGCTAACATCGCTTTTGACGATCTCAAGGAGAGCAACGCTGGCTATGATGGAGCACTGCCCCATTCAACCTGCGCTGCCCCTGTCATCGTCCCTACACACAAACGTTTTTCGTCATCATCATCTGTGAGTGCTCTAATGGGTCTCTCGATAGGGACGCCGGGCCAGGATGTACTTCATAATGGTTTATCCCCAGTATTCCACCATCAACGCCACCAGCAGCGTTCTCAACAGCCAACATCGCTTTCATCTCGAGCAAGCAGTGGCTCATTGTCAGCTTCATACAGAGGCGAGCATCAACGAAGCGCATCCGGAAGCTATTACATCGATATGACTGGATACTCTTCTACATCCTATGGTCAAGAACAACCTCACTTCGCCATGTCCATGCCCAACAGCTTTTCGCGACAAGGCGCAGTCCATCCATTGGAAAAGGATCCAGAGTATAGCCGACGTCCCTCATCCAGAGCCGATGTATATGGCGCCCCGCAAACGATCCATCATGCACCACATCCAACTGGAGGTCGTCATATCTGTCATCCAGCCACTCCCCCATCTTATCCATCCAACAAATGTGAGCCATCATGCTACTCTGTAGAATGCGGACAAAACATGAATGGTGGTGGATCAAGTTACGACGTTGACCCCCGTCTTTGGGGACCTCTGGATAGCCTTTCGCTCTATGCGATCACAACACAGGCTGCAAAGCGTGTTGTTGCTCATAGCAAAGCTCTTTCTTCTTCAGCAAATGGCCTTCACATGTATTACCCAACAACGTTGGCGTGATGAATGATAAACACTACTTTTTTTCTTTTTTCTTTTTCTTTTTCTTTTTTTTTTTTTTTTTTTTTATCTCTTAGTTTTTGCGATTCGTATTTGTATATTTTAACTTTTTCGCTCATAATGCTTTACTCCTTCCCCCCTCACTTTTTTCTTATTGTTGCTTGTTGTACTATAGCTTCTCTCTCTCTTTTTTAAGCTTCTTTTATGTGCTTTTCACATTTTTCTTTTCTTTTACTTTTCATGTAGCATAGCAAATAATAATAATAAAAAAATAAAAAAAAAAAAAAAAAAGAAAGTCAATCATGAACTGTATACTCTTTGTGCTTAAATTGTGCTCATAAGAATTATACGAATTTGTTTTAACACGACTGCCGTAAATGGTCTTTTTTTTTTAATTTTATTTTTTATTTTACTTTATTTTTTTTATTTTAAAAAAATAACGTAAACTAATGGTCTTTATGAGCTTTCAGTAAGTTGCGAAGAGTGGCAGGGATTTCGGGTGTGGTGGCCGGCACCTCAGCAGCCTCCTCCGCTTGTCGCTTAGCATTCACAGTCTCAATCAAATGTTCCAATCTCCGGTATAAGATTTCGGCGTTTTGCAATGTCTCTTCAAGATCTATCGTCATGCTGAGATCGTTGATGTACTATGTTACAAAACGAAGAACAAAAAAGAGAGAGAGAAAGTTTGATCAGACTTTTGCTTCAATGCATCATTTCCCTTATATTAACAATACATATAAAAACAACAAACCTTCAAGATCTCATCAAAGCCTTGCAGGTGGTCCATTATCACATCTCGATGTTTGTCAATAATCGCCATAGCCACAAATAAATGAAATTGTGTCGAAAGGTGGTCGGAAAAGAGAACCTCCCATAATCTCATAATGTCAACCCACTCAAACTCGCGTTTGAACCAGATCAAAAGCCAGCGGAAGCAAAAGAAGAAATTTAAAGCCTCACATTTTTCTAAATAAATAATAAAAATAAAAATAAAAAGGTACCATGCATGAGTCTTACACCTCAAAAAGGAATAAGGAGCGAGTGAGATGTGTAGACACAACAATAAAATGAAGAACTCACCTAAATGCTTGTATAGCTTGGGGTCTAGAGCTTGAATAAGCTCCCCAAGCGTCTCGAGCTGGCTCTGCATTCCAATCTGATCTCGGTAAAAGTTCTTTTTCGTCTTCTCCATCAACCCGACAAAGGCCCAAAAGCCCATCACTTCATCTCCCATTACAGCAAAGACAGGTGCCAAAAGGTCCGACATCCCCTGGACATAACCCTCCAAGAGGTTAGGTTCTGTCGAAGTGGACGAAGATGTACTCAAAGATGGCTTGTCTGTAGACAATGGTGGTGGACGTACTGATGGGTCCTTTGCAGCCCAGATATTGTACGTTAAAAGGATATCCTTCAGTAACTCCAGATTTTCATTTGAACCGACACCAGTAAAGTCACCTGCTGGGTTAGGTAGCGTCTCTGATGCAAAAAAAGAGATGGTTCGGTCAGTTCGATGCACATCTTTTTCAATCCGAAGCTTTTGCTCCTGAAAGGCTTCTGTATCCTGAACAGTTGCGTCATCAAACCACTCTCGCTTAAGAGCGTAGTACTCTTCACTGTAATTTCATATTTTTTTTTTTTTTTTTAAAAAAAAAAAAAAAAAAAAAAAAAGACTCATTAGATTCAAATAAATATTTTAGCTCTATTCCAGTACAACACACATACTACTATATTGGACTTACGCTTTGATTGATCGAATGGCTACACGCTCGGCTTCGGTCGACTCCCATGGATAGATGCCCAGGAAAAACTTCCAGACTTCGATCCTGATATCGTGATCGATACCACCACGGAAGACAGCTTCTCGTACATGCTCTTCTGAAACTGTCAACCGGCCTACATCATCAAAGAAAGCAAACCAGTCCATGGGCGAGAGCGGCTCGGTTCTAGTGTGATGAATCAAGGAACACTCTGTCTCCAGCTGGTGATGAGGAGCGAAAATAGCCATCACGGATATTTCAGTATGACGGTATGGAGTGTAAAGTGTCAGCGCAGTATAACATTGTGATAGAACAATAATAATGGTGAAAAGGTTAATCTCGTTACGAGGAGGCATGTGTGCAAATGCTCACTTACGTCAAGCACATTGAATGTGCCCAAAGGTCCCTCCTCGTCCTCATGATCATTGATACGTCGTCCCTCTCTGCCATGTGCTCTGTGCTTTCCTGTATGGGATGTGCCATTCTGGAGTCGCTCCATTTCTTGCATCTCCCGGCGCTCACGATCACCTTGATCTGCAACAGCTGCGGCCCATCTTGCCAGATACACGCGAGCAGAGTCATATTCATCCATCATTCTTTTAGCTGCTTCTGAATCCTGAAGCTTTTGCTGTACATGGGGAGGCAGGATTTGTTTGGTAATAGGGTGATCCAAAATATTGGTGGCAGTATCTCGTGAAAATCTGGCTACCTGCGAGAAACGCTCCAAGATGTTCCAGCGCAGCTCTTTAACAGACTAAAATGTATAAACAGACGACCATGAGATTTGATTTCAATGAAAAAAGAAAGAAAAACTCAATAAAAACTTATGTATTTTCAAACCATGACATACATTGACAAGGGGATCAATGTGTCCTTCGAAGGGCAATGGTGTCCTTGACCGACCAGAAGTGGGTCCTGAAGATCCACTAGAGGATCCGTTCGCAAGTGATCCATTGGCGGAGACCAACTGTTGATGGACATCTCCGACAGATTTGTCTCTATGATGTCCTGAAAATGATCTTCGTCTTCGCATTCCCTCTACCGTAATTGGGCTAGTTATTGATGTGCCTTCTGGACGCAAAGTAGCTGAGTCCTGTGTAGTGGTCTCCTGCTCGGTCGGATGTGCAGGATTCGTTTTGTCCGATTTTTCGTCTACTTTTGGTTGATGATGGGTATCTTCCAAGGGACGATCTTGAATTTTAGGTGAGAGGGGATGTGGAGGAGAAGCTGCTCCGTGGTTGATCTTATCAGCCTGTGAAGCATTTACTAAATACACTCCTGGCTCAATGGCGCTTCCGACAATATCGACTACTTCCCCCATACGATCCAAAAGCTCCTGCCCATCCCAGAGGGATGGTCCTGCTGTAGATGCCTTGCCTGCTCCATCTTCGTGAAAATAGAAAGCTGGTAAAGACTCGCCTCCGATCAAATTCACAATTACTGACCCATGGCGATCTTTAACACGAGGTGGATATACGATCAGCGAATAGATGGTTTGTAATGGAATGGAAACAGCGTAATCTGACGGATGAAATGACCGACGATTGGGGTTGGGAGACCGTGGTGGAGCTACGAAAGTCATCTCTATTGAAGTTTTGAAGCAGTCCGAATACGAGGAATTCGTGCGTTGAAGGGTTAAGACCCTGTCAAATTTATCATTCTCGTCATTGTCAGAGCTCGTGATTTCATACCTTCATGGTCGCCCTGACTGGAAATATCCACATACGAGTCATCGTCAAGGCCCGGAATGGACGCTTCAGGAGTCCACGACATGATATGGTCGTGGTTGGCCTAAAGAATATCAGTTAGATGGATATAAAGGTGCGAAATAGTTGCTTTTATGAGAATCAAAGTACGATAAGGCAACAAGCCGTCTCAGGTGTGCAAAGTTGGTCTTGGCATTTAAAAAACCCAAATTTAGTCGCTTGGACATCATACCGTTTCAATTATAGTAAGAAAACCTGGCAAGTCGTCTTTTGCAGTTGTCTTGACAAACACTTTAGGTCGTGTGAATAACAGCTTTGGCTGAGCGAACATGGCGGAATTACCTATCTATTTTAGGGGGGGAAAAACATGGAGAGGTGGTGATGATGAGAGACGACATATTATTAAAGCCAGACAACGCATGTACTTGTAAAAAAAATCTGCTAATTAATATTATCTTAACTCCACAAACAAAACATATCCTTTCACACATACCTCAAAGTCCTCCATTTGTGCGACCAGTGAATCGTTATCCATATTGTAGGATCTTTTTTGTAGAACTGTTACTTGATACTAACGACTCGAGAAATAAGTATGTGTAGTGTGTAGTAATTTAAAAGATGCGTTTAATTACTGAAATCAAATGCTAAAGATTGAGAATGTATACTGTTTTTTTTTTTTTGTTTTTATCACGAAGATTAAGAAAAGAAAAATAGATGTGAACCAGACAATGAATGGAATGTTTTATATTCATGTAATTGCAAGGAAGCCAAGGCCAAGAGTCGACAAAGAAAGGTCATGCCAAGCTTTTGGTGAGTTTCTGCTTGTCATGTGATCAATTTAAGCTTTGACCATCCGGCGAAATTCGTTAATGACAAAATAACCAATTGACTGAATTGAATGGCTTGTAAAGTTAAGCAATTGCCATGAACAACCATTTATATCTCTCTCTGCACAGATAAAGTCTATACATTGTAAATTTGTGAACAATTGACCCTCGTGCACATGAATCCTGAAAGTAAAAGAGTCCTTTTTCTTCTTTTGAGAAAACGTATTGATACCACACGTCCATATCCTAATGACACAGCATAAGTATGAAAGGTTGATTGGGTGGGACGTCTTTTCTTAAAACATTGAGCCCCAAGCTCTGCTGTATGGATTTAGAAAAATCCTAACGATCGGTCGCCTTTCTTCTCTTTTTCTGTTACATCGTATTGTTTGTCATTTCATCTTTTCCATTGACTGCTAATCCACTTTTTTCGCCCTGTTTACGATCACTTTCTTCAATATTGCATATGTCTTTCCGTAAATTATAGTATATTTGGTCTATGATGATATTTCTAGCTATTAAGCTTTGCCTTGTAACTAAAACGCAAAAGAAGAGAGGATAAGAAAGATTAGAAATATAATAAGTTAGTCCTCTATTTATATTGTTGACTGTTTTGGAAGCTATTGATACTTACGCGCACTTGGGACAGGTATAGAAGACTGTCTGACCTTCATCTGCAGATCGTAGTTGCATGGTATGGTATTCCATCTCTGGATTACCGCATTTGGGACATGGCTCTTTAACCTAGTGTGAAAATGTAGAAATATTAATAAAGGTGGTCCATTCCTTAAAATTCGTGGAATGCTTTAAAATGGCATTTAAACTACTTCACTCTACCATAGCTGCTGTGGCATCTTTGATATCACGATGGACATCATCACGTCTGTTTCTGAGCACAGAGGGAAAAGCTCCTGGTTTACTTGTTGTAACTACTTCAAAGTCCTCAAAATCTGACAATGAACGTAAAGTAAACAGATCCATGAACAATTAGAACATTGTGTCTAATTACAAGCGCAGGTTCCAGTTTTTTTTTGTTATTGTTTGATGTTTTATGAAATGAAGATCCATCATACCAATGCTCTGATGGGTATAGCTGCAAAGATTGCAAACAATAAGATCGTCCTCTCCAGGGATATCGAGTAGGTTGCCGCACTCTGGACAAAAGATCAGGGAGCCGACCTAAAATTGTATTGAGAATCATATTCATGGTTAAAGATACATATTCCGGCAAAATGGGATCGAGTATGAACCTTTACTATTCCCATGCATATTTACAGTGTCGGGCTTAAGCGATGGTGTTGACTTTGACTTTGACTTTGACATGACAATTGCTTTGAGTATTACAATGAGGTGCTTGCTCAACAACAACAAAAAAAAAAAAAAAAAAACTGTTTTGTGTTGACTGAGATGAGAACAGTCACCATAACTGTCTCACGTGCATGACAGTTGCGCCATGAAAGTAACCCGATGGTTGCGCGCATTCTCTTTCAACTGTAACATTCCTTAATCAATGTCGCGCACCGTCTTGAGTGCCTTTGGGCGATTAGTGGCAAAGCTGCCTGCCAGTGTACGTCCATTATCTCTTTCTGCTTCCCAGATGAGAGCTCACCAGACCATCACTGCACAGTTTGGAAGCAGTACTCTATCCAACATCTTTTCAGACTGGTCGCAGGAACCGCATGCCCAGACATTAGTCCCATTTGTTGTCGAACAATCGGTAAGAATTTGAAATGTATGTGCCAGTGGTAAATAAGAAATGCTATGAGTATCGTAGTATTTGTGCTCATACCATTTGGGGATATAACTATGCATCGCACGCTGAATTTTAGGCTCGTGGAGAGAGATCGTACGACATTTACTCCCGTTTACTCAAAGACCGGATCATCTGTCTCAATGGACCTGTAAGATTTTTTTTTTCCTTCGCGTTCTATTGACGCTCCATCGCTTTATCACGTCCCCTTTTCCTGAGAAATCCATAAATGATAAGTTAAAACTCGATTTTGGGGTGAGACTTCTAGGTACATGATCATTCAGCAGCCTTGATCGTAGCACAGTTACTGTTCCTGGAATCAGAGAACCCAGAAAAGCCTATCAGCCTATATATTAACAGTCCTGGAGGAAGTGTAACTGCAGGAATGGCGATTTACGACACAGTAAGTCAAAAAGCGATCTTTTTTATGGAAAAAAAGTTTAAGCACCGATTGCGTGAGCTATGCGCTCCACGACGCTTAATTTGCTGTTAAAAAACTGAATCATTATATATATGGTATAAACCCACAAACATAGATGCAGGTAATACAAGTCTACTAAATATGGCAGAAAGACAACAGCGCAGCCGTTGGAGTTTTTATTTAACAAGATCACCTTTCGTTTAATATCAATTATTTATCAGTACATTCAATCGCCCGTGTCAACATTCTGTAATGGCCAAGCTTGCTCTATGGGCTCGTTGCTGCTGGCGGCTGGCGAGCCTGGGAAAAGATATGCCTTACCTAATGCCAGTATCATGATGCACCAACCTAGCGGAGGCGCCAGCGGTCAGGCTAGTGACATTGCGATCCATGCCAGAGAGATTCTGAGGGTACGGGAGAGACTGAATAAGATCTATCAAAAGCACTGCAATGTCAAAGATCTTGAAGTCATTGGTAAGACCTCTTGTTCATTCCGGATTGAATTTCCTGCTTCTCGTGCAGAACCTTCATATAGGCATTTAAATAGAAGACACCTTTTTTATAAGCGGAAGTTGCTCTTAATCACATCTAAACCTTGTTCTCCAAACATTGAGCGCATCTCACCCTTTTACTTTTTTTTTTTTTTTTTTTTTTTTTTTTCTTTTCCTTTTCTAATAGAACGGGCAGTTGAAAGAGACCACTTTATGGATGCTGAGGAGGCCCTCAAGTTCGGATTAATTGACAAAATTCTAGAGAAGCGCCCCAGTTCAGTTGGGCTGGGCGCAAGCAGCTAATCCTAACAAACATCATGCATTGTTTTAGTTTTTTATGACAGCTGTCAAATATAAACATGAATAATAAAACTTTATTCTAACCAAACAGAGTTGGCTTGTGTCTCCCGTGCCATATTTTTTTGTGTTGTACATATACGTACACTTATTGAATAGAATTGAGTAAACTGATCTCATTGCTCAAATGTTTGACAAGGACTTGGGCGGTACTCTTGACAGGCAAACAACCAGATTGTACACCCATTGATCCAACTGTCAGAATGACTTTTTTTTTTTTTTTTTTTTTTTTTTTTTAAATACAATCGTTGATAGCATAAATAGTCAATCACCTTGGCCTCATCTCCCTCTTTTTTTCTCTACCAACCTTTCCTAATTCCCATCCACATTCTCTTCTGTACATAAATCGGCAGCAACTTTTACAATCACAATAAATAAAAATGAAGGCTCTTTCCATCGCTACTCTGCTCCTCTGCAGTTCCGCTGCCATGGCCCACTATACTCTCGACTACCCACCAACTCGTGGATTGAATGAAGATAACGAGCCTATTGCTCCCTGTGGAGGTTTCGCAACCGTAGGACAACGTTCTCAATTCCCCCTGTGTAAGTGATATCTGTATAGCGTCACCCTTCGCTTCCCTTAGAAAAAGACGACAACCCAGCATACCTTTCCATGCATCATGTATCCCGTCGTGCCTTGTATTTTGTATCTCGTATCTCGTATCTCGTATCCTGATTGCTAATTTTTTTTTTTTTTTGTTTTGTTTTTAACGAATCTAACAGCAAAGGGATTCGTTACAATCAACAGTGGTCATGTGAAAGCTGAGATCAAGATCAATGTCGCTTATGGCAACAATCCATCAGAAGCTGATTTCACTGCCGCTGCTTCTACTCCTGCCAGTTCTAGCTCAGTCAATCATCCTGGAAGTTCTTGCTTGCCCTTAGATCTTTCTTCTTTCAAGGGTGCGGCTGACAACACCAATGCCACCATCCAGATTGTTTACAATGGAGGTGACAGCCCTCTTTACCAATGCGCTGATGTTATTTTGGTGAATTCTGCTCCCTCCTTCGACCAGTCAAAATGTGTTAACGATGACGGCAAAACCCCTTCCACCACCAACCCTGGTGCCAACCCTAGCAACACCCCAAGCGCTGGTGCCGTCCTGTCAGTCAAGAACGCTTTTACGGCGGCTGCCGCTATGGCGATGGCAGCTGCCTTGGCTTTCTAAGAGAAAGTCACTAAACAACATTATAGTAGTACTCATGTAAAAAGTAATAATAAATATTCTCAAGTCTTGATACATACACATTTACATATTTTGCTTTCTTCACGTTTATTCGGATCATTTTTGTTCAACATCAGTCAATTAAATATTGCTTTGATCAAGAAGTGCTGTGCTCATCAGATCACTAAATGAACATAAACGTGTTTTTGATAAATGGGCACAGGAAGCATTTGCTGATGCATATTTTTTTTTTTTTTTTTTTTTTTTTTTTTCTTATCGCAACGGTTTATCATCAACTATAAAAACCATTCCAGAAACTTCCTCTTTGCGCGGTCTTTTCAGCTTCCTTCAATTTTGCTCTTTTCCACGTTTTTACACGCTTAATTATCGCCGTATCAATTTCGCACTAGTATACTTGACCACCACAATGGCTGTTTTAACTGGCCATATTATCGCTGAAGCCAATAAAGACTCGAATTCCGTTCCTACAGCGCTTGGCCCCAATAGTCGTCTCACAGTAGAGTTACAGGATGTGTCGCTCATGGATGCTCCATCAGTCACCTTGGGCGAATACATTTTTATTACTGGGTCCTCAGAGTACCTCCAATTTCCGATTCCGTTCAGACTCAAATACGATATCACTAAAGTACAACCTAATCAGAGTATTTCCATTGCTGCTCGAGTGGTTGATGTCTCAACAGCGAACGAGGAATTAAAATGGACTACAACAAGCCGGTTCTCAGTAATCACCATGGGATGTCCCTCTGACAATGTAGACGTCAGCATCAGCTACTTGTCCCCAAGTAATGAGACAATGCAGAGTCAGCAGCCAATCACATTGAACACGCTTTCTGGCAAAGTTGTCGCTTCCCAAACTGTACCAACTCCCTCCTCAGCTGCGGGTATTGGGCCTAATAGCAAGGTCCAGGTCCAATTACTAGACGTATCTCTAATGGATGTACCCTCAGTTACTTTGGCAACACAGCTGATAACGACAGGCCCAAATGAAAGTAGAGCTTTCCCCATTAATTTTTCTCTTCAGTACGATCCCAATGGAATTGATGAACGACATACATATTTGGTCAGTGTCCGTGTAGAGGACATGGACTCTGAAGACCTTATATGGATCACAACTACGGCCTATCACGTCTTGACTCGAAATGAACCTACGGATTCAATCCAAGTCGACATAGATCTGCTTTAGGAAAATCCTGATACAGAAATAATAATATATAATAATAATAATAAAAAAATAAAAAAAATAAAAAAATAGGAGTAAAGTATCGCTTAGTACTCCTGCCTCTGGGACGAAAAACTTTCTTGGAAAGGAAGTCAGAGAGAATGCCAATTGGGTATTAGAATACAGTTTGATTTTTTTTTTTTTATGATTTCTCACGCTCTCCTAACTTTTTTTTTTTTTTTTTTTTTGCCCTTATTTTTGGTTATCCGGCTCGTGGGACAGAATGGAATATAAACCAAAAACCCCTATTTCACCACTACAAACCGTCAGGCAGTGGAGAAAATGGTACAGTGGAATCTCGATAATTGTACACTTTTGTACAATTTTCGAATTTGCTATATTTCTCGGTTATTGATTGGCTAAGAAGCCCACAATTCATGAAAAACTATTCTAAAAATCCTCTGCTGATTCCCCTACTCCAGTTGAGTGTGGGTTTTTTAGAATACTTTTTTTTAAAAGAGTAAGGCTCTTAGCCAACCAATGGCCTAGAAATATATCAAATTTGAAATTTGTACAAAAGTGTACAATTATCGAGATTCCACTGTATCTGAGAAGAGAAAAGGCCAGGCAAGTCTACTCCTTGGACGGCATGTGTACGTTGCATACACACACATTGTGTTCAAATAGATCTTTTATTTACCAACATTGACCAGTTAAGCAAAGTGCAACTTGCAGAGCATAGTTCGTCAAGCCTCCATGGTCTGTTCCAGTAGAAAGGAATACTTTATATTTAGACTGTATCAACCTTGCGGTATGACAAAAAAAGACAGGGGAGTGAGGAGAGTAAAAGGAAACTGCACATTTCCTAATTGCCGGAGGAAATGTCTGCCGAAAGCCAATTTTTCTTGATGGTAGGCATAATGAAACAGACCCAAAGCTTTCTATAATCTTCAATCACACCGTTTTCTCTATACGGAAAGACGTCATGATGGATAGACAACCCGTTTGGTCACGGATCCGACTGGCTATGATCTTCCTGCATTGTGTCGAGATACTTTACTGGTATCCCTTGGAAGATTAAGAATATTCAAGCAGGTGTTCCCTTTGATTAAAATGATAGGTAAGGGCGGAGCCAAAATGGAAAAGTAAAAAAAAAAAAAAAAAAAAAAGCAAGGGAGATCGCTATGCTCTCATCGATCTTAAACATTAGTCTTTTCACTTTGGCGTCTAAATTTATTGTCACACAGACAGACAGACCAAGGGGAATGGTTATACTCCCGTTTTCTTCTTTAAAATCTAAACAACTCACATCATGGTTATCGTTTTTCATATAGACAGGCTGTGGATATTTTGGATGGGTAACGGATCGGGTCCTCAATCCTGTGCATCGAGCAGACACATTTATATATATTGCTGCATTGCTGCATCGTTATATTTTTGCTTTTGAAGGTTAAGATGGAAGAAAAAGAGAGGGGCCATGCATGCCACGTTTTTCTATTTGTTGTGTTCAGTTGCACATCTGAGTGTTCAGATTGAAAGGACATGATCGACACTGATTCCCTTTTCGAGTGTTGTTAATGTTATTATTCACAACCAACTGCAGTTCACTCACAGTTTTTTTTGACTTTCCAAGTGATTTGAGCACGGCTTATCAATTGGCTTGAACCACAATATTCGTTCATCCACTCGAAATGACGCTTGGTCGTTATTAGGCCAGTTGTTGTGCAATTCACACAGAGTGCAATATGAAGGATTGGCTGAAAGTATCCAGAAATTGAAAGGTCTGTATTTTAAATACAAAATATAACTTTCTTAACTCAATCGCACTATTATATATATTTATACATATTTATACTATCGTTTCATTCGAAGCCAGGTTTTCCTAATTTGCGATAATTAATTTATTCATCACTGACAACAAGTAAGTTACAGACTAACATGGGGCAGCCCAATAGCGAGGAAAAAAAAAAAAGGCCTGTCTCAGTCAAAACCACACCAAACCATGGTTGAGGTAAGGTAAATGATATATCAAGTAAAAAAAAAAAAAAAAAAAAAACGAATGCCAAAGATATATGTATAATATATACATAAATATGTATTTTTTGATCAGCACGGGGGAAGTACAAGAAAATAAGAAACAGAAGTTTTTTTTATCCGCGTCCATAATGGTGTGGGGAGGAAAAGAGATGAGCAGTGTACACACAATTAGTCTCATGCTTATCTGTCAAACTATATTAGCTGAGTAAAAAGAGCCATCCTCCATTCCTGTCCCACAATGAATGAGGGGATTAAATGAAAAGTAATAAACATGCCTTTGTACGTGAAATTATGAAAAAGTAAGCCTATCCTCTGAAATCCGAGGTTCGTCCTTTGATGTTAGCCACCTAGATTGCTATAGCCCCTATGCTGACGATACAAAGCTGATAAAATAGTAATAAGGGAAAAAGGGCATAGCGGTCGGGTGATTGAACTCTTTTTTTTTTAAGCTGAAATCAAAAAGAGAAAACGTCAGCGCAAGGAAAATGCCGCCAAGGCTTTTCCTCTCTTGGTTTGAAGTTGATTATGCCACATTGGTAAAAGACTAGCCACAAGCACGAGCCGCAACTCTATTGATCCATTTCAAACGTACAGCGCGCCATAAAAGAAAATCATCTCTCTACGGCAACTCAAAAAAAAAAAGAAAGAGGTTCATGGTTCCCATTGTTGTAATTGTTGTGCACAATCCCTCATGTGCGACTTGACGGATATTTTAATGAGATGTTTCGCAATATTTGACAGGGACACAATAGAATTTCTGTGACATGAGGAAAAGAGCCCTCCGCTTGATAAACCCTCGCCCACTTGTATTAAAACTAGGCTGAGAACGTTACGATGAAAGCTTTATATGAGCAAAAACATTATATAAATATACTTTTGCTGATATATATATATATATAACATGTCAACATATTTTGTTCCGCGAGACATTGATGCTGTTGCTGAGGGCTGGAATGTGAAAGCAAAAAAAAAAAAAAGAAAAAAAACTCAGGAATGGGCAGTGTTTTGCTTTCTTACCTTTTACAGTTCCCAGCTCAACTTTGTCCCTTCACAAAGTCTGGTACAATATGCAACTTGTTCCCTGTAGACGGCGATTTATTTAGCAAGATACTACTGTAGATGCCTCTCTTCATGGAATGATACATATACCGTTAAAATCACTGTAGTAAGACATCATTGAAATTGAAATAATAACACGGCTATAAATGCTACGATCGACAATTGCATCAGGTCATGAAGAGGAAGAAGAAAAGGAGAAGGGTTTGGTGAATGACGAACTTGTGTCGCTTACCTCTATGCAGCCCGTTTTGAAGAGTATGAATAGTGCTTCCCCTTTCTGTCTGTGGGATCATGACAAAATAAGGAGGCGAGTCAGTCTAAATGGCCCCTTCAAATCTGTGCATCACTTTTTTTTTTTTTTTTTGAGTAAATTTGTATCACCAAAGATTGCAACGATTGCTCAATGCCTCTTTCTTCATGGTTTTGATGCTCTCGTCAATGCTGACCACCCACAGTCTGGGGACCTCGTTTGTGTTCTTCAGTCATGCAGTATTTTGCTTAGTGGTTGTTTTCATACAATTGTTTGTGTTCCAACGAGGAATATCAGAGGATAACTGTATTCCGCATGTGCACGCCCATCATTCGCCAGCAATAAATATATATATATATATATATATCTACTATGGGCCGGTAAGAAGAATATTGGTCTATATAACATTCAGCAAAAAAAAAAAAAAAAAAAAAAAAAAAGAATTCCCATGTATAAACATGTAAGAGAACACCCCAATTGGTGCAACCCTGTCTGACCTTTCATAGACATCACTAAGATTGACTGTGTCGATGACCACAGGCTTATATGACTCCTAAGAGTGGCTAATATTCGGGCTGAGGGATCTTCAAGAATATCTTTAGATCAAAGAGCCGTAGAATAGTACATAAGATATTGATATCATGTCTTTCATCACATCAAGGACGTTGAGAAAAAAAGGGCCTACTCATGGCCACTCATCCTTCCATCATCTTCAAGTGCGAGGCAAAAAAAAAGAGAGCAATAGACCGCGGGAGACAGAGATTTGACCCAAACAAACAACACCCATCTCTCTTTTGCAGCACACACACAAACAAGTTTTATTTTATCGTTTTACGTACAAATGGGCGATTGAAAAAGCAAAGGTATTAAATAAGCGGATTTTTATATTTGAACAGTAATAGCCAATCAAACGCCTATGATCATGTAGGATGGGCATCCTAGTCCAGCCAACAGACACGAACAGGCGGGTTAATAAGACCCAAACAAACAATCTTTAGATATCTTGTCTTTTTTTTCTTTTTTCGATGGCCCATACAAAAATAGGATTTTTAACGGTCTAATGAATGAATTGGGTCAGTATTCTATCCCTGTATTGTTATGTTTGATTGTGTATATTGCTACAATACATTCAAATTGCTATAATTATTACTTGATTATATTTTGCTTCTCCACTTCACCACTTCACCACTTGGCCACCTTGCTCAGAGTTGTCCAGTTTTGGTTGGCGAATCCAATTCATTCAAGTGGGTTTAGTTTCAAGAAATAATCCAAAAAATCACCGTCCATGCCTTCCCTTTACACCTTTGCTCGTCTGTGTTTGTCAACCCATCACAAAAAAGACTAACAAAGGCGGATACATTTTTACAAAGGGAAAAGAAAGGGTTAAAGAAAATAAGAGATGTGTAATAATAATGAGCATGGCCATCAGCTTTGTTGCTTCTCTTTTCTTGGTTCCTTCATCAGCACTCGTTTTCATTTCTCCTTCTTTTTCTTTTTTGTTTTCATCCACCAATTTCCCTCTACTCTCCTTCCTCTCCTCCTCCTCACCTCGCCTTCTCTTCCCTCCTCTTTACCCGCGTGCTCATTCTTTTCATTTCCTAGCGCCTCTCTCGAACGCCCCCGCCCCGTTCGCTCTTCCTTTTGCTCTATTCTTTCACAACACACGCATCACACTCACGCACGCACGCACACTTACACAGCATCCATATCATGATGTCCAAATCCCATATCTCATATCACAGCCATCACCTTGCTGCAGCTGCAGCAACGATAGCTTCCCCACTCCCTTCACCAGCCATGACTTTGAATGACAGCATTAACCCCTGGGCTAACATTATCACCCCCTCATCCCCAGCACCAACCCTCTCTACCCCAACAGGTGTCCTCGCCAAGGACCTTTCTACTCCATCTGTAGTATATTCGAGCAGCACTCAGCCCACTATCTCCTTTGATGGCAGTAGCCAACCCAAGAATGTCATCAATGATGTTTTCCTGTCTTCTACCATGCTCTATGATGACGTTGAACTATACTCGAACGAATCCTCTTCTAGCTGTTTCGATAGTGACTCTGACTCTGGCTTTAGCACACCCACTCATCATGATGAAGAACATCCTATGACGCCTATGTCTCCATTCATGGAAAGTGAGACTGAAGATCGTCTATATGTTGCCGAGGAGTGTGCAGAGTCTGTGGACATCACCGAGTCTCAGGAACAACAACAGTCAGAAGAGGGGGAGTGTATGTCAGCATGCGAAGGTAATAAAAAAATAACCAAAACCAGAATGATCTATTGTTGCACTGCTACTGTCTACTGCTGTGTTTTCTTTTCCCAGCAAATGGCTGTATTCCAATCCTTTATCCCCCGCACTATTTTGCAATATATTTATTTTATGTTGTTTCTGTATGACCAAGCTTTTGAGTTCATGAGTTGGATTTGTCTATTTTCTGGACATCTTTTTTTATCGCATCCGCACGCTTTGTGCTCAATTTTTTTTTTTCTCTCTGTGTAAAATGTAAAATGTAAAATGTATCTCCAGCCATATGTGCAACATGTACATGTCTTTGTATTCGATTTGATTTGATTTGACATGACACCACGACACGACACGACACGAGCTCCCCCTACCTTTCCCTCTCTCCTTGTGTAAATGTTCCGTCTTTCTATGTATTTTTGGTGGCATTGGCTGCTACGTGTCTGCATATCCCGTCGTTTCGTCCCATTCCCTTCGCCTTGGGCCTTGCCCTTTTTTTTTTTTTTTTTTGTCCCGACTTTACAACCCCCTAGCCCTCATCTAAGGGTCGGCATTTACTGGGTCATCATGGATGACTAACAGAATTCTATCCTGCCTATTTGGCATGGCCTGTTCTAATATGAATGATTAGATGCTTCCAATATTATTGTCGATATGAAGAGACCAATGTTCATTCCCGTTTCTATCTGTGATACCAGAGACTTTGCTGCCATGTCAAGTCTACCCACACCCCCCGTCTGCAATGCCCGTAAGCACTCGTATGACTTTTTGAGCAATTCAGATGCTTTCCTATTCGGTGGTATCTCCGCCACAAAGCGCCGAAGAGTGCTCTCAGTTGAGATGGTTTCTGCTGGCCCAGCATCGCCTCCAGCATCCAATGCTGGTGATGATGATGCGGAGCTCAGTGATGCAGAGTCATCTGTGGACACATACATGACTAGCAAGCGGTCACTTTTCCAGACTCGTCATGTTCGCCATCTGACACCTACTTCCCCTTCTATGCCCGAGATCGTGTGCTTTGCTCCTCCTACTCATGAGGAATATGATTACCATCCAGAATTGGATCATTCGGATGATGAAGATGATGAGGAGGATGATCACAAGATCAATCAAGACAAGGATATGGCTGCGACCATCGTTCCTTCTGATTTGTTTGTGGTTGAAGCTGATCAGGGGGTAGGCCATAATGCCTATTTGTCAGAGGACAATTATTCCTCTTCAGATGATGAAGCTGATTTTGGTTATCATTCCGGAAACCAAATGCAGATTGATGCCATGAGCTCTAGTGATGACAGCGACTCGGACCTCTCTGAGGTTGAGGATTATGAGGCCCCTGTCAGGTATATATTTTACTTCATCTGATATTGATAGTGGTGGTTAATGGAAGAAGAGGGACTTCGTTTGTATATATGCGCCTGCATGTGGTTGTACTTTATTCTCATTATATTTATCAATATCTCTTTTATGTTCGCGCACTATTCACAGACGTCGAGGTACTTGGCATGGTCCTAGTAAGGAGGAGGTTGAAAGAGCTGCAGGCAGGAAAATCAAGACCAGAGTCCCTGACACAAAGGTTGTTCTGCCAATGCAGAATTTGCAGACAGAGAAAAAGCAACAGCAGTTGGCTAACAAGGTCGAGTCCGCTACTGTCTCCTCAGCTGCTGCTTCCTTGTCTGCATCCCCTGCTCCTTCTATTTCTGCCAAAGCATCATCCGATGCTCGAAATGGCAAGCCTCTTACGCTTTTCCAGATTTTGACCAAGGCAAACATTGACTGGTGCCGATACTGCGGCACGACTGAGGGTGTGAACTGGCGTCCTGGCCCATGGGGCAAGCGCACACTGTGCAATAAGCACGGCTGCGACTTCAAGGGATATGGCTTCGCCTGTAAGCTTCCTCGTTTAGACTTGACTAGCTACGCCCACGAGACTGTTGACCAGCGCATCCGCCCAGTCTTGCAGCACTGTAAGTGTCGTCCTGCCACTCTATTAATTTATTTTTACTTGGCATTCTTTTCAGTGCCATTTTTACTAATTAAGATTTCGACTTTGTGATTTCTTATTTCTCATCATAACAGTCTGTCACGGTTGTCAATCACAAGAGTCATTTGCAGGCAACGTCATGGTTCGTTGCGAAGGATGTCCTAAGGCCTTCCATCAGAAGTGCCATGGTGAGACTCCTATTCCTGATAGCATTGCGTTGTCGGAGAAGTCCTGGTTCTGCGATGAGGCTTGCAAAGAAAATGTCAAGAAGCGTCGCGTCTGTGTTGAGCTTCCCAAGAAGCGCTTGCCTCTTATGTCTACTCCCAAGCCCGTCGCAGCTGCTGCCATGGGTTCATTGGCCGCAGCCGGTTCTGCGACTGAAAAAGGTCGTTCTCGTGGAATCAGAGCCTCTATCTCTGGAGAGCCTCTCTCTGCACGATCCAAGTAAAAAAGGAAAAGAGGCAGAAATCCATGCTCCTCCAACCTTTTCTTCCTTTATCATCTATTACTTTTATTATTTTGCTATTTTATTATTATTATTACTATTATTATTACTATTATTATTTTTATCCTTTTCCCTTCATTGCCTCACCACTCGAACACCAAAAGAAAATCATTAATACCGAAGTGTCTCTTTTTTTTTTTTTTTTTTTTTTTTTTTTTTTTTTCTTGTTTCTTGTTGATTGCTTCTTGATTTCGTTTTTCTTTTACATAGCCCACTTAATAGTTTCTGTATATTTAGCCTAGATAACAGCCTCAGCTTTTATTTATATTTATTTTCTTTTCTTTTTCTATACCAGCACTGTTGTAAGTATTTTTTTTTTCTTTCTTTTTTTTTCCTCTTCATTTTTGCTTTGTTCTGTTGTCTTTTTTGTCCTTTTTTTTTTCTTTCTCGTCATAGTTCGTTCCTTTTTTTTTTTTTATTGTTTTTTTTCCATCATCATAGAAACTAGAAACAACAACGCATTAAAAAAAAAAAAAAAAACACGTGGTTTTTATTCAAACATGTACAGTCACATGAAAAAATTATACGGCAAAATAAATTTAGAAAATAATTGACGCGAAGATAGCATCATCCTCTCTCTTTCTTTTTCTCATTTTTCACAACAATAACAACTTGAAAAAACCACCATGCCTTTAAATTTGGATATCGAGGATAAAGCTATCATGGTTGGAATGCATCTTGCGGGAATGAAGGATGCGGAGATCGCGCTGAAACGTAATGTATCAAGATCAACGGTCTACACTATTATTCAAAGATATTACAAAAGAGGTACCACCGCTCGCGCCCCCGCCCCAGGACGACCAAGAGCACTGAGTGAAAGAGATATCAGGAGCATAGTGCGCTGCACAAAGAGAGAAAGGAGAGCCACTCTTAAGGACATCACCAATCAATTGGCGAAGAAAGTGTGCACAAGGACCGTTGCAGAGATATTGCATTCACTGGGTATCTTCAGCCGGATCGCGGTTCCAAAACCATACTTAAATGAAGATCATATGAAGAAGCGACTGGCTTTTGCCAAAAAGTACGAGAGTTGGTCCAATGAAGATTGGAGTCGGGTAGTTTGGACTGATGAATCGTCATTTGAAGTTGGCGAGAATTTCCGTAAGATAAGAGTTTGGCGTACGGCGGAGGAAAAGTACGACCACGATTGCCTTATACCCACTTTCAAGAGTGGTAGAACATCCTTGATGGTCTGGGGGGCATTCACATCAACCAAAAAGTCTCGGTTGGTTATATTTAAACGAGGTCGTAGAGATGGGCAGTGTTTTGTGGAAGATGTATATAAAGTTGAACTAATCAGGTTTATGGCTGAAGTAGAGGGCGGCATTCTCATGGAGGATAATGCTCCAGTCCATACTTGTAAGATAGCAAAAGAATGGCGTGAAAATAACAACATCTCTAGGATTCCAGACTGGCCAGCATGTTCTCCGGATATAAACCCCATCGAGCGTGTATGGTCATTTCTCGCTAATGCACTCGATAAGCGCTCCAGAGGACCAAGAGATCTCCCCAGTCTCGCAGTAGCTCTTACTAAGGAGTGGAATAATTTGCCACAAGAGAAACTGGCAAGCCTTGTTGATTCCATGCCCAACAGGCTGAAAGAAGTGAGGAAGGCTAAAGGTGGGCACACTCATTATTAAACCCACATAGTACTTTTACCTTTCATACAGTATATCCTCAAAACCTCCATAAAGAAACAAAATCGACCTCTTTAACGAATTCTAAAGTTTCATGTTGATTGATAAAGTCTTTGTGTATGTTGTCTATGATCTGTTTGTCAAGGGTGCTCAAAAAATTACAAAAAAAATAGAATTTGCCGTAAAATTTCTTCATGTGACTGTACATGTATATGTACCCTTATTAAGTGCCAATTTGTTTTGCCACCAAATATTAAGTATAAAGTGAATTGACAATTTTTTTTTTTTTTTTTTTTTTTTTTTTTTTTAATACCAGAAATATATATTTCTCCTCATCGCCACTCCGACCATCTGTTGACCGGCATCAAGTTGTAGCAATGACAAAGTACCAACCTCTCTTCGAATTGCATCAATTGGTGCAGTTAACTCATTCCACAACAGGAAAAGCCATCTTTTATTCACAAGTGCTCTTGGCAGCTGATGACAACGTGGATGAGGACGAAGCTGGAGGTTGGATCCTTAGTGCGTTTACAGGGAAAGCCTACTTTGAACGTGAATATCGACGCGATGATCTAGAAGATTTAGTATGGAAAAAAGATCTATTCATATTCATATCCATACCTATATCCTTATGAATTCATGTATATATATATATATATATTGGCTGATAATATCTTTCATTGTTTAATGATACTAGATCGCGATCACAGGAGATGCGAATTGGACGTCGTTTGCAAAGCGATTCAAGAGAGCAATTCTGGAAGGGTCTTTCCATATTGTGGACATGAGTACACGGGAATGTAGAGTCATTGTTGACAACGATGTTCATTCACGAACAGGCAGTAGCTCCAGCACTTTAGAAACCATTGTCATTGATATGTATCCAGTCAATCATGCAAGTCGAGGCGAGAAAATTGGTGAATTTATGTTTGAGGTAAGTCGTTTAAAGAAAGAGTAGCAATAAGGGCAAGCATAATGATTTAACAAATGTTAATCAGATTTTTTATTTTTTATTTTTTTTTTCAAATAGTGCGCCAGATTCATACAAGCTCATGGATGCAGTTTGCGTGGAGGGACTTCAATACCATCTGAATCAACAAGTATGAATGAAGCAGGCGCAGAGTCCACAAAAGCAGAAAACGGAGCCAACACAATTGGTGATGATGGCAAGAGTTTAATCGATTTGAAATTGGAACGCGACAACCTCAAATCTGAAAATGCAGATCTGAAGCGGGAAATTGATAAACTTCATGCTCAATTAATGAAAGCTGGAAGCGGTAAGTCTATCAGTCTATAAGACTGGAAAAAAAAAAAAAAAAAAAAAAAAAAAAAAAAAAGCGACGTTTTCAAACTGATATATATATATATATGTATTAACAGCTTTTTCCTTCTTTCGATTCGTATTATGGATCAAGGTTTGCATGGCGGTCTTGGAGCGAACAAAGGTCGCCCAAACTCAAAAAATACACAAATGGCAATGATGGTGAAGGAACAGTTGTTAAAGAAGCGCAAAGGCATCAGTGCTCTAAACCCCCGGATGAAAAAGTATGCAATATATCGGTTTAACTATCACTACATTTTTATTCTAACATAATATAATGCTTTGCTGTCGTTATTGAAGTATTGTTTGTTCCATCTGTCTCAATATAGGGGCGTTGTCGCAAAGGGAACCGAGTTTGGAAGCGACGAAGAAGACGACGAATAATTGAAGAAGAAAAAAAAAAAAAAAAAAAAAACTTAAACAATAGCTGGAAACATTTTTCCCTTGATCCGTCCAATAAATTGGATGAGATGCTTTCAAGCCAACTTACAACTTTCCCGGTGGGGCAATCAAAAAATAAGTTGGAATATTAAGCTATAAAGAAGCAGGCAGGTGGACGTTGTAATGGTGCGATTCTGTCAAAGCGTTGAGTATATCTAGACCAAGATTCCCTGCACCACACCAAGGACGTATTGTTATTGTAAAGTGTTATCAGCGGATACATAATGTGATCCAGTGCAGTTGCCTCTCAATTTACATCTGCATACACATACACGCACACAAAGAGTGCGCAAGTAGAGATGACCGACAGAAAGGCATACACGGGGTCTGAATGGGACATACGGATGCTGTGCTTTCAGATAAATAAAGCCCTTGAGTAAATCGTGAGACGATAGTAGTCTGATGGATGTCTCGAGCTTTACATTCCCATAAACGAGTAGTGCAAGGTTAAATACTTTCATGTGTGTTCTTGCAGACGGATCAGCAGTTTTGAATGCGTCACTATACGCAGATTTCTTTTTCAAACCATCTTCTTCACACTATTAGATCCGTAAAAGCTAACCAAGGTAGTTTGTAGAGACTATGCTCCGGTCCTTCCTTGAAGGCTTCAGGAGCTCAAAGGTAAATGGTATTAAGGACTGCTCAATCTCATATATTGAGGGTGTCTTAGAAATAGTGTTGGGTTTGTTCTCAACAAAATCATTACCAACTACATTAATTCTGCTTACCCACGTCTGAAGAACATCTCAAGGCATAACAATAATAAAAAAAGAATTATACAAACAGTTATATTTACTTCCTCTATGTTGTTAAAGCCTTTAAAAAGAAAAGAAAAAAGAAAAAAAAAAAAAATGCAAAAAAATAAACGCTCAGCACAAGGAAGGGGAAGAGCGCACCCAAATCGTTGTAAAATGCTTAATAGCTTCCTAAACCTTTCTCCACGGCTTTCAAATACTTTTTCTTATCTTCCAGTCCTATGCTCCGATTCTGACCAATCAGCTGACCCACATTATCCAGTACTGTTCGACCTTCCTTGCCAACGTTCTTATAATTTAGTAAAGACCCAGGAGCACTTGCTCTAGTATAATCACCACCCAAGCGTTCCAGACGCTTCCATGACTTTTCTGCCTGTTGATCCTCAACACCTGCTGCTCCCTTGAACTCGTCTGAGCTGACTTCATAGCCGATGTTGGCAACATGTTTCACGCCTCCATTATTGAATCGGTTGACTGCATTGCGGGGGTTCAAAATCTCCTGATAGTTATGTGTGAGGTGGAACAAAATTGGTTGATTCTCAACAGAGGACACGTCCGATTTCTTGCGGTGATCCTTGTCGTTGTTGTTGGCAATGGGTGCCAGATCCTGTATCAAACTCTGTTCTACTTCAGGGTCCAGATCCCCGTTAGCACGGACACCAGTGACATGGACTGAGAGAGCTGTTCCAGGGAGAATAGTGTTATAGCTGTTGCTGTTGACAGCAGCGGTGCCGAGAGGAGCAACTGCTCCACGGCCTGCAGCGACATTTGCATAGACAGGACGGGATTCAAAGACTGAAGAAACTTCCCAATCGATCTTGTCTGCAAACTGTAGCTCCTTGGTGGTGTCATATGGGATTGAAGGAGCAGCCTGGAATCGGGAAACAGGAATATTGGCAGGATTTTTAGAGGAAGAGGCCTCGTCCTGAAAATGTCTAGGGTTCCGATAGTTGAAGCGGCGAAGGGGTTTCTCGCCACCCTCCGATAACGGTGTTGTTGATGATGTATCATTAGTGATATTGTTACCACGACCACCTGCTTTTCTAAGTTCTTGACGTTTTTGGCGCTCGGCTACTTCGAGGAGATAACGCGCTGTGTGGATGGGTGGTTTTGAAGAAGATGTCTTGGGATTGTCCGACTTGTTGGTCGGTACAGCCTCAACGTCTACATCCTTACGACACGTTAAAAAAACTGTGAAGGCACGGGTCGACTGTTGCTGCTGTTGGTGACATGCCAGTGGAATGAGACGGGCGGTAGCGCCTGTAGAAAGAATCTTTCTGGACAGCATAGAGGTGGCGAAAGGAAAAAAAAGCTAATGAACGGAAAGAATGGAAAGATCAGCGTTTGTTTGTTTCCAGTCAAAAAAGATGTTGTTACAAATGATTAAGGGTTACGGTTACAAGGACTTTTATTATTATTATTATTACATATTATTATTATTATTATTGCCTTTTCAACTTTGGTTCAAGAAGACAAAGACAAATCATGGAGGCAAGTCGAAGGAACCACTCAAATCATAATCTTCATGGAATCAGAAAAAAGTAGATTCGATTACATAATTAAAGGAGCGCCTTGTAACTGATTCAACGGCATTTTTTTTTTTTTTTTTTTTTTTTTGACTGGTGATATTTGATATTAAACATCGGAACAATAATGGGCTATAGCCAACAAAGTCCTCAACATGGTACACTGATGCTGAAAAGTATTGGGACTCCATCCCCGCAACTGTCAATGGCATGCTTGGCGGACTGGAGCGGCTTGCACAGCCTGATGCTGCGATGTCCCTGCGCTTTCTCTCCGAGTTTGTGGACCTCTCTGAGTCTAAGGTAGAAAGATCCAGCACAACAAGTGCAACAGCGTCATCATCATCATCAAAATCAACTGTAAATAAGGCAACCACAAAGCGTGCTAAGCTACCTTTGCCGGGATCCGGTCCTTCTCATGTTCTGGATTGTGGAGCCGGCATTGGACGAGTGACCAAAATGGTATTAAGTAAAGCGTTCGATCATGTGGATCTAGTCGAGAATTGTGCGGCATTCGTGAAGCAGGCCAAAGAAGAATACCTGAAGCCGGAAATAGAAGCCGGAAAAGTCGGTGAGGTCCGGTGCTCTGGCCTTCAGAATCTTCATTTTGAAAGTACTAGCTGGGAGGGACGCTTTGATGTGATCTGGTGCCAGTGGGTTTTGGGACATTTGACAGATGGTAAGACATCGTCATCAGCAAGTAACAACAAAAAAAGTCTTCGTTGTTAAATTTGCTCCTTTTATTTTAATTTGTAGATGATTTGATCGCGTTTTTTAACCGGTGCAAGAAAGGTCTCAAACCTGGCGGTATGATCTTTGTCAAGGAAAACAATGCTAAAGTCGGGATTGTGATTGATGAAGAAGACAGTAGTATGACCCGGTCTAACCAAGTTTGGAATGAGATATTTATAAAGTCTGGGCTTAGACTCTTAAAAGATGAAGTGCAGAAAGGCTTTCCTCCGGGATTGTTTGCAGTGAGGATGTATGCATTGGAGCCTATTGAGTAGCTTTTTTTTAAAAAAAATTATTTATTTAATATACATGTAATATTATAAAAGATATTAAAAAATACAATGATCAATAGATACACATCTGGTGCTGCGTACGCTTTTCTTATTCTTGGTCTACCAAAAACTGGCCCTCCACGTATTCTGGGCTTTCTTCCTCATGCGGACCAGCTCTGAAATGATGCCGTTGTACTTTTTCATGTCCCATATCCATAGAAAAGCCTTGATAAGAACTACTATCAGTGCTAGCGATTTCACTGCTATATGCTGTTGTTATCGATCTGTGCTCGCTGTCAAATTCAGTCATCGCTCTGCTCAGCGTAGCTTCATCTGAGTAATGGCTTCCGCTGGTGGTCTCTGTGATAGCAGTGTTAATCCCTATTTCTGCAGCATTCGCTCCATCTGAAGTACCAATGCAGCAAGGATCATCCACCTGTGTCACTACATTTATGGGTACCCTAATAACAAAGTCTTTCAGCTTTTGCACCGTAACAGCTGGTGATCGATGGCGAATAAGGGTACTAGAACGCGAAGACGGCTCCACAAAATGGCTTAAAGGACCTGCATCAACTTGGTGCTGTAAAGTTGATTGTCCTCCGCCACCAGCTAGTGGGTTCACTATCGTCTCCAAGCCAGGAGACGACGTCTTTTCTCCGATTGCGCCAAGTGCCCCGACGGCCGGCCCTTCTGAAAGAAGGCTGAGTCCGCCGCTGCTAAAGGAGCTGCTCTTAAGAGTCTCGTGAGAATCCTTTGAAGCACACCGTCCCTCAAAGTCATATACTACCCCAAGCAAAGAATTAGATTGGCTATACAACGATTCATCTCCCCCACTATTACTGCGGTGTAAACGAGGGCCACGGCTATGGTCGTCAAGATCATCGTAATCCTCGCTTTTGGGCGCAGCAGTTGAAGTCGATTTTGAATTCGTATTTGGGAACCCAGTCATCGACCTGTCATGGTAGCTATCGGTACTTGTGGCGGAGTTGGAATTAAAGCCTGGCACTACTGATGCGCCTTGGTAGGCTGAGAGCACTTGTTTCTTCTTGACCTGCTGCAGCTGTTGTTCTTCTATCGCCCTTAAATCAAGCTCATCATCTGGATCCAACTCTCCCTCGAACTCTAGCAAATCGATTGAAAGTCGTAAGATCAAATAATGTTTGATTTCAATCCGTGTTCGAGTTGAGGCGGAGCTGAAACCGTGGCCTTGCAGTTGATTGAGATTACGAGAATATAAAGGGTGGCTACTTTGTGCTATATCTCTTGGTCCGGATGGTGCTGATGGAAGTTTAGCTTCCCCGGTCGACGCTCCTGCAGAAGCATCATTAGCTGTGCCTATCATAGCCATTTGATACAATGCTTGTGTTGATGGAAAATTGTCACCACTGGAGCCCGTTAGTCCCCTAGGCATGGGATACGAAGACACATCAAGTGACTGGTTGTATAGTGGTGCTGGGGTCTCAGCGGAAGGCCATGAAAATGTCTGGCGAAGTTTAGGTGAGTCCATACGCACAGGGAAGAGCAACATGAAGGGCTGCGTTGAGTTAGAGGCGTTTGCGCACTCTGGTACGCCGGAAGAAAGCTTGGGAGGGGCGTGCAAAGATGCATCCGACCCTTTCCTAACAGAAGCGTATGGAGCTACTGGGGCTTGAAGTGAAATGTTTGTAGTATTTAAGGTGGGAGAGCTCGGCACCTGGCGCTCCTTCTCATCACTGGTGCCCCCACCCACAACACCGGGGTCGAATGAAGCAGAAGACCCCTGTTTTAAAGCGTCTTGTTGAAGTTGAGCTGGTTGAGAAGACAGGTACAGCGATGTGCGTGCTTTTCCCTCTTCCTGCTCTTTTTCAGAGTATGTATACATTGGTCCTAGGGGATATTTGACTATCCTTGACGCTTCCGGTTCACCACTTTTCTGAGCAGGGATACGATAGCTCTCTTTCTGCCAAAACTCACATCTGACTTTGCGAACCCGGATCTCTTTCCTCCAAGTTTGCTCATCTTTAAGGCGATCCCAGTTTTCAGTCCGTTCAGTTCCTGTGTTAGACTGATCCGTTAGACTAGAGCTTGACAAACTAGAGCCATGCAGATTTTTTTTACCCAATGCGGTCTCTGCGTTGGTGGATTGACTTTGGCCAGTTGAAGCAAAGGGTGAAATAAAACTTGGTCCTGTGGAGCTGAGAAACCTCTTCTTCAAAAGGTCATCCTTATTGATTTCGGCCATGGTCACTCTTCGAACTGTGAGTGCGACTTGAAAGCTATCTAGGCTCTTCTGATCAATCTGTTGGTTGTCACTATGATGGTGGTGATGAAAATGAAGGTTATGATAAAAATGATGATTTTGAGATTGTTGAGTTTGCTGAACATTGTTCTTGCTAGGCACAAGGACCCCCTTTTTGTGATCTGGAACAAGCTGCGATGTGCGAGCATATCCTGGGGTAGGGATCAATGAAGGGATCTGTACTTGAACCTGAATACGCGCTCCTGGTACAATGGCCTTTAAACGACGCGTGCCTGGAAGGGTTGGCAGTGCCATAGAAGGCGGCGGCAGGAAGAATGGGCTGCCGAGTGATATGCTGGGAGGAGGTTTAATAAAATAGAGCTTGATAAGCTTGCGTACCAGAAAAGGAGTGGGTTCGCTGGTCTCTACAGAGTCTTGTAATTGCATGCCTAGATGAGGCGTGCTCTGGTTCCAAGAAGACGCAACTAAAAGGTCCCCCTTGTTTTCTGCTAGTACATCATTTGAGGCGTTTAACTGTTGCATGATGTCGTTTCTTTGCTGAAGACTACGTTTGATAAACTCGTCGTGTTGATTTCCGACTTTAAAATCACCAGGTTGTTGAACTTTCTTGCTTTTGGATCCCATGCGCAATTTTCCGAAGGCCTGTGCTAAAGATTTCGCTTTTCTCGTCGAGCCTACACCATTTTTGGAGATGGCCAACAAAAGGAAAAAAAAAAAATTAGTTGAGCTGAGAAACGACCATTTCATCGTGATAATAACGTTCATAACTGATATAGTTACCTTCAAGGATGGCTGTCCCCGTACTTCGATTTGATCCTTGGCCTACCATTGTGCCATACACTGTTTCCACCATTTGAAGAGGCTCACCAGTCTCCAAATTGCCCTCATTATCTATGTCGTCCCAGCGGAAGAGACACTTTGCCTCTAATTCATACCAAACATTGCCCATTGAACCTTCGAAACTTTCAGGGCGAACCTCATTGTCTGTAACAGGCATCAACCATTCCCATCGCCACTCTTCAGCTTCGATAGCAATCCGGCTTTTGCTTTTCGATGGCTCCATGACTACAGCCACATGTGGCTCATCACTTTCATCCACTATCCGATCCTGAAAGGGCAGCATGAGCTTTTTATCCCAGACTGTCTGGGACCAATTTTGTTTCTCTATTTCAAACGTAATCAGATCCTGTCGCGTCCATGCGATAGACTCCTTGAGTCGTAAATGGAGAGCCAATGAAACAAAATGGAATCGTTTGGTGGCGAGCTTTGGGATATGTAAAAGAAGTCGGCCCGAAACTAATGGCCGGTCTGTGGAGATTTCAGTATGGTGTGGTTGAATGGAGAGCATTGGTGTATTTCGAGCACACGGCTTTTGAGGAAAAGAGTCTGTGGGCATAAGAACTGGTGTCTGGTTTTTAGATTGGCTTGATGATTTCTTTTCTTTACTGGACATTGTTGCTTGTTGGTTGTCCTTGACATTGGCAGGATGAGGACCAGTACTCATCGTGTGACGAATGGGTAAGAAAGGATGGATTAAAGATTACGTTTAAAAAAAAAAAAAAAAAAAAAAAAAAAAAAAGCGTAGAGTGAAGTTGAATCAATTGGATCCAAGATGCCTAAAAGAATGCATAAAAATTAAAAATAAAATAGAAAACTACATGAGCACGAACTGATGCAAGTAGTTACAACACTGCGTGCCAATAAAAGTGATCAGAGATAGAGTCCTACTGAACAACATACACAATAAGGATGGAGGAAAGTGAGAGAGGGTTGGTCGTTTATCATGCAGCTGATCGGTTGGGCAAGTAAAATAGCGCACAGTCCTCTTTTGGTTGACTCGAAAAGTGACAATTGACAATGTGTCCACGGTGCAGGGTGCAGGGACAGTGGCGCAGGATCAGTGGGTGCATGGACACATTTTGTGTGAATGAAAAACTTTTGGCCACATTAAGAAATAAAAGATACTAAGGTTAATTGTGGTAACCATGAACAGCAAAAAGTAAGATGTACAAATCCCATTTCTTTTTTCTATCTGGTGTGTCTGTCCCTTGAATCTCCGACGACCTGATTGATGATTAAGCATATAGCTGTCTGTCAAGTCCCCTTCTTTCTTCCATATCATAAGATTGTATATCGTAGTGAAGATGGAACCCCTTTCTTTCTTTTACTCTAATTAACTCACCTTGACAAAAAAAAAAAAAAAAAATGGAAATAAAAAGTTCTGATGAACAATCGAATTTGAATTTGGTTTGATTGTCCAGATGATTTGATTGCGTTGAAATGTGAGTGTGCTTTTTATTTTTATTTTTATTTTTTTGATAGAAGATGGAGAAGAGAAAGAGAGCGCGGACAGAGAGAGAGAAGGAAGGAAAAGGTAACCTGGGAGCGGATCAAAATCGCATATGGTGTACTTGGGACGGGAAGAGTAAAAGGGGGAAGGGAAGGGGTCCTTAACTCTTTTTTTTTGGGCTAGAGCTGCCGTATTGTAAACTGAGGCCGACTTTTGCATGCATTGCATACAAAAGTGTACAGTACATGTACAACATGTACTTGTGGTATATATGTTTTCTTTCTTTTTCTGTAAACTTGGACTGGGCTCACCTTCTCTTCAGAGACAGTAATTAAAGCCAACATGTAGTAAATAGCTTTGAATGGATATATACCTCCAAGCACATACTTTACTTGCGAGAGCGTTTCCAACGATATCTTTCTTTCTGTAAATGTACTATGCTAGTTGAGCTAAGCTTGATTAACCGTCATGGCAATCTCCCGCATACAACGACATTGCTCTTGATCCCCTCAACTCCAAGATTTTCATCTTGAGTTTTCTTGCACCACTACAATATTTCTCTTTGATCAACCAACTCATCCATTACTGCGAAATTTTGTTTTATTGCAATATGTCACGCGGTATTTTGTGTTGTAAAGAGTTTTCCTGCCGCCGTATCAAGATGATCTTTCTCAGTCTGCGTTTAGACACATTGACTAGGGGTACTGGTCAAGCAGCAATGTTGTCGCTCGTATTTTTTTTTTTTTTTTTTTTTTTTTTATTCTATTTTATTATTATTGATTTGTTCTTTTTTTTTTTTTTTTGTGCACATGCGCGTCTGAAGATGAAGATGGCGATGTTATGACTTTCCTATATTGCTCGTCTTGATAACTCTAAATTAGTTTAGTCTCTACCAGCCAAGAACTTTTCTAAAAAGCCTTCAGGCTTAGGAGGGGCATCATCCTTAATGAAATATCGCATGATATGTGTTTCCTGCTTCCAAGCATTCATGGTCTCCTGATATTCCTGGTGACCCTTGAGCAACAAAATGTCGATAACCGCCAAGTCCTTGACATCACGGTGACGCTCAAACTCTTCACGGATCTTAGTGCGGATTTGGGATGTGGGCAAATCAATCTGATGAGTACGCATGATCTCGGGAACCTATGGGAAAAAATTTCCAATGGGTATGAGAAAATAGAAAGAAAATATGGCGTTCCAAGTCAACTCGAGTGTCGTAACAAAATCGGATCCTTCTTTTCTTCTTTCCTCCTCATAGACACCCAAATTTATGTTTTCTATAGCAATCCAATCCTGCTTGATAAAAAGTCAACTATGAAGAGGGACGTCAAGCTCCTGGTAAGAGATCTATAACACATTACTGTATTGTAAACAATCCTCTGTTTTAACCAGTCCTGAGCTTCGTTAACTTGGAGCAACACAGATTCCGTGTGATTCTGACCTTCATTGTAAAAAAAAACATCAACTCTCTTCAATTCCTGCAATAAATATTCCTTCTAACTTACACCACGTTGGAAATCACGGTAAAGATGAATGACTTTCTGGCGAGCAGCAGAAAGCGATGGTGACTGAGAAGTCACCACCGAAAGATGGGCAGCCATAGCAGCAGACATGATGAATATGTGATTGTACGTAGGTTGTTGATAGCGAGAGAAAGAGTAGAGTCGTGGCAATTAAATAATGGATTGTTCAATCATCAAAGCTCCGCTTTGAGCAAAGGTTTTAATGGCACCAAACATCCGTGTGGCTTTGAATCAGCTCAACTCAAAATACTGGATTCCCTAATTTCAAATATTTTGTGTGTTCTCTACAAACAGCATTATAGAATATACAATTGACTATCCTTCCCCTCTGCCTTGTGTATACCAACGCTAAGTACATGGTATCTGAGTCTACTACGGGCTTTACTTTGAAGCACTACACTTAAAGCCTCATAGCAAACGTCGGAATAAACACGTCTGACTAGTCCACACATTGATTGGAGATCACTTGTCTTTCATCTAGACAGATAGCATGCGTCTTGAAAACTGATTCTTGACGACATTTCCAGTTAGTACTGGAAATAGTTTTTTAAGTACTCCTTACGGAAAACATTACGATGGGTAGCGAATTTTGACGTTTCTTTTTGGTATTTTAGTTTTTATGTTTTTTAAAAGTATGCTATTTGCTTCTATTTATATTAGTCTTTGTGCATATCGCTAAGAGGTTCATCAGCTCAAAAAGGATGCCTTTTTTGTCATGGTTCGTACTCAGAGCCAACATACTTTACGAATAGTTATTATAGTTGCTGTTTTGTTGACTAAGATTGGAAGAAGTTTGAGAGGTATTTATACGCATAGAAGGAGGTAGTCTTGCGCTGTTAGACCGTGCAATGGGTGTTGGATGCATCAACGTTGGGCTGGGTGCAACACGTGTCCGACCAGAGCTGGCGCTACTTCCCGTACGTGAGATGCCTCCATCAATAGGAGAGTTTGCGCCTGACCGTCCACCGGATCCGGACCGATCCAGCAGTCCTTGTGTGGCTATCCGTGAGACCTGGGCGTTGCCGTTCGAGTTACTCCTCATGTGACTACCATCATGATATTCTGCCTTTGGCATTCGACTCGAATTGGTACGCTGGACAAAAATGGGTTGCGAGTACTGAGGTTGTGGTGAGGAAGTAGCCTTGGACTTTGGAGAATTATAGTCTTCCATTTGTTCCAGATAACCAGAGTGAGAACTTCCAGAAGAATAATATGCATCTGCAGATTCTGTTAATGGTGGGCGGCTATAGTCGGTGGTATCATGATTGTCCTGATAGTAAGACGCTGAACCGGGTTGTCCATACGAATTCATCTCATAACCTTCTTGATGAGGGTCGCCTTTATTTGTCTTTTTCATGCCTCCAGTACGACCAGTAGCTCCAGCGGATGGCTTGTTATTTCCGTTGCTCTCCCCAAAGCGGACAGCGAGGCCAGACTGATTAACGTCCCTATCTTCGAATGAACGTCCAGCTCCATTAGCAGCTGCGATCTTTGTCTGAATATCCTCATTGGCACCTAGCACTCCTCCAGGTCCCATGTCTTTCATTAAGGCACGCTTGCTAATGGATGCCTGCTTGGACAACTCTCCATCACCATCTTTCTTAGAGCCTTTTCCAGGACCTGTTCGACCGCTTTCCATGTTATTTTGCTGCTGAAGCCGAAATTGATCTCGATATTTGGCACGCCTCCAGGTGGCAGATCCAACGGCGCCAATAAAGAGAATCAAAAATGCACTGTAAATCAAGATGCCCGAGGTTAGATTGTAGGCTCCAATCACAGATGGTTTTCCAAAAAGGGCCATATCACCTTTGCTGTCTGCAAGGGCTACAATCTGCGATGGTGAGGGTGAGGGTGAGGGTGTAGGCATGGTAGCAGAGGGATTTTTGGGTTTAGTTGTGGAAGGATTCTGTCGTTTCTGTAGGTGGATGATGGAAGGTTCAAGTGGGGAGCCGATTTCTTCTTCAGAGCTTTGAACTAGGACTTTCGTTTCAGAGGGTATATTCAAGACCTGAGTCTGGGTTTGGACAAGCGATTTCGAGAATGTAGAGATGGAGGCAGTTGCTGGAGACAAGGAGGGTGCAGACTCTGCAAGAGCGATGCAGATGAATGAGCTGATGGAGAGGATTAACAAGAGGGAAGAGGGCGAAGGGGGTCGCAAGGAGGAAAAGGGTGAGAAAGACATACGAGGAGCAAAAGAAAAGAAGGACATGGATGGCCAAAGGGACCCAGCCTTGGCTTTGGCGGAGAACGAAGAGGACATTGCTGATCTCTCTATTGACAAAGAAATAGAAGCAAATATGTATAATCAGCAAACACAATCAGCCCAGCCTTATTATAATCCAAATAGAAAATATTTTTTTTATTGCTTTGAGGGCTCTTCATCTCATTCACTCAAGGTTACGCTTCTGATTTCAGACGGCGCACATCAGGTAGCACAATGTTTGGGGGTTGATACCTTGCGAAGATTAGAAGGAGAAGTATAACCAGGGTTTAGAATCACAAAAAAAAAAACTGGTTCCTCACCAAAACAAAAACAAAAAACTAACAAAGAAGCTCCTTGAAATGAAGGATCCCAAAGCCAAAAAAAAGAAGGGGGGAGCAAGGAGGTTTGGTTGTATTAAAGGCAAGAATAAAGTGTAAAAAATGGTAGGAGGTTGTGCTGGGTCCACACGCGCGTGAAGCAAATTGGTGTACAAATGTACCAAACAAAGATCAAGTCCTTCGCCGCGCACAAATGTCAAAAAAAAAAGGGACAAAGCAAAATAATGAGAATAATGTGTCGTGAAGCAAGAAGCGATAGAAATGAAGAAAAGAGAAGGGGAAGTGGGCGAATGTCTATGTATTCCAGACCAGACGAAAATACATTTAATAAGAATAGGCGATTAGGTCAGGCACTGTGGGTGGAGTGTGTACACATTAATCCTCAATACAATTGGTCCATTGAAAGGTAAAGGAACATGGTAATTTCTGGGTCTCGTTCATTTTGGCACTCAAAACAGGCAATAAATAAAAGAGCCAGTTTCGGATGAATGTCTGCAACCGCAGATGGGCCTACTCCAGCAGTGCAGTCTGGTTACTACTCCACCATCACGACCATCTAATCATTAATATCTGTTCCCCACAACTGCGAATGTCGTGTTCTGCCATAATATTAATAGCGCCATCGGAATGAACGAGGGGGGTTGGTGGTTTTTTTAAGTTGAAAGCAACAATGAAATCGATAATGGATCATCTTCTGCATATCGATACATTATTAATGTTTCAATTATCACTAGCATCAATGTCGTTGATGCCATTTCTGATTTTTCCGCTTGGTGGCCGGATGTCTATTCTCTGTCACTGCCCACGCCACAATTATCTGTACCTGAATATGTTCCTGGATTTTAATTGACCAATAATAATGAAGAATGAATTGGGTCTAATAGGTGCCAGTAAGAAACAAAGATTGAGTATTTACAGTCCACTGAAATGGGAGATGATGGCAATGGCAATGACAATTAGCAATAACAAAGCAAGAAAAAGAAAGAAAGGAAGCGAGATGAAGAAAAGACAATTCAGATGGAGCGAACAACCTAATGGAGTAAGTTGATTCTCAATAACCTCTTTTTTTTTTTGGCTCTCATTTCACTTCTCCCACCACTATCTTCCGCGATTGCTTCAGGTGCTTTACTACCTTGCTCCTTGGAGCATATTCTTTAGGCATATCTATCTAAGAAGCCAGGCATATATATACTGTATTTGTATACATGTATATATATATATATGTATTCATATATTCATAGATTAATTTTATCCACAGATTTGCATTCAGTATACATCTGTTATGCATGTAAAACAGTGCAGCGCGTGTATCCATTTTTACCCGTAGTTCATGTCAGGAGAGGGTATACACGTTGAAGCTACTAGTGCATTCAGCTATTTTCAATTTTCACAGACAGAGTCTACGAGTGTAACAACTGCTTTTGAGAGCCCTGCTCCGAGGCTGTTGTGTATAAATAGCTATGTTCCGACCCATGGAAAATCCTTGTTTAAATATACGTAGTGTGTGACAATTTACGTTTGCGATGATAAGTTTGCATTTCTTTGATTTATTTAGGGCACCTGCAGTCAAAGGTTAAACATTTCAATGATGGCCACTCCGATAACAATAAGAATGGTGTGTTGCATCTGTAAAAAGCCCCAGAATTTTTCAGGCGCACTGCTGCTTAAGCGACATGATGCACAGTCCTTTCCTATTAGCAATAGGACATACGAAAGAAAACTCAGTTCCTCATTCTTAGCGCCAAATCAACCATTCAAGGTATTAGAAACCATTTCAATATATTGACGCACGTACCATCTGTTTTTGAGATGCTGGGGCCCTGTAATTAATTCACAATGCAATGTTAAAATTATAAGAATGGATTTGGATAATAAAATCACAAACCATCCTAGTCTATCTATTAACTTTTTTTTTTTTTTTTTTTTTTTTTTACCCCTCTATAGAGACCAAATCGAAGGCCTGAGTACGGGGCTAAGTGTCCGCTTGTCACCGTGCCGTTTCTTCCTGTGGTAGGATCGTATATGTTCCTAAAAAAGGATGTCCAAGGCATTCAGCATATGAGCGGATTTATTCAACCTAAAGGATCAAGCGCCAGGCATTTCATTTTCAGTAGTACCAAGCGATCATCTTACAGCGTGTAGAAGCCTACAAAGAGCACTGAACTATTAGCTTTCGCGGTATCCCACAAGACGCTGGTGGTCGATCCTGAGACATTTGCAACGGGCCAGACATTTGGTGGATCTAAATTTAAAGAGACATCGACGGTCAGATTAGCAGGTGGGAACATCAGTGTCGTGCCATTAAAGGCCCACTTAAAGACAATAGGCATGCCGATCCGAAACAACGGAAAGTTTGACTGGCTGGGTTTTGGGCTGATCAAGTTGAGGTGACTGACAGGCATTTTTGAGCCTAGGATATTGGGACTAGAAACAGATTTTAAGCTAGGACTATTAATGGTTGTATTGGAAGACTGCGGAGCTAGAAAAGGAGGTATCTGTGAAGTTAGCGGTGATCCTGCATTGCTTTCTGAACCCTTTACAATGTCTAATCCAGCTCGTCTAGTGCTCAAATGACCATACATACTATTGACAGATTTGAAAGACCTAAATGGTGTGGCGTCTGTGGACTCCTGAAAAGCTTCTGTGGGTTCAACTGCGCCTTGCCATGATATTTCAAGTGGTTAATTAGTTTGTAATTTTGTGGTCCATCACCTAAATACGCAGTTTACTAACCAGCTTACAACTGCTAGTTACCATGAGCGCCCAAAAGATTTATATCTAATCCAGACACTAGCAATGTCGAAATGATCAAGGGAATTGTAAAGCGTAACACTGTTTTTGTGAACACTCTTGCACAGTAAGTGTAAAGATAAAATGAAGAGAATAGCATAATGGGTGATGGGAATACACGGGATGATACTATAAATGAAAAAGAATCATGGAAAGACAAGAGGGGAACTATAACCATGATATACACGTTGGCCACAAAACCAAACAAAGCACGTTCTATATCCTTCTTTCTTTTGAGTGTATTGAGAGTCGTCAGAAGATTCTTGTTCACTCTACACCCTTGCGAGCTGATGTCCAAGGGGTATTATGCGGTACCAAAGCGTGTCTGCGACCACATCTAGAGCTGAATGTCAGGTTCAGCTATGGGAGTGATATTAAATGATAGTTACGATGCTTTTATTTTTTTATGTATCCCTTAAAAGTGGAGTGGTGTATACTCCATCGTAAGTAGAGGGAATCTAGGTAACCATGTCCAGCAATTATCGTGAAAAGAGAATGGGGAGTGAAGGAGGTGTAAACCAATTGAGGATGTGATGGTAAATTATCATACCTTCCAGGAGCTTTGATCCCCGCCACTAATTAATTTATATGAGTAAACAATCGTAAGCCACCTTTTTTTTTTTTTTTTTTTTTTTAAGTCCATTGCACAGTTCTTTTTTCATTCATTCCCTCTCTTCAACGACAATCAGCAGTTCGCCATGGGGAAAGTCAAAAACAATAGGAAGAAACAGAACCGCCACAATGCCACTGGTATGGAGACAACTTCCGAGGTTTTGGCTGCGGAAGCACTTCAACCCGTGCCTGTGGAGACTATCATGCCTCTGATGAACAAGGTAGGCGTTCGCTCCTCTCCCAGTGTATTTGTATTCAATTGATACCGCTATAGCCTTTATGGCCCTAAATGTCTCCAGAAGTGTACAATTAACCCATTAAAGTTTTACACGAAAATCCTTTCCTCCCTGTGAACGCCAAAAAAGCTGTCTTCTCCGGATGCCAATGAACGATCTTGGGCTGCTGCAGGTGCTAGTAATTTGTTGATGCATGATGCTGCCACTCGTCGTTTAATGCTCAGCAAAAACTTGGTTGGCGCGCTTATTGAGCGTTTGACCGATTCAGTACACGAGGTTGTTGTGGAAGCCTTGGGAGCTCTCCGTAACTTGACTGTTGTAGGTGGAGAGGAGGTCATTAATGAAATGTACAACAAGAATGTCCTTACTCCAGTCTCCGCATTGATTCCTCCACTTGGGAACATGATTGATAGCATGTTCAGCGGGCCTGCAACAACAAGTGAAGAGCATGAGAAAAGAAAAACCGTCTGGGATTGGGCTGAGAACGTGATCAGCATTTTCTGGGCAATGAGCGAAAACTCTGAGAAAGCGTTAAAGGCTATCAACAAATTCAATCTAGTCCCTTTTTTGATGCCATTTATGACAAATGTCGATAAGGTGCCACCAAGAGTTATCGTTGCTGCTGGTAAGCACTTTTAGGATCCAATGGTCTCTTAGTCAATAGACCGTAATGTCCATTATTTTAACGCACTTGCGCTTTAATGTATTTTTAGCCCAATGTCTCTATACTTTGACTGACGATAACCCCGATTGTCGAGTCCATTTTGTCAAGAACCCTGATTATATTAAAACTCTCATGAAGATCCTGACATTGAATGTAAATGCAGAGCAGGAGTTGTTAATCAAGACACTAGTATGCGGAATTGTCATCAATCTGAGAAGTGTCATAGCACCTAAGAGCTCGGAGGGCGAGGGCGATTTCACTGGGATCCACAGCGCTGTCATGCCTGTCCTGAGCGGTGCTCTCAATTATGATCTTCAAAAAGCTAGTGCTGAAGCAACTGCCGCAGCCGAGATCACTGTATGTATTTGGACAAGTATCTTAAGTGAGATGTAGTTGCATATTTTTTTTATTTTTTTCTAATTTCTCCTTTTTCCCTGGACGAACATGCGATAGAATGCCAAGAAATTAGAACCAGATCTTTCGAAGCCTACTCAACCCGCCACTCCAGAAGAACAGACCCTTGCAGCCATTGAGACTCGTCTGCAGACACTACAACTTGCTTTGGAATTAATTGCCAACATTTGCACTGAAAGTGTGGCAGGCGTTGAGGAAGAGGAAGAAGAATGGAAAGACGAAGGTGGCGATGACGATGATATGGAAGCAGAAGATGATGAAGAAAATTTAGATGATTCAGAGAAAAAAGAGGATGATGAATTGGATGAGAATACCTTGCGGGAAATGGAGCAATTGGCGGCAGCGTCAAATGAAATACCAATGGATCTTTCTAGCCATCCTATTATCAATATTTTGACAAGCACTGTATTTCCGGCACTTATTAGTCTTGCAACGCCAACATCACTCTCTTTCCCACCACAAGAAGTCCCTACTCCATCGACAGTCGCACCTTTAATTACTGCACAATTGTCAACGACACATTTACGTGCCATTGAAGCCCTCAATAACTTCTTATTGACGATGGCAGATGCAGTTCCTGGAAAGTGGTGGTACAAACAAAGGAAAGCAGATGCAGAGCAATGCTGGGTATGGCTCTTCCAACAAGCCGGAGCTGTTGCAGGAAAAGGCGTACAGGTCGGGGCTGAAGAGAAAGGCCAAGAGATGCGTGGTACTATTCTGGATGGCATTGTGGGCTGTTTATGGACTTTGGCGCGCGGTTTGGGTGGCGAGGTGCCATTGAGCGATTTCCATGTTCCTGCATTAATAGGAGCATATGCCTCAACGACTTCAGATAGTATGCGCGTTAAGACTATAGGGTGTTTGGGCGTGATTGCAAGGCGGCAAGGAGCCATTGAGACAAATAAGGTATGGCTCATATGTGAGCTTTCTTTTGTTCGTTGTTGATACTTGTGTAATGGACTTAAGGTTTATGGGATAGGATGGGATTGCTTGATTGCTTGAGGAACAAGTGATCATGGGACTTGTACTGACATATATTGTTGTTGTTTATGTTGATGACATCACTTTGTAGGTAATTGGTGAGTTTTTGATCAGCTTGCTCAAAAACAAGCCCAGCCCCGAGGCATGTATTGAAGCGTTGAACGCTATTTACGATATTTATGCGGACGCTGAGTTTGACTACGATCTCCCTGTATTTGTTCAGGGTAATTTCAATCAGGAGCTCAAAGGCTTGATCAAAATGGTTCGGTTTATGGTTCGTAATATTGATAGACGTAAGGATCGGGACCTGAGGAATCGTGGGGATGAAGCTGTATTGAACTTGGTGGAGTTTGTGAAGTACAAGGAAAAAGAGCGAAAGTAAATAGTGCAACTCAAAAAAAAAAAAAAAAAAAAAAAAATAGAAACCTTAATGCATATTAGTTGCCTATAGAATAAGAAATGCGATCAACTTTGATGTTCTAGAAAAAAAAAAAAGTAGATACCTTGTAAGCGAGCAGCAAGAAGTTTGTGTTTTGTATATAGTGAGTCGCAGATGGGAACTGTTGAAATTAACCAGCGTGGATGTGGCAATGTATTTACACACGCGTCGTGTGATACGATTGGTGGAGGAAATGTTCCCAGAAGATGAAATTGAGGTTGTACAAGATGGATGTGGAGCAACCCTGAAGTAATTTGCTTAACATTCATATTTGTTTGAAGAAATAATTGTTTTTACATGCAGGAAATTCTGGTGTTGGTGTTTCTGGTGTGAGCAAAGTCAGACTGTAAGTCTTTTTACGTCTCGGCAATCTCGGAAGTTATAAAGCCTTGATCGATGAGAAAAAAAGAGAATTATAGAGGTTTCAAAGCGGAAAAGCAAATAAACAAACAAACAAACACCATGCCTCAGTTCATGTGAGCGCGTGTGATTAAGTAGGCCGATGGTTGTGGAGCTTGAGCACAAAGAGGATTCTATCATTTCTTTTCAAAACAGAGCTACTTCTGTCTACTTTAGTGAAAAGAAGTGGATGATATATTGGAAGGGTTATTGAGCTAAACCAGTCAGGCCCGTCCAATTTGTGTTGATTTGTTTATCTCCTATTATGAAGCAAATACCGTTAGTTTGACAGATGGACAAGTATCAAGCAATCCAAAGCAATCTACAAAGCCAAAGGATTTCCCTTTACATTAACGCATTAACGATACAAAGCCGACTGAGGACCTTGACATGGAATAGCTCCAACGGAATTTGGTATTTAGCTTATTAAGAAAATTAAAAAAAAACTGGCCCACATGGCGCATCTAATCGAAAGTCCGCATTTCCTTTTGATGATCAACAGGTTTTGGTGTTCGATAACGGGAAAGGGAATCACAAGTGTTTGGGTAAATGGATGTTGTGTGTTGTGATCTTAGGGCAGTGGTGTGATTGGATGCTGCTGACTTTCCCACAATAAACATGTGCAAGCATTTCTCAAGACAGCAATCCTGTTTGAACTTTTAGCAATGAATTATGAAGAGATAGAAAGAGATTTGGTAAAGAAAGCTTATCTGCTTTTACTTTATTCTTCACCCTGTTACCCCTCTCACTACACTCTACTCTACTCCACACTCCTCTCCGCTCTCTCCGCTCTCTCCACTCCTCTTTCTTTCTCTTGAGAAAAGGGTCTTCGTTATCACTTGTAGCAGCTTCCAAAGTCATCCTTTCATCGCCCTTTTCACTCATTCGCCTCATTCACTTCCTCACCCTTTGCTCCATCAATTCATCTCAAAAACATTCCTCTATTTATCCACAGTCTCACTGCAGCTTCACACAGCTTTTTCTGAGTGTTAGTCCATTTATTCTTTACAACGACGGCCACATGACTCCTGCAAGACTCATCATCCCCATTCATTACACCCTCAAGATTGTACCCTGTCCAGTCGACTTCACATTTCTTGGTGAATGTTCCATCGAGTAAGAGACCTTCTATTTTTTATTTTTTTTTATTTTTTATTTTTTATTTTTTTTTTAGCCCACATTTGCCACTCCTATTTATCGGTCCCTCTCGTTTGCTTTTGAATGCATGTTGTTTGTTTCAGGCACGCGCCGCTTTTCCTAAAAAAAGCGTTGTTGACATGCTTTGCTTTGATACCCTAGAATATGTATTGCTGAACCTTCTTGTGGTATCACCTTGAATGCAAAGGAGCTGAATATCCAAACAGCAACCATAAGAGACCATTTAACTCCAGGTGGATACAGGTAAATAGTTTATGTTTGTACTCGACTATGGCGCCTTTTTCCAACTTCCTACATTTATTCCATCTATCTTTCTATCGCTATTACTCCTCCCTATTAATGTCTCATCGCTCAATCGGCCAAATTGAGAGAAGCGAGTAGAAAATGAAGGAGACAGAGAAACAAAAAAAAAAAAAAAAAAAAAAAAAAAAAAAGAAAGCGAACCAGAGTGTAATAAATAGTTCCTGAGGGTTCAACGGTTTAATACAAAGTTGAACTCCCTGATTGATGATCCATTAACAACAGAAGCAAGCTTGTGGCGTGTACATTGAGAGACAACTTGCTTATGGTGCGTGGCGTGACTAGAGTATTAGTGTGCAATGAAGAAGCACAATACTCGATAGCACATTGAACAAATACAGTGGTAAATCACGCGTGCGTTTGTAGAGATCATTTCCATCGCTGGCTCCATTCTTTTTTTTTTATAGGCATGTACGCATGCTTCCATAATTGTAGACAAAGCTTTACTGTCAGTCACTGAAAGGCCACATGGGCGATATATTTCTACGGTTAAATCTTTATTGTGGATAAAAGTTTTAACATTTTGTATTCTCCACCGCATCACTCTGATATTCAGTGTTACAGCAACCAGCGTAAGTTATAATGTAGAGGAGGAGCTCATTACTCTAGAGTTTCCAGAGCTGCTGTATGTTGGTACGTCTTGGATATTGGATGTGACTTACATTGGTCTCGTCAACGACAAGCTGAATGGGTTCTACCGATCTGTTTACACCGATGCAGACAACAATGTGCAGTAAGTCCATCATCTCTCGTCAACCGCCATGCTCTTTCCCTTTGTTGTAATGTCTATCTGTCACAAACGCTAACCTATCATTATGGCTCTTACTCACCTTCCTCAGCCAACTCACTACCACCCAATTCCAATCTACCCATGCACGAAGGGCGTTCCCCTGTTGGGATGAGGTAGACGCTTTTTTTTTTTTTTTTTTTTTTTTTTTTTTGGCAAAAAGCCCGATAAGATAGAGTGGTGCATCTATTAGCGCATTTGACAGACTCTTGACTTGTCTGTCTGTCATTATTCGACTATTTAGCCTAGTGTCAAGGCTACATTCACATTGACACTGGTTGCGCCTCAAGGAATGACCTGTCTTTCCAATATGAGTGTTGAGTCTATCATAATTCTCGAGAATGGGATGCAGCAGGTCACCTTCCTCAAGACGCCAATCATGGCAACTTATGTATGTCCATTATCGCACGTTGCTTTTATCCCATTCTTATCCATTTGCATGTGTGTGTGATGATTTTTATATTCTAATCTCTCATGGTTTGTCACCTCTTTTATGTTGACAGTTATTAGCATGGACAATTGGAGATTTAGATTATATCGAAGCTTATACTTCTGGAGAATTTAATGGTGAGGCCGTTCAATGTCGCCTATATGCTCCATTCGGTCTCGCAAAGCATGGGGAATACTCACTTGATTTGGCTGTGAAGGTATCTATTTTTCCGACGCGCTTGAACATATGTTTTTCTAAACAGCAATTTAAATATATCTAATGCTTTTAACCCTGCCTATGGGCTATCATCCATATGAAAGTCGGTTGAATATTTTTCTCGATTGTTCAATATACCCTATCCACTGCCCAAGCTGGACTTAGTGGCTGTGCCCGACTTTTCCCCAGGAGCCATGGAGAATTGGGGATTGATCACTTTTCGGACATATGCTGTCCTTCTCGATGAGTACAGCACAAACGACCGGAAGCGTGAGATTGCCGCTACTGTTATTCATGAAATTTCTCACCAGGTAAACATGATGTGGATAGCATGAATGGCAAAGTAATAGTATTGAATGCAACGTACACATACATCCAATGGTTCATTGACTGGTTCTCAATGGTTTACGGGACGTAGTGGTTTGGCAATCTGGTGACAATGGATTGGTGGTCTGACTTATGGCTATTTGAAGGATTCGCAACGCACTTGGCTTATATCGTGGTAGATGATCTATTTCCTGCCTGGGATGTTTGGTCAGAGTTTGTCAAACGGATTCAGGAGGTTCTGAAGCATGATGCTCTTCGAACATCACACCCTGTAGAAGTTGGTGTCGCTAATCCAAGTGAGATCACCCAGATCTTCGACGAAGTCAGCTATATGAAGGGAGCATCAGTTCTCAGAATGCTAAGCGCCTGGCTTGGTCAAGACGAACTCCTGAAAGGGATTCGGAAATTTATGCTGAAATACATGTGGGCAAATGCAAATACTGAAGACTTGTGGGCCACCCTAGCAGAGGTGTGCAAGGTTGATGTGCCAGGATTTATGCGTAAATGGACAAGGCAAACTGGAGTAGGGGTTACGAGATTTAGTTTCTATGCGCTTTAATGCTGTGAATTATGGCCCAGGGACTAACTTTGTGTACACATCCCTTTTGACTTTAGTATCCAGTATTGTCTATTACAGAGCTTGACGATTCTACGATTTTGATCCGACAAAACCTTTTTCTTTCAACAGGAGATGTTCGTCCCGAAGAAGATGCTCTTTTATGGCCTGTCCCCTTAGCAATTGCTACGGCGGATGATCCCACTCCACGCAATATTACAATGGATACTAAAGAGATGGTTTTGAAGGTGGATACTACTAAATGGTACAAGTTCAATATGGGGCAAACCGGATTTTACCGTGTAGCTTATCCAGCCAAGACGCTGGAGCTTCTAGGTCAAGCATTAGGGTCCAAGAGCGTGACGACACTGGATGCTGCCAATAGAATCGGTCTATTGACGGATGCAGCAGCACTTGTGGCTAGTGGACATACGCCTACGAGCAGCTTTTTGACACTCTTGAAGTATTTTGAAGATGAAGACGATTATATGTACGTTCCTTGAAGAATCACTTCACTGTATACCCCTTTTTTTTTTTTTTTTTTCTATAAAAGAAATCAAGTTAACAATAGGCGCTTGATGTCGACATCAATCATAGGGTTTGGGTAGAGATATCATATCAATTACAGGAGCTATTTTCGGTATGGCTGGAACAGCCAGTACCAATCATGGATGCTTTGAAAGAAGTGCAAAGACGTCTATTTACAAAGATTGTTAAGCGTCTGGGCTGGGAGGGTTCTGACCAAGAAGATCTTGCTAGTGGCAATTTACGTGCCTTGGCAATCCGATACGCTGGACGAGCAGGTGACCCAGAGTAAGTTGAATATTGCGGCCCCTAAAGAAAAGAAAAGCTACAGTGCACTCAATGTTTTTTCACTATGCTATCTGCGGTATTAGGATTGTTAGTGAGGCTCGGAGGCGTTTCAGGATCTTCATGAATAACCGTGATATGTCGGCGATTCCCCCTGATCTGCGGTTCCCAGTCTTTGAGATTGTTCTTCGAACGACCACTGGGGTAGAGGAGTACGAAGCGGTTGTTAATTTTTACCGCGAGTCATATATGCCTGGAGATAAGGTTGTAGCCCTTACTGTGTTGGGATATGGCCACTCCACAGAGCTTATTCGTAGGACATTAGCATTTGCCATGTCGCCTGAGGTCCGTACACAAGACATCTTAACCGCAATTTCTACTCTTCGGTCATCTGTCGAGGGTAGAGCGGAGCTCTGGAACTTCATGAGGCTTCACTGGGACATGCTATATGAACGACACTGTGATGACATCCGATTCTTGGACTATTTTGTGCTTTTAAGCATTGGATCATTCTCGAATCTGGAGCGATATCATGAGATTCAGGAATTTTTTGCTCATAAGGATACGAGCTCATATGAAAGGATTTTGGCGACATGCTTAGAAGGTATCCGGATGCATATTCTGTGGCTGGAGAGAGATAAGGCAGATGTTGAGCAATGGTTACGGGCCAATGGATATTTGATGGTGAATGTTGATAGTACAGGGAGGCATAATCAAGCTTTGCCTACAGTAATTGATGCTGGTGATATTGTGAATGACTTTCAGGTTGATCCGCAACAGCAACGTGCATTGCTTAGAGAAAAGCTTGTGTTGGGAGAAGTTGGACGGAGTATGAGTAGCAGTTCTGGAGATGGGTTTTCATCAGTGGAAACATGTCCAACGCTAGAATCGAGATTGGGCTCTTCTGCCACATCATCGTGCTCTTCATCGCCTGGAGGATATCAGCAACATGTTCAGCACCAACAACACCATTATAGACACCAGAAACTTAACGAGGACCATCACCATCATCACTCCCAGGAATATTCGCAGCATATACTTTATTCACAACAAGATCCATGTATTCAAATAAATACTGGTTATCTTGAGAGACCAGAAGAAGATCAGGCCCAGACGCTACAGCTCTTTCAGCAGCAACAACAGCCTGGACCCGATGGGACAGATCCAGGTGAATATGTTCAACAGGTGAACCAAATGGTTATGCAGTTGCGAGTTAGCAGCGAGAAGGACGTTTGAAATAGAGAGCAATTAAAGAAATTTCCTTTTACACTTTCTCTTTATTTTCTGAATGTAATTGGGCGTCAAAGATACAGCTATAGATTTTATCAGGAGATTGACTATGTTAACTTGACAATACATTTCACCGTTAGACTGGTTTTATTTGCTAAAAATGGAAATATTATTGTTTGACATGGGATTTTTGTTCATTTCTTGTCTCAATAACAAATTTCATGTGGAGCAAACTAAGATTACTCACGGAGGCCACGGTATGAACGAAAAGCAACAGTTACAAGAGCATCAGAACGTGCGACCAGGACAGATTCGCTCATCACAACCATTGCCCATTGATTATCATCAGAATCAGCAGCGATCACTGCGGCCGCAGTTGACGGGACAGGTGTACGGTCGTTATTCATCACAAATGCCACGACAACCTCGTGTACCAAATCCACAGCGTGTGGGACACTCACAGTCACAGTTGGCGGATCAAGTTTATGGTCGTTATTCATCTCAAGCACCACGACGGCCTTGGGCGCCAAATTCACAGCGCACGGTCCACTCACAGCCGCAATTTCAAGGGCAGGAGCAAGGCAACGGACGACAGCAATTTGGGTTTAGACCACAGAACTATGTCTCCCGAACCCCAGGCTCACACGATGGAAATTATACAAATGAGAGAGAAGCATCTGGAAGCCAGGACTATCATAAACATGGACAAGCACGAAGACCAACATATAAAAACGTTATCCACCCCATCAAACGACGTTGGGATCGCTATCAAGACCAAAAAAAAGGTTACAAGCGTGACAAAAATCTTTGTTCATATCATAATTTCCAATTCCATTACAAGGACAATCATTGATTCTAATGAGCCTTATTATAGACAATTTTACGATTATGACATACAATCTCTTGGCGGACAGCCTTGCCAGAAGCAACTCATCCCTCTACCAAGGCTACGGAAGTCATTCTGTTATGTGGAAGTATAGAAAGCAGACACTGCTTCGCGAGCTCGGACATCTAGGAGGTGTGTCTTCATCACTTTGTATCGATTCGGGCGATATTATATTACTAGACAGGAAAAGCCTTCTTTTTTTTCTTCAATATATACTAAGTATATTGGGTTTTCTCCGACTAACATTTAATATACATAGCGCATACATTCGACTTTTATTGTTTCCAAGAACTCGATTTCATGCATTTTGAAAAAGACTTTTCTGAACAATTTCAAAAATGGGGCTACACCGGCGTGTACAAAAAGCGGAATGGAGACAAGATTGACGGCTGCGCGCTCTTTTATCGCAATAAGACGTAAATGATAATGAACTGCATACGCTTGGATTAACAAAAAAAAAAAAAAAAAAAAAGGATAGATGTTGATTTCTCTTTAGTGTCCAGCCCATCTCTATTCATCTGCTAGATTATAATCGATACGATCCAGAGTATCGTGATAATGTCGGAATTGTTGGGCTGTTTGATATCAAGCAAGGTATAGGGTGCTAGCGTCTATTCATTCAACTACAATAGAACGACTCTAGCTGAAGTTGACTGTCTTTTTTTCTCGCCTTCCAATTAATAGGAGAACACACTAAGCGAGTTTGTATAGCAACGACCCATATTCTGTTCAATCCCAAACAGGGCATGCGGAAGATTGCGCAGTTGCGGATCCTTCTTACAAAGGCAAAGGAGCTTATCGATAACGATGAAACAGAGCCGCCACTTGGTAAAGCCGGAGCGATACGAGTGTGTATAATTTTTTTTTTTTTTTTTTTTTTTTTTTGAATGATATACTAAGATTTTTTCATTTTATCACAGTTCTCTGTGGAGATTTAAATGCTTTACCACATAGTACAGTGATTAATTTCTTGACTCAAGGTAAACTGCCTTCCAAGGCTCGCTTCACTAACAATCTATTTTGGCAATTAAATTGCATGTCATAACCTTTTTTTTTTTTTTTTTTTTTTTTTTTTCATCTCTGAAGACTTCGTGGATGTTTCTAAATTGCCGGATAAGTTGTTGTCTGGACAGAACAAAGGAGATGTATCCAATGAAGGGTATTATGATAACGATATCTCTCACTTTCATGCTGTCTTTGGCGACAATGAAGCCACTTGTTGGATACGTAAACCTGAGGTGGAACGTGCGAACACAAACATTATGAAAATACAGCCTCAAATGTGTGCCTCAACGCTGCCAACAACATCTGTTAATACCCATCTATTTGCAAAAGATATGATGGAGTATAAAGATGGACAAGGACCTTCAACAATTACAACCATCAGTATTAGCAGTGATATTGAACTGTTCAATTCCGTCAAGGTGCCTCCGACAGATCCTTGCTCCGGACCAAATATGAGGCATACCGATGTGATGAAAGGTGTGCGTGCATGTCCGCTCCTCTCCCAGCCGTTCTCATTACAGAGTGCATATGATATTTCAGCTATACCGATGTACAGACGAGACGGTGTCCCTTGGACGCATCCTGGAGAGACGTTCACCACATTTCATCGGCGGGCTCGAGAAATATGTGATTACATCTTCTATGGCCATCTTCGGCCAAATGTATCGAGTACTGAAAAGCAATCCTCAAAGCTGAGACTTCTAGGTTGTCTGGATTTACCATGCCAACTTATTGCTAATGAACGAGGTTTGCCGACAAGAGACTTTGGGTCGGATCATCTGTCATTGGTGAGTAAATTCCAGTTCATATAGACTGTCTCGGTGTGAGATGATCATCATGACATGGGGACCGCGTGATATCGGGAACGGTAGTTATATTACATTTATTCCAGACAATCCGAATTATATTGTACAGGCATTTTTCTTTCTTTTTTTACGCCTCTTCACCACATGCAAGCAGACAATTCATTCCAGTGATCCAGAATATGTTTACACACTTTTGAAAAAATAAAGACAGCGAGCCGTCAAAACAAAAAAATAAAAATAAAAATAAAAATAAAAAAAGTGTTGTACATTAAGGTGAATCCAGAAGCTATTTTATTTAGTTTTTGCTTGACTCGGGGTTGACGTTCATCTACAAATTGATAACATAGACATGGTTAGACAAAAAATATACAACGACTTCATACTTTTATTCATGAAATTTCACAATTTCTTCACTTACGCGACGCTTTCCGCCAGGAGCGTTGGTGATGTTGACAAATCTGCGCTTGTAGGTTTCGCGCTTCTTGGCACGACCTAATGATGGTTATGAATTGAGAGCTCTGTTAATAGACTGAAGTAAAAAAAAAAGTCTAGTATGCCGCAGCAACTACTTGTTATTGTTCTGCGACTGATTTGTTAAGGATTGGGAGACAATGCACACAGCATACCAGTGAGCTTCTTTTTCTTCTCCTGCTTGGCAACCTTTGGAGTTTGCGACTTGACCTTACCGGCACGAGCCAATGAACCGTGAACCTTACCCTATTGATCGCCAAAAATTTCACCATATGCAATACAAATGGATACAGAGTACAGAGTTGTGGTGTTAAGAACCGTGCTTATGAAGTCATGATTGCTGTTTAGCTGGATTTGTCGAGACTGTTCCAGATAGGAAGGCCAGATTGGTGAAGAGGTGGCTCCGGTATGCCTCTACTTTTTTCCCTTTCTTCTCTTTGGCTTTGTGAGTCTTTCCTTTCTGCTTTTAGATTTCAAGGCTGTATCTTAATTCCAGTGTTATTTTGACAAATAGGTTTGACAATATTTCCGAAAGGGGCTATCGGTCAAGGCACACCTTTATAACAAAATGAAGCAGAATTGGTTTCCCCATATATTCCTCAGGAGATTGACTGCAAAAAAAAAAAAAAAAAAAAAAAATTCGTTGTGGGAGTCGGATTCTGTCCATATGTTTTCAAGAATATAATTGCTCATTGCCAACTCTGTTGAATGAATCATAGTGCCATCACCATGTCTATAGATTTATGCAATTTTTTTTTTCCCTTTTTCTCCCGGCTACTCTGATCCAATGGTATACTGATAGATTCCCTCTCTAATTCATCTATCTATATTGATTTTTAAGACGTTCTCCGATCCTGATAATACATCGATAATGATTTTTGATTGATCGATGGATGGCTGATAATCCCATCGCAAAAGCGGATGGATACTCCTCGTACCATGTTGAAAAAGACTTGGAAATATTGCAGACAAGAGAGAGAATAGAATTTTAAAAGGACATTTTTTTAAACATGGGTAGCATTCACGTGACAAGGCCCTTTTTTTTGGACGGTTTAGTTTTGTTTCTATCTTACGCGTCGCAAAGCAAATCTTAGCACAGAAATATGACCCTGGTATTAGACAGATATGGTGCAGACGATGACTATGAGCGGCCGTGCGATTTTTCTGATGAAATTTAGAGCGACCAAGGAGGCGACGACGAGTATGGTGGCTGTTACGTCCTAAACCTTCCTGGTGCACTTTCATTTTTATTCACATGGTAAACATTCTGTCGTGGTTGTGGTTGTGACGAGGCTAATAAAGCCCGTCCGGAAACAATAAACAACAACCCCTAATCTCCTTGACTCATTTCTTACCATATTGTTCGAATTACAAGGATTGCTTTCCTTTCCTTCCTTTTAGATTTTTTAAACCTTTCTTTTAATTATCTTATATCTATGGGTGCAACTGTTAATTGAAGGGATTGTGTGTAAGAGAATTAAAAAAAAAGCCATTGCAAAAAGCACACCAAGAGTCATCCTGAATGTGGTTATCCTCCGCTCACGGGTGGGATGATTGCAATTTCATCACCAGGTTGGACAGTCCAAGCCTGGTCTTGATCCATATACTCCATGTTGACAGCAAACATGGATGTTTTGAGTACAGTTGCAAGAGCAGGATGGCGGTCTAGAAGTAATTGAGACAGATCTTGGGAAGTAATACCTTCGACCCATTCAAACTTATCGCTATCAGTCTTGGAAGCATCCTTTGCTGAAGCAAAGTAGAGAACTGTAAACTGAAAGGATATGAATACAGAGCCGAAGTAGATAGAGTGATCAATTTTGTAGAAAAAAGTAAAGAGCAGACGTATCCTATTAGGCCTAGTTAAACTTGATTAGAATGAATACTTACATGTGGCATGAGGAGAAATACAAAGCAATGAGCAAAGAGATGAAGAGTGAAGAAAGATCAAATACACTATATTAAGAAACCTCGCGTCGCCAGTGCGCAGAGATTGACGGATGTAATATGTGGAGTCAGCGAGGTTGGGTGGGTTGTGGGGAAGTAGTGTAGGATATAACACTTTTTCTAAATGACGTTTTTTTTCAGGAATTAGCACTTTGGATTTCGGGAAGGTGCCTCTTGATCTTATTTGTGATCCTTGCATTGATTTCACTTCATTCTTACCCGACCCAGACACATATCTCGACATCATGTTGCATCTGCTCGGAGTCAACTTGCCTGACCAGAAGTTAGTTGTGAGTAAAAAAAAAATAATAATCATCATCTTTGGGGCATGGCAACAGCAGGAGCAAAATTTGTGGATCTAGATCGGACAAGAAGGCATAAGACAACATATATGATCGGATTAAATGTTGACTGGAGATACAGAATCTAAATAGATGATCCTGTATGAGAATCCTATAATATATATGCTTATGGTTACAGCGATAATCATCTCTTAGTTATTGCGATCCATGCAACCACTGTTCAGCTTAAATTTTTAAGTGTCATGAAAAGTACTCAAACATGGAAGTTTACAAGCTAAGCTACGAATCGGAGTATCAGATGCCATCTTCGCGCAACATAGGAGACATATGACAGGATGGAAGCGCAAATCACTCTGTACAAGCAATCTGATTCGAACTCATTCTTTTTCGCTATCCATGGCAAACACTCTATAGCAATATGCCCTTCCTCTCTTCTATGGCATTGGACAAAAGACTTCAGTCAAGATCCTCGCTGCTCTATCGATCCACAAGACATGCAAAATTTCAGACCTATCAGAGCCTCAGATCAATCAGCTTTCCGCTCTTCTCTCGGATATGAAGATTGAGTCCGATCTTCGCAAGCAGATTCGCGCCAATATTATGCACCATCGCACGATTGGATCATATGTGGGTCGTCGTCATGCCATGGGGCTGCCTGTTCGCGGACAAAACACTAGGAGCAATGCAATGACTGCTCGTAAATTGAATGGAAGATGGCTCAAGGCCGAGAAGAGAGAGTACTCTTCCTCAGTGAGGTGAGAAAAGGAGTTTATTTCATCTCAAAGGATCTACTAGTGATAATCATGGATGGAAATGAAAGCTGCCACCGACTTATACAAAGTTTTCTACATTTTTTTTTTTTTTTTTTTTTAGCTCTATCTTGCCATCCTCCAATTCACCATTTGCTAATTTCTTCAATCGTAAATGGTTTTAAACGGAATCGAGACTTCATACTTAAACTCGTTTTAATTTACCTCGTCATCTCATCCGTCATCGACTACACCATATTCAAGTGCATGCCACCCTTGATTTGTCATTCTTCTACTGTTCTTTTTACCACCACTCATCCTTTGTATACTTATGTTTCTAGAGAAATAAAAAATATTGCATAAAACACAGGCTAATTGATTTCTGATTATCCGTGAAACATGAGCTGAAAGCTCTTCTTGCGTTTCCTTCACAAAGACGAATCTATCAAGTACAAGCCACTATTAATTGAGTATGAAAAAAAGAAAAAAAAAAAAGTCTCACGCATAAAGCTCTCCTTTGCATGCAACTAGAAAACCTAATTTGACAGACGGAACAAATGTCAGGAGCAGACAAAAAGCGCGCATTGGTACTCATTGCCGATGGTACTGAGGAAATGGAGGCTGTCATTACAAGTAAGTCCTCTCTCACTCATAAAATTTTACGAGGAAAAAGAGAAAAAGTCTAACCTCTCTCATAACTCAAATAGTCGATGTCCTTGTCCGAGGTGGTATCGAAGTCACTGTTGCCAGCACCAACCCCAGTGAATCTACATCTGAGAGCGTGAAATGTTCACGTGGTGTGCGTATTGTTCCAGACACTCACCTCTCAGCCCTTCCACTTCCCACGCCCTCGCCATCCTCTACCGTCACTGCCACTGATGACGCGTCACTCTATTATGATGTCTTGTTCATCCCTGGAGGCGGGCCAGGCGCTCAAAGCATGGCAGCGTCACCATTGGTCCATAAGTGGATTCAGGCTCATATCACAAAACCAAGTGTGTTAGTGGCAGCTGTTTGTGCAGGCCCTACAGTACTCCGAGCAGCTGGCGTGGCCAAAGGAGCCCAAGTAACATCGCATCCAAGCGTTAAAAATGATCTTCAAGATTATTTCGACTATCGGGATGATGTCAGCGGGAGTGCCATTGTTGTGAAGGATGAAAAGAACAGGCTGTTGACGAGCCGAGGCCCTGGCTCGACATTTGAGCTAGCACTTAAAATCGTTCAAGAAGTTCGTGGGAAAGATGTGATGGAGTCTGTGCGGGCGCCTTTGATGTTCCCATAAGATTAAAGAAGAAGGAATCTTCAGCAGAAAAAAACAACAATATGTATTTGTTTCTGAATGCACAACCGTATTGTGATAAATGAAAGGCTTTTTATTACTTTATAAAATAATGGGAATCTTTTGTGTGTGCATGAAAAAGAAAAAAAAAAAGGTTCATTTTACAACTACAGAATTGAACAACCATGCCTGCGCATTTTTGAGATCCGAGATTGCATTGCAATCTTGATAGCTGCCTGGAAGACTTCTGCGAGACCCTTACGTGTCATGGCAGAACACTCGTAATGTTTGCAATGTAGGTCTGCTGCGACCAATGCTCCCTAGAATAATATGAAGCGATCAGGGATTTCGATATTTAGACCAATCACGAAGATAAAGGATTCTTTTTTTGGCATGTTTCTCTTGACAACTATATTATTCTAAGTGGTGCATTCTCTTCAGAAAAAGATATAAATATAAAACAAAACTTACTTGCTCTGTTGACACAAATTGATCTTTGTCTTCCTCCTTAGCTGTGTCCCTCAAATCGGCCTTGAGGCCTACAACAATTTTAGGAACATTCTCCAAGAAATGTTGTAGCTCTGGGTGCCATTTCTCTCTGATGTTGTCCAGACTTGATGGTGAATCCACAGCGTAGCACATCAGAACAACGTCAGACTCTGGGTAGGATAGTGGACGTAAGCGATCATAATCTTCCTGGCCCGCTGTGTCCCATAGGGACAATTCGATTTGCTGTTTACCGTGGGTGACCACCATTGTGTAGTTTTCAAAAACTGTTGGTACATATTTCTAAAAAGAAAAAGGAAAAAAAAAAAAAAAAAAGCTTTTATTAGATATTTTTGTCATTGAATGATATACGCGAAAGTTGGCGGCATATTGGCTGTGTATTCAAAGGAAAAAAAGAAAAAAAAAGAAAGAATAAGTCGGGACGATTAGATGGTACCCGAGAGTCCTTTGCTCACTTGCTTTACCTGCGGAAATTCATTTTTTGAATGAACCATTAACATACATGTCTTTCCGCATGCACCATCTCCAACAACGACAAGCTTCTTTCTAATGTCTGGCTATTATTGAAGGAGTGGAGAAGAAATGTCAATATCTATAAGATTGAAGAATAGTTTGGCAAATATACAAATTGATCTTGACATATTCCTTGACATCAAAGAGCTCTGCCTGTGAATAATGATAAAAATGCACTTACCATGTCTCGCGTATATTTATCTGTCCTTGACTGATGTAGACGCGTCTTTGTTTTATTTTTGTTGTTGTTATTGCTGTTGTTGTTAATGAAGAGCTGTGCTGCCTATGAGATATGGTTATAATATAAAGTTTATAATACAGGGTTGTTTTGTAAATAAAATGGGTCCGGTTAAGGAGGTATTGGATGGAGGAGACGAATGGGTGTGGGTACTGCGCTTTATGAATAGAAGAATCCAGGCACCATGATTGATGCTGAAAGACGCAGTTCATTTTTTTTTTTTTTTTTTTTTTTTTTTTTTTTAATACGATGATACAGGTATTTCAAATTTGACGACGTTGGGATGTTGGAATACAGTTTCTAGATAAGAGACAAAACCAAAGTAAAAAAGGGGAGAACAATAGACATATTTGATGTTCGATGTCCCACAATTCACTGCAGGTCAGAACTAGCATATTTGCATAAAGGAAGAAAAAAAAAAAAAAAAAAAACCAAGGAAACCATTGTCATCCAGTATTGAATAGGTTTGGCTGAATGTGATGGCGCGTTTATTGCCTCTCTCCTCCTTCTCCCTACTATTCTCCTCTACTGAGTGTGTGTGTATGTTTTTTTTTTTTTTTTTTTTTTTCTTTTCTTTGGCAGGTAACAGTGTAATAAACAGATTAGGCAGGCACATTAAGTTAGGGGGAGCCCTGCTGGCCAAAAAAAAAAAAAAAAAAAAAAAAAAAAAAGTACATCAGGGTGCAAAGAGGGCGAGAGTGGACACAGGGGGCTGTAAGGCAATATTTGTAATGTAGGCCGTCTACAAGTTTAATTCCTCTTACCAATAATAAAATTAGACAGAACAGGGATTGGACTATTGAGGCAGTCGAAAAAGAAACAAATATATATAAAAAGTCCACAATGCTTGGATTAACAAAGTTCTTATATGTGTGAAGATAGTCTTAATGGGGTCCGTGGCTATTGTGTAAAAGTCAGGCAACGGTAGAGCCAGAGAATCAGAAACTGGGCTGCATACCTTTTTTTATATGCTTGGGAACGCACTCGTTGACATCATGTTCTACGATCACTTTCTTCGTTTTATCGCCGCATTTTATCATCTTTCCTCCTTGACCTGTCATCCTACTTCATCCCAATTACTGTAATGTGCAAACTCATATATGCATAGACTTACAAAAAGACCATTTAGCAGTATCGCCAGGGTCGATAGGAACAAATGTCTTCTCCGCACTTGAATTAGACTTCTGGTTCTTTTTTTTTTTTTTTTTTTTTTTTTTTACCCTTTCGCAAGGCTCCATTCGGAGTATTTCAAACCGAAGTAGTACCCGTATATCATATACTGTGAGGGTTCAAGCGACTCTTCTTTTAAAAGTTATAATTTTTTTCCATGATATGTATATATAAAGATCAATTTGTATTAGGTGTGTAATGGACGTTTTCTTTACTTTTTAAAAACATTTTTCAGCTTCATCAACGTGGATGTTTTTGGTTGTTGATTTTGAGGCAAACAATTCACATTACTGTTGCCATTTATGTTCCCTCTTGTTTCTCTGTCCTTTCCTCCGCGTCTCATTCCAGATCCACTAGAGGAATGTATAAATGCACCCGCCAGAGCACCACCGCTCCCGATGTAACCTGCATAATAAGGCTTTGATGTAGGCAAAGGAGATATTGATGTCTTTTCTTCGTCCATGTGCTTCCCTCTCCCATCAGCTTTGGAACCATCCCTTGGTTTTGCTGGTAGCTGAGTCTGCTCATCCTTATCGATATCATTCACATAAATATCCTCGTTTTCGCCATCGCGAGCTCGCACAACAACTTTCTTCGCTTGGTCTATTGTTTGTCTTCGAAGGATCGACAGTCCTTTGGCCGAAACATCTGTATAGCGAAGGTCAATTTCAAGGTATTTTTGAAAGGAATTGAGACACGGAATTACAGAAACCGTAGGACTATCCAATGATAGGACAGCATCCTTGCCCATATCCTTATCCTTGGGTTTTTGTTTAAAAGATATGGTTGAAATGGTAGTCGCAGGAAGTCCAGATGAAGGCGTAAGAGTATTAAACAGTCTTGATGAGAATGAATCCTTCCTACGATTTCCTGAGCCCGACGTTGAAGCTGAGGCTGAAGTGAATGACGGCGAAGCCGATGCACTAGCATTATTTTCAGCCGTACCGGCAGTATTGTGGGCAGGTGGCGTAGATTCAGATACCTCTCCAAAGCGATCGACAGTTACAGAGTTTTCAGACATGTTGTTCCGGGCTCGGATCCTTTCTCCCAAATATCGAGCACAGTTATCATCAAAGCTAAAACTCACAATCTCTATTACTTCAAGCCACTGAAATCCGACGCTATCCATGATGTCAATCCAATCTTCAGAAGGCACTCTACGGAACCCATGCAGGCTTAGAGTCGACAGGTGCTCGAGTCGCGACAAAAAGTCTTTTAAGTAGATTACACCACTACTAGACAAAGCAGAGCAAGAGAGTCGGAGCGCTTGAAGATGCAGAGGGATGGAAGAAGAGCCGGCTAGTGGAGGCTCAAGGCTTGCTCCTAGAGAAGATGGCGCAGGCATGAAGGCAGACGCTACATCCATTGGCGACAAAGGCGGAGAAGGTGGACTCAAGGCTTTTTCAGCGCTCACAGAAGCAGCGAGCACAGCCATGGCGCGGTCGCCAAATCCAACGCCCTGAAGGTCCAGTGTGATCACACGCTGTAGGGTCAGTTCACTCAAGAGATTTGCCCAGTCTGGGTCTTTCAAGGAGTCGATGGAGCATAGTTCAAGATGAATTAAAGTTGGCTCCTCTAATATTACACCAAAGGAGAGCGAGTCAAGCCGGTACGAATGAAGTGACGCGGGTGAAGGTGCTGCAGTAGAAGGAAAGACGTTATTATCGGTAAAAGGCTCTTGGTCAAGTTTACTCGGAAGAGTTGCTCGTCCTAACACCCGTCTTAAAGCTAGGGCACCCCCGTATTCAAGGCCATTGCCATGGATGACTAAGCGCCGCAGACGGCACTGATGACTCCCAGAGAGAGGCCGAGTCCCAAGTTCTAAAGCATGTGCATGCTTATCATTAAACCCAACAAATCGAAGTTCTAAGTCCTCAAGGTGAGATCCCTCGTCTGTCAAAAAGTCTTCCAAAGCCTCTAGTAGCCTCACTTTGCCTTCAGTAGTAGTCTTGCATTCCGCCAAGAATAGTCGCACGACCCTCGAGGTCGAGATGTTGGCGGAGAGCTCCAGCTTACAATTGACACTAGCCTCACCATGATAACCGTCGTTGAGTGCGTCAGTATTAAGTTTGGGGCCAAGAACCCTGAACAAGTCTAATCGCTTTAGTCTGCGTTGGCTTGAAATACAGGCTTGCAAGATCCTGATGTGGCCTGGAATGGCATCATTGAAACCTAATGAGAGCTCTGTCAGAAGGCTGAATGCCTGCATAAACGAGAGTAGCTCCGGTATATATGTTTCATGCAGAGTGTTCCTGATCGTGGATGAGATGATACTACTGCTATCGCTGTTCTCGTTACTATGGATGCTACTGCTGCTACTGCCGTTATAAGCAAGTCCTCGGTTACCGATCTTCATGATGTTGAGAATATCAAGGTTCGAAAAATCCATGGTGCTAATATTAGGTACAGACATGAGGTCAATATTGCCCTCTAAAATGACGTGCCTGATTTTCCGATTTTTCATCAAACCGACAATGGCACTAATGGGTTGTTGTTCGTTCCCTCCTAGGGCAGGCAAGTGCTTTCTCCATGTGAGAGGCGAGACTTGTTTACTGAGCCGAATCGCAATTGTTGAAACTGTAGTCGCTTCCTGTCTTAGTAGATCTGCTAGAGTCTTGACTTGGCTCATATGAAAGTCCCAATCGATTGTAATGTCGATGCGTAAGAGCGCTCGAATCTGTGAGACAGTAACCATCCTGGTATTGAGGTGACTCTCGCTTATACCGACGAATACAGATGAGCGGGTGTATGGGTCAAATGTCGTCTGTAAGAGTTCGAGCTTCTTGGAGAAAATCTGGTCTAAATCTTTGTGATGTCGAGTGTAATACTTTTTGCAGGCCCAGTGCACTTGGCCATCGACACCAAGGACCTGGTACAGCCCGCTGCCTTTAATATGGGTGCCGCATGCAGCGATATCTGGGTTGAGAGGCATCATTGAAGTGCCTTTAGGTGTGGATGAATACAATGCTGTGTGAGTTGAACATACAGTATCCCATGGTTGGGTGTAAGGGGGTCGTTTGACAATTGCGTCCAATAATCTAAAGTCATTCGTGTCCAGGCGGTGGATTGCTTCTGCAGCTTCCTCGTCGTAGTCGTCACCTAGCAATGCCTCCATGAAAGCGATCGACTTTTCAACACTCTGTTTCAATTTGATGAATAGCTCTGGGTTCGTTTCTCTCTTTGCTGTGGCCGCTATAGCTGCGGTACCTGTATTTGGTGACACCATCCGATCAAATGCCGCGGGCACAAAAATCTCATCCAGTGATACTCCATACTGCAGCATCCGGAGCAAACTGAGGATATAATGACCAAACTTTATAATAAGCATTTGATCTGGGGACTGATCAATTCGTATTTCAAAACCTTTGCTTTCATCTATATGTACATTGCGTTTGTAACGCATCTGCCCTGGCCTTCTGTACGTATTATCGTCATCATATATTTCGTGTTCGCAACAATCACATAGGAAATACAGCCGCATTTTGTTGTGAAGAATATCCTGAGAAATCCATTGAAGCGGATATTCAGGTAAAAGGACAAATAGGGGAGGATGTGCGCATGATTCGGCGCCATATTTTTGAGTGAGAATGGTTCGACTAATGCGTTTAATGATCTCGATGCGATCGAAAACGAGGTGGCGTTCAGCAGGATCATCGATTGCAGTAACTGGTATTCTGTGGACTTCGTGCAATGCTCTAAGTTGGAATAACCCTGTATCAACTGGTTCATATGATGGAGGTGGTAAGAGCCCACTTTGGCTCTCATTTGGAGCTGAGAGTGGATATGTTGCAATGGGGTCGAGTGTTGTAGCTAGTGGAGAGGTTACGAATGATGGATTTCTTGGCGTTTGATTGGGTGCTGTGATCAGTTCTCGGGTGTAAAATCCATTTTCAGGAATAGGCTCGAGTGTTATGCTCTGTACTGTCCTCGGGGAGATCATTGTCAAAGAAGAGCCCTCAGTAGTTGTAATGGAAGGTGTGACGGATACAGATACCAGGGATGGGCCTCGTGTACTATCAGTGATAAGGGATGGTGAACGTAACCGTTTGGACAGAGGCTTCTCTTCTTCCTCTTCTTCTCGCTCTGCTTCTTCATCATTGACAGACGCCTCAGACTCTACCATGTCAAAAAAGTCCTCAATGTCGAGATTGCCAGTCTCGGCAGGGTGGCTATTGTCGGTCTTACTATCAATGTCCAGGTTTAAATCCAAGATACCAGGGATAGGATTAGTATGCACGGTGTTAACGTATGGCACAGATGCAGCTGCAGCAGCTATACGTGCGGCAGTAGCGTCTCTTGACCACTCCAGTTCACTGTTACCGGACTCAATATCAAGGACCCTATTCTCATAATAGGGGATTCGGAGAGGTTGTTTGCTGGCGTTAACGTTCATAAAGATTTGAAGGGGAGAAAAGGTATTAATTGATAAGTTCTTTTTTGTTTCTAAGCTCGTTTTTTGCTATTCTCGCTTACTTACGGGATATGGAACATGTCGGTGACATAGGGAATACGCATGCCATAGGAAGAAATGGTTTTAACGTTAGGAAAAACGAACTCAATATTGTGGAGGAAGATGCAGGGTAGACCATCCTCATCAAACGAAACCCGGACTAGTTCCTGAACACCACGTTGCTCGAACATTTGATATTCGTCCATACTAGGGTATAAGGATATAATAGAGGGGAAAGAGGGACGAGATATGCAGGGGAAGAGGGAAAGGAAGGGAGAGAGGAAAATTTTTTTATTTTTTCATGGAACAGGTAAATTTCTTATTTCTAAGAGAAATTAGACTAGTATTATGAGTATAATGGGATGAAGGCAAGAACTGGTCAGACGAGTGAGTAGAGAAAAAGGAAGAAAGGGTGTGAATGTGAGAAGTAGGAACGGAAAATGGGGAGGGAGCATGAAGAGTTGTATATATTTACCTTTTTTTTGCCTTTTTTGAATGGTATTTATACATTCGCCCTCAACAATCGATAAAAAAAAATGGTGCGACAGTTATAATTGATCGAGAGGAGAAGGTGAAATAACATGTGTGGGGCCGGAGAAAAGAGTAGACAGGGCCAACAAAAAAGGTATGGTCGGCTATGGTTTTTATCATCGTCCAAAAAACACTGGCTCCTTCCATCCACAATGGTAAGGGGAAAATCAACGCTCACTTGTATACTCATTTACTCATAAAAACAAAGGATTGTGCACAATGCTTAATATTAACCTTGTTTGCTTCCCTTGCTTCTTCCACATGATATGTATATTGTGTTTTTGTCGACTGTGCTGCTGGTGAGAGCACTGTGCACCAGATGAGCTTCCTTCATATGTTGAAAATAATTGGGTGTCCAGCTATATATCCCATTAAAACAAGGGTGTAGAAACTTGTTTAGAAAAAAAGAAGGTCTGGATTGGGCTGTGCTCTTCATTGTTTCTGTTCAATTGCGGGCTGTCCCTGTGGCATGTGCACGGCGGAAAATCTTTGCAGCATTTGCAGCACATATCCGTTAATTGAGCATTGTATCAAAGACACGCGTTATCGTGTATACGAAATGCAGTCACGTTTTTTTTTTTTTTTTTTTTTTTTGCATTCCTTTAATGTCATGTTCTTGAGTCCACATGTTGATCGACTTTTTATAACTTTGGAATCGTCCACTTTTACCCTCGACTATAGCAGTGGTTAGCTTCTAGATCTATCCCAATATCCACCACATACTATTCACCATGGATATAAACCCCTCTAATAACCGACTCTCACGCATGCAACAAGAGCATGAAAGCGTCATTCGACAACGACACCAAGCACCTGAGACAGAGGAAGACCTACTGGCTATGCAGGAGGAATTCCTCAAAACTAACGATAGACCTGCAGCGGCTGTTATCAGAGTCAAGCCCCCAGCTGTAACAAGCGATGCTACAGCAGGACGTGCGTCTATACAAGACGATGCTGACGCTGAAGACATACCTCCCCCTCTAGAGAGGGATATTGTATCACTAGACAGTGACCAATTGCCTCTACATCCTCCTCAGGTCCAAGCTTCAGCTTCAAAGCCCAGAGTAGGGTCAAAGTTCCTGCAGGACAGGGCAAATAAAGGACCACGGACACATTTTGCTACTCCTGTTGGTGAGCGGTTCGAGATCAATCTTAATGATGACAACGACACAACGGGGTCAACTGAGGAAAGGAAGAATATACACGGTCGTCACAATAGTATACATGATGAAATTGAAACAGAAGAAGAAACACTTAGAAGGCTGAACACTGCAGGCCCTTCAATGGGCCAAATCTTGCATGAAGTGCTGGAAAAACCTGCTGGAGAAGCTATAGCACCTTTAGGACCAACGACAACACCAGGACTGCTCGAACCAACAGCACATGCAGCAAAAGGAGGATTTAAGGGGAAAAGCCTGTTTGCAAGGCGACTTGCTGAAGCACAGGGAGTGGTATCAACCTCTCAAATTACGGAAGAGCCAAGCGCAAGTGGAAGTTCAACTTATACCCCAAGCTCAAGCCTTCCAAGTTCAGCGGCATACACTTCGTTCATGTCGAGGGCTGAGCAAAGCAGGAGTCCTTCTAAGGATGTTGTATCTTCCCCAATTGCAGGTATGAATGCACTAAAGAACACGACATTTTTTTTCTACTCAACATGAAACTCCACTGATGCAGTACTTTTTTTTTTTTTTTTTTTTTTTTTTTCACATAGATGATGCTGTACCAGTCAGATCTCTCAGACCTACAACCAAAGTAAGCACAAGGCCAGCTAGCTTTAGCGGAAGGGCATCCAGTAAGTCCTAGAGACAGGTTGACTTGATATCCAGCAGAGTCAATATTTATTCTGGTTTAACACGATGGCTTGTGTAATACTAATAGAAATTTAATTTCAACCTTTGTATACTCCACTAAAGGTGCATCTACGAAAACGAGCCCTCCACTACATTCTGTTCTTAAAAAAACTCCAGATTCACCTCATACCACACTGATGGAACAGATTGACGAAGAGAACAAGCAGAAACTTGCTAACATGTCTCAACAGGAGATCGAAGAAGAACGGGCAGAGTTACTGCGAAACCTAGACCCAGAGCTTGTCAAAAAGTTCATGAGACGAAGCATGGTCAAGAGGCGAGTCAGTTTTTCAGAAGGAATTAAAGTGGAAGATAAAGTCCTCAAAATGCACGACATCAAGAGCGGACGCTCTGGTTCTGGATTTCAGGCAAAGCGACATGAGGAAGAAGAAGGCGACCATCCACTCGCCATGAAGAAAAGGTACTTCTCAAATGTCCCAGCAGAGCCAGAGAAGCTGGAATGGATGGGAATCGAAGGTATAGAGGAGAGCGACGTTGGCATGAAGCATATGCCTGGCAAATCCGTAGCCCCTGGTCCACAGCCATACACTGTTAGTGAATCAGACCCGCCCGCAGCGCATTTCAGGTTTAATTTCTCAGGAAGGATAGTCAATGAAGAAGACGTCCCCGTGCACCTTGGACTTCATCACCATGGCATGGATCCTGCCAAGGCTGGTTACACACTCTCAGAGCTTCTCCATCTTATTCGGTCGACAGTGCCCAGTCAAAGAATCCTCCCACTTAATGTCGTTGCAAAAGTCATAGACAACTGCAAGGATGCTAACTTTGCGCCATTCACAGTTCGAGCAGGTATTTTGCGCTGGCTCATTGACACACTTCGTGCGCCAGTCTATATCCGCGCAGCTTTGGATGACAAGACAGACTCGGGAATTGTTGCGGCAGTCGGTGCACTTCACTCTTGGGTAATGCCGCAGACAGAGCCGGAATATCAGGATGTCTGGGAGTTGGTTGACCATCTGGATCGGGGTTATGAGCGTATTAATCTTGGATTTAAATATCAAGGCATTACACGATTCGCCAACATGGAGTTGAAGCCAGATTCTTTACAGACAAGCCAGGAGCAAGGAACAGAGACAGAGGAAACGATTGCAGCGCACGCTATATTAGCTTCCAAAGATCCTGTGGAGGGATTAATTGCGATGAGCATCATTCCTCGAATTCGGTATTTACTGGATGTTTGTCAGCTTCCTGTATTTACTAATTCGCAAATCTTGGACATTTTGCTCACAATTGTTCGAAGTAATGCAGGAGCAGCCAAAAAGGTGTTTGAGTGCGACAAGATGGTTCCAACACTCGTTCGGCAGTTTTTAGCTATTCCTTGGCCTTCAGAAAAGAGCGACTTGGAATTAGGCTGCACAGCCAAGGCAATTTCAATTTTAGACGTTGTTATCAGGTCGTCAAAGAAAGTTGCATCTGCTATCATTGAAGGAGGCCATTTAGAGCCTTTGCTACGGTTTCTAGTGGTCACACCTGAGGCTACGCTCGAGAACAAGCTCAGCTTCTTGATTCAGACTCAGGTGTTGAAGCTCTTCCGATCCTTGTGTGCCTATGGCCTCTACTGTAACGTATTAGGTGATAGCCTGCAGTCCGTTTTGCTCCAGGACTTTACACAAACCATTCTAATGAAATCCAAGACCGATTTCGACTCAACTGTAAAGTCTTTCCTGTCCATCAAGTTGTCAATGTTCTTTCAGTTTGCCGCTGTCTGGACCCATGCGGCTGCTGATGTTCATCGCACCATACCTGAACACTCGCTTTGCTGGGCACAAGCAGCAGCATTCCTGGACCCAGCCCTTGAAAGCATTATTCAATGGAAGCAATCCACTCAGTCGACGACTTTTGACTTGCGCGGCACACTTCTTGTCTCCTCAGCAGTTCGATATATAAGTACTTGGTCGCGCTATCTTTCGAGCAACCCCCCAGACAATACACAAATTTTAGAGCGCGTCTGGAACGCTCTTCAGCTTAAAGGATGGCTGAAATCCAGTGCATTTAAAGCTGTACATGGACATCTTATATCTATCATGACAGCTGTTCCTGTGCTCGATGAGCCAGCGCTACCTCATATTGGGATCACAATGACCAACCCCTCACCTTTATCGACGATTGCAGCAACTTTGTTTGAGATGTCAGTGTGCTGCGAGTATTTGAGCAGCCATCTAACAACAATGTATCATCTCGCGCGTCTTGTCACAGCACCAGCATTCATACTACAGGAAACAGTCCAAACTTTGACCTCTAATTCAGTCTTTAGTTTGGTCGAGCGTGTTAGTAAATATGAGTTGGCAATTCAGGACCAAATTCCGGGAATCCTACCGCCATGGATGGCTTTCCTTTCTCGACATGGCGTCTATTTTGCCGCTCATTGGCTGACCGCAATGGACGTACTTGTCTATCAGCAAGACCCTGAAAGCAGTTCACACATCAAACTAACGTTTTTCCCTCTTTTCCAAGTTACGGCTCTTTCCTTGCTTCAGATTGTCTTGCCAGGAGATGAATCTCTAAGCTATGATGTCTTGAAAAAGATTCTTTTCAATCCCCGCTTCTTGAGTAAGCTCCTTAGCCATAATACAAACCAAATCACAGTCGTCAAGAGGATTTTAGAACCATTATATCTACAGTGCTTCGTTCGTGGGGATTTGGACTTGGCACAATCGCAAAGCTTGTGGAGTCACGATGGTCGAGGGATCAAGAGTTTAGTCATGGATTATAATGGAATCACTGGCCAACCATTGTTTAGCTGGCTGTTCTATCCAATTGATCTATTGTACAGGAGCAAACTCACATATGTGGAGGAGTCTGGCACTTTAATTGCAGCAACATCGGTAGCGCATTGTACCCTCGACTTTGTATATTCATTACTGCAAACATTGGACGGAATTTCATTCGAACTCATATACATGGCCGCACTCAAACTTTTATCACTGGAGGGTGAAAAAGAACCATCGAGAGACGGCAGTGATGGCGATAATAATGGTGGTGAGGATGAGACAGATGGGTCTGGACAACGACCTCGAGAGAATAGAGGCGAACAGGAGGAAGAAGAAGAGGAAGAAGAAGAGGAAGAAGAAGAGGGCTTTATGGATCAGGAGGTCAATAGCACTATCAACAAATTGCTGGATCACTTTAGTACTCGTGGAGACTGTACTCTTCTGAGGGATGACACTCAGGGCCCTGGTACACTGTGTGAAAAGACGTTGTCACTATTAACGAATCCCATACCATTTTCGCAATTCATGAGAGACTTTATGGAAAACTCATTTACGACAGGTACACTTCTGCAGTTCCAGCCCACAGCAGCGCGCCTCTTGTTTCCAGCAATGGCGCTTTCGTCGCAAATGCAGCTCTTGGTATGGCAGGAATCATTTAATTTCCTTGGAAGTGTCACGACGAATTGGGAGGAAATTGATGCTGGAACGCTTCGAAGTCTGATTATGGATGATGGAGAGCATGTGACGGCGGAGGTACTTAGGCATTACTTAAAGGCAGTTGTCAGCGGTAGAGTGATCAAGCAGCGGAACCCATTATTATATTGGGTTGCAGTGCATCACCTAGCTCGTGTTGCTTTGGGACCTATTCAAATGCCATCCCCTTAGAGAAGGATGTACACGAAGCCGCGTTTTAACCTCACACAATGAAGTGAAACTTTTTTTTTTTTTTTTTTTTTTTTTGTAAAGATGATGTTTGCGTGCGAAATTTATCCAGTGGAGCATCGAGTGTACTAATGTATGAAATGTGCTCGCGGAAAAAATAAAGAAGTCAACCAAGATTATGCTGCTTATGTTTACTGATGTGTCGAGCCCCATTTAAGATATATATTGATAAGATTTTGCGAATTAACTTTGTTTGCCATACAAATCGAGGGTATGTCCAAGATAGAACGCGTACTGAAAAAGCACCATGTGCCAAGATCATCAATGTCGTTTGTAGATCTGTTGATGTTAGCTATTAAAGAGCTGCGCGTGTTCGCGTAATGCTTTTGAGTAGATCAAAGATTGATGGCGTAGAATTTGCAAATGTTTAGATCCAGATAGTGCATATTGTTACACATATTTCGTCTCTCGGTTTGTAAATACAATCGAGACTGGAGTATACCGCATGGCTTACAATAGTGGTGAAGGTTTCATTAGTTAGGGGTAAAGGGGAGCTAATATCCGGTAAGTGCTATCTGCGGAGTCGTGGATCCAAACAAACAGTTTTAAGTGCATCTGCTCTCAAGGTTTTGTTTTTTGGCAGCAAAAGTAAGTGGATTATTTTGTAGAGTGCAATAATGCCTTGTTGTAACAACTTCACTAGCAATTATTAACTCTGTTTGAGTGAAAGCTCAATTTTTAAAAACGCTTTGGAAGATATACTTTTATCAAGATTATTGAAGAGACATAGCCTGCGTTGCACAAGCTAATAGATATGGGCGCAGCAGTGGAATGTGAACCAGCTTTGTCCAAAAATTATAAGCCACCCTCGTACATCACCACACATCGCTCAGCATCACTTTTCCTTCGCGCCATTACACCCTTCTTCGTCGTATTTTTTTGACGAATTCCTTTTTAAATCATTGTTCATTTTAATTTCCTTTCTCCTCTTTTGCACTTTATCTTTCAGGCAAAGGTAATCTATTTCTCTCTTCGTTGGCTCACTTGAATTCATATATACAGATGACTGTCTAAGTGCAGTCAGTGCTTTGGAGCAAACACTTGTGGGCTTTACTTACGAATGATCACGTGAAGGAATTGTACTTGTTGCTCGTTATAAGTGCAATATATATATATATATAACAACTCCAAGTATGGGCCAAAGGGGTTATTGCAGCTATCGCTTAGACTTGACAATAAGTCCAGATCATGGGATTGAGGAATGGCTGCACTCTGACAGAGTCGACTATAAGCTGCGATGTTAATCAGCCACAATTTCGCCACCAATAATTTTTGAAATTAGTTATTTTACAGTTCGCATTTATTCGCCGATGTCTCGATTAGAAGCAGATCTTTCAAACAAAGATATGACGTTGCTGGAAGAAAGACGTAACATTGCAAAGGCAATTGTGCTAGGAGCTAATAGCGAGGAATTGATGCGAGATTGGATCCAATATGATGGACGCAACTATGAACGGTCGCCATCAGTGGTTGCGGCCTTAACAGATAGCAGCGGTAGCACTGGTGGAGGAAGGGATAACAGTGAAACTGTGAGTGTTGAAGTGAACCAATCATCCGCTCGGACATCGCCTATGGGTCGTCCACCGAACAGTCGACCACTGTCTCTTGTTTCGACGTCAGCCTCGTTCCCAGCTAGAGGAAGTAATGACTATCTAAACTATGACAACATTTTGACCCCACCTGAATGTTTCCTTGAGCGGAGACAGCTTTTGATAGATGCGCGCAAGCGTTGGCTCGAGAGTGTTGTGGGTCAACAAGGGGTGGAACGGGTAGAGGCAGCGATTTCTGCAGCAGGCGGACCGAGTGGAGCAGGAACGACGACGCATGCACTAGGGTACGGGGCAGGAGGACACCGCCGGGGCTGAAAGAGGGCTTGGAATTTGTGTTGTTTTTGAAAAAATAATAAAACTTACATCTGCTGACAAAGATCAATTCAACAAGGTGTGAAATGTGTATGTCAATGTGCATAGTCTATTGTTGCTCTCAACAGACAGCAGAATTAACACAGTTAGCAAACCAGGCTCTTACATTCGGGACAGTCGACAAAAAAAAAATTCTATTGTTTATGTGTAGAAGGTGTAGAAGATGATACACATCCGGTCAATCAATAACATATACAAGTGAATATATAATAAAAAATATATTCATTATACACAAACGTCGTAAAACATTTATAGATGTACATAATCCACATCTGGATTTTCTTTCAAGTTGTAAAAGAGCCAATCAGTTCAGAACATTCAGGAACAAGAAACAAGTGCAAGAGTAGGGTGAGACAGCGCGCGGTCTTCGGGCGAAAAAGAGAGGGGATTTTTGTTAGCGCACGGAGGAATATGCGATGCACTGTGTACCATTTAAAAACCATTCTTTTGCATCGTCGCTCTTTTTGTTTCGTTTGTTGCACTTTGGCCTCCTCCCATTCCTCTTCTTTCTCCTTCCGTCGTAACTCCTTCCTCTCTCTCTTTTAACGTCCCTTTCCTAACAGTCATTCTTGGCTCTCTTTCTCTCACTTTCCCTCTCTTTCTAACTCTCTCACACATTCTCTCTCTCTCACTCTCTTCCCTGTCTCTCGCCCTTTCTTGGCTTCGTCTCATCTACATTTTCACAAGGCCGATCCTTTCCCTTACTTTTAAAATTAGCAAAGCACTGAAGGAGAAAAAGAACGACAATAGCAGCAACAAAATGACCCACACATCAAAGTTCTCTCTTTCCTTGTTGATCGTCGCTGTAGTTCTCCTGGCGCTTGTCTCTCAGACACAGGCCCAGGCGACTACCAACGGCACCACACCGACGCCTACCAACACCAAGTGTGCTCCCCTGAATACACTCTACAAGGCTTGGGTTGCACCCTGCACCAATAACAACACTGATATTCCTGAAACAGACTCTGATGCCCGTTGGAGACCATGCATTTGCAAAGATGGTAATTCATACTAGATTCAGATCTTTTTATTTTTTTGTAATTTATTGGTCTGCTCTAAGAAGTTCATGTGTTGAAAGAGAGTGGATGCAGAAAGACGAAGGAAAAGTCGCCTGATGGAGCAAGTTTTCTACTACAGAGGATTTTTTTTTTTTTTAATTGCGATTATTATTATTATTATTGCACTGCCAATGCAGATATTGAATTTTCCAATGGAAAAAATATTTGATTAAAATGTTGAGGCAAATGAGTAGTAAAGATGGGGCTGAGAGCAATTCGTTTAGTGTGTACAAAAACAAGGGAGGAGAGATGGGGTGTGGGCAGGGGTAGAACTCGAGAAGGTACTCTTGTGAGTGGATTTGGGGTGGCAAAAATTGAGAGCACAAAGGCTTGAACTGACTTTTGTATTAAATTATATAATTCCATTGTTTTTGCCGGAAAAATAGGATTCTTCCCCCTTGCAACGGCCACCGAGCGGTGCTCGTTGAAAGAATCGCAACAGCAACTTGTGACAGCAACGTCGCTTAATGCTCTGTGCAAGGGCGTAAAGGGATATGTTGAGGCAAGCACGCAACAGTCGCAGCCCGAGTTAGGGCCTGCACTTGCTACTGTCACATCTATTGGTCAAGCTCAGGCCACGGATGTTGAGGGAGTCAACACAGGGGGCATCAGGGGTGATGCTGCCAAAATGTTGGGATCAGATAGCAAAATGATGGCAATGTTCTCTATTGCTGCAGTCGTGCTGGCCACAGCTGTTGCCTTCTAAAAAGGGGAGGACTCGAAAAAAAAATAAAAAAATAAAAAATAAAAAAAATTATAATAATAGTAATAAAAAAAAAACCAGTAAACATACAGTTGAACATTCGTCTTTAATGAAGGATAGAAGTAACATAGCACACTATGCAGTAAACCGATCAAGATAAACAGTGCTTTCGAAATGGATTTCCTTTTTCCCTTTTTCCTTTTTCAAATCTGAGTGTCAATCAAGTCAAACATGTTCTCTCATTAGTTGACACTAAGCTTTGATTTGCAATAGTTCCATGAAGTGATGTGAGCAGAGAGAGCTTTTTTTTTTTTTTTTTTTCCTTCTTTTTGTCTACATGCATAGTTTTTGATTCCTACAGACATTTTTCAGTTACCCCACTCTGTTGACATCACTGATATTCTTCAATGGTGAGTAGGATGGGAGGAATGCGGCGCGGTTTATTTCAAGAACAAAAAGAAAAAAAAAAACACAAACTGCGCTGTTCTGTCTGACAAATGCTTTGTAATCGAATATGGTTTATAAAAAAGTTAACTTGTGAGTTAACAAGTTAGTTAGTTAGTTAGTTAGTTAGTTAGTTAGTTAGTTAGTTAGTATATATAGTAGAGTAAATATAGGTATTAAGTTCGTAAAGTTAACTATCCGTGAGAAAGTTGCCCAAAAGGATTAATCAGCATTAGAATGTGTTTTGTTTTTTTTGAGACTGCTCAATTCTTTATATAAACTGATTTTTTTTTCTTTTTTTTTTTTTTTTTTTTTTTTTTTTCTTCAATCTCCTCATCGCATTCGCAATAGCAGCAACAACAACAACAAAAAAAACTTCTTCATATCCAACATGTCTGCCAAATACTTCATCAACGACCATGATGAGCACATCCTCCAAGCAAATTTCGGCACCCGTGCTATTCACGCTGGACAGCATCCTGACCCTGTTACTGGTAGGCCTTTTCTTTTCTTTTTTCTTTTCTTTTTTTTTTTTTTTTATTTTTATTTTTATTTTTTATTTTTTTTTAAATAAAAAGCATGAAAATCTCATCAATTTATATTTGATATTTACTTTGAACGATTCAATCCTGCGGCATATTGTTATAGGTGCTGTTATTCCTCCTTTATCACTCTCAACCACTTTCAAACAGCATGGAGCAGGCGAGCACAATGTAAGCTTTTTTTTTTGTGTGTGTACAATTCATTGAATTGTAATTGTTCCAACACAATATGAACCATCGATGTTTTGACTTTGAAAATGGGAGTCATGCAAGAAGAAAAAGGAATGAGCGATAAGCCAGGAGAAAAAAAAAAAAAAAAAAAAAAAAAGGGAGGATGCATTAACTGGAAAGTACTATCACCATATTTCTCAAATTCAGCATCTGATTTCAAAGATTGGTATCCTTTACCACTTTTTATACTGCAGGGTTTTTTTAAAAAAAATATTTTCAATTCATTTCTATATTTTACTATACAAATGGCGAATGTCGAATGTCGGAGGTTGGAATTGGTGTTAAAATTAAAATGCCACGAGTACCTGTGATACATTTTAAGGATTTAAAGGACTAAGACCATTTTCATCATCATCGCCATCATCATCGCCATCATCATCACTATCAGCAGTGGTCTATTTCTTGTCCGTGAGAAAAAAAAAAAAAAAAAAAAAAGGCCTGGGTCCTCACTTGATCCTCCCCCTCCATGGAGACATTGTCTGGTGGCAATTATTTTCAGTGGAGTTAATTTTTTTCTGTAAAAGTCATGGTCGTACAGTTACTGAACACGGGTCCGTGGGATAAAAAAATTTCCTTTCATGTCCTCTCTCCTCAAAAGCAAAAAAGCAAACAATCACAGTCCACTTTTTTTTTTTTTGTTTGTTTGTTTGCGCCAAAAATACAGTACATGTATTAAACACAATTTGTTATCCAAATATTCAATTATCAGGGCTTCGACTACTCACGCAGCGGAAACCCTTCTCGTCAAGCCTTTGAGTTTGCAGTCGCAGCCTTGGAAGGTGCCAAGTACGGCTTGGCCTTTTCATCTGGATCTGCCACAACAGCCACCATTGTCTCATCCTTGCCTTCAGGTTCGCACATCGTCTCTGTAAACGATGTCTACGGAGGCACATACCGCTATTTCACCAAGGTTGCTTCTGCCCTTGGTGTTGAAGTCACATTTGTTGACCTCAAGGATGCTTCCAGCATTGCTGCTGCCTTTCGCCCAAACACAAAGCTCGTCTGGGTTGAGACCCCAACGAACCCCACACTTCGTCTTGTTGATATCAAGGCTGTAGCAGAGATTGCTCATAAGCACAACACCAAGCTTGTTGTCGACAACACCTTCATGAGTCCTTTCTTCCAGAGCCCGCTTGAGCTTGGCGCTGATATTGTCGTTCACTCTGTCACTAAATACATCAACGGTCACTCAGAGTAGGTGTCTTCAAGTTGGATATTAACTGTTTAGCTTTTATAACTATCTATTAATTCGTGGTTCTGAACATGATATCTAACTTGCTTTTTATTATTATTATTATTATTATTATTATAAAAAATCATCATATCCATCATTTAGTGTTGTCATGGGTGTTGCCGTTACTTCAGATGAGCAAATCTACACCAAGCTTGCCTTCTTGCAGAACTCCATTGGAGCTGTTCCCTCAGCATTCGATTGTTTCCTCGCCAACCGTGGCTTAAAGACCCTGCACTTGCGCATGCGCCAGCATGCTACTTCGGCACAGGCCATTGCTGAGGCACTCGAGGCTTCCCCACGTGTCGAGAATGTGATCTATCCTGGTCTCCCTTCGCATCCTCAGCATGATCTGGCCAAGCGTCAACAGAGGGGCTTCGGAGGCATGATTTCATTCAGAATTAAAGGTGATCTTGCTACTGCCAATGCGTTCTTGCGTAACGTCAAGTTCTTTACTCTTGCAGAGAGTTTGGGAGGCGTCGAGTCATTGTGCGAATTGCCCGCGACCATGACTCATGGATCAGTCTCAGCTGAGGACAGAGCTGCCTTGGGCATCACTGAGAACTTGATTCGTCTGTCAGTTGGTATTGAGGACACTGAAGACTTGGTCGCCGATGTGCTCGCTGCTCTTGAAGCTGCCGTCAAACTGTAAATTACTTTCACATTGATTTCATCATTCACATTATCATCATCCAATTGTAAACATTCAAGTAGAGGCTAGACTACATCGCATTTTTTTTTTTATCAATAATATGCATTTCTATAGCTCACAACCAAACTTCGTCTCACAAACAAATTTATGAAGTTCGTTTTAATAATAAAAAAGAAATTTTTAAAAAAAAGGAGGGGATGTAGTTTCTTTTCGTTTATTTGTTCTGGCTGCTTTGTATTATGACATATTATCATGTTGAAATGAAGATCAAGACGTCATTTTTTTCATCATTTTGCCTTGTGTGGTTAAATGTCCTTCTTGTTCTCAGACTTGGTACCCTTCAACTTCTTCTCCAGAGTACTGTTCTCGTCCGCCATGCGCAAATATTCCTGCTGCTGCTGGCTGGCCTGCTTCTTCAAATTCTCTAGGTCCTGCTTGGTTGATTCATGGCTTGATGCAATCTTTTGTAAGTCCTCGAGCTCCTTCTTCAGCTTCTTCTCAGACTCAAGAAGACGTTCATATTCTTTGCTCTGTTGAGCAGCCTTTCAATGCGCAACGAAAAAAAAAAAAAAAAAAAAAAAAAAAAAAAAAAAAACAATAATCAGTCAATATCCCGGTCAACAAAGAGCTCAAAGAATAAGCATGACAGTAATGCAATGATAAATACCTGCTTCTTGACAACTTCCATCTTCTCCTCACTCTTGATCAGATCCAAGATCGTGAAAAACGTACGGTTCAAGATCAATGACAAGAACAGGGTGAAGCCGGTCAAGTACCTATAAATCGGTAAGTATATAAAAGGAAAAGATAAAGAAAATCAACCACAACTCTTTATAAAGGCCTGATAGATTGAGTATATAAAAAAGTTCATCAAAACATATATGGGTTATGCATTACATATTGCGTTGAGCATAGAAGCGTTTAGCCGCAACAGATGTATCTGTGTGAGCGTGATGATGATGATGATGATCACTGTCGCTGACAATCTCCTCAACCTTGATGACACGGTTCAAGGAATCTACAGTGTCGATAGCAATAGAAGTAAAGGTAAGTTATCGTAATATAATATAAAAACTGGTCTAAGCGCGGATAAGATCATTTGTTAACACTTTACCAAGGAAGAGAATAAACACGAAGCTATCCTCAAAAAAAAAAAAAAAAAAAAAAAAAAGAGCCGGATATTTAGTATCCACCAAAAAGAAAGAACAAACAGGGATTCAAGGATCCTCCAAACGAGATCTTACATAAAGACAATCTTCATGACATATTGGATATGAGCCATGAAGGGTGATTTTGACAAGAAATTGAGCATTCCTCTTCTCCATTTGAATGGCAGTGGGAGCTACAACAGCGAAAACAATTGACGAGCACCGGAGTTAGTTCTGCTTTTCTCACGCGACTTTTTTAAGAGTTAACAAGACGAGACATGTTGAATAGGTCAATTTGGCATACGTGTACTTACAATCAGAAAGATAAAGGTGATCATCTAGATTTTAGTTTTAAAAACACGAAATTCATTTCAGCTCAACAATTGTCATGACTAGGTGGATGCAGAATGGAGATCTAATTCTTTAATGTTCGAACACTGTGCAAATGTAAATTTGCTTACCTCTGTCATCAAGAGAGTGAAGACCATAGTGTATGGCAGCGACATGATGAGAATGTGTTTATGTGGGAGTAGTGGGAGAAAGCTTTAAAGAAATGTGGACGCGTTATTCTAAAAGGTAATGAACAGACCAAATCTTTTTTTTTTTTTTTTTTTTTTGACGCTTTTATTCTCCATGGATGTGACGTGGCGTTATTTTCGGGCCAAGGTGTTCTGTTCTTGGCTTGCTCTGACACGCACGAGAGCAATCTTGGCGAAATTCACGCGCAAAAAATTTCAGCACAGACCCAAAAAAGTACACAATTAGCTTAATGTGTTTATGTTTGTATTCAATCTAAAAGCAGCATTCACAATCAAATGGGCACTTGTCTGTTCCACCACCCTTCCCAATATTCAGATCATGGATATCAAACAATCGTAAACCATCATCTGTCCTACGCTTTGCCTTCTTCTCAAGCTCATCATCACTGTCTGGTTCGTCTCGCATACGCTTCATTTTTTGAGTCTTTGCTGCTGCTGCTGCTGCTGCCGCTGCTGCAGGTCGTTCGTTAAAAACCACAGCCTCTACCACCTTTGCACCACTCTTAGGCTTCGTTGACACCACCATCCCCGTTCGTGTACTTGCATTTCCATTTTGATCCTTGTTTTGCTGTGCTTTCTTCTTCTTCTTATCCATCAACTTGGCGATAGCTGCCTCCTCTGTTTCATTGCGTTCTTCCTCATTAAACATTAGCTCCTCTACATCCACATCTTCCTCATCTGGACTATCATCCAATGATTCGGCCATAGGGACAGTATCCTCTCCATATTCTTCTTCCTCTTCAGTATTTTGAGTTATCGGTGTATCCTGCTTCTTTCCTTTCTTCTTTCCATCTGTAGTATATGCTGGTTCTTTTGTCGGTCCTTTGTTTGAATCTTTCGAGGGTTTTTGTTCTACTTTTTTGTTCTTTAAGGGCTGTGTCAACCCAGAGGATTTTGCTCCCGTGCTGAAAATATCATCAATCTCGGAAACTTTGGAAGCTAATCATTGATTATAATATACAAAAAATATCAGTATAAAGTCCAATACAACCATAGTATGTGTGAGATACAGGCAGATATTTACTATCATTCTTAGAGGAGCCTTTGTCTTTGGGTAGAATCGGCTTACTAGCCGAGGTTTTTTTCGAGATCACTGATTTCAGAGTCTTTTTGGGGGGCATTTTGGCACAATGAGTAAAGGAATGGGAGGAAGGAGGAACTAGATCTGCATGTATTGAAATGAAGGCACAAATAGAAGTCACATTTGTCTCGGTTTCAAGAACGTCGACATGCAAAAGTCTATTATTTACTCCATCTTTTCCCGACGTCTAGCAATCAAAAAAAAAAAAAAAAAAGTTAGAACAGATAATAATGAGTGGAGCCTTCATCAGAGCAGCAGCACGGATCAACTATAGAGCCAATTCAAAGGGCCTGTAAGATTTGTAATGTCTATTGAAATAGATTAGTGTGATCACATCACTGCGCTTGGACACCATCTGAATAATTCCATTCTTTCTGTGTATATCAAACTAGATTATTATTGACTCCATCCAGAAGCAGTGCTGTTGAATTTTTGATCTGGCAACCACAGGTTTCGGCCCGGTAAAAAAACGATTAATGGTGGGATCACAAGCTAGTATCTTGCATGGAATGCAACATATATTCTAACGGATTATCTTTATTCTCGAACCTCGGATCTTTTCTCAATAGCTATCATGCTCCAACATTAAGCCAGTTTTGTCGACCCGCTTTCTATAGTACCTCCAGCCCAGAACCCGCTAAGGATAAGAAAGCGACAGGTTATGTTCACCCTGCACCTGCACCTCTATCTGATCTCACTAAACCAATCAGCGCGGGCACTGTTGGATCAGTCGATCCTGAGAACAGTCTCAGCATTACAGCTACGCCTCCATCACCAGCTTCTACAGGGATCTCTGGAAAAGCCAAAGATTTCTTCCGCAAGGGCAAGGAAATTGTAATTCAGTGCAAGGATGGCGTTAAACTCTTATGGGTCAACAAAAAGATTGTCAAGGATCTCAAACAAGCACAAAGAGAGGAGGGCCATCAACTGACACGCCGTGAGTTTCAACTGGTCAGTATACACAATCTTTTTTTTCTTCTAAAAACATATGTAGTATAGCAACTTGTTTCGCTGTTTCGCTGATATATATTTACTTGCGCTTGCCTTGGTTCATGATCAATTTGATATAGATCCACAAAACTGACGCCGACATCAAGCGGCTGATTCCATTCGGTTTAATATTTGTTTTGGCAACTGAGTACATCCCCTTGATTATCATCTTTGCTCCTCAGTTAATCCCTTCGACATGTATTACTCCCTCACAGCTGGTATATTCCCAATGGTTTTTTTATTTTTATTTTTTATTTTTTTTTAGTCCTAATGATTACTTTTTAAATGTAGATTGACGCTGTTGAAATGGTTAAATATGATAGGAAGGACGTCGTAAAAAGATTCACGAAAAGCGAAGTGCTATGACTGAGAAGCTGATTCTTTTGAACCGTCGTGAGGTATGTGGACATCACGGGTTTCTTTTTTTTTTTTTTTTTTTTTTTTTTTTTTTTTTTAAAGTTAAAATTGGATCAAGGATGTATGCATTATAACCGGCATTTCCTTATCTTTCCCTATATTTCCCTATTACAGATCAATAAGGAAGCTCTCGCAAGTTACAACTCCTTTTTAACCGTGGCCAAGAAGTATGGTGATGCATTTGAGTACAGCATGATTGATCGGGCACACTTGGCTTCATTCTGCAGGTGAGTTGTTTATGATCTCAAAAAGTGAAAGAGAGGAAGGGAGGGAAATATTATGCTGGGTGTTCCTTGGTTTATTTTGTCCATAATAATGATGATTGACTGCTTTGTCCTTAATGTTTTCGATTTTGTCTAGATTCATGGGATTGAGTGGCTTCGGACCTAGCTTCATGCTACGTAAACGATTGGACAAGTATATGGGATATATCAAGCAGGATGATCTTTTACTTCAAAAGGAAGGAATCGATTCTTTAACGTTTTCTGAGTTGCAGTTAGCAAACGAGGAACGAGGTATGCGGTCATTAGGGGTCAGTAAGGAGCATCTAGAGAAGTCACTCACATACTGGCTGAAGATTAACCTGAACAAGGATGTGGAGGTTCCGCCTGCATTGATGGTCTTTAGTAGGATGTTTTTATTACACTCCACGTTTAAATCAGACTCTGCTGTTAGTAAGCCATAATCCGTTTACATATTCACGATATAGACGATCCTTTTTTTAAATAAAAAGTTGGAGAATGAAGGATGGAATGAAAATTTGAGCACGTCCCTTTTGCAACCTTCCCACGAAGAGTGTGACCCAAGAATTTTTTGATGGCATTGTCCAGTGATTCATTCTGACATTAAAATAAATGTTTTTTCCTTTTTGAAAAAAATTATTTTATCTCTGCCCTGCAACACTTGTCCATTAATCACTTCACATTTCAATTCTTAATACTTCCTTCCTTCCTTCCTTTCATTCATTCCTTTCATTCATTCCTTTCATTCATTCCTTTCATTCGTTCCATTCACCTCATTTCCTCTCCTTTACTTTGTGATTCAATTCAGCATGACTCAGAAACAAGTAGAACACAAGAAGATCAGAGTTGGAGTGTTAGGTAAGAATGGACATGAGTTGATCTGTTCATGCGTAACAATACTTTGACCGTTAGACTTTTCCATTTGAGGCAGTCTCAGTGACTCACATACCCATCCAATACAATTTATCAAATGCGCAGCTCTCCAGGGTGCATTCGCCGAGCATATAATTCTCCTTAACACCCTTCCACAAGTCTCCGAAGCCGTTGCAGTACGGAACGCACAAGAGATCAATCAGGTGGATGCCCTTGTTATCCCAGGAGGTGAATCTACAACGATGGCCCTGATTGCTGAGCGCTCTGGATTCTGGCCCGCTCTTCAGGAGTATGTGAGAAGCCGTCCTACATGGGGTACCTGTGCTGGTATGATCCTCCTGTCTGAATGTGTCACATCTGGAGGAACTCTTAAGGGTGATCAAAAGCTACTTGGAGGCCTTGGTATTAGTATCAAGCGCAATGCCTTTGGGACGCAGAAGGAAAGTTTTGAGGCTGGACTTCATGTTGAAGGTTTAGAGAATGCAGAGAAATTGTTTCCTGGTGTGTTTATTCGAGCACCAGTGATTGATGAAATTTTAGAGAAGGCAGATGTCCAGATCGTGGCAACGTTGCAGAGGGACTATGGCAAGACGCCCAAGGGAACCATTGTTGCTGTCAAGAGAGGACATCTCCTTGGGACCGCTTTCCATCCAGAATTGACACACGATAGTCGGATGCATCAATTCTTTGTTCAGATGGCGCAAGAATGGATTGCTTCGCATTAATATCACCTTTCAATTAAACAATTAAAGCCAGCAATATAGAGTTTTCAAAGATAATATCGATTTATTTTAATTTTCCCTTTCTGCATATTTAACACTACAAATCTCACATCCATGTACCATTTATCTATACCATCCTGCAACCGTGTTTGACTCCCTTCTCCACCCTCCTTTTCAAAATTGACAATCAGAATGAACTTCAGCCCACAAGCAATTGTCGCCACCATCACAGATGCCATCAGCCAACTGACAGGATATTGTCTCCCAAATCCTACACTATACATCAACCGGCGGTCATTCAAAGTCATCAAACTGCTTGGTGAAGGGTATGAACTAATTGTCTAGTACAAGATGTCGACACATCATGCAACTCTCTTTCTTCCTCCTTTCCTCTCTCTTTCTTAAATAATAACAAGCACACTGACAACATCCTCCACACCATTTTGTCTTTGTGTTCGTTCTCATCTCTATGGGTTTTCTTCCACTTTCTTAGTGGATTTAGTTTTGTGTATCTGGTTCAGGACGTAGCAACTGGTCGACTTTATGCCCTGAAAAAAATCCGCTGTCCCTTTGGCAGCGAAGGAGTTCAGGAAGCTATGAAGGAGGCAGAAATGTACAGGACTTTTCAGCATGAGAATGTGATCAAAGTTGTGGTACGTGGATGTCTAATTGAGATGTATTAAGAACACCTGGTTTTCAGCAGAACTATGCCCCTTCTCCTTGCGATCACTGAAAAAAAGTCTGGGCTTTGATTTGGTATACACAACTAGGATACTTGCGTAGTTTCAGACAAGGATGGAAGTAAGGTCGTGTATATTTTCCTGCCCTATTACAAACGTGGGAATTTGCTGGACGCGATCAACGCCAATTTGCTCCACCATACACACTTTTCTGAACCAGACATGCTTAGATTCTTTAGAGGCGTCTGCTATGGTGTCAGGGCATTACATAGTCATCGTTTACCCCATGTACCAATAAGTTCGCGAGAAGAAGATACATCGAATAGTGGTATCGAGGCTTGGGACTCGCGTGAGAGTCGGCTAACGGCCCATTCGAGGCGTCAAAGCTCTTTTGCTTTGACAGAAAATGGGACAGGATTGTCAGATATGAGTCACCATAACCGTGATGTGGAGGCAAGTTCAGGAACGCAAGGCAATGGACTAGGATTTGCAGAGGGTAATGAGGATGTAGTTGTACCGTTTGCTCATCGGGATATTAAACCGGCGAATGTGTTAATTGCAGATGATGGACAGACACCTGTATTGATGGATTTTGGTTCTATGGCACGAGCTCGTGTCAAGATCCAGACAAGGCAACAGGCTTTATATGAGCAGGACCTTGCGGCCGAACAGTGCTCAATGCCATACAGGGCACCAGAGTTGTTTGATGTCAAAACAGGAACAACCCTGGATGAAAAAGTTGACATCTGGGTATGTTTGATGAGACTTTTTTTTCATTTTTTTTTTTTATTTTTTTTATTTTTTTTATTTTAAGTACTTTTCTAAACAAATCTTTCTCTGACCAAACTTACATAGTCACTTGGGTGTACTCTATATGCAATGGCTTATGGGACATCTCCTTTTGAAACGAACCAAATTAACCAAGGAGGTTCAATCGCACTGGCAGTGCTGAATGGAAACGTACGTTTCCCTACAGCGGATCAAAATGACCGGTATTCTTCTGAATTCAGGGACTTGATCAAAGCCATGTTAGTTGTGGATCCTGCCATGCGTCTGGATATCCATCAAGTCATTGAGCAAATTGACCTTCTTTTGTCACGTCCACTTTAGTTTCACGGTGTAATAAATATGAAAATCCTATACAACTGTAGCATGTGAAGATAATGAATATATGTGACTTTGAAGTGGAGTAAACTTGTTCTTTTCAATATAACTTTCACACACATTCAAACATTCATGTTTACCTTTACTTTTCCCATTCCATTTCTCACCTTTATTTCTCATTCTTCTCCAACCTGCACCTTGTTCCCTCTTACCCTTCTTGTCACCCATAAGGCGCTCAAATTGTGCCTGCTGTTATGTTCTACTGTCGTGTGTGGCCCCTATTCCAAGGCTCCGATATTGTCTCCTGATTAATTTGTCTTCTTTTTACACCTTTCGGCTCGTGATTTCAATATCTTCCATCTTTACCTTATTGTCCTCCCTCTATCTGTCTCCGCGCTTGCCACCATGAATCAGACATACGCTGCACTACATGCCTTACCCAGCGATTTAATCAATAAACTATGTCGCTCTAAGGTCACTAGGTTATCGGTGAGTCGACAAGCATTAATAAGCACACTGCCCACGTTCTTGCTTCTAGGATCGATATTAGATCTGTCAGGCTAACACTTGTACACATTATTATTTAACAAAGCTCAAGCAGATGTACACCCTTGGAAGGTGAGGAGCAACAAAAACGCTTTTTCTCGTTGTGATCCCTGCCCCTCTCGGCCTGTCAAGGACCCAGTGCAAAAATTAGTCTAAATGCAAATGGTTTAGTGCACTTTTTTTTTTTTATTTTTTTTATTTTTTTTATAACTATGCAGCCGAGGCAACTATGGATAGGATGGTTGCCATATTGGCGCATGATCTGTCTTTTCACGAACCCGATTCTCTCGTCTCGTGGTAGATATGGCAGGGTAGAGGACATTAAGAGTGTACAAATAAACTCAACCTTTCACTCTTTCTCACATCGCTCTCCTTCCTTCCTTCCTTCCTTGGAACCGTAGACATGTCCTCGAGTCCAAAAATCAAAGCGCACTAGTCATTCCAGCGGTTTTCCTGCACCAAGAGCTACCAATTCGGTTGTCGCATGCGCTCAAGATGCTCAACTCGAACACGTTGCCTGTCAACTTGGCTGACATGCCCAATTTCCAGCACATTGCTCGTTCATATCTCGAGGACATAAGGTAAAGGCAGAAACAAAGATTCTATGACACATCGTAGTCACCAAACAAAATCTATCATCCGTGGGATGCAAACCTTAAAATATTCAAAGTTTCTCTCCCATGATATGGGGCACAGCTGTTGACACACAATATTAAAAATATGTATTTACAGGCGCCCAAACAACAGCACCAGGATAACTTACATGGGAAGAGATACAAGACAATTAACACATAATGTTTCAACTCCCCGTTTCAATACTTGATGCTATAGTATGGTAACTCAAATGCCTAAACCCTCGACACCTGAGCTAGAAGAAGAGTTCACGGCTTTGCTCCGCAAACTGGAGCAGCGCCACAAGATCAAAGTCTTAGCAATCAGCAGCGGTTTCCGTGAGCTTATGAACTCTGCTATGCAGCAGCCCGATTATAACTCGCTTTTCTATGATAATGGGAAGGGCTGGACGATCAACCCAGAAGCCGATAAGGCTATCCAAACCTTTTTTAACCGATTTTATACTATTAACCTGGGCACCCGTCTCTTGATTGGTACGTATTTACAAATATCCCATCGGTTCCCCTCCGATTACTGTAGTCATCTAACATCCATATTTATGCTTGATGTTGTTGCAGGTGAACACTTGGCATTACACGATCGTGGTCTAAATCTAGTTCATCGTTTGAACCCGTTATCAATATCGAAAAGAGCCATTCAGGACGCTCAAAAGTTGTGCGCTGCTCATTATAGACAAGCTGCTCCATCTGTTCTCATCCACACTCCTAATCCCGATATCTCCACAACATATGTGGAGGAGTTTTTACATCGAAATATTTATGAGCTTCTTAAGAATGCTATGAGAGCTACATGTGAGACATACTTGAACAATGGATCGCCAGTCACTATTGGACTATCGCCAGCATCCTCCATGAACAAGGCCACAGCAAGCAAAAGCAAGCTACCACCTATCAAGCTAATTTTAGTAGACGGTGGTGAGGATGTTACAATTAAAATCTCGGACGAGGGGGGTGGAATGGCTCTAAGCGAGATGGATAAGATTTGGAGCTATGTTCATTCGGGAAATTCGAGCCGTCTTCGCCAACCATCCACTATGGTACAAAAGCACGAAAAGGTGATTGAAGAGGCCCCGAAAACCACAACAATAATAACACCATTTCAACCATCAGCCCCGAATACTTCAACCTTGCATAAATCGGATGTATCAGAAACGAATATGGTCCTACGGGCTGTGGTGCATCCGGCAGACTCAATGACAGTAATGGGCGGATTGGCTAGCGAGGCGAAGGACTACCTTGATTTACCATTAAGTGGTTCGGGTCACGGGTTGCCTCTGGCCCGTTTAATTGCACGATACTTTGGGGGCGATCTGTCGCTAATTTCAATGGAAGGATATGGAACTGACTCTTATCTATCATTATACCGGAACGATGATCATTTGGAAAATTTTCCGGAGGTGGATGAGGAGATGGCAGCTGAAGTGGATGTGTTTGTGAATGATCTGTTGGATGAAACTTCAAGAGGATCTCAGCAAGAGTCATCGGTTTAACTGAACAACCTAAAATTCAACTCTGACTCTGCATAGCAAAGATCATGCATAATAAAATGAAGTGTTTAGGTCAAGCCATGGAATTGAGCATTCGCTACACTATTGATATTTATCACTGACATGGAGAAAAAGATCAATGGCTCCATAAAGATGGCTGTATGGTTGATGTTGGTTTGTTTTATTGAACTAAACTGTGACAGCTGCCAATATGAGTACCCATTGCAGTTATCCTGTTCCCATTATAGTTTCTCTATTTTATGCAACCCCAGTTTTTGGAACGTGATTGGAGACTTAAAAGCACCCAGTGCTTTTGCCAAGAGAGCGTTCCCCACGGAACCTTTAAAACCTATTATGGATGTTCGTAGGCATCGGGATCAGTGAACGTTGTTGTAGCTGTCACAACATTATCGCCCATGATTAAGTGCAGCTTTGGGATATTAGTGACTCCCACCAAGTCTCCGTTAGCATTGAGGAAGTTGGATACAGAGTCTCCTATATTTACTTAATTTGCGAAAGATTAGGGATATTAACTTTATATACCAGTGTAGTGATACCCAAGTCAGCATTCTTAGCGAGACTCACTAGACCCAAGTGCACCATCTGCGAAAGGTAATCCATAGATCGCAAAGTGATGGAGGACGAGATACCGATGTTGGTGGCAGTAAGAGTCATCGAGGGATCAGCATCACTGGACTCACTACCTTGTGAGAAACCAGGGGTGTTGAATATAACGTAACATCAATATTTCCTCTGATGTCGAACGTATGTGAGCGTTTACTCATTAGATCCTCAATGAATCCAGAAAAATTGTCTTTCTGTCCTGGCATAACCCTTAAATCAGTGGTATCGACGGTAGACTCGAGAATGTTACCTTTGGTCTTGACAGGGATGCTTGGAGTCTCAAATTTCGCGACTGCAACACCATCGTTCTTTTTAGGGAAAGGGCGTCAAAATTCCTACTTACAAGGAGGGCAAACTAAGGGTGCAGAGAGAGGGGAAGAGTGGCATAGTATTTAGTGATTATTGCTTTTCTTCTGTTGGCCATAGAGTTTTCTTTACAATAAAGCAGACCATCAACTAACGTGGCTCACAATCTCCTTGATAGGCCATCTAGTTCTAAAAAGCGAGCCAAGTCAACTTAACAATTGAGGCCATTTCCATAATCAAAGAGTCAGGACCCGTATCATCAGCACTCAGGTCGCTAAGGATGATCTTTCGGACAATACCGAAATCAGTCTATATAGAGATATTCATGTAAAATTAAATGAAAATAAACATTTATACGATATATACTATGTAAACTATCAAAAAAAAAAAAAAAAAAAAAAGACAAAAGGCGAAAGAGAAATGGGAGAAACCAGCTTACCGCTGCAACTGAAGTACATTGGGGGACCAAGCCTCTCCACCCATCATAAAGGCACTACAGTATACTGTATAACCGTGTTAAGTTTGCCATTTCATTTAAAAAGATTTTTGTCTACAACTTGCAACGACAAGGATGACGAACATTACCTCGTGAAACAACCGATAACTTTGGTACCATCAACAACCTCTTGGATCACCGAAGGATTGGCAAAGTGATGGTAGTAAATGCAATAGCGCCTGTGGCTAGAAGCTGAGTGGAGACCCTTATTGTGCAGTTTGGATGTATTGATCGAAAATGTCAAAGAGTACCCCAAAAATTCATCTCAAAAGCACCGACTGCAACTTTAACTGTTTACATTCCGACTTCACTTATTATTCCAATCTGACTGATTTCTTTTGCAACTCCATAGTTCTAGGTGCACTGACATGACTACTCTCAATTAACTGTTTCTTAGCACTCGGCCTTAAGCAGCAACCCTTTACTACATATTAAAGCACCAGGCCATTGGCACACTTCGAACTAGCTCTCTATCTTACTGATATACCATCCCTTGAGAGTCATCTCTATCTCAGTCGTGATCTCCTCCTTGTTGTCCTCCGTCTGTTGTCAAGAGCGTGACAATAACACTAAGTTCAAGTATCCCTATTAGTGTCCTTGATCAACGGCTCCATCAATAGATACAGATCAAGTATAATTGCTCAAGCGATCTCACTCTGAAAGGCATTTGCAATTTGATACGATGGCCGCCCAGTGCCAATGAAGAAGAAATGCCATGTATTTCGTAATATTTTGAACTGATGGTATTGAATTACAAGTCCTGGTGTATGGCATGCATATTGTAAAGAAGCAGCAACCTACAGTAGTACCTGATGTGGCTGTTTTGAATATGAGGTCCCAAATGTTGAATACGTTTTGCTAATGCATTATAATACAGTAACCATCATATTTGAAAAAATATTTTGCTCTCTAAACTTCATTGCCCTGTTGCATGCTCAAGATGAACCAGATTGAGATAGGAAACTGGATACACATAGCTATCCTCATAATAAACAGCATCCTCAAATCTAGAATCGATATCCCCACTCTTGATTTCATTATGATCATTTAATGGTAATCAGGTCATTTTTCCAAATATGAGACTACCCTCTAGAAAATGCTAGAATATTTTCTTTCAAGTCTGTTTCTTTCTTAAATGCCAGAGTTCCTATGTTTTTTGATTTATTATCGATACTTTAGCCCCTAAACGTCCATCCATACGAATATGAAGCCAATTACCCAATCCAAGGTTAGAAGAGCCATTGCTCTCCTCAAGCAAGGTCTTTCCACTCGACAGGTTGGCGAGAAACTCGGAATTTCCCATACTTCTGTGACAAATATCCGTCGAAGCGCAGCAGAAGATATTGCGAAAAAGTCAGCAGGTCGTCCAAGGAAGATTGGAGACGAAATGGCCCAGCATCTTAAGCTAGGACTTAAGCGTGGTCTTTTCAAATCCTCCATTGATGCTCAAAAGGAAGCGAACAAATTACTCCCAAGCCCCGTATCAAGTTCCACCATCAGGAGATGCCTTAGGAGGACTGGTATGAGGGCAAAGAAGGTTGTCAAGAGACCTTTCCTCAAGAACAACACATAAAGAAGCGTCTTCAATTCGCTCGCATATACCAAGAATGGACTAAAGAGGACTGGAAGGCTGTCGTTTGGTCCGATGAGTCCAAAATGAATCGTATTTGCTCAGATGGGGTGGCCTGGGTATGGGATGACCAGGAAGAGGCCATCAATGAGCGAACTGTTCAAGGAACAGTGAAGTTTGGTGGCGGGGGGGTCATGATATGGGGCTGCATGACATGGAACGGACCCGGCCGAATCTGTAGGATTGAAGGAACCATGAACTCAGAAAAGTACATCAACATCCTAAGGAATGATCTCCAGCAGTCCGTTCGGGATTGGGGCATCGCAGAGGACGGGTTTATCTTCCAACATGACAACGATCGAAAGCACACTGCGAAGGTCACTCAGGCATATTTGCGGTCAGTGGGCCTGACAGAAGAGTCAAGAAGGCTTCTAATTTGGCCAGCACAGTCGCCTGACATGAATCCTATCGAACACATGTGGTCTGAGCTGCAGAGGAGACTTGGGATGTACCCGGAATTAGCCAAAAGCTGTGCTGAGCTCTGGAATCGGATCGAGAGGGAATGGTACTCAATCCCACAAGAGTTCTGCCAGAAACTAATCGAGAGTATGCCAAGGAGACTCCGGGCGGTTTACAGGGCCAAAGGAAAGCATACTAGGTACTAGCCACTTAGACTACCAAGCGAACTAGCATTTTCTAGAGGGTAGTCTCATATTTGGAAAAATGACCTGATTACCATTAAATGATCATAATGAAATCAAGAGTGGGGATATCGATTCTAGATTTGAGGATGCTGTTTATTATGAGGATAGCTATGTGTATCTAGTTTCCTATCTCAATCTGGTTCATCTTGAGCATGCAACAGGGCAATGAAGTTTAGAGAGCAAAATATTTTTCCAAATATGATGGTTACTGTATTTTTTGCTGAAAAATGGAAGACCACTCTCTTTTATTATATTGGGTTATAGCCTGTTAAAAAACACCAGAGCCCTCGGCCAAGGCCTAACAAATTCTATAAACATACGAATGGCAGATATGAAAAAAAAAATGTCAAAAACAAAAAGTATGGATATGAAAGCCAGAAGACTTTCCAAGAGACACGAATTCTCGAAAATTTATATAGAAGATAGGAGAGTGAGTAAGAAAAAGGCACGGCCCCACATGCCACACTGCATCCAGGACGCATATTTTCACTCTCTGTTAATAAGAGAGCAAAACGCATCTCCATGTTTGAAATAGAATTAGTATTATCGGTTGATTATAGATATTCACATGTTGAAAGAACTTATCAATCCTTTGCACTATCAAGTGGTGATTGTGTGTAGTGATTGCCGGACAACAGGACTCGCATACCTTGCTTTATACGCACTGCAGCGTTTACATACTCTGTCTCAATGCTCTCTGGCTTTTGAGACTCACTACTACATGCTTGATTTCTAATGTACTTTGAGGGGCTTCTATTCATCTCTATCCAAACAGGATTTGCCATTGAGTGGGTCAGGTCATGGATTACCTTTGATCGGATTAGTTGCACAACACTTTGGAAGTAATCTGTCGCTAATCTGGATGGAAGCACATGTAATTGATTCTGATCCTTCATTACACTGGAGTAATAGCCACTTGGAATGTTTTCTGGAGGTGAACGAGGAGATGGCAGGTGAAGCTGATGCGTTTGTGAATGATCTGTTGGATGGATCCCCGAAGAGAGTCAAAGAAAGAGCCGCTAGTTTGGATGGAGTACTCAAAGCTCTTCATAGTTAATACTATGCATCTGCTTTGGGTCGCCTTGACACCGATCATTTGCTAGGCTTTCGATATTGGCCAATGATATGGAAAAAGATCAATACCTCCATAAGGGTGAGCATATGGTTGACGTTGGCTCATTTATTGAACTAATTTGTAACACTTGCCACTATGAATGCCCATTACTGTTATTCACCATCCTATCGCTATTTCTCTTTTATGCAACTTCAAGTTTGGGGATCACAAATGGGGAATTAATGACAGTCATTCCATTGGCCAAGATCGGGTTTTTCACGGAGCCTTCAAAGCCTACGATTGAGTACGTATTACTCTGGGCTCTCAGGATGTCGTAGGCCTCGAGATTGTTGAACGTTGTGGTAGCTGTCATTTCGTTGTCGCCTCTGGCCAAGAAGAGGTCCGGAATACTGGCAACTCCGACTAACTCTCCGTTAGCATCGAGAAGATTGAACATCGCGTCTCCCAACTTCAAGTTAAGCTGCGACTGGTTGCGGACCTTGATCGTATGTACCATTGTTGTTTTACCTGAGTCAGCATCCTTGGTTAGGCTCGTTAGACTCAAGTGCTCAATTGGAATGGTATCCAATGTTCGCAAAGTGACAGGGGCCGAAATACCAATGTTGGTGGCTGTTAAAGTGTTCGGGGGACCGGTAGCACTGGACTCACTGTCGCGTGAAAAGCTAGGGATCTCGAGTGTAACATCGCTATTTCCATTAATGAGGAACTTACGGGAGGGCTTGCTTATCACATCTGCGATGAGCTTTGAGAATTTATCTTCCTGTCCTGATATAACCTCTAAAATAGTGTTTCCGATCGTAGACCTGAGGATGCTGCCTTTGACCTTAGCAGGAGCGCTTGAACACTCGTATTTTGCGATTGCGACACCGTCATCCTTTTTTTTAGACGAAAAGAAAGAAAGTTGTCAATGCCTCGTTTTTTTTAATAACAAGAGTTCTCTGAGACACATGAAGTATACCTACAATGACAGTGAACTAAGGAGCGGAGGGAAAGGGAAAAGCAAAATTAGTGACCATTATTATCCTTTTGGTGGCCATGCAGCATATTTCGTAACGAGACAGGCCTTCAACTTACACGACTAGTAATTTCCTTGACAGGCCAACTGATTCCAGGGAACGAGGCCAATTTCACCTTTAGGTCTGGTGCGGAAAATCCCACAGACCGAGGTTCAGGATTCGTAAAATCAAGAGTGGATTCGCCAAAGTCGATCTTTCGGGCAAAACCAAAGTCAGTCTATAAAATAAAAAAAGATTTAATAAAGGTATATATACAATAATAGTAATAAAATGTACTGCCCCTAAAAACAGAGAAACCAGCTTACCGCTGCAGCTGCAGCACATTCAGGAGTCCAAGCCTCTTCACCTTTCATGATAGCGCTACAGTATATCACATAGCCAAGTTAGGTTTGTGAAGTGCCTCCTTTAACATGGTAGTAGTTGACTACATCCTGCAACTATAAGGATGATAGACATTACCTCGCAAAACAACCGATAACTTTAGTACCATCAACCACTCGCTTGGTCATCGAAGGCATTGCTAGAGCGGTGGCAGTGAACGCAATAGCGCCTGTGGCTAGAAGCTGAGTGGAGACTTTCATGGTTGGAGACGCTGTAGTTTTGATGTATTGTTGTGTGGATTGAGATTTGTGAAGTAGTTCTCGTTAGAAAGCGAAGGCCTTTTATATCAAAAGTATATACTTTAAGCAATGGATTTAATTATAAAAAAAACAGTGTCGCAGGTCGGATATCCCTTCGGTACTGTGATATCAGTTGAAATAGGGACATCTTTGCAGCTTGCTATCAGCAACAGTTGAAAAGGCTCTCCACCAGAGCAACTTTTGCGAGATACTTTTCGCCATCTCTTTCTCTAAAGGCAGATGTAGACGAGTGTAATTACGGATAGGATGAAAATTCAAATGTCTGTTCGAAGTGTTTAATAAACATGCTTGCATACGCTATTCCAACAATGACTAAATCAAGTCCCATAGTTGGACATCATTTCAGTATCCCTTAGCATTTGGTCCTTATGTAGTAGTATGTGCTTCGTATTGGGGTCAAGAATAGAGGGAAGAAGTGCGCTGCTATACCCATCATAACGCCAAGTCCGTAATTAGCCAGCAGGCATTCTGGACTGTTTGAGGAGCTCCCCATCGTTTAGAAATGTAAATTCGCCAGAAGTCTTGATGTCAGTCAGGAAGGAGATAAATTGATCGTTAAACATAAGATACCATGTATCTAATTGCCATGGAGCTATCCTGGGTTGTTTTTATGCAAATGAAGACTTACACATAATCTTGGCATCCGCTCGGGGACTTCCATGGCATTATTTAATGATGTTGAGGACTCGATTATTATCCAGTATTTACTGACTAGTGTAATATAGTGAGTAGCAATATTGGTCGCCGTAGGATTGGCTTGAAAGGAGAGCAACCTCAGCTGAAGTGGATATGTCTGTGAATGGTACGTTAGATGGATCATGGAGGCCATAGTAAAGGATATGTATAGTGAATAAAAGTGTTTTAGTTCAAGGCTTGGAATGGAGCAGTGGTCATTGACATGAAGAAAGAGTCAATGCCTCCATAAGAATGAATATGTGGTTGACATTGGCTTCTTTATTGAACTGATCCGTGGTTCTCATATCTATGAATGCCCGCTGCTTCTTTATGCAGCTACAATTTGGGGGATTGTCATTTGAAACTTAATGCCAACCATTGCTTTAGCCAGGATAGAGTTTTTCACAGTATCTTTAAAGCCTACTACTGTGAACGCATTGCTCTTGGTTGTTAGGGCATTATAAGCATCGGGATTAGTGAACGTTGTGGTAGCTGTCACAACGTTGTCACCCATGGCCAAGTATAGATTTGGGATATTAATGACTCCCACTAATTCTCCCTTAGCATTAAGTACGTTGTATTTAGTGTCTCCTAGTCTCATATTCACCTGCGAAGGGTTATGGAAATTAGCCGTATATACCAATGTAGTGATACCAGACTTAGAATCTCTGGTAAAGTGCTTTTGACTTAAATACTTGACCCAAAAGCCCTTAACGCCTCGCAAAGTGATGGGAGATGAAAAACCGACGTTGGTAGCAGTTAAGGTTTTTGAGGAAGCAGAAGGAGAAACAAGACTACTGACCCCGCCAAGGAGCGGAATGCCGGGAATCTTGATTGTAACATCGGCATTTCCAGCGATGGTGAACGTATGTGAGGGTTGTATCACCAGGGTTTCGATGAACTTGGATATCCCATCCTCCTGTCCTGGTATAGTCTTTAGAGCAGTAGTTCCGAGTGTGAACTTGAGAATCCTGCCTTTGACTTTGGCAGAAGTGCTTGGAGCCGTAAGCTTTGCGATCGCAACTCCACCATCCTTTTGTAAGAAGAGAAAGAGAGAAGGGAATTTGTTAAAATTTTCATATTTAATAGCAACGATTGCTGAGATATACGAGGCATACTTACAATGATAGCAAACTAATGAGTAGTGGGAAAAGAGTATGATAGTCTTAGTAGCTATTGCTTTTCTCCTGTTGGCCATGCAGTATTATTCACAACGAAATAAATCATCAACTTACATGGCCAGAAAATTTCTTTACAGGTAGACTGATTCCGGGGAGCGAGGCCAATTTCACGGATACACTTGATGACAACGTTAGGTCAGGTTTCGTAAAATCAAGAGTCAAATCATCAAAGCCGGCCTCTTGGGTAATGCCGAGATCAGTCTATAAGGTATTAAAGGGAAAATAAAAGTATATATTACATTAGTCTAGCACGAAAAGAAAAAAAGACACAGGAGTGAGAAATCAACCTACCGTTGCAGCTGTAGCACATTCTGGAGTCCAGGCCTCTTCACCCTTCATGAAGACACTAAAGTATATTATATGATCGTGTTAAGTTTGTGAGGTGCTTCCTATAAGGAAATGATATTTGTCTACAGTTCACATGGCAGACGTTACCTCGCAAAACAACCAAGAACTTTCGAGCCATCAATAATCCTCTTTGACATTGAAGGTGTTGCCAGAGCGGTGGTAGTAAATGCAATAGCACACGCGGCTAGAAACTGAGTGGAAACTTTCATTGTTGAAAAAACTGTAATTTTGATATATTCTTGTGTGGACTGAGGATTGCAAAGTGATAGGTCTTTTATATCAAAACAACAAAGCCCAATAGTAACAGGAATGGTAGAAAAATTACCCACTACTTTGACACTGACTGCCAGCCAAATATTGTTTCACGCTAATTTATTTATTTATTAATGTAACTTTTTGGCTTTTGCCAAATGAACTGCCAATCTCATATCAGTATCCCTTTGCTTAGCCCCTTAGACAGCAGCCTTTACTGCATGTTGGAGTCTCAGGGTATCTTCACACTCCAAAGTCTCTCTATCCTACTGGCATACTAACCCCCGTAAACTATCCCAGCCCCGATCTCCTTTTCGGACTCATAAAAATAGAACTCGCTGTCCATTTCAGAGTGTTCGCCATAAGATATGCTCCTGTATCCCATAATGTACACCACAACATTTGAACCAACATTGGTATTATACATTGGTCCACAGATTGTTGCCCCGTCTTCCTGCGTGCAAAGAGCCAAACCACATTCTCCTAGCGGCCTTACTAGTGCCCTTGATAAACGGCTCCATCAGTAGGTATAGAACAAGCACTATCGTTCGATTGAATCCACCCCGATAAATATTTGTGACTTTGATGGCACAAGTAACATTTCGAAACGATAGTTTTTGTTGACAAGTCCTGGCGCATGATAAATAAATTGTAACGAAGCAATGATCTACGGGAGGACTTGGATGGGCTAATTCCTATAATGGCACACATCACTATCTTTTTGAAAACTATAAACGTTTACATGGATTTAGGGAACGTGAATAAACCATTTTAAGCTTATTCTTAGTGTGAGATATAAAGCATTCCATGTGTCGGAAATAATTTGCCAATGCGTAGACCATAATTGTTGCCTTATTGCTGCTGACTGCTGAATGGGTGGTCATCTTTTGTGAGTAAAAAGCACAGGCCTTAGTCGGAGCGTAACAGCTACCATAAGCGTATGAATGGACCTGATCAAATGGATATAAATTTCAACAGAAAAAAAAAACGACAGTCGACATACACGTAAGAATATATCCTTTGTGCCATCAAGCGGTGACTTTACATAGCCTAACTAAGCTTTGGTTGCTAGACAGCAAGGGGCCGCGTGCCTTACTTCCTGCGCGCTGCAGTGCTTCTAGTATCTTCGTCTCAACGCACTCTGTTGAAGCACATGACTGCATACAGGCTTTATGCTTGGATTTTAATGCGCTTTGAGAGGCTTCTATTTTACCTCCATTCTCTACCTTTACCATGTCTATTGAGGCGATGCTTACGATCGAGTCGATTTAACCATGGCTTACCTTTAGCCTGTTGAATTGCACGATACATTGAAGGTGATCTGCCATTATCCTCATTGGGAAGATATGGAGCTGACTCTGGTTTTCCATTAGACGGAACGATGATTGTTTGGAGGATTTTCCGGACGCAGATGAGGAGGTGGCAGCTGAAGTAGATATGTCTGTGAATGGTACGTTAGATAGATCATGGAGGCCATAGTAAAGGATACGTATAGTGAATAAAAGTGTTTTAGTTCAAGGCTTGGAATGGAGCAGTGGCCATTGACATGGAGAAAAGGCCAATGGGCCCATAAGGATGAATATGTGGTTGGTATTAGTTCATTTATTGAACTGATCTGTGCCAGCCCTACAACTATGAATGCACACTACTGTTATTCTGCACCTCATTGTGATATTTGTGCTTATGCAGCTTCAAGTTTAGGGATCGTAATTTGGGACTTGAAGGCACCCATTGCCTTGGTCAGGATAGGGTTTTTCGTGGAGCCATCAAAACCTACGACTGTGAACGTATTGCTCGTGGTTGTCAGGGCATTGTAGGTATCAGAGTCAGTGAACTTCACGGTGGATGTCATAACGTTGTCACCCATGGCCAAGTTGAAGTTTGGGATATTAGCAACTCCCACCAAGACACCGTCAGCATTGAGCAGGTGGAACGCAGAGTCTCCCAGTTTCAAGTTAAGCTGCGAAGGGTTATGGATATTGATATCATGTACTAGTGTAACGGCACCTGAGTCTGCATCCTCCGTAAGGCTCACTAGCTTCACATGCTCTATCTGCACAGAGCTGCCCATGCATCGTAAAGTGAAGGAGGACGAGACACCAATGTTAGTAAGAGTTAGGAGCTTCGAGGAAGCAGCACTGGTTCCAGGGATTTGGCCCTTGACGTCAACATTCCCGTTGATGGTGAGTGTATAAGTGGGCCTGCTTAGCACAGCTTCTATGAACTTGGAGAACCCATCTTCTTGTCCTGGTATGATCTTTAAAGCAGTATTCTCTACCGCAGTCTTGACGACGTTGCCCTTGACCTCGGCAGGGGCGCTTGGTGACTCCATCTTTACGAGTTCGACACCATCATCCTTTTGTTGGAAAGAGAGGGAATAAGTGTCAAAACTATATTCACCAATAGAAACGATTGTTAAGATAAACGAGGTACACTTACAATGAGAGTAAACTAAGAAATAAAGAGAAAAGAGTAAAGAAGTATTAGCGGCTATTGCTTTCCTTCTGTTGGCCATACAGTGTCTTTTGCAATAAACTAGACTATCGACTTACATGATTAGCAACCTCTTTTACAAGATAGTTGACTCCAGGGATCGGTATCAGTTTCGCGTTTGCACCTGATGAGGAAAATCCCAAAATCGAGGGGTTAGGGCCCGTAAAATCGATACTCATATCGGCGAGGCTAAGCTCTCGGATAAAACCGATATCAGTCTATAGAGGGTTAAACGAAAGAGCGCTATAGAATTTAAAAGAAAAGGTCTGTCCTGGAGAAAAAAAAAAAAGCCAAAGAAGAAGCGAGAGCGACTAGTTTACTGCTGCAGCTGCTGCACATTCAGGAGTCCAAGCCTCTTCACCTTTCATGAAGACACTATAGTATATCATATAGTCATGTTAAGTTTGCGATGCATTTCATTTAAAAAGGCGATATTTGCCTACAACTCGCAGCTACAAGGACGACAGACATTACCTTGCGAGACAACCGATAACTTTAGTACCATCAACCACTCGCTTGGTCATCGAAGGCATTGCTAGAGCGGTGGCAGTGAACGCAATAGCGCCTGTGGCTAGAAGCTGAGTGGAGACTTTCATGGTTGGAGACGCTGTAGTTTTGATGTATTGTTGTGTGGATTGAGATTTGTGAAGTAGTTCTCGTTAGAAAGCGAAGGCCTTTTATATCAAAAGTATATACTTTAAGCAATGGATTTAATTATAAAAAAAACAGTGTCGCAGGTCGGATATCCCTTCGGTACTGTGATATCAGTTGAAATAGGGACATCTTTGCAGCTTGCTATCAGCAACAGTTGAAAAGGCTCTCCACCAGAGCAACTTTTGCGAGATACTTTTCGCCATCTCTTTCTCTAAAGGCAGATGTAGACGAGTGTAATTACGGATAGGATGAAAATTCAAATGTCTGTTCGAAGTGTTTAATAAACATGCTTGCATACGCTATTCCAACAATGACTAAATCAAGTCCCATAGTTGGACATCATTTCAGTATCCCTTAGCATTTGGTCCTTATGTAGTAGTATGTGCTTCGTATTGGGGTCAAGAATAGAGGGAAGAAGTGCGCTGCTATACCCATCATAACGCCAAGTCCGTAATTAGCCAGCAGGCATTCTGGACTGTTTGAGGAGCTCCCCATCGTTTAGAAATGTAAATTCGCCAGAAATATTGATCTATTTGTACTTGCACACTATAGTCATATTATTTTTCTGTCGTGAATGGAGTTATAGGCTAATAGGTCTACTTTCCGGCTATTGTAGACAACTATAAGGTAGTGCCTTCAACTGTTGACCTTATGTGAGCCAATGGGCCAAACACGCACATCTGACAATGGAAAGGGGCTCGTCCTCTATTCAGGTGTAGTATATTTTGTGGAATAGGTATATTTACTCGAGTAGCCCAATTCCTTTAGGTTTAAGTTATCGTCGTGTTATTCCGAGGTCACAGCGAGGTTCTACCTATCCTTAGTCTCTACAATATGACCAGTATCCCGCCCTCTTCTCAAACAACTTATTAATACTCTACCAAAATGTATTTTATTAGGCTTAAGGAGCTTCATTTCGTCACCTACTGGATCTCCCGGCTAGTGAAATTCTATTAGTAAAACACATTTTGGCAAGCTACTGTAGATGAGTTCAGTATCAATTTGACAAAATGGTTGTGTAAGATAGCTCACGGATGTTAAGGGTCAACCCATTTAGGTGCTTCAGTATGAGTGTAGAGCTAGTCTAGAGCGGATACAAAAAACATTTGATACTACTGTTGATCGAGGATATGTGAGAAACATTGTAGAGTGCTGAAAATGCGCCTTTCTTCAGAAACGTGTCTATCTTCTGAGTGCTACCGGTCGACCACAGGTACATGGCACATGCTGTTCCCCAGAGTGGAAGTTAGACGATGTAAACTGTGACCATGCGGGCGCCTTGTTGTATATTGGGCACAGGAAATTCCGGTATGGAACGTATTACGACTAAACATGGAAGTATTTGAAATCAACAGCTCGAAAAATGACACAAGTATGATATGTAATTCTTCTCGCTTTCTTTTCTGTCTACCAGTTTGCCAATCAAAACTTCCATGCACTGTTCCAATATCATGCAACGATCTTATACAAATTGCAAGCTGTAAGCACGGCTCTTCTTAGCTGAAGACTATATTCTGGTAGAAGAATATCCACACGCGCCTGTTTCAGATTGTATAAACAAATGAGTGAGAGTGGGATCCTCATTGTAAATGTGTACGAGAAGAGATGTAATTCCTGATATTCTGGCTGCAACATCGGTTATTATTCGTGAAGGAAGTGCATTGTCCAGAATGAGACTACAGAAGATGGAGTTAGTCGCTTGTCAATGCTTACTAAGGACGGTGGTAAATTTTGTCAGTCTGCGAGTGAAGTTATTGTTGACCCTGTAGTTGCGTTATTGCTGCTTTGAGCGCTGTGGGACGAATGTTGTCTGGGAACGTAAGTCCTTTGGGAGAAAAAGTTGTATGAGGTATATAGTTTGGCAATCTCTAGCAACATTGATGGATATTAAAGGCGTCACTCGGGGTACGATAAAGACGGGTGTCGCGATTGACCAGATATTGTTGCAAAATTTAGGGGCAGATGTGGTAGGAGATTTAGGTCGTTTTGGTGGATTATGAAGCCGGTCACTTCCAGCTGCAGATAGATAAATAATTCTAACACAATAAAAGAACACACACACTACTCAAAGACTGGACGAGAACAGTCAGTACTCAAATGGCTCTTGTGTAAAAATAAGGAACCTTTAATGATCTATGGCTACTAACGACGAACGTTGTGAGGGCTCTTTACCTGGACGAGAACAGTCAGTACTCAAATGGCTCTTGTGTAAAAATAAGGAACAAGGAGCCAGATTTTCCTGAGCTGTTGCTCGTTAAATAGTTGGTGGCGAACCCTCTACACGTGACTAAAACTAAAACCAACAATATTTACATGAGCACGGTCCTGCAACCAACCAACCAACGCCGCACGTCAGAGACGGATGGCACGTGCCCAAAGTTCAAAAAAGAAACGTGTGCATCTTACAACCCTCCACCTAATCTTTTATGCTTCGCCAAGCCCTTGTCACATCCCATCCTATTCTCGATTCACATTTACCATTCACTGACCAAAAGTATTGCTTTTATGCGCAACTCTTCCCTTTCATACATTTCGACCAATGTTATGCATCATTAAAGCAGCTCTTGCAGGGGAGCACAGACGATTCACCCTAGCCACTGTCGACAGAAAAAATATTCAATTTGAAGCAGCCAAACTCACTTTCGATGCCTTGCACACAAAGGTAGACCATGGGATATAGCTCTAGATGCAGAATAAAGACAGCAAAAATCATATCGAGTGGAGCTCTCACTTAATTTCGTCGTCGTTTGTTCATTTTCCCTACCAAAAAATAAAAATAAAAATAAAAACTTGTCTTACGCTCTTTAGCTTTGTGTCCTTTATGGCCAGCAAGAGTTGACCATCCTCTTCGAGGAGCGACCAGGGACTTGTCGACTGGTTAAGAGCGACATTGATGTTCTTAATATTGTCATGCAATCCACTTTGCATCTACCTCCAAGCGCCTCCACTGTGCTTGTCAAGCTGACTGTGGAACCCCAACCAGGTAAAAAAAAAAATAAGCGATACTATGTAGTTCTTGAGAAATCATATTCCTTATCCTTCCTTATCCTTCCCTATCATCATTATAGAGATAAAGGCTCAGGTTCCTGATCCACAGCAAGATGAAAGGGGCTCTGATCTTACCCGCGATTGCTCCGCACGCTCAGCAACACCTTCTTCTGCATATACCAGATATGACAAGTTTTCGTCCAATAAAGGCGAAAACCATTGCATAATATCCAAACCCAATAGCGAAGTCTGCATGGGAAAGCAACTTCCTATACCTCAATGCCCCAGAGGTATTAGAAAACCGGAAGAAGATATGATTAATGCAGGTACGCTTCATCTATTATAGGCATGACTTGTTCTGACGTTCGTATCGACTCCACCGTTTGATTCATAATCGAGTTCCCATTAATGAAATACTGTTGATTTTAGATGTAATACATACGAATGTTTTTTGTGATATCTGCTTTAACACCATCAAGGGTATTCGCTACAAATGCCAAGACTGTGATAACTACGACCTTTGTCAGAACTGTTTTTGTCTGGCTTCAAAGAGGCACCATATCAACCATACCTTCGAGACCATTGAGAAACCATTCCTAAGCAAGAGGATTCGTGATCAAGCCTCTGGAAAGAGTTCCAATGCCACGTCCGCCTCTCAAGCCTCAGCAATTGCGCACCCAGCCAAATGTGATATGTGCAACCAAAAAATTTGCTATGGCACGCGGTACAAGTGCATTGTTTGTCCAGATTATGATTTATGCCAGAAATGCAGGCCTTTTGCTAGGACCCAACATAAAGGTCATAGCTTTATGCCCATAGATTTCCCTGGTCAGGTCAATATAAGCGTAGATAAGACTCCTCATCCTGGAGTCGTGTGTGACGGTTGCAATGAAGACATATTTGGCGTTCGCTACAAGGTAAATGATGAATCTATTTGAATGACTTGTATGAAGGTTTATTGCATGATATATCATAGTAACGTCACTGTATCTTGTGCTATATCCAATAGTGTGGCAACTGCCCCGATTACGACCTATGTGGAAACTGTGAGGCTTCTCCCAGCTTTGTCCATGATCCTGATCACCTCTTCATTAAAATTCGTAAACCAATTAACAGTCAATCGATGTCGCCATTGCAGGCCTTGCTTCCCATGATGTACACCAATGGGAGGGCTAAGGAAATCAATTCTAACGTCCGGCCAGTGGGTCAAACCTCTCTTCCCTCTCCACAACAAGAATGTTCTACTTCGGTGCCACAGATAGAGGTGCCATCGAAATTGAGCCAGAAGCGCAGGACAATCGACGCAACTCTCACAACTCAAAAGGAAGACAGTAAGGCACGTGAAAACCCTGGATTAGACCAGACTGAAGAAATTTGGAACGCGGCCTTTGTTAAAGACATCAATTTTCATGATGGCACTCCCATCCTGGCAGGCTCACAGTTCCTTAAGATTTGGGAGATATCCAACACTGGTCCTAATGAATGGCCCACTGACACTGTTCTCCAGTACATTGGAGGTGATCGTATGTTCACTGATGCAGATTCGGATACCAATGCCCCTCAATTCAAAACCTGTCTGGCAAAGGTTGGTGAGTCTACCTATGTGTCAGCTCACTTGAAAGCACCGGGGTCGCCTGGACGATACGTGTCGCATTGGAGACTTGTTACGCCCTCGGGAGAACACTTTGGTCAGCGTATCTGGTGTGATGTATTAGTAGAGGAAGGAGGGACTGAGAGTAGCTCCGATTCGATGGGATCTTCCTCTATGATATTCCCGATGGTTGATTATCAGGACAAGAGTAGCATAGACAATACCAGTACTGAAGAGGCTACAACAGCTGTCACGGACATGCTAGCAAATATGGGAGTCACTTCAACAGCGTCCTCAGTCTTAACGTCCCGTTACATATGCGAGCCCTGGTTGAAGGACATATATATCGGTGATACAACTGGTGCAATATCAGTGTCTGATGATCAGCTCTCGATAACCTCGGAACAACATATTGCACCCTCCAGTGTCTTCTCTACTGACGAAGCTGATGATCAATCCCAAACAGAAGCAGATAGTGACACAGATGTGTCTTCGGAGCACTATTTTTCGGATAATGATTTTATTCTAGTATGCGATATGTGAGCATATGAGTTGCCACATAGTCATTGTCATTGTCACACGATTATCAAAATGAGAATAAACAGTGGTTCGTAAACAGGACCTTTCAAATTGCAGTAAAACCGTTATAATAGAAAACGACCCTAATCTTCATAATCAATCTTCATTATGTAGTGCAATGACTCTACACTTGCTCTTAACAACCATCAAATCTAGCATAGTCTTTAACGCAAGCCGGAACAGGCAGCTGCACCGTATCAACTTTAGCAATGTTTCTGCCCAAAAAGTAAGGCCCTGCGAGACAAAAGTGAATAAATACGCCTCGGATGTGGTGTAGCGCGAGGGTCTCATCCCTTTCTCACTTATTTTCTTACCTCTACATAATTCCTAACCATCGAGTCTCTATGCAGTGCTCTCTATCTTCCATATCAACTCCTTTTTTTTTTTATCTGATCCACGCCCGCCATTTATATACTAATTGCAGCTGTTACCCTTTAGTCAAGGGTTATGCTTGTTATCCAGAGATACAGTACTAACCAACTTAGCAGGCCACCTATTTAGCTCTAATAAGGTGATAGTCATGGTCTATACATTGGCATAATATATTCAACACACATCAAAACGAGCCGCGAGACCGTGGCTTCGCCACGGTCGGTTCTTGCCTTGTTAGATAATCCAATGCTTTGCCTGGTTTAAAGAAAATAGTAAACTATAGTTTTATACGGGGATGAGGGCAACAGGCGCTTTGTGAACTATGCAGCTGCATCTTTCTTCTTGTATACTAAAAACTTATAGTATTGCCTATTATCCGCCAATACTGAAATGCTTAGCTTTATTTTTGTTATTGCATCGGTTTATTTCTGGCGAAGGGACTACGCTTGTTCTCTACTGCTATCTCCTTTTGCCGCTGTTACGTCTATTTATTATTTATTATTTATTATTTATTATTATTTTTATTTATTAATATTATTTATTATTATTTTTATTTATTAATATTATTTTTATTTATTAATATTATTTTTATATATTAATATTATTTTTATATATTAGTTAAAGAGCCTCTCAATGTTACGCCTATATTGAAATACAATGGACCCATGGCAGCAGCGACGAACATGACAAGAAACTATGCCCTCAAAACGCAAGAAATGTGGTAAGGCCTTTTTATTTTTTTATTTTTATTTTTTTTTTTTGAACATATAAACATTAATGATATTTCCTCAACTGATAGAGACAGAACGAGTTTTCACAATCGCACCGTTCCTTCTTCCATTCCACGTCCGTGTATAGGTGCTGTCGTCCAGGCCATGTGCGTAGCTCCTGCCCAAATAATGAAGAGTAAGTAATTTCGGTATTTAACAATCGTAGAGAACTTTTTTTTTTTTTTGACATGGTAGTGGTTGGCGCATGCTGAGCTTAAGCTTATATGTATACCTTCTATAACTTGAATAGCGTTACCAGCAATCGTGCGCAGAATGTTGGGTCAATTCGAAGGCAAAGGTACCCTATTTTATATTCAAATGATTTTCATTGATTTTTGATATTCTTTTTTTAACCTTCCATCACTATTACTTGCTCGGAGGGCAAGCACCGTCAACCGGCCTCCTACAGTGTATAAATGCAGTGTCTGCAGTTGCCTAGGGAGGTAGTCGTAGACCATGCCCAAGTAATAAAGGGTGAGTTTTATTTTCAATGGTTCGATTTTGCCACTCTCTCATCAATAGACCTTTAAACCTTATTTTTTTCCTTTTCACCGCTTTAATAGCGTTGTTAGGGATTCAGCGCAAAATGGTGCCAGGCCTGTACGCATACGAAGTATTTGCTTTTGAAGGTGGTGAAGATGAAAATGAAAGACCCGTGCAAAGACAAAGGTGTGCTGCTTTTTGTTCGGATTTTTATTGGCTTATTATATTATACATTATGCGTTCTTAATCTTACACCATTACTATTTACCGTTGACCTTCAGAATACACGAGCGTAAAGGTGATTCTTCTGTCGAAGATGATTTCTTTGCCGAAAACAACTTTCTATCACTCGCTAGAAAAAGGTTTCAGCAAGATTCCGTTTCGGGTCCCAACATTATGCATTATAGGCACCGCGTCGAGCCGATGGTCAGCTGCCCTTATTGCGGTACCTTCATGTTTATTGAAGAATGTGTGTGCAACGCAGTAGCAAAAGCCGACCAGAATTTTCGTTGTGCTGTGGGAGAGGTCAAGTAAATATTCCTCCGCTCGAGCTTGATTGAACTTCTTGATGGCCAGAGCGGCAAGGTAAGTTATTCCGTAAACACATATAGGCATATAACTGCGCTCTTTCGTTCACGTCTATGGAAGTAAATCTTGATAAAGGCCTTGCGAACAACCGATATGGAGTGTATACGCTTCGTATCAACGGAGTGGTTGCTCATCTGATTGATCTTATGACGCCAGTTGGAGGTGCTGCCTCTCAGCTCCTGCAGGTTCATGCTCACATTCATGGCCCTGTTCAGCAAGCAAGGATCCGTAATAACCATTTTTGGGGGATTCCCTGATGAAGATCTGTTGTAGGAACTACAGTAGCTCCTTGAACTACACCACCCAATAGCCTATACGCTCAAGGGCACCAGGGAGCATGCGCACAAGGATATCATGCGGCTGAAGGTCGTCATCCATGCTGGGCCTCAGCATGAGAGAAGGGGGCAAAGGTGAATGCAGTACAGGCCCTCTCATCAACTGAAATCGCGGTGATAATGCCTGGCGACAGTAATAAGGTTTCTCAGCGAGATATCATAATAGAAAGCAGAGCTAGTAGTTTGAAAAAAAAAAAAAAAAAAAAAAAAAAACCAGTGAGGTCCATCCAGCTTACGACAGCCTCCATTATGTCCTCTTGCATCCAAAAGGCGAGGGGGGACTGGACATATAAAAAGTATAAAAAATAGCCTAGGCCAGGTCGAACCTCCGCAAGGTCTCATGATGCTAGTGATGACAGAGGTAGCGATGACGGTCAGCTAGAGGATGCGGGTGGGGGTGATGGCCAAACTAGGAAAAATCGAGAATACGCCGATCTGAGAGAGTTTTACACGTACAGGCTGCAGATTCGTCCTTTGAGCTCAACAGACTAGCGGCCTTTCATCTGGATGAATACGCGATTGACTCATCAGTGCGCTGTCGATCAATATGCCAAGCTGGGGGCGGGTCGGCTTCGGTTCATCAGCGGGAACCAGTCTAAGCTGAAGGCGGATGCATATATCGACGTAATAGGTGCAATTGAGCTTAACCTCAGATCGGAAAACATCGGAAAGTGTATTACCTTGCCAGAATCTTAAGGTGTTGATTGGGAATGGTAAGATAGGAGGCAGACCTGGGCTATACACGCGGAATATTGTCTACAAGGATGCTTTGTAGACAGGCATGTCTCTCATTCACTGCCGTATCTTCCATTATTTTTATAGTGTATTTTTACTTTGTTGTGTACTTTACTACCGTATAGTATTTTACCTGATTTTACTTTATTATATTTTTATATAGTCGATTTTTTTTGTAATTTTGAAATGGCAAAAAAAGACCCGATCAATAAAAAAGTTATGCAAAGATACTATTCGTATATATAATAACGCTTTTATTTTCAAAACCAATCGCTTTATTTGTCTTCATGAGGCAAAGAGCTAAATTCCTAACGAGGCAAGAGCCAGCCGCGGTGAAGCCACGATCTCCGGCTCGTTAGTTTCAAAAGGTAGAGGTATGCGCCATCGTTGCTGTAGATCAATGTTTCTTTACAGTTTGATTGCCACTCACCAGAGCCTTTATCTCAATATCATGGCTCGAGAAGTTGCAGGAAGCACATATCTCGCCTTCTTTCCCTTGATGTGGGCCAGTCGTGGTGTCCTTTTCAGAATGGGATTACTCGGCGATAATTCTTGATATGTACCTATTGGTAGGACCGTCTATCAAAGGTATTAATAAAAGCACTAGCAGTTAAAAATGTTGGCTCGAAAAGCGATGATGCACACCGTGGGATACAAGAGCGTTTCCTGTACTTCAAAGCAAACTATAGCAAACGAATATAAAATACCGCCATCAACCTGTCCCTATCCTTACCGGTATCAACTACGCCATGCAAATAGATGGAAGCTATCGAAAAAGAGGACAGTAGAGGTAGCTCAAATGCCAAGGGATACTGAAATGTGAATGGTATCTCTGTTGTTGTTGTGGTCGATTGGTTTGAACTATAGGCCTTTTAAGAAACTGTTACAATAAACCAACTTGAAATGCAAATCAGTATTTGGAATTGTAAGCGAAGATGGAATGTAAGCAGTGTCTGAGAAATTTTGTTACGCTTAAAGGTCCTTCGCTTTCCAACGATGGTTACTTCGCAATCCTCGACTCACATAACTATAGACTAAAACTACGGCGTCTTCAACAATAAAGCCTCCTTCGGATTCTAGCCACAGGCGCTATTGCATTCACTGCCACCGCTCTAGCAATGCCTTCGATGACCAAGCGAGTGGTTGATGGCACTAAAGTTATCGGTTGTCTCGCAAGGTAATGTCTGTCGTCCTTGTAGCTGCGAGTTGTAGGCAAATATCGCCTTTTTAAATGAAATGCATCGCAAACTTAACATGACTATATGATATACTATAGTGTCTTCATGAAAGGTGAAGAGGCTTGGACTCCTGAATGTGCTACAGCTGCAGCGGTAAGCCCGTTTCTTTCTCTCACTCCTCCTTTGTTTTTCTCTTTTTTGAGGTAGATGTCTTTTTTTTAACCTACCTTTCTTTGGTATCTTATAAACTGATTTCAGGCTTGCTCAAGAGGTCAGCTTTGATGAGCTAGCTCTTGATTTTACGAAATCTGAGCCGACACTATCATCAAGTGTAAAAGTACCATTGATATCTTTCCCTGGAATCAGTTGACCTATTACGAAGCTTGCTGGTCGCGTAAGCTGACGACCCGTCCCCTTGTAAAGAGGCTACATGAGCAAAAGAAAGAAAAAGCAATAGCCACCCAGATTGTCCTATTCTCTTCTCCTCTATTTCTTAGATGAATTTTCTTATAAGTGTATCTCATATACCTTGGTATTCTTTTGCCAGTGGATAACGGCGCTTTGGCAGCTCTTGCTCATTCTTCTCTTCCCAAAAAAAAAAAAAAAGGATAATAGCGGCGCAATCGCAAGGCTTAAGCCGCCAAGCGCTTCTGCCAAAGTCGAAGGCGACACCGTTTTGAAGACCATACCAGGACAGGAAGCCAAGACCCCCGAATCCACGAGACAATGATGAACCAACGCTCTCATACATTCAACATCAAGGGAAATGCCGATGTTACGCTCAAGGTCCCTGATATCTCGTTCCTAGGTGGGCCCAATAGTGCTGCTTCCCCTTTTGCCCCCTCGCTACCAACATTGGTTTCTCATCCCCTACCACTTTGGGAGAGGATGGGGGGAGGAGGCCAAGTCCTTGAGTCAAAGAAGTCTCGCCAAGGACGCAAAGTCGGGTATCGCTACATTGATACATACGATTAATCCCCATAACCCTTCTCAAGTAACTCTGAAATTGGGGATACTAAATATAACGTGCTCAATGCTAAGGGAGGCTTAGTAGGAGCCGCTACTGTCCCGAACCACATCCTGGCCAGGGATGATAAGACTGTGACATTTACTATAACGTTCATTGATCGCGGTGCCTATGATGCCTTGATAACCTAAAGCAATACGTTCACAGTAGCAGGTATTGATGGCATTGTAAAAAACTCCATCATGGCCAAAGGAATGAATACCCTTAGGTCTCAAATGACGATTCTTAAGCTTATAGCCGCATAGAACAGGAAAAATAAAAAAAAACAAAAAATTAAAAAAAAAAAAGATAGTAGCTGTGATTACAAGGGTCCATAGCATCTTACGACCATTGTAGCCATCACCAAGATGATGATTAAAACATGAGTAGGCCAACCAGCTTCTACATTGATCCAAGTCTGCGCTTGATATTGTCCTATTCCAATCAGTCACATGGATGACTATCGACCAGCAATACTCACATTGCAACCTCTCTACGGATGAGCAAGGTTATTAGCTATCATGAATGCTTTGATGACATAAAGGCATTATCCGGGTAGAATGTACACGAGTTTGTGTCAAATCATGACATTTTCTGTCATTACCACCTTCAAGAGTTCAATAGCTTGCCAGGCACGCCAGATGGAGTTGCAAATTAAGGATAGTATCGTTTCATTGGTCAGACTTTGGCCAATATGTAGTCTCTGGCATTAACGTTGGACTAACGCCAAAAAATGTTTAGAGAGAAGGTGAGAACTAAAGTTTGGGCGAAGCACTTGGATAGTGTAACGCCATAAGGTAAACTCTAGTAACCCATACTAACAGTTTTCAGAGTTGGATTTTAGAGTGCCAACCTCTCCACCTTTCTGCATTGCATCGAAATGTGAAACATATCCAAGCTCCCTACAAACAAGGAAAAGATTACCATATACATACATATGAAATTATCTATATTTTGCAAAGCTTTTCATCAACCAGTTTGTCTGACAAGAAAACTATGATCTAAAACTGCACCATGGTTGATCGTTAACAGAACTATACAGAGTTCTGAAGTACGGTTAAAGCAATCGAGGGAAGAAGAGCAAAGTCTCATGTTAATCTCTCGATGCTAGTTTTGGTGACCAAGAAGGCGAAGACGCAGAATGAGGGCTCAAGGGACAAGCGATGTCAAGGACGCAAACGCTGTTCATATCCTCCACACTGGACAGAGCATGTGTTACCAAGATGCAAGAGATGTGGGATGTAAGGAAGAAAAGGACGATAGCTTATCTAAATAGATTAAGGAGCAAAGCTAGGGCAAATATATGGAGGTTCAATATCTGAAGAGACAGGCCTTGTGGGTCAAAAGACAACGGTGGACGGGTGTATAAACACGGTGGAGATGTATTTTGTCCTTGTCACATTAAATGACGTTTATTTAGACACTTCGCAGCAGGTTTCGCGATGGAATACAATGTGCTCAGATCCACTGTAAACGGTGCTTAAACAAAGAGGCACCGCCGCTCGCATCCTGAATTTAGAATAGCCCAAAGTATTGAGGAAAAAGGGATATTGGGGGACCACCCTTTGGGGTATTACTAATCAATTACACAAAAAGTGTTGTTAAACTCTCACAATGCGTTTATGCCAAGGATGCAAGAAAAGTAAAAGGATTAAGGGCAAATAACAAAGTGCTATTGGGGGAGGTTTGACCAGAGCAGCTCCAGTTCATGCTAGTAGCTAGACTGATACCTACTGCTGCAATGATAGCTCAACCGTCGATCTAGCAATGATGTTAATCTGTACCAAGCATTTACGAGGGAGGATGTGTCCGGGGCAGAGCATCGATAGAACTATCCTTAAGCCATCATATGGCAAGCATAACTAAATAAAGAGCACTTGGCAATCATCTTTCACCCGCACACATCCTTTCAATGCATCATTAATAATCCAGACTGCCTTTTAGCTTTGAGTAAAGTCTTAGCTGCCGGAGAATTGTTTAATAAACACAAATATACCACGAGTAGTCTTCTGAATAACATGGCGCGATACCCTTTTTATTTGATGTGCTCGATGCAGATTATATGGAGCAGTTTGTGAATGGTGCTATGTTTTCGAGATTGATGTGCTCTGTAAAAAAAAAAGAGTTGGAGATAGGAGATAGTGCCAAGAATGGGAGCTCTTTTTGCTGTAGAAACCATGGGTTCTTTGATTTAAACATTTACAACAGTTAGAAACAAAGACGATGTTTTTATCTTGAATCGTGCCATGGTAGGCCGTTTGCAAAGTGCATAAACCAGAATATCCCCATCTCAATTTAAGCCCCTGTATCGCTTTATTCACAACCTTTAACTACAATGGCCATTATTAATGAGATTCACGCGGCAAATCAAGCTTACGTTAACAGCCGTTCCAAAGGCCAATTACTTCTCCTACCAACGCGTAAGGTGGCAATCGTCACATTAAGAAAACCTTAGTGCCTGTTCCGAGCATGTAAATAATACTCTCGCTATTGGTGTTTTGTATACCATTGAAATAACCTTTTCGGCGTTGTCTGTCTTGTTTAACTTTGTCATCAGTGCATGGATGCTTGAATTCTTCCCGCCAGCGTTTTTGGCCTCAAGGAAGGTGATGTTCATGTCATCCGTAACGCTGGAGGATGTGCTCCGGAAGCCTTGCGATCATTAGTTATCTCAGAGCAGCTCCTTAACACTGACAATGTTATTGTTGCGCAACACACTGATTGCGGAATGCTCACATTTGAGAACCAGGATACCTATTCTATTATCCATAAGAACCTGGGTGTTGATGCTACTCATATCAACTTTTTGCCCTTCCCGCAAAACGTGCGTGATGATATGGCTTTCCTTCGCAACAATCCATTGATCCCCAAGTCTGTCAACATTTATGACTATGTCTACGATGTCGCCACTGGTCATCTCATATTTATTGATTTAGAGAATAGCGAGACTTTTATTTTTTTTTTTATTTTTTATTTTTTATTTTTTCAAAACTTTTAATGGTTCCAAAATAAAAATCTAAGCAATCTAGGCTGAAGGAGACTTGGCTTCGACCACTACCTGAGCAAATTCACCATTGTCAATCATTTCTGTGATAATATCAAGGCCACCAAGCAATTCACCCTTGAAGAACACCATTGGGAAAGTAGGCCAGTCAACGTGTGTCTTCAGGCCTTGACGGATATCATCATCTTCCAAAATGTCAAACGAATCATACGTGACACCCTGGTCAGCTAAAAGCGCAACCAATTTCCTATTCATTATAATAATAATAATAATAATAATAATAATAATAAAAAGAAAAAAAAAGAGGAGACAAACATAAAAGTATGCTCTCACGTCAGTCAGTTATCATAGTTTTATCGATCCATTATCTCAGTTTGATACCGTTGTGAACTGTAATGATGTATGCATTGCAAGATGTGTTCGTACTTTGAAAATCCACAGCGAGGAGTCTCTGGGCTGCCTTTGATAAAGATCATGAGGGGGGCCTTATTGATCAATTCATCCATTCGGGTCTTCAGATCTTTTTCTGCTGGGACGAGAGCCTGGAACTCGCCTGTAGCCACCATTTCCTTGACAACGTCCAATCCTCCGACAAATTCGCCCTTTACGTAAACCTAAGGCACGAAAATAGGGTATCCAGATATTAAACAATGTTAATACTTTCAAGCTTATTATACCTATTAAAACAAGGGGAAAATAACATGTATATAATATTTATACAAAAGATAAATCACATACTTGAGGAAATGTAGGCCAGTCTGAGAAAGCCTTCATAGCCTGTCGAACTTCATCGTCTGCCAGGATGTTGAATGAGCTGAAGCGGATGTTTTGAGCAGTTAGGATCTCGAGCAATTGACGTGAGAACTGGCAGCGAGGCGCCGTAGGCGTTCCTTTGATGAAGACCATAACGCTTGAACTGCTTGTCAACTCCTTGAGCCTGGCGTTCATCTCTTCAGGTGACAAAGTGGATGGTGTGACTGAAGGCAGAGCGCTGTTGCTTACTGCAGTTGATGACGAATGTCCAGGCAAAGGGGAAGAAGGGGTCTTTGAATGCTTTGCAATTGTCTTTGACAGTTCTGGAGGATTTGCTCCGTCAACACGGTCCACAACTTCGCCCTCCTAAGAGAAAGATTGATCGTAGCTGGAGCATCAGTCTCGCGCAAGTGAAAATTATAATGTATAGTGTGTAATACCACAGCAAGTTGCTAGTTCCTTGATAAAACTCCAGGGTCACAATCCACAATGCAAATGCCTTGCTGTCCTATTCACAACGAGTTACCTTGACGATCACAAAGCTAGGTACTGCTGCAATTTCATACTCCTCTGAGATGTCTGGAAACTTTTCAGCCTCGATCTAGAAGGGGAAAAAAACAAAGAAAGTTAACTTCACTGGTTAAATTAAAAGAGTTTAAGGATAGATTTCTGATTTGATTGTCATACTTTGATGAATCGAATCGCTGGATTCTTTGTTGCAAGTTCCTCAAAGATTTCATTCATCTGAGTGCATGGAGGGGCCCAAGAGGCCCAGAAATTGAAAGCATAGACGGTAGAGGAGGAAGGATCAAAGATTTTAGCGAACTGTTCGTCGCTCTCTAGATCAGTATAATTGGGAGAAGGCATTGTTGTTATTTAATGATGGATGTGAGTATGCGAGGGAAGAGTAATGATCTTGAGTGCGAGGAGAGAGAATATTTAAGGTGTGGGGAAAGGAAAAGTGGATCTTGGAAATACAAAAAAAGAAAAAAAAAAGAGTTAGTCAGCAGTTGACGAGTTTAATCGGAACCCAAAATGGACTCATCTCGTCTGCTAACGGAACAAAGTGGAGTCAAGATAACAAAGCATGGTATATACACACACATATATATATATACATGTAGCATATGGTATATATATATGTATACATATAAAATCGAAAGTGTTTGCTTTTTGCAAAAGGATTTGCTTTATTTTACAAGAGCCAGGTTACAGTTGGCAGACTAAAAGACATCGACCTGCTGTGATCCCAGAGGATTAAACAATAAAGGTTGGAGGGGTAGGAGATGTTTTGGTTCTATACAAATAACAGATAAAAGAAAAAGGAGACAAGACAAGTGACTTGATATTTATCCGCCGAAACCGTAAAGGGTGCGACCCTGGCGCTTGAGAGCATAGACGACATCGAGCGAGGTGACGGTCTTGCGCTTGGCATGCTCGGTGTAGGTGACGGCATCACGGATGACATTCTCGAGGAAGACCTTGAGGACAGAGCGAGTCTCTTCATAGATGAGACCGGAGATACGCTTGACACCACCACGACGGGCAAGACGACGGATAGCGGGCTTGGTGATACCCTGGATGTTATCACGAAGAATCTTGCGATGGCGCTTGGCACCACCTTTTCCAAGACCCTTTCCTCCTTTACCGCGTCCAGACATGTTTTGTTGTTGGGTTTGAGGTTGTAATTGAAAGTGAGAGATGTGAGAGAGAGAGAGACAGAAAGAATAAAAATTTAAAAAAAGAAAGACAGAAGCAACTGAAAAAGATGAGAAAAGTTGGTGTGCCTTTTTAAAGGGGAAAAAAAATTGGCCAGTCAAGTTTAAAAATTCGACAGATGAAATGTTACAAAAAAACCGCGCTTTAATTTTTATTTTTTCGAATTCATCCAAAATTAAAAACATTAAACTAGTCTCGCGATGTCAAAACAAATTTTTTTTAAGCAAAGGAAGAAAAAAAAATAACAGTGCTCCGCAAATGCACATTCCCTCTCCGTACCTGCACACACACGCGTAATCCATAGCCAAAGTTGCATTTGTAGACATTTTTTTTATCCATTCACTAAAAAAAAAAGATCGCGCGTCTATTAAATAGTATTGAAAATCAAAGTTCAACGCGCTTTTTTACCATAGCAAAGTGGCTTTTCATATAAAATACTCTCCCAGCTCGTTTTGCTGTCGGTTTTCTTTTTTTTTTTATTTAGATTGTTTCCTTCTGTTCATCAAAACTTGAATCTCACTCACTCCATTCACAAAACACTCAATCTTTAACACAATGGCCCGTACCAAGCAAACCGCTCGCAAGTCCACAGGAGGAAAGGCTCCTCGCAAGCAGCTCGCCACTAAGGCTGCTCGTAAATCCGCCCCCGCCACCGGAGGTGTTAAGAAGCCTCACCGTTACCGTCCCGGTACTGTCGCTCTTCGTGAGATTCGTCGCTACCAAAAGTCGACTGAGCTCTTGATTCGCAAGCTTCCCTTCCAACGTCTCGTCCGTGAAATCGCTCAGGACTTCAAGACCGATCTTCGTTTCCAGTCCTCTGCCATTGGTGCTCTTCAGGAGGCCTCTGAGGCTTACCTTGTCTCTCTCTTTGAGGATACAAACTTGGCTGCCATCCACGCCAAGCGTGTCACCATCCAGCCCAAGGATATTCACTTGGCCCGCAGACTCCGTGGCGAGCGCACCTAAAGTGTCCTTTTTTCCTCTTCTCTTGTCATTATAATCCCATCCTCTTTGTAACATTAATTCCAACTTGCAGCTCTGCTTAGTGTCGTCTGATTATGTTTTTTTATTTTGGGTGAATCATTACTTGTAAAGTAGCAGTGCACCTTGCTAAACAAAAAAAAAAAGAAACGACACAGGAAAATAAAAGCTACTATACAACCCATTTCAATGATCACTTTAATGTTTGAATGTTTCTATACTTTGTTTAAAGTCGCTGCTACCTTGTACGATGCCAAAGATATCGATCTTTTTTACGCGTGACATGTCAAAGCGTCACGTCTTTTGGTTCACCTTCATTTTATTTTATTTTATTTTTTAACATTCTTTGACAAACAGACTATTTCACCATTCGTCATTCGACCATGTCCAGCACCTGCGATATTGACCCAAGTCTCGTACAAAAGATCGAAGCCTTTCGTTTCGCAAACAGATCTCAAGGAAATGCTGCTCTCATTTGTATGCACTGCAAAAGCTTCTTCGAACACTGTCTTTTCATATGTCGAGTCCACCACCTCTCTCTTTTTTTTTGTTAATCATTACTTACTTAATACTCATTATAGGCAAAATTGACAAAAACAAATTGCTCATTGAAGAGGATGATGATCTAGAATCAGTAAATATGGAGGAACTTGCGGAACAACTCCCAGAAAATACACCACGTTATGTTGTCCTGAGCTATGAGGTAAGGCGATGATGTATCCGAACCACGTTCCTCTGAGACAGTAGCAGCAGTATTCTAAAATTGTCATGTGTCCAAATATATAGTTGAAACATGATGATGGACGACGGTCATTCCCTTTGGTATTCCTTTATTATGCTCCTACTGGTGTTCGACCTGAACTCAACATGCTTTACGCTAGCGCCAAGACGCACTTCCAAAACACGGTTGGCCTCGGTAAAGTCATTGATCTGCAGGACGCGGAGGTGCTGACTGACAATTGGTTGCGTGCAAAGCTGCTCAAATAGCCAAATAAATCAACTCAATGCAATGTGAAGGCGAACTTTTTTTTTTTTTTTTTTTTTTTCGTTTTTTGCTTCTTGTTTATTATCATGTTACACACCATGATCGCTTTCTATCGTCCTTTGACTGGATCACTGCTCATGCTATAATGACATCGACTCTGCTACTATCGTTGCTATACTGCTACGGTTGATGCTGCAATATGGCTTAGGAATCGTTAACCAATGCGAGGATCATGCTATCAAATGCAAAAAATTGCGCATGTGTGTCAATTTGTCAGCTCAATAGTGATATCATTCTTTCCTGAATCTAGAGTTGATTCCTTTTTCAATACTCACCGGTAGAGGTAGTAGAAGAAGCTTAGCAAGTAAAAGCCCAACTTAATGAAGCACTCCTTTTTATGTTGGCCCAAAGTGCGGAAAATCTCTGTGGCATCAAACATATGCTTATTGTTCATAATTCTGTTGCCACGTATAGCGTTTTTTTTTTTTTTTTTTTTTTTTTTTTTAAAAAAAATAAAAATAGTCAGCGTATTGATCGTCATCTTATGTTTTTGTAAACATTCAAATAATTAAAATAGCAAAATGAATTGGCGTATATTAACTTGTTAGCATTATAAGCGACCAAAGGCAAATTCCAGGCGGTGGCAATGAATTGTCCAGAGATCAAAAAGATAAAGGTCATGAACGCCTGAACAAACATTTCAGGCAAGACAAACTAAATTTGAGAAAAGATGGAAGGATAAAAGAATAGAGTCAAGTAAGATACAGGAAATGGGATCAGACCAATCACCTTTGAAACATCCGCCGCGTAAAACGATAATATATATTTACCTGGTTGAGTTTATTACAAAGCTCGATCGGGTTGATATAGTCGACCTAAAGTTTGACGGAGATGGTTATTTCAAAAAAGAAACATGAAGACTAAATATCATCGTAAAACATGCGCTCATTGATTGCAAAATAAAGTCTAACTGAGCAAAAATCATACCTCAAGATCACTGATCAGAATGACCTAACCAGAGGTGAATTTTAAAGATATTTAAGAAATCAGTCAGAGTGTGTTTCCATTATCCATGTCAAGGCTGGTTGTTGCTAGTCATCATCCGATCCGGTCATTATCGAAGCTTCTTCATTTTTGCTTGAATAGCAACTACTCATAGTGACTTACAAAGAACACTTTGACAAATAGGAGACATGCGCCAACGATGACGCCAAAGAGAAAGACCATAGCCTCGGCAGACATGATGTAAGAATTGATGGGATGGAGAACTGAGATGCAGTATACAAATGAAGAGCAGATGCTAAAATGTTAAAGATGAGGAATACTAATGGTGAGGATGAATGGGAAAGAATAGTTGGACAGTTAAGACAGTTAAACGATGACACGAGGATTGCGTTGAAAATGTCCCTGGAAGCTCAGTGAAGCATAAGGAAACGTGTGTGGCTTGTAAAAAGAGAGTGAAATACATTTGTGGTTCAACAATCAGTGCTTTTTCCCTCTCTTACTTTGTCTCTTACAAAATGGTTAGTCACGTGGCTGGCTGTCATTAATATGGGAACGCAGGACATGGAAGCATAGTCTTTTTGAGTACAACGCGATGGCGCATCAAATTATTGGCCAAAAAATCGCCATATCCATCCATCCACTATCCATCGTTCAGGAATAATAGGGCTTTCGATATCGTACTGGCGCCTTCAAGACTATGGATGAAGTTTGCGTTACGCCAATATCAGATTTATTACATGGATGGATTTCGATGCACCCCACGAATGAATGCAAAAAAAAAAAAGCATACAACAATTACAGTATCCAATGCTGACTGTGCTGCCTCCCTGTAACTGTTAATTCTAGCCTACCCGTCTGCATCATAACCGCAAAAAGAGAGGTACAGAATCTGATCCTTAGATCCTGACATACCAACTCGCTGTTCTTGAAGGCTAGCTCCGATATTGATTCAATTATTTTTCTCTTTGTGTTATGATTAGGTCACGTCTCTGCTGGTCACGGTCGTGTTGGTGAGTGCCTTTTTTTTTGACCTGGATGGGCTTCAGTGAAGTAGAGGTCTCACCGACGGTAATCAACATTACCTCTTTGCAACAACGTCAACAGCACAAAGGACTGTAGCACAATAGGACACGAGGATAACAGAACAGTTAGAGAGGACAGCTGAGTTGGACCTTCATTGGATCCATGAAACCAAAGTTTAGATGCTGATTGTTTTACTTGAAAAAAGCAATGTCTTTTTCACGGGAGTAATGAAGCAATCTCTGTCATCAACATATTTTGAATCATCGATCGTTCAGCAATCCTTCAGAGATGTTACTTTAAAATCTGATTCTTCACCACAGATCTAGTAAAACTGAAATCCGGACATGAGCTGCAAAGACTTTGTGGAATATGATTTTTCATGAAACAAAGTGAGCAAAGTGCAACCGTCTTTAGTGCTGCACCAGGTGTTTGTCTATGGAGTTAGCTCACGATTATTCGCCCAGGACTTGTTGGCTTTGCATATGTGATCTATTGCGACTCAGGATTGTTTTCATGGAAATCAATATCTCGACACAACATATTGCTGAATGTTGACCCTATGATTTTTTTTCTTCATCTTCCCAGGCAAGCACCGTAAGCATCCTGGAGGTCGTGGTCTTGCTGGTGGTCAACATCACCACCGCATTAACATGGATAAATACCATCCTGGTTACTTCGGAAAGGTGGGTATGCGCCACTTCCACTTGACTCGCCAGAGCTACCACCGCCCTATCGTCAACTTGGACACCCTCTGGAGCCTCGTCTCTGAGCAGACTCGCAAGAATGCCGCAAAGAACACCGAGGTTGTCCCCGTCATCGATACTCTCCGTGCCGGATACGGCAAGGTTCTTGCCAAGGGTCGTCTCCCTCAACAGCCCGTCATCGTCAAGGCCCGCTACGTCTCCCGCGCTGCAGAGCAGAAGATTAAGGCTGTTGGTGGTGTCGTTCAGTTGGTTGCTTAAACATATCCTGAATATCTTTTAGTTGCCTTTGGACAGGTTGTAATAAAACATTTCAAAAAAAAAAAAAAAAAAAACTGCTCCAGATGGTTATCAAAGTTATCAAGGACTTGCTTTGTCAAATGCAACAATCAACTTTCAATTATTTTAAATTTGTTTTAATGTTTCTACATAAAAGCAGGCTATGATGTACAATGGGGTGATTTGATGAAGGCCCTGGAAGACAACGACTTATTAAAACACGAGAAGTTTTCCAGTATGTATGGAGGGTAACAAGGTAATTATAAAACAGAAGATGAAAAATGGCAGAAATAAGATAGACGATGTCATAGGATAAATAATCGTCAAGCCGATTGCTTGTAGGTGAAATACTCTATCCTGCTCATGTCAACTCCTTTCTTTACTTCGAGGAAGTGTACTTGGTAACAGCCTTGGTACCCTCAGAGACAGCGTGCTTGGCGAGTTCACCAGGAAGGATAAGACGGACAGCGGTCTGGATCTCGCGAGAAGAGATAGTAGAACGCTTGTTATAAGCAGCGAGCTTGGAAGCCTCACCGGCGATGCGCTCAAAGATATCATTGACGAACGAGTTGAGAATGGACATGGCCTTGTTGGAGATACCAGTGTCGGGGTGGACCTGCTTCAAGACCTTATAGATGTAGGAGGAGTAAGTTTCAGAACGGGTTTTCTTGCGTCCCTTGCCACCTTCAGACTTGGGCTTGCGTTCCTTCTTGTCAGAGGATGCAGCGGTCTTGGCAGGAGCCTTGCCTCCGGTGGAGGGCTTCTTCTCAGCAACGGGCTTTGGGGCCATTTTTTTTATGATACGTGTAAGAGTTGAAAGAGAATGAAAGAATTGAGATATAGCAGGTATCAATAACGTATAGAAACGAGCAGATCAGAGAGAGAGAGAAAAAGAGGTGAAAGCAGAAGAAAGCAATGTGGGCAGTCAAGGTCCTTTTATACAAACAATGTACAAAGATCATAATTAAACAGTAAGCTTGTTGTGTATTTAATTTGAAATCTCAAAAACAAATTTTTTTAAAAAACGCGGTTATTCAACGCGAGTTAAAGAAAGTCACTTTAGTTAAATACCTCCCCTTCCCCTAATTGCACGGATGTACCTCCAGTAGACGCGCTTAGTCCCAAAATTTTTCATTTTTTAGAATTCGAATTTTTTTTTTTTTTTTTTTTTTTCCAAAAATCTGTGTCTTTATAATTCTCATTTCATTCTTTGTCCTTACACATTCAAATTACTCTTTCACGCGTTGATCTCTCTTCACATTCGTTCATATAAATAGAAAGAATCAGCCCTCGGTACCCTTTTTTTTTTTCTTTTTTCTCCTTTTTGTCTCTTTTCCCTTTCTACTCTTCTCTTTCACTTCTGTATATTTGTATACTCAGCTCCAGAACAGCGGCTTCATACTCCCTCTTTCAACCAGTTTCAACAAAAAAAAACAACTTTTCACAATGTCTGGCGGCAAATCTGGTGGCAAGTCTGCTTCTGCTCCCAAGAACTCGACCTCGCGCTCTTCTAAGGCCGGTCTTCAGTTCCCTGTTGGTCGTATTCACCGTCATCTCCGCAAGGGTAACTATGCTCAGCGTGTTGGTGCTGGTGCCCCCGTCTACTTGGCTGCTGTCCTCGAGTATCTTGCTGCTGAAATTCTGGAGCTGGCTGGTAACGCTGCTCGCGACAACAAGAAGTCTCGTATCATTCCCCGTCACTTGCAACTCGCCATCCGTAACGATGAGGAATTGAACAAGTTGCTCGGTCACGTCACCATCGCCCAGGGTGGTGTCTTGCCCAACATCCATGACTCTCTCTTGCCCAAGAAGACCAAGAAGGGTGGTGTTGCTTCTCAGGAGCTGTAAAGAACAAAGAAAAGAATCAGAAAAAAAGCACAGTACTCGGTTAATCAGCATTTGCCAATAACTATCTGTTTTTCTCATTTCTTCAACTGTTTTTTTTATTATCGCCTTTTTTTTTCCGTTCTCTGAACTTGTATTTCATACCAAAACTCCTGCAACCCGCTTCATAGTAACTATTCTATTTTCTTGCGGCTACCGCTGACGTGTATCATTAAATGGAAATTTAAAAAACAAGCCATGCATTGATAAATTAGGACTTGATTAATCATGAGATATTGAAGATCCATATCCTGATTAAGTCTTTAAGATCTCATCAGGCTATGGAAGGAACTATAAATAAGTGGAGACGTTACTGACGCAGGGTTGGCGGTGGATATTAAATATTAAATATGCTCAAACATTTATTCTATGGGATTATAAACTGGGTAGAGAACCATCTTCATAATAATTAATGTCACATCGACATAAACTGGTTTCACACTAGGAATCGACGGCAAGAAATAGATACAAATTACATCCTCATTTTCCCTTGGCCACCACCTCACGACAATCCTCTGTCACTAATGAAACAACGCCCAATAAGCGCACCTCGACTTCATGTTGACGTCCAGACATCCTTTTATCGGAGAATGCAATGGATATATTTACCATGCAGGAGACGAGGCACAGTCGGTCGCTGACATCGAGAGCAGTCTCGTTCATGGCAGCCGAGTGGAAGTCGCAGACTATAGGACACATGTCAGGGAAATTGAGACGGAACCCGAATCGTCCTATAACGACAGTAAGAAGACCTGGAAGTGGCACGCCTTTGACGCCATGAAGGACCTCCAGAGAAATTTTGGCGCTTGTCTGATTAGCCTATCGAGGATAATGAGAGCTCGTAGGAAGACAACATTGGTGTCGGACTCGGCGAACTTTCCTTAAACAGCAGGCTGTCTTCGCTTCACAGGCCTGTTAAGAGCCATTTCGACCAAGTATCAGGCGCAATACTGGGAGTACCGACCATATTCCTTGCCATTTTATTACCATTACCATACATTCTTTTTACAATAGACACGAGCCCGGACTCATGGCTATAGATGTTAGTGTCAAGATTTTGTAGGCATTGGTGGTAAGTAACAAGCTGGCCCTCTCTAAAAAAAAAAAAAAAAAAAAAAAAAACGTGACGTAATTTAAGGATTTCGAGCCACAGTCCTCGAGACGGGGTGGAGGCATCATCAGATCTTTCTTGATCTGCATCTAAACTAGGCAAACTTATTCTTTCTTTCTTAGTCATTGCACTATCTCAGCTCCTCTCTTTATTAAGGTTCCCCCCCTTGGCTTCACTTTCTATAATAATCAAGTTTGTCCGTTTTTTTTTTTTTTTTCTTTTTTTTCGCGTGTATTCGAAACGTGATCCTGGCTTCAAATAAGGCCATTCAGCAACTGTAACACCCCTTGCCCTCGCGTATCATCGCTGCATGAAACCCTGCTTTATTCGTTGCAATCGACACTGTTGTACTGCACCTCTGCGTCTCTTCATCGTCTTATTCCAACTCGTGCTGCCATTACTTGAGCTGTCTTAAAAGTACGCAAAGCAACAAAATCAGACGACACGCTCTGATTGCATCCCTCCTAAACATTTGTCAAAGTGGAGATGTGCCAACAATCGCATAATTATAACATCGATTACTTCTTGTAATTCTTCAATCGAAAGTCTTGTAGGATTCATCCAAGAACCACAATAAATTGAAACATCCTTCAGTCTGTTCAGAGTGTTTCTATCAGTACAAACAACATTTCAGTAGCTTGTTCACCCAGGAACCGCCATAATGGAAACCAAAAAGCGGCCCAACGAAGATACTCTTGAGTCTAGGGTTGAATCATCTGCAGGGCATGCATCCGAAACTAGCCTAGCACCGATGGACATTGAAATGACCAAGGCAGATTCTCCCCAAACCGTTGTGACTGAATCGAATAAAGCGATTTCAGCTGGTGATTCTAATAAAAGGTACAAGCCCACAAAAGAGAGCGAAAAATCTGGGACTGATTACTCTTCTGTATCAACAGATTTGGCTGATCCTTCTACTGAGACTAAGGCTCTGGCAGATTGGGTTGAGAAGATGGATGAGGATGACAAGGCTAAAGGTCAGTATGTCCCACCAGTCGATATTTTGCATCTATTTTCTTGGAAGATCTAATTATCTTATCATCACACAATTTCTTTCTTGTTTTTGCCCAAAAGGTGGAATGACTGAAGCCTCTTTGGTCGATAAAGCGTCAACAATGAACGAAGACAAACGTATGTTTCTTGTCTATTCATGATAACACAATAGCAACCGTATATTTCTTAACATGGATACCATTGCTTACATACTACCTATTACTATTATTCAGTTCCTGGATTTAATTCCACCAAGGTAGATCCTTCATCTAAAGAAATCGACAAAGACTCCATGTCTTCGAAACCCAAAGCTATTGCAGATGAAAGTTCCGATCGGACTTTAGAAAACATCGGCAAGGAGTCCGTTGTAGGATTATCCGATTCTATTCTTGCAGTCGGGTCTCTGTCAGAGCCACTTGTCAGTACGCTGGAAACGTTGGAGAATGAGGAACAGGCCTCAATCAATAATACAAAGCAATCTCCAGTGCAGGAGGCAGATGATACGAATACCCACCCTCAGTCCCCTTCAACTACAGTAGACACTAAAATGGACACAGATACCAGAATTAGTGAACCAATGAACCATAACTTTACGAATCAGGCGGTGGACGACACAGTAGAGTGTGAGGGAACTGCGAGTAAGAAAGAGCAATCCCACCCATATCCTGATACTGCAGGACAGCATCAGAATATTAATAATGATGATAATAGCAACAATAACATTAATGGCAACCTTCAACAGTCTGAGCCTGACAGAAGCGCATCAGTAAAGATTTCCGATATATTTGTTAAGGAGGGCTCTACTATAGAGGCATCCCAAGCTGCCAGTGCTATTGAATCAGTCAATGGTGCTTTGGAAAAAAATAGCGATGGGCTTTGGCATAGTTCGCGAGAAGCTGACACGATGGCTGTACAAGCAAAGCCCCTGTCAGAGTCAAAGGAGACCAGACCTGAACCAGAAGAGAAGGAGTCATCATATCCTATCAACCGTCCGACTCAACAACCGACACTATCTTCTGCTTCTCATCCTCCAGGTACTCAAGCTGCATCGTCCAATCCGGACGTTAGGGGCAATAGCTTGCCTCCTATCAGCTCACTCTCTGCTTCACAAGATGTGCCAGCTTCTTCACAGCCATTACAGACTACTACTAGGCCATCACGGAGTTCCATGTCTGTTTCCGCACTTTTGCTCAATAACGATGACGTTCAGGAGCAAGAACAGGACCATGGTAGGCGTAACTCAAAAAACATTTTTGATCCATTTGGTGCATCTGATTCCGCTTCCAAGGCTTCTTCACCATCACCAGTTCCAGTAAAACCGTTGCATCCTACTTCCTCACAGACTATGACATCGTCTCAACCGCTTTCGCAGCTGTCTAAAGCACCCTTAACTCCACATCAGTCTTCGCCAACTTCGCCACGTTTGTCAAGTAGTGCTGCTGCCTCTGCACGCGCCCAAGATTCTATGGAGGTAGCACCTATACATCAAAGCAGTAGTGAATATGGACGAGATAATTTACCAAGTGGGCGTAATTATGATTCAGCGCTACAACCTCATCCAACGTCTAAAGGTCTCACCAATAGAGACTATGCTTCAGATGAGATTGTAGAATCGGGAGGGATGGGAGGGTATGCAAACCAGCGCCATCGTCTTTCATCACCAGTAGGTGTTCGGCCTCTACAGGAGCCAGTCAGTGGATCTGCTACTACAGGTTCGGGTCATCAGAATAATAAATTACCAGGACTCGGAAGCATAGCAAGCGTAACGCCTGCACATGCACATGATCCCCATTTTCATTCTGGAGGCTACAGGAACGATAACTCGCATGTCTCTATAAGTAGCAGTCGAACTAGATCGTTTTCTCCTAACCAGCACACACATTCTTCTGGAGCAAATGGCCCTGCACACTATTCTGGTACCACAGGGCATATTAGTTACTCAGGACTGTCTCAAACGTCACCGTCGTCTGCCATGCTAGTAGGAGCTGGATCTGCAAACCATCATCCGAGGTTGATTGTCAAGAATGATCCAAATTTGAAAATGGAAGGACGACCAGAGCAATTTTTAGGTGAGAGCAGTTAAAAAAAAAAAAAAAAAAAAAAAAAGAGATTTAGTTATGAACTGGTCTTATTTATTTATTTATTTATTCTTTTTTTTTTTTTTTTAAAAAAAAAAAAAAAAAAAAAAAAAAAGGTTACTTCCGATATGATCCTGCTCAATTACTTCCAAGCATGCAAGGGAAAGAGAATTCGATGCTTGAAGTTCGTGTTGCATCATCATACTTGACCTACAACAATGCCAAAATAAAGAAACGGGAAGTTTGGGGCACAGATGTCTACACAGATGATTCGGATGTTGTAGCGAGTATGTATTTTGGTAGCTTTAGCTACTAGGCTTTTCTCATTATGCTTGATTCACGAATGGACAATGATTCCTAACCTGTGATTTTTTTCTTTCCTTTTTCTTATTGGGGTGGATGTTTGGCCTCTTAGTGCTAATTCATAGCGGATTTTACATACCTCCGCTGAATGCTAACAGTACAGAACAGGATTTGCTGCACCCGACTAGTCAGCAGCATAATTTTGTGCCTGAACCAATTAAACATATCTGCCCCGGTTTTGATCTTGCTGTGACTTTACGTGTTCTCCCAAAACTCGTCAAATACCAAGGATCTATCCGTCATCGCATCAAAAGTCGCACTTGGAACACAGGACATGACGGAGTCAGTTTTAAGATAGAGTCTATTCGTAAACTCTGTCCTGGTGAGGCTCTAAATCGGGGTCGCGGTCAGAGTAAACTTCGAATGAAGGAATATAATCAAGAACGGCTTCGGGTATTAGCCAACATTCATGATGAGACTACAGAAAGTCTTCAAAATGAACGGGCAATGCGTACTGCTACATTTGAATTTACAAACCAGGGCGACCCATGGTATAAATTAATTCATATTCTCGCCAAGAAAGCTTTTTGTAGTAACTCAAAGGAAAGACTATCGTTCTCATACTTTTTTTTTTCTCCTGTAGCTTCAAATACTCTCCTGAACTTGTCATGGATCGACACGATGGTCTGTCTCGAAAATGGACTAGTTGGCGACTCAAAAAAGAGGTTATGATACTAGAAAACGACGAAGAGCGTTACGAGATATCCTTGCAACATCATGCGGGGACGGATGCCCGACGCTTTGATCAATATCGTTTTGCTGTCATTTCGCCACGAACCTCGCTGTCCAGTTGGAGTAAGACCGCCTACCCTCTGGATCCTGCAGACTTGACTGAGGTGTTATATGAAGATCTTGATTGGCAGGACTTTGAATGGGTGGAGCGCGGTGTTGTTGTGCAACCGAGTCAACGAGCAAAACAGAACAGCAGCAGTTCCTCAATGGAGGGGGTGGAGCCAACTACCGAGGGGCAGAGTAAGACCTTTTTACCTACCACAGAGGTCATGGATATTGATGGTGGTGAATCCAAAGGGAATGGACAAGAAGATGGATCACGGAAATTAAAATCAGGGCCCAGTAATCCTTCGGATACTCTGGACACTCAACAAGACGGAGTCTTTTGCGTGGTGAGTCGACTCTTCTGGAGACCCATGTCGGAGTTGCGCCCTGCGAAATCAGTCAAGGTGGGTCAGTCCAAATCTACAGAAATTAAGCCTGCAAACGGTCTGGAGAAGATAAACGCTACAGAAATGCACCATCCTCAGGTGGAAGTGAAGGAAACGGCACCAACTTTGACTAAATCATCCGGAAATTCGTACGAGCAGATTGGAGTACCAAGTTCTAGTAGCGCAAGCCCAAAAACTAGTTCGGCACAAGACGATAATAATTCCAAAGCTCAAACATCTTTTGGAACTCTAAGAACAAAAGACCCCAGTCAGGATCATGTAGTAACTACAGTTTCTATATCTGACCAACCATCATCTGCGTCGATTGGGGCTGCAAGTGCAGTGCCTGCAACTACGGCACGGTCTGTCCAAGAGGCTGTCAGACCGCAAGAACCATCTGGACAACATGAGCCACAACATCTACAAGCCAAACCGCCTCATTCAGACTCGGTAGCTGCAGAACGGGAGGAAGGCGAACTCGAAGAGTCTGAATAGATCACATAAATCAAAAGAATAAGGAAAATCAAATGTAATATTTTTCGTAATATCGTACATAATATGCCATTGAGTGTCCACCATAAATATTTTTGTAATACGTTCCAAAAAAAAAAAAAAAAAAAAAAAAAAAGACGATATAATCTCAATAACATGTATATTTATTAGACTATGACTTCATGACTCCTGACGAGTAGCGATTCCATTTGCAGGCTGCATCCATCCAAATGGATCCTCAAGATCGCCGTTTTGGATGGCACGCATGGTAGTGTAGAGGCGTTGGAAACCAGTACCAATGGTCTTCTGTGTGGTGGGAGTGCCAATCATGATCTTGACACCGTTGCACTCAATTGACTTGACTGGAGTGATGACAGCAGCTGTGCCACAAGCAGCAACTTCTTCGAATCGATTATTTTCAACGTCCGTAAATGGGACAACGCTATTGTCAACGGCCCAGCCAAAACTCTTGGCCAATTGCACCAATGATTGCTTTGTAACGGAATTGAGAATCGAAGGACTTTCGGGTGCACAGAAAACAGGTTGGTTGCCGTGTTCAGGGGAGGCATAAGTCAATGCCACAAAGTTGGATGTGCTGAATTCATCAATGTTAGTGTGGGTTTTTGAGTCAAGGTGCAGAGTGATGGCATAGCCTTTTTCTTTGGCAGCGCTGCTGTGCTTTAGTACTGGAGCATAATTGCCACCCAGCTTAGCAGCGCCGGTTCCCAATGGTGCGGCTGTATAAAATAATCCAAAAAAAAAAAAAAAAAAAAAAAAAAAATGTTACCAAAGGTTTTAGTGTTGGTTCTAGTGCTAATCCATGTGAATAGGATGTACCATATTGCTTTAGGGCTATACACTGATCCGAAATACTCGTTTTAACCCTTCAAAAAAAAAAAAAAAACTAACCGCGATCAAAGTTCTCGACAACAAGGCAATCTACGGGCTGGACACCAGACTTGTAAAAGTTGCCTACCGGAATAACCATGACTATGAAGGTAAATTCAGGAGCAGGGTAGAGACCGATTTCAGGACCAGTACCGAGCAAGAGAGGACGAAGATAGAGAGCTCCGCCGGAACCATAAGGTGGTACATACTCAAGATTGCTAGCGACAGCGCGCTCACATGCCTCGACGAACAAATCCTCAGGAACAGGTGTCATGCTAGCGATATCAGCCGAGTAGGCCATACGCTTAGCGTTAACATCAGGGCGGAAAATTCTGACCTGGCCATCCTTGCAACGGAAAGCCTTGATACCTTCGAAACACTAGGACGATATGCGAATAAAAACCGTTAGATCAATTGTGAAGCGGAATTAATAAATTGATCTGGATATACCGAACATGACAGTAATCTCTCTTGTTTTAATACCTCTTGGCCATAATTCAATGCAGGGGCACAGATGTGCATCTTGATATAGGAATCGCGGACAAACTCGCCGCTATCCCACTTCCCATCGCGGTGAACGTATTTGACATAGCCATTAGTCTCGATCCATTTGAATCCGAGGTTATCCCAGTCAACAGCAGAAGTAGGTGGAGGTGGCAAAGTGATAACCATATTGTATGTATTTCAAGATAGAAGGAAGAGAAGGAGCGAAGAAGCGAGGGAAAAAAGAACAGCTTAGTGAGATGGAAGAAAAGAAAGAGAAAGATTAGGTGGAGATAAGAAATGTGGAGACGATCTTTGAGAGTAAAGGTGGCTGGGGAGTGGCATGACAAAAATGACTCGGTCGAAGCTAGCAATGCACTGACAGGCTTGAGATTTTAGGGGAAAAAAAGTCATTTCCCCCGCCGTTTGTACGACAGAAATTTTTTCTAAGTCGAAATATGCTGCTAGGAACCGATCCGCCCTAAAATCTCAAGTTTGGTCCAATCAGTGAGCGTTAGTGCATTGCACATAAGCCACACAGGCTGATGACGGGCTTAACAATAGGTCAAAGCTGAGCTGTGTGTCGTGACTGCTCCTGTTGTTCAGCAAGTGAGATGAAGGATTGCTTCATTCGAAAATCAATATTTATGACAAGGCCAAATGGACATTGCATCGTTCCCACTTATTAACAAACAGGCTGCTCGTGTTGTTCAAGACAGACACACAGAAGTGCTTGTTACAGCATTTATTGACAAAATTCTAATTCTGGTCACTCAATATGGCAAAATTGGGAGCGTGGTACGTATCTTTATAAACTCATTCAATGAGTTACCAAAATAATAATACTCATAATGATGGTAACAACAATCAATAGATTCATACAACGGTAGATCAACGAGCCTTTGGTGTCAACAGCATGTCATCAGACGGGCTAGCTTCAGTGACATCGAGTTTCTTGCTCGGAGCTGGATCATCTTCATCTAAAAAGACGCAACTCTATCAAGTCTATGCCTCACATATCTCACAGATGATTCATCACCAAAATCCAGCGGAAACAAGGCCCGTGATCCTCTCATTAGCGCTTTCAATCCAGGAACCAGACCCAGAGAAAAGCCTTGCAGAAGCAGAGGAGTTAGAACAACGCAGAAAGGATCGCGATCTGTTTGAGAATGTGATCGAGTTAGTCAATGAGTGTACCGTTTGGGCCTAGCTCAACTGAGGACAAAGCCTACTATATCCCCGTGACTATTTGATTTATAATAAAGGCAGAAGAGGATTTCTGATGATGCAATGATGCAACAGGATGGAAAGTGGTTAAGGAAGTGAGGCAAGGGGGTGGTTGAGAAATGTCAAGATTAGCTGAAGCGCTGGGCAAGTTGAATTTCATTTTTAGTTTTGAGCACCTGAACAATATTACAGAGCAATACTCAAAGTGTATCCGCGACTCTTTGACCCCTCTCACTTTCCTCTGTCTCATTCTTCTTGACTTTGTTCATCACCTTACTACCATACTCCTTCACTCTTGGCCAATTAAGATCAGCTGTCATTTCTTCTTTTCCTCTGCTGTCCACATTTCATCCTTCTCTCTCACACAGACACATTATTCCCTTTGCAATGAATTTTGCTCGTCCAAGAAGTGGGCGGTATGAAACCATCGCCGCTGAAGACGACCAAGACTATGCTGAACTTCGGTCTGTGGTGACAACCGACTCAATTGGCCAGCGTCCGATCCAAGTTGTTGGACCTTCTTCTATATCCTCATCCTCGTTCCGCTCCTTGCTTCAGAAAAGACCTACGCCTCAGCAGTATAATAACTATGGAGACAACGACTACGGGGATGACTTCAGTCAATACTCTTCAGACAATGAGAAGGAGAATGACCAGGGAGGCCCTATCGATGAAGATGGCTATTACCCGGAGCCCAAGGTGTGCATGAATGACCTAGGTGTCTGCTTCTAAGGACCTTCACACAATGCTTGATTTGGAAAGTAGGCCTTACTTATTTCTCCATAAACCCTGCTTTCTACTGCAAACGAATAGTTGACCCGATGTAACCGCATTTTTCTAAGTATCTTTGCGGTCTTCATCGTCCTCTGGGCAGCCTTTGCGCTCTATCTTGGTATCATGCGTCTAAGTAAGTTTCCCAGATCATGTTTCGGTTTGCTTAGCTAAAAAAGATCATTGGATAATGATATCCATAAAAGGAAGTTTAGGGTGGATACCACTGTAACACAACATCACTGGCATATGTAAAGATAGTTGTGTACCAGCACCCTGTCTCTACATTTTTCTCTGTCTCATTTTTCACCCAACAAGTGCTATTGCTCTGCCTCTACTATGTAGTAACATTTATCTAACTTTCACTCATGTTGTTTTGGTGGTCTTCACATTGTAGTTAGTCTTTCAAATGAAGATGCCCATGATATGCGCCCCTTGTACCAATTCGAGGACATGTTCAACCAGTCGTTTACGCCCAAAGCACAAGCTTTGGCATGGATGCCATATGGTAGGATGGAGTAATGTTGGATCAATTGTTTGTTCACGAGCGACAAAAAAACACTTCAGTCATGTATCTAGTTTCTAACCGAGCAACATTTGCGAATGTATTGACTTTATCGGTCTACGTAGGTGATGATGGCGTTTACTCGCGCATTGATAGTAATGGCGACATCATTCTAACCCATGTCGATAATTCTGAGCCAAAAGTTTTCCTTCCTGGAGCCAATATTACAGATGTAATGAATCTCCATCACCAATGCATCAGCATGTTCTTTGTTCATCAGCGAATACCTACACTACTTTTTGGAAAATACCAACCATTAATTTATCTTTCGTTACGTTAAATAGAACGAAGGCAAGCGTATCCCATTTTTCTCATTCTTGGTATCTCCTGACGAGAAATATGTGCTCCTTGCTACCGATCGTCGGAAGGTAATCTTTTTAGCACGATAAGATTTTCTCCACATTTCCCAAATATGTGCTTGAAATAAGCTATATTACTGGTCTTTTACTAATCTTTTTTCTATGCCCTACATAGCAATGGAGACACTCATTTAATGCGACATACTATATCTATAGTATGGAAAACTATAAGCTTTCGTCGCTTTTGGAATCACCAGATGAGCCTGCTGTAGAACATGTTGCATGGAGCCCTGTCGGACATAGTTTGGCATATGTTCAGAACAATAATCTCTATGTATACCAGGATTTGACTCAACGTCGTCAAATTACATTTGATGGGGCCACCAGCATCTTCAACGGTATCACTGATTGGGTCTATGAGGAGGAAGTTTATTCATCCCCCTCGGCTCTGTGGTGGTCTCCAGACGGCACCTCAATTGCTTTCTTGCGATTTGATGAAACTGAGGTACCCGAGTACCGTTACTCACTTTATATGGATAATCAAATTAATGCACCATCCTATCCTCGTGACATTGTCATGAAATACCCCAAAGTCGGTTTTCCCAATCCGATTGTCAACCTTCATCTTTATAACGTCCAATCTGAATTTGTACCCACTGCTGCTCAGCCACTCATTCCTGTGGACCTCGAGGCAATTTTCGAGGCAAAGGATAGGATTGTGGCGGAAGTAAAATGGGCTACAAAAAGCTCAGATGCCCTCTTGGTCAAGGTGCAGAATCGAGTTCAGAATCATGAAAAGCTTGTTCTTGTTGATCCGTTGACTTTGCAAGGCAAGGTTGTACGAGAATGGAATGCTGGTAAGGAAGATGGTGGCTGGATTGATATGCAACAAAGCATCCGGTATATTGCGCCTTCGAAGATGGTTCCAGATGGTGGCTATCTTGATATTGCCAACAACAATGGCTATAACCACATTGCTCTGCACACGCCTATCCATAACCCTACACCCAAGTGGCTAACATCAGGGAATTGGGAAGTACAGTCTATTTCTGCTGTCAAGGACGATACTGTTTATTACATCTCGACAGAGAAGACAAGTATCGAACGTCATCTCTACAGGTATGCTTGCTACCTAGGCTTTCTAAAAATTGCGTCTAAATCACTTTAATTTATCAATATTAAATAATATTCTATTTTGACATACTACATTCACAGCGTGACTCTAGACGCAAATGAGCGCAAGTCCCTTACGGATGTGACCCAACAAGGCTATTACTCTGCATCATTCTCAACAGGCGCTGGTTATTACCTTTTATCATATCGTGGCCCTGAAGTTCCATGGCAGAAGGTTAAGAAAATTACGGACGAGAAGTTCAACATCAATGTAGAAGACAATAGCGCTCTTCATGCGCTTCTCAATGCAACACAGATCCCCACCAGACGATGGTCAACTGTCAACTTGAATGGAAGAGGTATGTCATACTCCACATTTCTGTTTTGAAACTGCAACAATTGAAAAATAGTGGATATCACAGTTAATCAGAGGTCTTACTGGTATACTAGAGTGCAATTATATGGAATTTTTACCCCCTGATTTCTCACCCGAACAAAAGCATCCAGTACTATTCCAAGTGTATGGTGGCCCGGGCTCCCAATTGGTTGATACCCAATTCCAGTTAGGATTTAGCGCCGTCATGTCGACTGTGGCACGTCTCCGATATGTTGTGGTGGTTGTTGATGGCCGAGGTACGGGATATCGCGGCCGTGATTTCCGTATCAGTGTCGTCAACCAGCTTGGCAAGTTTGAGACCGAAGATCAGATCGCTGCTGGCAAGCATTGGAAAACATTGTCCTATGTGGATCCTGAACGATTGGCCATTTGGGGTTGGGTAAGTGGGATCTGGTCACTTGCATTATTGAAGATCTTTCATAAAATCATGTTTACTGATATCAGGCTCCAATTACGTACGCGCCCAACTATTCTATCTAGTCGTACGGAGGATTTATGGCGGCCAAGGTAACTGAAGCCAACAGCGGTGTTTTTAGGGCCGCCATGTCTGTAGCGCCAGTGACAGATTTCCGGTTTTATGACTCAGTCTACACGGAACGATATATGAACTTACCCTCCGTCAACTTGGAAGGTTATGAGACTACTGCAGTCAGTAATATGACTGGCTTCAACACCTCAGACTTTTTCCTCGTTCATGGAACTGGTGATGGTAATGACTCCTGCCTTTGAGCATTTTTTATTATTACCATATTGATCTTTAACTATATCGAAAATTTTAATCATGATCAAAACTATATAGATAATGTGCATATCCAGAATTCATTTGTGCTTTTGGACCGTTTGACTCTCGTTGGTAACCACCGGTTCAAGTCGCACTTCTTCACTGACAGTGATCATGGTATCCGAAGCCATAATGCCAACCATGAAGTCTACTGGATGTTAACACAGAACCTCTGGGAAATCATGGGTGGATATGTGGCCCCTGCGCATCACCACTAAAACACACAATAAAAGTGACTTGGTTTAGCTTTTAAATCTTCATTTGAATTGTATATATAAATATGTATATGATTTGTTGTTGATTGAAATCAAGAACAAGTTATGCAATCATTGCACAGGAAAATCCTCAAATGGAATTAGTTGTCTGCAGCAGCAACAGCAATGAGCATATTAAGCAAAAGGAGCACGTTCGTGTGGATTGCTGCTCGCTGCATCCGTCCACGTTACTCGATCTCCGTGTGCCTGTTTTGGGTGTAGTGTTAGTGCAGATAAAGGACGAGAATTTTTCTGTAGGGGTAAAAACGTTTGTCCGAAGTCTACCTTGCGATCGAGTTCCACCAGGAGAAATTCGTCTTGCCCCATGGGTGCTCGATCTACTGCCCACTCCTCCTACCAAAGTCCGCGTCGAAAGCATATCTGCAAATCAACCATGTATATGAGACAAAAAAGAAAAGACTTTATTGACAACATTTAGCAAGTCTACAGAGGATTGAATGTTTTTACTAATTCCTTGGGGATGCTGCTTCGATAGTGCACCTGGTTAAAAAGCTGATTGTTGCGCCATTAGAGGATAGCACTGGTCTTTACAGCATTACAAACTGGGTCAGACCGACCCACGCAACCAACTCTCAGATTATACAGAACAGGAAAACTACTCGGAACTGGATCGAGAAATCAATCAAACAAAGGATCGAAGGCCAGTTGGTAGGCCTTGGCTTCTCCTTCAGATGCTATTTTATCGCGTTGCGCCTCTAATAGAAAGCATTAAAATTCACCGTGTTTATAGGCGTGCGTTAATTCGTTCATCATGGCTAGAGTCAAGGCGCAAAGTTTTTTATTTAGGGTTTTGGATATTCAAGTCAACGGGTGTGACCTTGCAACTTCTAGCAGCAGTATAGGAGTTATCATGGAAGATACAGTCTTAGAAGTCGTCCCAAGTCCAATATCAATGCAGAGTGTAGCTGTTGACTTCAAAGGCATGGATGAACTTGGACGAGATATTTGCAAATTCATAGGTATAATAAGATGCTTGATTTCCAAATTGCGTTTGGCGACCTGGGTATTGATAATTTTCAGTCACATAACTCCAGACACATTCCATTCTTATAAGTTGATTCATTCCGCCAAGAAGAGGCATACACAAGACTTAACATACCCAACAAGAAAGCTGTTATCGTTACAGGAGTCTCAGGCGCGGGGAAGAAGACGCTTGTGCAGTATGTGAAGAATTTGGTTGATAAATATATTTTGAAAAGCTGCCAGATCAGGCTCTTTTATGTAGCACACGCTAATCGACATGAAAATCAGGATTAATCCTAATGGCATCTTGTGCTATTGTTATGTTTGTCAGAGCATGCTGCAAGTCGTTAGGTCTTCGCACCTTCCCAGTATCACTTGCACAGGCCCTCTCAGATCGAGAGGTATTGGAGTCTGGTCTAGCCAGTGGTTTATCATATATGGGAGCTCTATTCGATATGGCATTACAATCAGCTCCTAGTGCTGTGATACTGCAAGACATGGATGTTATTGCTAAAGGTATGTACTATATGGAATATGTATAACAAACCTTTTATGAGGTGCAGAAATCTTAATACAAGGCACATCTGAATCAACCTGTATCCACCTTTAGATCGCGGCATTGATTCTCAACTACACTCCTCTGCTGTGTCTGTTCTTTGCAAAGAAATAGAACGAGCTCGACAGGGAAAGAATGTAAGGACTTAACAAACGAGAAGAGAAAAAAAAAAAAAAAAAAAAAAAAAGGCCCTTCTTGATACACTTTAACGCCTCTGTAGATAGAACATACACGTTAACGCATCTTTTTACCCCTAGGTTTTTGTATTTGCTATTTCGCGATTTCGAGGGAAACTGCCAGACATCTTTCAAAAACCGGATTTTTTTCAGCATGAATTTCAAGTCCCTGTTCCCGTTAGGTTCGTGTTCACACCATTTTAATGCTACCTTGAATTTAGCCTTTATCTGAATTTTTTTTTTATTATCATTATAGAGCACAACGCCAAAAAATGTTAACCACCATCATGACTAGTATCAAGAGTGACGAAACTGTTGGGAATGGAGATATCGAGTGTATAGCATCTAAAACATCACAGGTAAAAGAGAATGATGAAGTAAATGTAAAGTCTATAATTCTTTGTGATTATTTACTTCTTTTTTTGTAATACTTTGTTCTAGGCGACTTCAGGCTATATTGCTAAAGATTTGCGCAACCTTTGTCGGTCTGCACTTCTCCGTAGTCTCCGAAGTCCATCCCAAAGTCCCAACGTTCCTATTAATGATGTGGGACAAGTAACGAGGCTAATGGCCAGCTCTCATATTTCGAGTACAGAAGATCATAATGCGTCTGCAAGAGCTGACAATTGCACAGACAGAATTGCTAATATAAACTTAATTGCGTCCCCAAAGTGGGAGGACTTCTTGTATGCTCTGAACTCGTCGAAACCTTCACAACAGATTGAGTTCGAGTCTCTGGCTCGAAACCAGCAGCGTACTGTGTTTGCAGGATACCACGCTCTTAAGAGGCGTGTGTACCAAAACATCCATTGGCCTTTGTCAAGCCCGGAAAGCTTCAGACGTATAGGAACAAAACCGCCTATGGGATTGCTTCTATATGGGCCCTCAGGTATGCTTGGTTCACACTTTTAGACACTTTGAGATACTTTTTTATGCTTCAAAATAAATCCTTTAAACCATTCAATATATCTTTCAATATACCATCAATTTTCTAGGGTGCGGTAAAACCTTCCTTGTGCAGACATTGGCTGCAGAATCCAACTTCAATTTCATTCCTATCAAAGGTCCTGAAATTTTTTCAAAGTACCTCGGTGAAACTGAAGCGACTCTGAGGCGACTCTTTACGATGGCACGTCAAGTTGCGCCTTGTATACTTTTTTTCGATGAGATGGATTCAATTGGTGCCAAGAGAGGGTGGGGTGGTGATGGTGATGGTGATGGCGACAATCAAGCAGGATCTTCTAACGGAGTGAATGAACGTGTTTTGAGCACGCTTTTAAATGAGATGGATGGAGTAGAAGAGCGGACAGGTGTCTTCGTAGTTGGGTGTACCAATCAACCGCAAGCGATGGACGATGCTCTTCTTCGACCAGGACGGTTGGATCAGCTGGTGTATATTGGATATCCAAGTCTGCAAGATCGCTTCGAAATTATCAATGAGATTGGTAGTCGGATCCCTATTACAAAAGACATTGATACAAGGCAAGAGCTTGCTAAACATACAGTAGGGTTCTCGCCTGCAGATCTGACTGCACTCTTCCGGTAAGTCGACAAGATCAATGAAATAACCATGGACGGGCATCTTCATAGATGCATACTACTTAACACTTGTTTACTTTTTTTCTTTCATCTTTCAGTGAGGCAGCTATCCTCTCACTTCGACGGAACATATCCTCTACGATTGTAGAGCAGGCTGATATCAAGCATGTAATTCAAAGGATGAGCCCATTGGTACAAGGTCGTGTTTTGCAAAATGCAGTGGATGGCAATGATGTGATCGTCCCTGACTTGTATCGAAAGTTCTATCAAAGACGATGATTCTTTTGCTGAAAGTTGGATTCATGACTACATAGCTAATAATGGCGGCAGAGAATAAAGCATTATGCTTTAGAAGATAGCATTATGCTTTAGAAGATAGCATTATGCTTTAGAAGATAGCATTATGCTTTAGAAGATAGCAATACCGGAACAAGGTTTTCATCGATTGTAATCACAATTTTTAATTATGTAAATGTTGTCCTATGTAGAGACCATAGTGCCGTTAAATAGTCAAGTCATCGTCTGGGTCATCGTCGTCAAAATCATCAGCGGCATCTGGTTCGTAATAAATTGCTCCAGTCGATTCTAGAAGAACAAATAATGTCAAATAAGAAAAAAGGTCAATACTGATAATAACATTGGAGTACAAGTTACGTGAGACAAAAGAAGTACGAATGACCGTGGTCTAACCTTGGGTTTTCAAATACGGCAATACGGTGTCGTTCTTTGCCTTTCTTTGTTCCTCCGTAAGGTTAAGATTGAATGATAGATTGGCTGCAGGATCCACCTTTAAAGAAGGAAAAAAAAGGTTAATATTAATTATTATTATTATTATTATTATTATTAATTTTTTTTTTTTTTTTTTTTTTTTTTGGCTGATCAAGCCATGGATGTAAAAGCAGAGATACTTACAGTTTGTGACTCTTCTAGATCCAGTCTTTCAATATCAGGCATTTCACCTACAAGATCCCAAACGTTCATCACAATCAAATCTCCAGTAGGTGATTCCAGATGATAAGCATTCGTCTAAGTGAAAAAGCCGTCATGCGTAGATTGAATTAGCAACAAAAAATCGTCGAACAAAATTAATATAAAAAAACTTGATCTGCTTGTACTCACCTCTCGCGTTACTTTTCCAGATTTCCTCTTGTGCTCGATTTCGCATACAGCGGAATTCCAGACATTACCATGGACTGTCAGGTAGCAAAATTCTTTGGCTGCTACGATCCCCTTACGCAAATCTTCCTGTTCTAGCCGAATGGCCTCTGTATTCTTGACGGTAATTAGTGTTGTGGCAATATGAGCAAGGCTATTCGAGGCAAATGGCTTTGAAGCATCGGGTGAGAAACTATCTGCATCTGGAACATCTTCGTGATGTACTGCGATTATCCTTGAATTATCTGCTAGCAATCCTGTAGTTGATCGGATCAAATTGAACGTGTTCGGTACGGAGGTAATCAAAAGCTGGCTTAAAGAGTCAAAATATATCGTAAAATTTGAGCATCGGTTGGAAATAATTTCGGTGATCGCCTTGCTCACTTTCCGAATATTTCGTAGGTCGCAAGAGACAACACTAGAGACATTACTGAATGATTTATACTCTGTCAAACTGGGTGCAAATTCAGATGTCCATCCAAGAGGATTGGAATAACAATCGATGATAACCTTTTGATGCTCTCCTTTAACCAATGTCAAAAGTCGATCGGGAGCATCCTCTGCACAGACCAAGATAATGACATGATCTTTAGGTGTCTTGCTAAGCAACTGTAATCCAAGGAGTTGCCCGGATTGTTCTAAAGTATCTTTGACGAGGATAAAAGGCGATGGCTCTTTTCCCATGAGAATCTTTTCAAGAATTGTCGCCATGTTTTCTGCGTTTCGTGTGTATGTCTGTATTATACGAATGGTGTTTGCTGTCCAGTACTGTTCTCAATAAATTATTCTTTGCCTCGCTGGTTGCAACTGTCCTTTCTACTCCCAGGAATGACAACGGCATTGAAGAATGAGAATGAACAAAAAATAATAAAAACTGAAATCGTGACTGCCTGTGGTTGAATGCGGATTCTTTCACAGCTTCGCCATCTCCAAATGGGTTCTAGCTGCATCTGTTGCAACAAACGAAAAACCTAGTGTGTAATCGTTCTGGGTATGGCAGCTTCGCGACCAGCTGTCACGCTTCGTTTATCCCATGGCGTAAGGGATAAGGTGCTTCGTTCCGGTTACGATACCGTGGCAGAACTGCGCTCGATCCCGATCCTCGAATTGGCAGCTGGTTAGCTACAAATTCACTTGCGGCAATATCAATAATTACTACTGCGTGCCTGCTCACCTCCTCTAATCCATTTAGTTTTTATTATTCATTTATTTATTTATTTGAGAAGAGCTAAAGCTTTCCTCGGATCAAACGAAGGAGCTATCACACGAATTACATCCAGAACGTAAGCTGATCTTCCCTTTGTAGACGATGTTGATAACCCTTTTTTTTCTTATTTACTTTTATTCTGATGATCATGGTATGACATATGACTGTAGCTGCTTCCTGGGTAACTGTAACGGCGGATCAGGTTTTAGAGCAGGAGAAAAATTGGACTGCAATTACAACCTCCAGTATATCGCTTGACCGACTCTTTGGAAATGGACGCGGCGTACCACCAGGCAAGATAACAGAGATATGTGGTTTATCGGGTACAGGCAAGACTCAACTGGGGTATGGAATTGTGGATTTTTTTTTTCCTTAAAGGAGTTTCATGGGGCATGCGACTATTGTATTTTCGAAAGGACTAATTGCCAAATATCATATTTTATTCAAAAAAATAAAAAAAAATAAAAAAATAAAAAAATAAAAAAAAATAAAAAAAAAAAAAAGAATACAGCTCTGCATCAACGCACAGATTCCGGTGTCTGTTGGAGGGGCAGGTGGTACATCGATTTTTGTAGATTCGGAAGGAAGCTTTGTTGCCAGACGAGCGGCCCAAATGGCCTCTGCTTGCCTCGATCGACTACACGGACATGGTGTGAGTAAGACTTCAGCTTTACTAACCTGTTTATGGAAGAGCATTCAACATAAAAGCCTCAGGAAGTACGCATATCTTAATTTGATATAGCTTTCCATTGACACATATATAGGTGATCTGACGAGAGACACACTTTTAAATGGCATCAAGTATTGTCGCGTACATAGTCCTGTGGAGCTCATTGCCCTTGTCAGGATGCTGGATACCCTAATAAGAGATAATCCTATGGTAACATCCAACAGATCAAAGGAAGCTGTTCACGCTGTCATTGTTTATAACTAAACCCAATAACAGAATTATCCTCACTGACAGTTTATAAATCTTTCTATTGGGTCTGGATGCCTCACATATCAGACCAAATTAGTCGTTCTGGATACCATTGCAATGTTGGTGCGGTCCAACTTTGATGACATTAAAGTGCGGACAAAACTCATTGCCAGTTTGGGTCGACAATTGGCTACTCTGGCTCGAACTCATAACATTGCGGTAGGTCGCTCAACTAGTCAGCCACTCAGTCAATTGGCCATCTATAGCTTTTGAAGCATGTGGTCTTGCTTCAACATAAGAAGTGTGCTTGATGATCTAAACGAGTTTTTTTACTCCTTTTTTTAGATGGTAGTAATGAATCAGATGACAGTCAAAACGGTTTTTTCTCAGGGACAGAATGCAAATGTAGTCAGTAGTAGCTTTGAGAGCCAATTTCAGCCTGCTTTAGGAGAAACATGGACAAATCTCTGCACACACCGGATACGCCTTTACAGCCACGATAACGGGCGACGAAGCGCAAGGCTTTTCAAGTCACCATCGCTTCAGGAACAATCTGTATTATTCCAAATAGAAAGCACGGGTATCTCCGATGTGGAGGACGCTACTTCAGATACCGCTCTTGACCACCCACTTGATGAGGATACGGACTTTGGCTTTGAGCCCGAAGAAGCCTTGCTTTTATGGGAAGAATCTGTTGAAGAGCCAGAGAGCCCATAAAACAAATTGTCACATGATAAAATTTTACAACACATTATAATCTTTGTTGTTCTGGCAACATCAATTGCTTCGCCCTTCTTCATTCATTTCGTCTGCTACAGAAAATCACTACGGGATTACTGCTTGCACACTAAGGAATAGAATCAATTGGAGAGGATCTACGCAGCATTGCAAGTTTGTCGCTTCTAGTATCATTTTAAGAAATAATAAATAAATAGGAATGCCCGCCGCTAACATTCCACCCATGGTGACTGCCTCAACACCGTCTGCACTGGAAATCAATCTGCGGCGCCTGATGATAAAGTGCGATGGTAAAGTTCGCGGCTCCGACAAAATCCTTCAGGGTCGAGAACGTAATAAATATGCAATGGTAATCTGAAGTGACTCTGCTATCGCTAATCCCGCGTTGTCTCTTTAAAAACCAACAATATATTATGCTGATATCTATGATACTTTGATTAGAACATCAGGGCATTGAAGGAAATGCTAACTGAGCTGGAAGATGAGCTTACGAGGAGGTATAGAGGCTTGACCATAACTGCTAAGTGATATTTAGCCATCATAGAATAGAGGTTAGAGGTTAATCTTGACCCTTCTTTCATGTAACAGTGGCAAGGCCGATATAGCCGCATTGAAGGAGTATGCAGAAAAAATTGAATCCCTGGCTGCAGCAGTAGATGGCTCAGTTTCTGTAAGAAAGGATTCATTCTTTCCTTGGTAGGTCTTTTTGAAGAAAGTACAATACAGCTAATTTTTTTCGGTGATGATAAACGCTTAGATTACGCCAAATTATAAGAGTTTACAGCAAGCGAGGATGATTATACCCCCTTCGTCAATGAATATTGTAGAACAACAGTATATAGTCAGGTCAAAATCAGAGAGGAGACCTCATGTATCGCCTGAGTCGAGTCGTGATGCATATACAGGAAACATTGAAGAAGAGCGACGATCTTCAATCAGGAACCAGAAAGATGAGCTGTTTGGGCTTCGGGAAAGGCGGTTGGTGTTTGCTTGAAATAGAGATATTGAAGATTTTGAATATATTGATTTTTTTGGTCTCTTTTTTTTTGGTTCCCAGGCACTGACAACGTGTTCAAATATCAATTTTTAACAGCTTAGGGAAGGACACGGATCTGGATTACAACAGTCTTGGTCAAAATAACCGGGAGCCTCTTGATTCGCGCGATAGTTTACGAGAGCAAGGTCAAGTTGAGGCAGCGCTTCAAAATGATCGTGCCCAAAGGGAAGAGATGGAGGCAGGGATTTCGAGACTCATGCAACAGCTCCGCCATAATGCTTTGGCTATCCATCAAACGCTAGCGGACGAACAAAAGTCTGGTGTAAAGAAAACAAAAAAAAAAAAAAAAAAAAAAAAAAAACTTTCCTTGGACATTAATGAAACCAATATTTATTTTGTAAAGAACCTTTGTAAGTAATAGTTTGCCTCTTTCTTTTTTTTCCTTGACACATGAAATTTTATTAGCTTTTGGACGATGCGGACCATGCGTTAGATACCAACATCTCCAGGCTGGGGAAGGAGCGAACCCGTTTAGAGCTGTACTCAAAACAGAGTCGGAAGACTACATGGATGATTTGGGGCATCGTCTTTGGTGTCAGTATCGTCTTTGTATTTATGTTCTTCATCATCCGTATTTTCTAAAGCCCCAAACATTCTGCTTCTGTACAGCTTTACGAAGTAGTTTCGGCAGCTGTCTGCTATTAAGCATCAATGATAATATTAGTAATAGTAATAGAAAGAAGAAAAACGCGTGCTCTTGTTTCAAACTAGCCAGCTACTGTATTTTTAATATTTCTATTTCTATTTTTGTTTCTACTTTTGTTTTCTATTTCACGACGTTGATCGTATGATTGAGTAATGAATGCCTCCCTTTCTCAGATATGGGCAAGATCCCACGAATTCTAAGCGTTTGTACCAATCTAATGTCTTTGTGCGTTGAGGATGCATATAGGTAACCGCCTGTTCCCGACCCAGTAATTTCCTTAGCATAATGCCTTCCTGCGTTAACTAGTTTCCAGCCCATGCTCCTTGACTATTACCTTGCATCGACCGTGATCATCCCACATATAATCTGTTGATCCTTGAGTATTGCTTCCACAGGTTTCGTTGGCTCATCACCTCTCTTCTTGTACTTGTCGGAGCCTGGGTACGCTTCTGCGGGACTCAGCCGGAGCGTACCAAGCGGTTGATCTGTCTCTGAATCGAACGCTAATAATAAGTGGCTGGTACTGTCTTCTATTGCTGCTTTGGCATCTTCTTTAGACAAAAGGTTGTCTAGGAGGAAGTGGGCCTCATGAGTCCAGCTGACATCTGAAAATTACGCTGTATAAGATGTAAGGGGAAGAAGGTTTAGCTTTAGGTAAAATACTGGAATATGTGAGTTAGAGTAGATAAAACTTGTACCTGTACAAAAGGCAGAATTGATAATTCGATGGAGCTCGTCAACATGTTTTAGATCCTCTTTGGGATTTGCTCTCCTAACAATGACTGCGCTAGAAGCAGAGGAAGACAATGTTGGGCTTTCAGGCATATTGCTAGGATTGCAGAATGATGGATGAACAGATGAATTTTGTGATAAAAGAAGAAGTAAAATCCATGCGATAGAAATATTTAAATTATAGTCCGCAAGCTCGAGACCAGCTTAAGGGAAAAAAATAAATAAATAAAGATCAGATCGAGTTGGACTTCCAATATGCACAAGACTTGTTGGCCCTGAATGACCTGACCACTCAAACGATGCCTCTTAATGGTCTTCTCACTGCCATGCCGCTCCACCACTTGCTCATGTACTACCACTAACAATGATAAAGCCATCAACAACAGGCCTTATATTCGAGCAGAGTAATCAAATAACGGCAAGATTGATTCAAGACTATTCTCAACTCCTTGCAGCTAGATGTCGCCGAATGTATTGGTAGGGCTGTACTGTTATTGCTGGATATGGCTGGGAAAAGGCCCTTGCTTACTTTTTCACATCATAATTCGAGAAAATCGTATCACTGTCATTATTTCTTTAAGAGTATTGATACAAGGACTGTTACAACTGAGACTCTAAAAGCCAGACTCACAGAAGAGCAGTATCATGACACTTTCATGACGCCAGTGATCATCTCCTACAGGCCTCTTCTAACAAACCTCTGGCCTAATCCTAAATGGCAAAAGCAACTCCAGGCAGTTGTCATGGACGAGATTCACTGAGTTAGTACTTGAAACATTGGCTTTTGAGTCATTAGATAGTCTTTGAAAAAAAGACCATTGTTGACTCCGAATTCCAGTGAGGTAGTTTCCTATTTAGCTTTGGATCCTGACCCTTTGACAAAAGAATAGAGTAGTTGCCTGACACCAAGGAAATATGGTATGGTCCCCCTCCATCGACCAACCTCTACCTCTCTGTCCTGCTTCCCAGGTTAGGATAGCCTCAATCACCGTTGAGTAATACGTAACAGTTCTTTTTTTTTTTTTTTTTGACTCAATCATGCGATAGTCGCCTCAGCACTATCCAAAAGCACTCGTTAGGAGGTTGCATCCCAAGCTTAGACATTTTACTATCCCTTAAACCGTTTATTGGACAAATTTGTCCAATAACCTTATTTCTTTTCTACTTTAAAAGGCTATTCTTCCTAAGGTTCTATTTTTTTTTTTTTTTTTTTTTTTTGCTTTGATTCAGAGCCTGCGTAAACAGAGTATAGAAAATTGGTGGCAAAGATCAAGTAAACAAACATAATGTAGTCTAAACCTTAATTATGTAGGCTCGTCATCAGCCTGAGCTCGAGCCTGTAATTATACTCTAGTATGCATTGTGTTTTTTCTTTTTTTTTTAAAAAAAAAAAAAAAAAAAAAGAAAAAAAGAAAAAGAAGGCAGGCGTTTGTGGATCAACTGCCTGCCTTTGGGTCAAGCGTGGAGAGCTCGCAAATATAAGATAGCAGAGCAGGAAGACCAACTGCTTATAAGCTTATCTCTCTATGTATTTTTTTTTTCTTATTTTTCAGCTGGCATCTTCAGTGTCCATGTTGATAAATGTCCTAGTGTATGCCCTAGGTAAACTTGTTGAATATTTATTCTACTATAGCCAGCAGCCGCAATATCGTCTTCTCTTACCAGAAGGTCGAAGGCCTCAATATAAGGATTTCTTTTTAGGTTTTTAAACCATTGGCTCTTGTCACATTTATGTAATTGAAAATATACAAGCATTTATATATATATACATACAGTGACCACCAAATTTGTAAAAATGTTTTGCTCTCCAAACTTCATTACCTTGTCAAATGCTCAGAACGAACAGGATTGAGATAAAAAACTGGATGCGCATAGCTATCCTCATAATAAACAATATCCTCAACCCTAGAATCGATATTGCCACTCTTAAATAATATAAATAGTTATCTCCGTAGTCCTTGATAGACTTTCCTTAACAATAAAAAAATCATTAACCATATCCCTAAACCCTTGACGCCCTGACTTAGACTTTTGCACTTGACATGAATTCTATTGAGTACATATGGTCTGAGCTGCAGAAGAGACTTGCTGACCGAGAGCATGTCAAAGGGACTCCAGGACGTACATAGAGCCAAAGGAAAGCATACTATGTATTAGCTAGCTACTTAGATGACCAATAGATCTAACATTTTCTAGGGGGTACTCTTATAACTGCAAGAGTGCCCCGATTACCACTAAGTGATCATATTGAAACCAAGAGTGGCGATATTGATTCTAAGGTGGAGGATGTTGTTTATTATGAGGATAGCTATGCGTATCCAGTTTTTATCTCAATCCGGTTCATTTTGTGCATGTGACAAGGTAAGGAGAGATTACAAATCTGATGGTCACTGAATTTATATGTTTTATTACTATGCGAGGATGGGAACAAGCCCTTTGCGAGATACTTTCTTCGAGATAGACCATGCTACTTATGCACGGCTATAGAAGTTCACACCGGTATCAATAGGGTCGTTAAGACGAGAGTGAATAGCAGCCTTTGTTCTAGAAGGATCCTGGATTTCGAGCTTGGAGTACTTGGAGACAATAAATGCGCTAAACATTTTCAATCCTTGGATATTCATGAATCGAGCTGGGCAAGCTCTCCTGTTAAAAAGAAAGTTTCAAGTTAGTTATTATATCCGTCGATATTAAATCGTAATAATAATATATTAATAATATAATAATAATAACAATAAGATTAATGATTTACCTTCCCATGCCAAAGACTAAATAGTCTGGTCCAATTTTGGTCGCAGTCTTGTGCTTCTCGGCGTAGCGCCATGGTCTAAACTCTGCCGAGTCATCGCCATGCTCGGGGGTATGATGAACAGATCTCGTGTTGGAGATAACGGCAGAACCCTTGGAGATCACAATACCGCTTGAAAGTGTAACATCCTCCATTGCAAGGTGCACAATTCTCAGATGCTCAATACGGTACCTGAAGACTTCACGCAAGAAGGAGTCCATGTACACCATCCTCTTCAATGCCTCTACAGACATGTCTCTGTCATGCGCTGGGTCCAAAGCTTCATCGATAGGCTTTCCTTCCATCCTGTATTCTTGGCGGGTTTGTTCGCGCTCTGCTTGAACGGCGTCGAGGACTTGCTGCACCTCTTCGTATAGTTTTTCCACGCACTCTGGGAATGCTGCCAAGAAATAGAGGATATTGGTGGCGGTGTCGGCCATTGCAAAGGCATATGCACCAGCGAGGATGGAAATATGGGCACAAACATCTTCAAGGTCTTCGAACCCATACTTGCTAGAGTCTTCGAGCATGGATTGAAGGACATCATCAGGTCGTTCCCATGCAACACCAGACTCGTTCGCTAGAGCTTCGAGACGACGGCGCTCAAGGACCACAGGAGTAGCAGCTTCGGCCAGGATTTGGGCACGCTTCATAAGCGGTTGGAAAAGTCTGAGGTGAGTTCGATCCAAAAAGGCGCGCCATTTTGAGACTCGAATGCTACTATTGATGAACGCTCTTCTGAGATCTGAGGAAGCATCCCAAATTGTGTCAATGACTTTGGGGTTCTTGGCGATCTCAGGACCCAAGAAAATATTCGCCACTAAATTGAAAAACAATAGTAATGATAATAACAATATTAATAAAGATAATAACCATTAAGCAATTGACCATTGCTTCACGCAAAGGGTAAAGAAAGAAAGGTCATCATCGTTCAAAGAGACATACTTATGTTAACAAGCATATTGCGAATCATGGGGAATGGGGCCTCAACTAGTTGCGCTCCTCCCTTTTCAGGGGAATGGCCAATTCCTTTCTCAAGGCCCTTTTCCATCAGTGTTGCAATTTTTGGAGTAAATACGGGCAAGTAGCGAGTGGTATCACGAACAAGGTCTTGAATGACATGGTTGCCATAATTTCTGTTGCTTTTGCGACCAGAGTTAAAGTATGAAGAGATGCGTGTAATCGACTCAATTGCGTCACTTGCAGAAAAGGCAGGGTTAGTGAAAACTTCGCGGATTTGAGGGCCAGAAATGACAGTGAGGTTCATGTTGAGGAAGTAGATGTTAAACACTGGGCCATATTTTGCTTCACATCGCTTGAGGAATTCGGTTGGGTCCTCACTGTACTCAGCGTCATGAGTAGAGTCGCCTGGTCTGAGAGGAACAATAGGAATGCTCTTTAAAGAGATAGATTGGTGTAGAAGAGTAGGAGCAATATATATTTCGGACGTTAGTCCAACGGTAGTATGGGATGGAATAGCAGAGATGATCTTTTTCTTCAACACCTTCGTTTCATCATATTGTTTTAGTATAGCCCATTTCCCCTTTTTTTTTTTTTTTTTTTTTTTTTTTTTTTTTATAAAATCTTCACCTTGTCAGTACTGAACCCTGGGTTCGAGAGGGTCTTCACAGCCATGTATGCTGCAGTGGCAAGCCCAACGCCAAAAGGGATGGCGGCCTTCATGGCTTCGATGTGCATGCCAGTTCCGGAGGTGGAAATAAGTCCGAGCATTTTGTTAATGGTTGTTTGGGAATGCGTATTTGGATGTGTGATATATGGCTAGTGCTTAAGAAAAAAAAAAAAAAAAAAAAAAAAAAAAGGAACGAGGGCCAGTATTTATAATTCTTACCTGTATAAAGTGGATATCATTTAAAGATATATTATAGACATGGCCACTCATCGAAGTACAATTAAGAAATACACGATCTCGCTACAGAAATTTCACATTATGCACAGTGTAATGATCATGAAACCGGTTGTGGGCAGTGCGGGCCAATCGGCCTCTATGCTGCGGAGTAAGCGATTGCTATTTACCACACGTTTGATAAAGCTGCAACTTATCTTTGAGATGAAGTGTTTAATATGCACATACATTGCTGTGCAACTTAAGAAATGGCTTGTAGACAAAGATAGCCATTTGCCTCATGCAAATAAAGACGGAGTTTGTATTACTGGATATTCAAAGTGTGAGAAGATGCTTAGCATGCGCTTTCTGCATGCGATCTGCGCCTCCTTCCTCGTAGAAATTGATGCAAGAAAAGGACAAGGCTGTGGACGAAGAATCTAAACGTGTATGACAATAATTGCCAATTGGCCTAAAAATTTTTTTTCCGACAAAGCTCAAGTTTCGATCAAGTTCAATGATTTGATTCAAAAAAAACTGTATGGTGTGCATGTGTCCCAACGGTAAAAAATAATGAATGTACAGATTTTAGTATTTCAGGATCAGTATAGTACGTGTATACCAGTGCTGGGGCTGAGTAAACTAAACTCGGAAAAATTTACTGCTGCAGAGAATTTTGTACTCCGGAGAATGGTGCAGAAAAAATCGACACGCACAAATAAACATGCACCGATGCTAACACAAAAACTGACCCGTGTAAAGTGATATTGTCCATCCTATTTGGTCAGTAGCTCATATATTTTCGAATAACGTTATTGAATTGGGAGCCAATGATTTTTCTTGACACAAGTTCGTCACGGGGCGGTGAAATATCGAAACCAGCCATCAAATCAATTCAATCCTCGTTTTTTGAATAAAAAATTATGAATCCACTGATCAAGCGAGATGTGGAGTATACACTAAAATCGTTTTACATGATATATATATATATAAATATTGTATAATATAACATAGAGTTCAATCCACCTTTGCTGTTGCGGCGTGGCAAATTCTTGGGAAAAAGAGTGAGCTAAATTCATGTGAGCAGCAGGGCTGGTTGGGCGCAAAAAGTATATACATGGAGCCTCTTCACTTCTCTCGGACCCAATCAAAAAAAAAAAAAAAAAAAAAAAAAAAATAGCAGTAGCGCAGTAGCTGAACACAAGTACAAAGGCTCCATCGATGCAGTGTCAAATTAGATGCATCTGTTACTTGTCTGGTCCTACGTACCCTGCCCATTTTAACGCCGCGTGCATTCATCTTGAAGGCCCATATATATACAAATAAAGTACTTTTATACTAAAGAAGAGAGCAAGGAAGGGAATGAGAGAAAACGTTGAATGAGCTCGTTAAATGTATTCCTTGAGTTTGGAGCGGGATGATCATCGACGATTCTTCAGGATGGAGATACAGATGTAAATAAGACCATCCACGCTTGCCACGTTGGATGTCCATTGTATATACATACTAATACTTTGGCTCATACAATGGCCTACAGAAATCCCACATAAGAGGAAGCTTATCCTCCTTGTAATATTAGCCTGTGTGCAGCATACGTACTAGACTCTTGGTACAATGATATAAATACTTGTATTTCGGACTAAAGCAGATTTTAATACCATTGCAATGATGAGGACAATAAAACATTCAACTTCATTTCACATAGGATTTCTGCGGACCAAAATGTTTGTATATTAAAAAATGGTTTTAGTTTTATGCGGACCGGTTTTTCCGTTAGAATAGATCAGTGCATGTTTGTTCGCCCTAGTATTAGAGTTCTCGCCAGAAAGCCGTGGACTAATACATATTTAAAAAACTGTCTTTGGATCAAATTTTATTCCTGAATTGATTCGGTAGCTTTGGTCTAAAATGGAGGCTATTTTATCCAATTTAAAAATCTTGAAAATATATTTGTCAACGGCTTTCTGGCGAGGACTCTTCGTGCATGTTTATTTATGAATGTCAATTCTCGTGTTAATATCGCTTGCATCTTTATATGTGAATGTCAATTCTTGTGTTGGCCCCAACTTCAATGGGCATACTTTTTGACATCTCTGTTACAACGTCCACTATGCCTTATCAGTGTATGTATATAAATGAACCAAATCTTTTAATGTTGGGAAGGTTGGGCGAATATGGAAATTTAGCTGTTGACAGAGCCTTTTCCTATTTTTCTCTGAAAGGCATCAGTCAGAGATACACAAACAAACAAATATGCACACACCACAGCACTGCAGCCAAGTTTCTAATATTTGCCCAACCTTCCCAACCTTAAAAGATTTGGCTCACTTATTGACACCCCGACAACGCACAATCGACGTTGCAACGACACGCCAAAAAGTATGTGCCAATTTTTTAAAGTTGGGATCAATATAAAAAATTTGATTTTGGTAACACCAGTGCGCCGTATTAAAATCAGTACGATCACAGTTTTCGGGCTGTACCAGTGCATCATACTAAAATCTGTGCAGCAGCAAGTTTTCCCACATGCGTTCGTCCATGTAGTATGCCAGTGCACCATGCCCCAGTTAAAATTTTCTTAGCCCCAGTGTCAGCGCTGATGTACTATTGATCCTGAAATACCAAAACTTGTACACTCGTTTGCCCATGTAGTATACCAGTGCGCCATGTCCCGGAGTACTAAAATCTGTGCAGCAGCAAATTTTTCCAACTTTAGTACTCAACTCCCAGCACCAGTTTTGGTAAAGATATAGTGATCCTGAATTACCAAGATCTGTAACACTCTTTTTACCTATCACGAATGCCTTTTCCCATGCACATGTGAAAGTAAAATCGATAACATTGATAAGTTACCAGTAACATATCGGTAAGTTGCAGTACACTGTAGAAGTTAAGCACCGGAAAGTTCGGTTTTTCAGTTTTTTCTTTAAAACGAAAGTTTTTTTTTTTTTTTTTATTTTTTCATTTTTTCATTTTTTTTTTTTCGCAGACACGTGTATATGTTATATACACAATTTTAATCCAACCACAATTCGCATTAACCCATCACCTTGACAGAACTGCTGTGCGTCTCTTCCTGAGTTCTGCTCGCAGATAAATCCCCAAACGTATTGCTAGACACTTTTAAGTTCCTTTGTAGGTTTAAGACCCATATGATCTGCTCAACCCTGAAAATTTGTTTCTTGAACTCCTCGACGTCGTCTTGCGGAACAACAAAATAAGTGCGACCTCGTTAGAAGAGCTATTCCACTTCTTTCCTGTGGAGTTTTCAGAAGTGCCTTAAAGGGCTTGCTTTCGATGTCATGATCTTTGTCTGTCGTAACCTGGAATAAATATTTCGGAGCTAATAACATATCCACATAAGCAAAGGTTTTGCTTTTTAGCAACCACAACGATCCTTGCATATCGTCCTCCACATAACGCTCCAAGGTATAGAAGAATTTAATCTTTGAGCTAGTTTCGGCATCAATAGTGATTTCAATGTTGTCATCAAGGTCCCTGGCCTAAAAGCGACGTTTGCCAGCTCACAGTATGTGCTGTGCATAAATTTGGAACATTGATCCTTTGCCTGCTCCAGCATCATTGACGGGTGCATTCAATATTCGATACCAAGTACCGTCGTCCGTTGCATCATATATCTTTTGCATGATATGATTAGAAGCTCATTTTACTACAAATCCTTCATGATCTTCTGTTGGATAACAATGAAAACCCCGGTTACTAAATTCGAGTGAACCCGTGTCTTATGCAAGTATTGTATTATCTTTGAATTATTGAGGTTGTTAAGGGCATCCTTAACGCGACTATACGCCTCCACTTCAGCTTCAGCTTTTTCCGTCATCCAGTGCTTCCATTAGCTTCTCGAGGACATATCTTGGCACGCCACCGATCAACTCAAAGAAATGTTCCATAGAGGGACAAGGGTCTTTTAGCATCTTTTTAACTCATCAAGTTCCCAGCTCTTCCACCCCCATTCTTCATGATTTCTTGATACAGATTAGTGACGGAAAATGACATTTTTGGTGACACCGAGAAGATGGTTCTGGCTAACAAGAGTCCTGGTTTTGGTGAACTGTCGACTAGGAACCAAGTGTTGGTAGTTCCAGGAAAGGTCTGAAATCCTCTATGCCCTCATATCGAATAGTGGATAGTCCACCAAATGCATGACACATTGAATCTTGCTTTCGCTGAAAGATGATAATAAGGATCTTCCACATTACTGGTGGCAAGCATCCGATTGGCGAAGTATACAAGAAAGGATGATTTTCCAATGCCGGCTGTTCCTGTGACAATAATACGTCTTCGAGGCATTGCACTCAGCCCATCACTAGAGTCATTACTAGGCTCTCCACGACTCTCCATTATCTCCGTTTTAGAGGATTTTTTGACAGTTGTATCGTAAAGCTCTTGAAAAGACTCTCACACACTCAGGTCTTGCATATCGATCACAGGAAGCCATGTCCTCTTGGGGCTGGATATCACGTCTCTTTCTTGAAAAGATTCGTTTTGGAGGGTGCTGGCGGTTCGGGGTAATGATTTGTATCTGTCTTCCCAGTCACTCTCTGTCCAGCATTCTGTAGTACTGGAACCAGCTCTTTACTCGTAAGGAGGGAGAAGTAAACATCAACATCATTACAGTGTTTTGGTTAAGTCCTGCTGCTTAAATCGCCCCCATATAATGCCCTCCTCTTCTAGCTTAACCTTTTGGAGGAGCTCTTCATTCCTGTCATCCTCCAGCTGATCTCAACTGCTTTTTTGAGCTATATACTACTAAAACAAACAGTTAGAAAAGGGCCCGCTTAAAATCATATCAACTACCATCAATTCTCTAAATACCAAACATACCTCGTTTAGACGTTTTGACAATAATGTGTATGGGATGATCTACGACTCCATCGGGAAAGTAAACATCGAGCTGTTCAGGCTCGTCAAGGACCTTAAGCACGTCTTTGGATAACTTGTATATCTCTTCCTCTGTTGTACCACTAGAGATGAGTATGTGAATGAGTTCCAACTTTGTCATCACTGCGTACGATTCCAAGGCAGTTGCATTCATTACTCTCATGAATATTGGCGAAGACAACAACATCGTTGGAAAGAATGACCACTGGAAAGGGTTTTGATTCTCCTTCGACAACAAAAGAATCTCAGGTTAATTGGCTCGGGAGACTCGTTGTTCTTGGGTATTACTGGAGACTGTTTGTTTGTGGCAGAAATTAAGAGATTCGCAACAACCGAGGGTTGCGTGCCACATGTGTGGAAAGCTTGGTTGATTTATTCACCGATGGCATTATTGTACAGGTAGACTTAAGTAAAAAAAGATGCTGAGATGCAAATGGAGAGGGTTGATTACTTTGGAGAATAGACAATTTGAAAAGCCAATTGCTCTGTAAATTATTCGAATCAATAGTGAACACGTTAAAACGAAGGTTGATGAAATATTGTATGAACTGCTTTGTTTCATCTCGTCTTTCTCAACTTATTTTTTTGTGGACGTGTCAAAATCAGAGCACAGCTTGTTGGTTGTGTTGTGATCAGTGAAAAAGAATCGTCTCCGATAGGAACACATGTCTGCAAATATCAAATTGTCTGAATATGAAAGGTAAAGCCACAAATATTATGCAATAAAAAGAGGCTGATAACCATTTTCAGAAAAATTTTGTTTGTGCTGCTGAAAGTCCAAATTGGACCCACACAGAAACAGCGTCATCGACGTGGCCAGGCATTTTCATGGGCCCAGAGACCATCTTCCTCTTCTAACAAAGCTCTGGCCTAGCTATGTGATGATGACCTCAACAATTCCTCTGTATCACTCATGGTCAATGTGTCAGTAAGACTTGTCCAAGAAGACCTCTGGCGCCTTAGGCACCCAATTGCCGTCTACTAATTTTAAATTCTTTAGGTGGTGCCTCAGGCAAGTTGCTCGGAACGCGGCATTCTCCTTGGAACATGCAAGAAGTTCTGTCGGATCCCTTTGTCCCAATACGAACCCATTTTACGAAGGTCGTGGATAATTAGCCTTGCTGACCTGCCGACCTCAAAGCATTCCTTCAGCTGGTTTACAATTAAACCCGCAGAATTAGGGTCCCGCTCTTCTCTGATTCAACTATGATATTCAACACCTTAGAGTTTAAATCCTGATCCGCTTGTTTTTTAGGGCGTCCAGTTCTTCCTCGTCCTGTGGCCTTGAGGATGCCTGTTTGTGCATATTTAATTACTGCCACACAAGTGTTTCCCCCTAAACCCATCAAAACCCATAGGCTCTTCGCTCTGTTATCTGCCTTATTAAACCAATCTTGGGCTGCTGGTGGTATATTCGTTTCTAGGAGAAATAATCCATTGATATCCGGTCGGAGGCCTAATGGGGGTGAGATCGGCTTCAGTGGGCGGTTGTGGCGGTCTTCGAGGTGGAGTGGAGGGTGTGCCTGAAATCGTTTGGTCGACATTTCCTTCGCTATACTAACCACTAAGACCGTTGTATGAGAGTAGACTATTGATATCGAAAGGGAAAGACATTTTGCTACCTAAAAAATGCAAATAAAGTAGGTTGACAATGAGGATGAGATCGAAAATGAGATCGAGATGATGTTGTCCATTCGTAGCAAATTCTAATATTTTTAATTAGAAACGACGATTGAATTAAATTGGTCGCCATGGTATCCAATTCCGTCAAATTAAAATTTTTGAACCCAGGCTTAAAACTCCCCTCTTTTTTCGGAATTCTTACCTCCGCGTTCAGCCACTAGGCTCAAAACCTTCAGTAGCTTTACACACATGAGTCCAACGTTTGAACGTTGTTCTTTTTTTTTTTTTTTTTTGACAACAAAGACCAAGATCATGGAGCCAACTTCTGAACATAGTCATCAGAAAAAAAAAAAAAAAAAAAAAAAAAAGCTTACTTTATGATACACTTGATGGGAATGAAAAATGGTCCACGGTTGCATTTTTCCTTAGTCCTTAAAATATAACCAGTTTATGACTTTTTGGCGAGGACTAGACATTTTACTATAGGAGGGCTGCTCTTGCTTTGAGTCAGAGCCCGCGTAAACAGAGTATAGAAATTTGGTGGCAAAGGCGTGGCGCGTCTGAAAAACAAACACAATGTAGGCTCGTCATCAGCCTGAGCTCGAGCCTGTAATTATACTCTAGTATGCATTGTGTTTTTTCTTTTTTTTTTAAAAAAAAAAAAAAAAAAAAAAAGAAAAAGAAGGCAGGCGTTTGTGGATCAACTGCCTGCCTTTGGGTCAAGGAGCTCGCAAATATAAGATAGCAGAGCAGGAAGACCAACTGCTTATAAGCTTATCTCTCCTTTGTATTTTTTTTTCTTATTTTTCAGCTGGCATCTTCGGTGTCCATGTTGATAAATGTCCTAGTGTATACCCTGGGTAGACTTAGTAAATATTTATTCTACTATAACCAGCAGCCACAATATCGTCTGCTCACCAGAAGGTTGAAAGCCTCAATATAAGGGTTTATTTTTAGGCTTTTAAATCCATGGCTCCTGTTGCAAGGATCATATGGACATTTATGTAATTTAATATACACAAATATATAAACGTATGTGTGCTTCATTACTATGCGAGAATGTGAACAAGTCCTTTGCGGGATATTAAGTACTTCGCGATAGACTACGCTGCTCATTTACGGCTAGTGAACTTCAGACCAGTATCAATAGGCTCACCAATACGAGTGCAAAGAGCCGCCTTTGTTTTAGAAGGGTCCTGGATTTCAATCTTGGAGTATTTGGAGACTACCAATGCCCCGACCATTTTTAACCCTTGTATATTCATGAATCGAGCCGGGCAAGCCCTCCTGTTAAAAAGAAAGCTTTAAGTTAGCCATTTTATCTTTCGATATTAAATATAATAATAAAAAGATTAATATAATTTACCTTCCCATGCCAAAAACTAAATAGTCTGGCCCAACTTTGGTCGCAGTCTTGCGCTTCTCGGCGTACCGCCACGGCCTAAACTCTGCTGTATCCTCCCCATGTTCAGGGCTCTGATGAATAGATCTCGTGTTGGAAATAACGGTAGAACCCTTGGAGATAACAATACCGCTTGAAAGTGTAATATCCTCGAGCGCACGGTGCACTATCCTCAGATGCTCAATACGGTACCTGAAGACTTCACGCAAGAAGGAGTCCATGTACACCATCCTCTTCAATGCCTCTACAGACATGTCTCTGTCATGCGCTGGGTCCAAAGCTTCATCGATAGGCTTTCCTTCCGCCCTGTATCCTTGTCGGGTTTGTTCGCGCTCCGTTTGAATAGTGTCAAGGACTTGCTGCAGTTCTTCGTATAGCTTTCCCACGCACTCTGGGAATGCTGCCAAGAAATAGAGGATATTGGTAGCGGCGTCGGTCATTGCAAAGGCATATGCACCAGCAAGAATAAGAGCATGAGCACAAACATCTTCAAGATCTATGAACCCATACTTGTCAGAGCTATCGAGCAGAGATTGAAGGACATCATCAGGTCGTTCCCATACAACACCAGACTCGCTCGCTAGAGCTTCGAGACGACGGCGCTCAAGGACCACAGGAGTAGCAGCTTCGGCCAGGATTTGGGCACGCTTCATAAGCGGTTGGAAAAGTCTGAGGTGAGTTCGATCCAAAAAGGCGCGCCATTTTGAGACTCGACTACTACCAGTGATGAACCCCCTTCTGAGATCTATAGAAGCAGAGAAAAGTGTGTCAATGACTTTGGGATCCCTGGCGATCTCAGGACCCAAGAAAATATTCGCCACTAAATTGAAAAACAATAGTAATGATAATAACAATATTAATAAAGATAATAACCATTAAGCAATTGACCATTGCTTCACGCAAAGGGTGAAGAAAGAAAGGCCATCATCACTCAACGAGACATACTTGCGTTAACAACTGTCTTTCGAATCAAAAGAATTGGTTCCTCAACTATTTTCGCTCCCTTTTCAGCAGGACAGTGGCCTATTTCTTGCTCAAGGCCCTTTTCCATCAGTGTTGCAATTTTTGGGGTAAATACAGGCAGGTAGTGGGCGGTATCACGAACAAGGTATTGTACGACCTGATTGCCATAATTCCTATTGCTTTTCCGGCCACAGTTGAAGTATGAAGTTATACGTGTGATCTCTTCGTTTGCGTCACTTGCAGAGAAGGCAGGGTTAGTGAGGACTTCGCGGATTTGAGGGCCAGAAATGACAGTGAGAGCCAAGTTGAGGAGATAGATGTTAAATACTGGGCCATATTCTTCTTCACATCGCTTGAGGAACGCATCTGGGTCCTCACTGTACTCAGCATCATGAGTAGAGTCGCCTGGTCTGAGAGGAACAATAGGAATGCTCTTTAAAGAGATAGATTGGTGTAGAAGAGTAGGAATATATATTTCGGACGTTAGTCCAACGGTAGTATGGGATTAGATAGCAGAGATGTATCAACATCATTATCTCATCATATTGTTTTAGCGTAGTTCTTCTCCCCCTCTTTTTTTTTATTTTTTATCTTCACCTTGTCAGTACTGAACCCTGGGTTCGAGAAGATCTTCACGGTCATGTATGCTACAGGGATAAGGCCAATACCAAAAGGGATGATGGTCTTCATGGCTTCGATGTGCATGCCTTTTACGGAGGTAGGTACAAGTCCGAGAATTTTGTTAATGGTTGTCTGGATATACATATTTGGATGTATTGTATATGGCTAATGCTTAATGTAGTGGTTTTTTTTTAAAAAAAAAAAAAAAAAAAAAAAAAAAAAAGGAACAAGAGTCAGTATTTATGATTATTATCTGGCTAAAATGGATATCATTTAAAGAGAGATGATCGCCTTATTGAAGTATGATTATATAATACTCGATCTCGTTACAGGGATTTTACATTATGCTGTGTATGATGATAATAAACTTGGTTCCGGGCGTTGAGAGGCCAGTCGGCTTTATTGCTGTGGAGTAAAACGGTCGCAATAATTGATAACCAAAGAATCAAAGTGGATAACGACAGCTGTCCACACCTTATCTCAAGCAATAAAATCTTGTAATTGACTGAGGTTTGATCTAAAGTGCCCTTCAAATATCAAAATCGACCATTGCGTTCGTCTAAAAATGGCACATTTCACCAAGCTGTAAAACAACTGAGCTGGTCCAAAGAAAAAATTGTTTGGTGTGATTGTCCCATGATCTTTGATCTAAAAGGTAAAATAATTCATCTGGACAAAAAGTATTAAGTTTGAAATAGTATAAAAAAAACTTCCAGTGTCAATTCATTTAGTATTCTGTTTCCTTTTCCAATACATATTGACCAGGCAGCGTTGGTCCTGACCGCTCAAACGACGGCCCTTCATGACCCTTTCCCTGTCCGTGTTGCTGTGCCGCCTGTTCGTGTAACTACCATTGCTCGACAGCAACTACGAGATAACCATCGAAAACAGGTCTTTTGTTCGAAGCAGAGTCATCTAAGGTTACTCCAACCCCTTGAAGTTAGATGTCGTCGAATGTATTAGCAGCAGCCAAGACTGCATTCTTATTGCTAGATGTAATTGGAAGAAGGGCTGATACAAGAATTGTTGCTGCTAAGACTCCAATAAGCGGACTCACCCAAGAGGATCGTCATCGACGTGGCCAATGACTTTTTCATATCGTTAGAATCATCTTCAACAATCCTCTTCTAACAAAACTCTAGTCTAATCCTAAATGGCAATAACGGTCGCGAGCAGTTGTCTGGGATGTAGTTCACTATATTAGTGCTTGAAATATAAATCTCAAAAAAATCTTCATATATCACGTCTATCACCATGTCTATCATCTCTATCATCTCTTGCAACCAAGGCTTTTCAAAGTTACCAGACGGCCTCAGGAAAAAGGTTCTCGTTGACTCCGAATCCTAGTGAGGTAAGCTCTTATTTAATTTTGGATCCTGGGCTATGGTAGAGGACCAAAATAGTTATCGACACCAAGGAATAATGACATGACACTTTTTAGTCTATCTCTCCGTCTTACTCTATCGATCAATTTCCTCTGCCCCTCCGCCTTGCATTGAGTAATACGTGGTGACTGATAACACTTTTTTTTTTTTTTCTTTTTTTAGGGGCAGTAATGTGATGATGGCCTCGACACAATCTTTCAATCTCAGAAACGTTCGCGTAAAGGGGCAATCAAGAGCAACATCAAATTCAAATAAACAGCTTCGCTAAAATTCCACTCTAATATCCATCTTCCTCTTGCGAGCGCCCTCCCCTTCAACCTGTACTTTCTCTACTGTCCTTGAGATGTCATACGAACAATTAGCAGTCAATCTGCACATAGATCTGGTGTACTTAGTATTAGAAAGATATTAATAAAGAAGAGGGCTCGTTGAAGGCTCTTTAGCCCATAAGGATGTGGAAAAAGTAATAAAGGTTTTGACTTAAGCGAGCTATGGATTACCTGTTAACGTGTTGAATTTAACCTAATCGCAGGCGAAATAAGCTTGTTGGTTATTTTTAGTTGCCTCATATTCGCCTCAGAATGGAGCAAAGAGATACAGCCCGTTTCATTGGTCACATTACCTTATATTTTTTAAATTGATTGAATAGACTCCAGCGAAAATTGAATTGTATTGAATAGCAACTCTGAATCTGATGTCGTTCGCTATTTGCAAGCTTGGCTCGTTGTCCTCTATTTACACGCCGAACGGCGGAAGAGGTCAATGGCTTTGACGTTGAGTACCTCCTTCACTCTTAGCTCTCACGCAACGTAATCAAACATGATGATCGTCAAATTCACAGAGTTCCATCAAGTAAGTAGTAAACATTATCTTTTATTATCATTTAGCCGCGCTTCCTAATTATCTGTGAGTAATCTCTGGTTTCTTACAATGAATAGACGCGGACTTTTTCGATCCAATGAGAACATCGCAGCTTCCTTCTCCCTTTTCTTTTCTTTGACCTTGGAGGTCGTTACAAGGAGACGCCAGATGCTCTGCTGATTCGAACTGGCCACTACCCATAGTGGGGAAAGCTTTGAGCAGGTCTTTGGCCTTGTTCAAAAATTTCAGCCCCCCGGTTTTAAAAAGATTCTGTCAAGCATCTGAGTCTTTCTTTTTCTTTTTTTTTAATTCTTTTCTTTGACCTTGAAGGTCGTTACAAGGAGACGTCAGATGTTCTGCTGATTCGAACCGGCCACTGTACTAGTGGGGAAGCTTTTGAACAGGTCTTTGGTCTTGTGCAAAAGTTTCAGCCCCCCGGTAATTAAGAGTCTGTCAAACATCCGAGTCTTTTATTTTCTTTTTCTTTTTCTTTTTTTTCCTCTGAAATATGGCTCTGCCTTGGTTCCTACTATCTCCTGTCGACTCCTTAGGTTCGACCACAAGTTGCCGTATGCTCTCCGTCTCGGAAAAATGGATAAGGATGTGATCCTTTGCATGGTACTACAAACGCATGGTCTTTATTCAAACCTGCAACTCGATATCTAAACCGATTTTTAACTTACTATCATATACTCTGTATTAATATTAGATCAATTAAGATTTCATTCGTTTGCACACTCAGATTCTTAGCAGTTATCGGTCTGCGGTTTTTGTTGAGGGACATGGATGAGGGTATTGTGGGCAAGACTCTTGACGGAGTTGTTTATAATTCGTTGGAATAGCAAGAAGCATCAGGCATTAAAGTCGAATAGTACAATAAACAATCCTTAATGAAGCAATTTATTCTGATCTCTTGCGCTTTCTATTGATCTGGAGGTGAAAAGATGGCCTCACCCATGTATGAGCATGTTTCACCGCGCCTGTAACGCTCGCGGGTCGCTCCTCGACAGCTTCCATGGCTTTCAAGTAAGCTGTCTTTGTAGCCTCCAGAATTGGCACTGCTTCTGCAACCACTCCAAGGCTCTTCCTATCCTTGGGCAGTGTGACCTTGCCTAATAATCTGGGGATATAAATGGCTTCGCAATCCAGGGTCATTACGAAGATCTCCATTTGATCATCTAAAAGCGTGAATTAGCACCACTGTCTCCGTTTAGGTTTCATGGATTATAAAAATATACAAGAGTGTAACATACTTTGAACAAGCAGACCCAGGACCGTTGGGTCTACCACACCCTCAGCGAACAAGAGATCTAGTGCCAGCTTCATTTCAGAAAGCAACTTCCTGAAATCTTTATCAAGGAGCTTTTGAGTGGTGCCTGGGAGCTTCACCTCCACTATGAGTACAGGCAGATCGTTGGCCATAACCAAGTTATTTACTCTAAAGCGCTCCTTATAGTATTCCGCCGTTGGGAATTCGTAATTGCTGGAAGCGGAGGCGTGTTATACCAAGAGTGAAGAAACAACATGTGAATATCCCGCAGAAATGAATGAAGAACAAAGAACTGACAGGTCCACTACTCACCAAAGTCCTATAGTTTCTGCGATGGCATAGAGGTAGGGCCTGACGTAGAGCATGCTGTACGTCAGCTCGTTTAATTGGCGAGGCGACTCCCAAAACGATGTGTCCTCGCCAAGCTTGGTGAAAATACTCAAGAGCATTTCACTTGCTCCTTCCCAACCCTCTTTGAGACAGGCGTTGTACTCGGGAGCAGAGTTTGACGCTGCTTTCTCCATGCAGAATTTGGAAAAAGCCAAATCCTGCTCACTCAAGGCTACATTGGTCTCTGTATCCTTGAAAAAGCGTTCGAGGAGGCTACGACGCTTTCTTTTTGGACAATATTTTTCCATAAACTCTTTTGTGAAAATGAAGTTTATGGAGCTAGAAATTACAGTAAGAATTGTACCAGCGTCACGGCCTTAATCGAGCAGTTCCTTCTTGCTTGGTGTTTGATTACCGTTAGCACCGGGTGGAATTCCAAATTGATGCGATATGAGCCACTCCACTATCTCCGATTTCTTGTTGGCGTTCGTTGGCTTCTTATCAGGGCAATGGAAATGATACCTGGCGCCATCCATGTGTATTTTACAAGGACCAAGACCCATCCTCACCAGACTTTGGCAAACCGTCTTAAACAACCCTTCGAACACCTCATGGTTAAAATGACTATGATAGTCATGGTCGATTGCAAGGACCTGACTATTGGACTGCCCTTGTTCGGTGTTTCCCTGAAAAGGCGCCTTACTGTTCGCTGGTCAGATGTGAACACTGTTCTCAACAAACTTCCCCACCACCTTCTGCTCGTTACAGTCGTAATATACAACAAATGCAGCGAACATGACGAGGAGTGGTTGCCGGGATGGCTCGCACACAGTGCCTCCATCCCGTTCTACCCATCGATTTTTTGAGGAATGATCCAGATGACAATAGGACTCATCAAGAAACACTTCTGGCATTTTAGGGACTAATCTTCCGTCAAGCTCCATCAGATTCTTAAAACGTTCTGTGAGGTATTTAAGTCGGTACTCTACGATGTGAGGTGCATCGTGCAGAAAGTTTCTACGAACCCCTTTTCCCCAGTAAAAGTTGCTGGCACGTAAGTATCGATGAACTGTTGTCCTTGACGTATTAATGCCATGCTCTTCTCTGAGCTCATTCACTACCCGTCCAAGCGTGTTTGGGACACCCTCTCGATTGGTTCTCGTGATGATGCCCGTAATATGGCCCTGAAGCACTTTATCTTTGTCTTGTGCTTTACGACCGCGTCCCACACCCTTGTGAGGCAATTTCAGTACTCTTGTCCTTGAATAGTTGATAGCTGCTAGACAAGAACGTGCATTTACGCCGGTAAGCTTGGCCATCTGCACACACTCCCTCGCGCCAAACGATTGTTTCATCCATTCTTGAAACTCTGGCGGCGCTTTGCTGAGCTTGGTGTAAATATGTATGTGCGATAAGGCGGTACTCCTCTTCCGTTACAGCTGTCTTACTAAGCCGCAGTGGCGTATGAAGACCATCTTCATCCATGTTGATAAGAAATGGGTTATCATCCTCGTATGCTTGAGAAGACATGGGTGCGTTCGACTCTTCATAAATAAAATTGTCCCGTCTCTGTCTGACCGATCTCTCACTAAGTCCTGTGGGAGATATCGGGGGGCTGTGCCTCGGCTGTGATCCTGGCATGTTATTGCTGTGATGGATAATAGGAATTTGGCTGGAAAACATTGTTATGATGTGAAGGAAGACAAAAGTTGTTTATTATTATTGTTTTGGGGGGCTGGAGCTGAACCCCGTCAAAGCCGTCATTAAATTTAGACTTCCAAGTACAGTTTCGCTTTAATATCATCGTCATGGGTATTGGTTGGCTGCATTGCCAGCTTAGGAGAATATGATATATAAATCGTCATTGTGATATTGAGTAAAGTATCCCTTATCCTGTTGAAGAAAATAAAAAAAATAATGTTCAATTTATTACATGTGATTACTGCGAGTTAAGTTAAATTTTGATTCCCATCTTTACTATGGAACCTCTCAAAGCAATTTCTCTTTTTGTTTATGCAAAGAGGAGTATTGCAATCGTTACAAATCCAAGCTGTTCGGTTGTTGGCGCGGCCTTCATTATCTCGAGAGATAAATCTGCAACATGCACAATAGGGCCTCTTCTTATTAGGAGACTCTGCTGGTATGGGAAAATGGAATCCGGTTCAAAGAAAGATGGACAATACTCTTCCCAATCATCATAAACAGTTGAGCAATCATCATCATTGACGAGGTCGTGAATGTTCATAGTTTGAGCGGCTGGTAGATATGTGCGTAAGCGGGAAAAGTGAAAAAAAAAAATATATATATATATATATATATATAACTATGAAAACCGGCTTTAGTACAGTTCTACCAGTAAGTATGATACAGAATGCTGCACATATTTGGTTTTACATATTTTAACATTAACTGAATGAATGAACGTTACTTGAAGGAACATTACAATATCTACACCGAAATTAACTTCAGCACGGCCAATTATAGGCTGAACCTTATTTTGGGACATGGTGGGCGATATTAGATTGCCCATGTCATTAAGATCATCATGGTGAAATCTGCTCACTCTACGTTTTCTAGTTCCTGAGATCAACTTTATACTTAAGTAAAATTTGCCTTGTTTTTTTTGAAAATTTGCACCAAATCTGGTGCATAAACAGGATAAGGGATAGACACATTTAACGTCTTAACTTTAATTTTTTTATTATCATGAATTGAGTTATGCAAGTAATATGTATTCTAATATCTTTGTTTTAGTAGACTTCCAAAACATAGCGTTCTTCCTCCTTCAGCTTGTTGACAATGCGGTTGGCGTCAATCGCAGGGCACGATTCGCCATCCATGAAGCTCTGCACAATAGCGTCCTTGACATCTCCTGCAGGCCAGGTAGGTCCACACAAGTAGAAATGGCCATTCAATTCAGCATCCAACAAATACTTGTGTAACAGCTTGCCGTCTTCGTTCATCTTATGCTGAATATAAATCTTTGCTTTTTGGTCACGAGAGAAAGCCAAGCGCAAATGTGTCAACAGGCCATCAGCATGGTAGGCCTCAAGCTCCTCTCCATACAAGTACTCATTGGACCGGTTACGGGATCCAAAGTACAAAATCATGGGGCCAACCTCAAGTCCTTGGGCCTTCTGCCAAGCACGCTCCTGGATGAAAGCACGGAATGGTGCCATGCCTGTTCCCAAACCAGCCATAATAACGGGTTGGTGAGGCAGAGGAGGAAGCTTCATAACTGAAGGCTTGATGGAGACTGTGACCTTGTCGCCCACTCCTAATGTAGTAAGGTAGCGTGTGCACTGACCGAAACGAGCCTTGCCTGAAGGGGCAACCCATTCAACAGCCACAATTAACAAATGGACCGAGTTAGGGTGTGCCTTCTGGGAAGAAGCGATCGAATAATGGCGTGGCTTGATGGCGGGCAAAATGTTAATGAGCTGAGAAATCGTAGGATGGGCTGAAGGGAACTCTCGCAGAATGTCTGCGTGCGTCAAAGTCTCATCCACACGGTTCTTGAATTCAGCAGCGCCCTCAGCCGAAATCAGGAACTCGAGGCGTTCTTTCTCAGCAGCATTGGTGGCGAAAGGGATCAGATCAGCATAGAAACGCTTCGATGGGCGACCAAAGAGATCCAATGTCTGTTGCAAGATCTGGAACAGAGTATTGGTTTGATGGCGAGGCTTGGTTCCTTCAGGAGCATTCTTGGGTAGAGCACGAGGGATCTCAACGACTGTCTCGGGCTTCTCTCCATAGAACTTAATAAAATCAAGCACCTCCTGCGTATCATTCCAACCGTGGATACCAAGAGCATCTCCAATCTCATAACGCAATCCAGTGCCGGTGGTGTCGAATTCAAGGTGGAAGACATTGCGATCATAGGTTGTAGGGGTAAGGCGACGGTTCTCAGTGATAGTAACCAAGTATTCATGGTCTTCATCAGCCAGGCTCTGCTTAGTTTCGTATGCTTCTGAAAATAACAATTGCCATGCAGCCTTATGCCAGTTCGAGGTCTTCGCAAGAGTAACCTCGTTGTCCTCCTCGGTAGTCTCGAGCTCAATATCTGTATTAATAGCGCCATTAAAAGCATTGGGAGTAGAGCGGATAGTGGGCTGAACACGCTTGGGTAGAGCCAATGCAGCTTGCTCAGCTTCGCCAAGCTCAATCGAAAGCCAGTTGGGGTTAATAGGCACCTCAATAACCTCCTTATCGACGCGCTCCACAAGAGTGGAGATCAGATCCTTAAGAACTTTATCATTGGAAGTCTCATAATGACGCTCAATGGCATCAAAAGCGGCCGCGCGTAAGCTCGAAGAATGTGTTTTGAAAAAGGCAATCTGTCCGAGAAGGGTCTTACCGATTCCAGAAAGGCCGATGTCCTTAGCAACGTTGGCCAAATCGATCAATAAAACTTGGATCTGTTTAGTGCCGAGCGCGTGTCTGAAAGCAGCTGAGGTCTTAGTCTCGAGCTCTTCCACAGTCCACGAAGTATTCAAAACGAGGACAGCCCCCTGCTTGAGCGAGTCAACAACGTTATATTCTGATAATACAGATACATCTTGAATTGAGGCATAGTCAGCCAATGCAGATTCTGCAAACTCAACTGTGTTCGACTTTGTAAATTGAAGACGGGTTTCGATAACGGCGGTGTGGCGGTACGAATTGACACGTGAGCTGTGGTGGATACGTTGACCGAGAACAGACTGGAAGTGCTTGGCAACGTGAGCAGAGACAGCGTTAGAGGCTGTAGTCTCCCAGAAGATGGCCTGCTTAACATCTTCTTGAAGATGCTCGTCAGCGGCAACGATGGTAGAGAGATCGAGCTTGGAAGGAGTACTGATGGCCTGCTCAACCAAGGCCTTGAGCCAGCCTTGAGAAAGAGAGGCACCATGAAGACCATACTTGATATCCACGACTGAAGGACGCTGGCGACCTGTCCAGAGGTTAAATGATGCTGAGACATCCAAGAAGATGGGTCCATGTGCAGCTGTACTTGCAACAGGTTCGACAACAACGACCTTCTTGGTTGAAGCAGGGATGGCCTTCAAGAAATGAGAGAAGGACCAAGGGCGGTAGAGGCGGATATTCAAAACTCCAACCTAATTAGACAAAAAAAAAGGTGAACAAGAGAAACAAAAGTAGATAATGAATATGCTGCATGAAATTTTTTAAAAAAAGGTCTTACCTTTTCACCAAGGCTTTTGGCAACGTTGTAAGCAGGTCCAAACACTACTACGATGATCTCGGCATCTGCGGGGCCGGTGTACTCAAAAGCCCTGTACTGACGACCGAGGAGCGCGGTAGCTCTCTCAAAAATATCCTCGATACCAGAGACAAGGGACCCTTCATCGTGACCCAAAACAGACTTTCCATGCTCCTGATTGATGAATGCAGCAATGTCGCAATCCTTGGCGGTTTTGATAGCTTCGACTTGCTGGCTGGTCTGCACTCCATCAAGAACATGGATGACAGACTGGTTGGTGCCAGAGGCAACTGCATGGGCGAGAACTGAAACATCGTAGGCTTCCTGCACAGTGTTGGAGGCAAGGTACAAGAGGCCAGTCTCCCTAGCAATAAGGACATCCGAGTAATCTCCGCGAAGCACATTCAAGTCAGCATCAACGGATTCTGCAGCAACATGGAAGACAACAGGGTTATTAGATTGAGCAATCTGATACAAATTGGGGACCATGTTTACAATGGCAGCCGAAGAAGCCAGGGTTGACAAAGTGCTGTTTTTGGACTCATAGGAGGTGACAGCACCAAGGACTGCAGAGGCGGCATTGGAGCGAGTAGACATTTTCAAGACTTGGGGTGCAAGTGATGCTCCCGTTGCGTTACTCAAGCCGGCCTTTGACCATTGCTCTGAAGCCTGTCCGAGGTAAACCTGGGATGCGGTTGAAGGGTAAACGAAGACAAGATCGCTCAATGCATAAGCAACGTGCTCGACCGCAAGGTTGCCTGAGGTGAGCTGGAAGAGATCAGCCTCTCCCTGAATACCGAGCGAAAGATTGGATCTGACTGAGAGCGACAACTGATCATCGTCAACTACTGTCACGGCGGAGGAAGGGCCTTCAGAGCCAGTATCCGAGGTACTGTCTTCTTCAGCACCGACTGTTCTTGTAGTGGTGGTAATAGTGGTCTTCTTAATGGTTGTGGTAGAACGAATTTGAGCCAAGATTTGAGTCAATTCCTTCGAGTTGGTTGTAGTAATAGTCAAGGCTGTGGCGAGTTCCTGAAGCTGAGCATAGGTCAACAATGCAAGCGCATTGACAGAAATCTGATCCAGAAGCTGATCCAGACGGGCGAGGGCAGCTTGCTCTTGTACTTCATCTAAGTGCTGAGTAAGAATGGTCTTGCGGACGAGATGAAGGTTCTGCAGAGCCTTGTTAATCTTTTGGGATGGGTTAGCATCAGAAGTTTGTGCTGCTGGGTTTTTGCTAAAGAGACCTGCCGTATTGGCAAGGGTATGAAGGACAGTCAACATTATGTCTGCTTGATGAGGAAAGCAGAAAGGGGAGGAAAGAGATGTAACGAGAAGTAGGGAGAGGAGAGGAGAGGAGAGGAGAAGAAAGGAGGAAGGAGAAGAAGGAAGATGGGTTGACGGAGAAGTCGAGGATAGAGGTAAGAAGAAAAAAGAGAGGAGAAGAAAAAAAAAAGATAACAACCGACTAAAATGATGCGATGTGATACGGAGAAAGAGCAATGGTGCGTGCGTGCATTTGAACAGAAAAGGCCCTGGATAGACTTGAGTGGATTAGTTGGATTAGTCTTTCCATCGCCTACTGCGATCGCGCCATCGCACGCGAAGCAGGATGTTAAATTGATCAAATCATATCCTTATCTTATTTCTCACTCATTCTCATTCTCATACCTGATTGTATATAACCCACAATGTTTTTTTTCTTTGACTGTTTGGGCTTGAGATCGATCTAGTCGCGCAATGTATTATTAAGGTTGTTCTAGCAAGCTGATTGGACGCCTGTGACAGCGAAATCTACGGATATCGCGACATTCCGCCTTGGGATTGCAAATGAAATTGAAGTCACATGATAGCTTATTTCCAAGAGGAATTTGAGGTTCCTTCTTTCCAAGCAAATAGACGCGTGATATCCCTCCATGTTTGGCATTGGACATAAGATCTCATTTTACAACAATCATTTGGACCGTGATTTCAGGAACATTTGCTGTCAGACACAACTTTGGCAACAACAAACATTGAAGCAGAAAGACAGGAAGAACGAGGGAGCGTACGGAGAAAAACTAAATAATCCGTCGACTCCCTATTTCATCGTTACAGCATGGGAATCCAGGGCTTGTTGCCACTTTTAAAATCAATTGAAAAACCTGTTCATCTTAAGGATTATGCAGGACAAACCCTTGCTGTTGATGGATATGTTTGGCTACACAGGGGCGCATTTGCTTGTGCACAAGAGCTATGCCTTGGTCAGACTACCCATAAGTAAGTGCTCATACATTATGGTCGCTTTTTTTCTTTCAAAGCCTGCAGGATTTTGCTTCCTAGGATCTCATTCAAGTATCATTTCAAAATATAGATATGTCACATACTTTATGCGCAGGATTGAAATGTTTAAGTTCTTTGGCGTGAAGCCCTATGTTGTTTTCGATGGGGGATACTTGCCTTCCAAGGCGGTTACGGAAAAAGATCGATTAGCGTATGTTTTTCTTACTTTGTTTTTGTTTTTTATTTTATCTTTATTATATTCAGTGATCAGGACAGCGATAAAACGAAAAAGGGGCATAAACATTCTATTTTCTACTTCAATATACTGCATACTTAGCCGTCGAGAGGAGAGTAAAAAACAGGCCATGGAGCTTCTTCGGGCAGGAAAATCGAAACAGGCATTGGAGCAATTTCGGAAGTGTGTTGACGTAACGCCAGAAATGGCCTTTGCGGTGATTCAAGCCCTGGAAGCAGCGCGTGTAGACTTTATAGTTGCCCCATATGAGGCTGACGCACAAATGGCATACTTGGAGAAGAGTGGTTTGGTTGATGGAATTGTCACGGAGGACTCGGACTTGCTCGTCTTTGGTTGTAAAAAAGTATGTTGACTATTAGATTGTTATAATGGTTCCATTCGATCGTCAGATCGATTCCATTTATTTGTATAATGCATTTATGATTTTTCCCTCTCTGAATTTGCATGTATCCAGGTCATCTTTAAGATGGATCAGTATGGGGCAGGAGTTGAGATTCTTAGCAAAAACTTCAGTTTAGTTCAGGATATTTCTTTTCACAATTGGACAATGACTGAAATTCGCCATATGTGTATCCTAGCAGGCTGCGATTATCTACCTTCGATCTCAGGAATGGGCATCAAAACTGCACAGCGGCTTCTTCGACGTTTCAAAACGTTTGACAGGACAATTAAACATATTAGGATGGAGAATACCAGCGCTAAGATCCAGTCAGACTATGAGGGTGCATTTCGAAAAGCGGAGCTGACATTTCTTTACGCAAGAGTCTATGATCCTATCACTAAATCCATGGTGCATCTGAGCCCAGTGCCAGAAGAGCTCCAAGAACTCTTCCAGACCGAAGAATACGATTTTCTTGGGCCGTAAGTTGACTCAAGTTCTAGAGGATCTTGTGTATGCCGTTATAATCTCGTATGGAACGATTGACGTCTAAAAGTTTCTTTTTACACAACGCTGCTCAAACTAGAGTTCTCGAAGAAACCATCATACAGGATATTGCGATGGGAAAAATAAACCCGATTTCCAAAGCTAAGCTTAGCTACCCATTAAATCAATGGCCAATGCAAAAGCCGACTCAGATACTTACTGGAAAGGAAAATAAGTTGAGTCATGTATGTACGGAACTTATTATTATTATTATTATTCTTTTCGATGAGTAAATTATTGATCCATAATGTCCTAACTTCATCTTTCATTAACTTTAGTGCATCGATAAGTATCTGCGCCCGTCAATGCCCTCAACGAAGTCGATTCATGCATACTTTGGGAAAGCACCAATGCCAACAGCAACATCACCATCAATATCCTCATCAATACTTTCGAAAGCGGATATTTTAGTTACAGAGAAGGCTCAAAAGCGAGAACCACTCCCAGCTCCTGGTGTGATTTCAAAACGAAGGACTCTTGAAAAGACACCATTATCTGAATCCACATCTTTAAGTACTGAATCAAATATCACAAGTGGCGTACTCTCAATGCATAAGCAAAAGGCAACTGCTAAAATTAACCAAAGTACAGTTGTAGTTGAAGCACGCAGTCGTTTCTTTGGACTCGAAGCCTCTTTAGAGTCTAGCGAAGGCGGATATGCTACCAAAAAAACGCGATCGCCAGTGATCCGAGAGGATAGTGGCACAGGTTTGGACGAGGCATGTTTACTGCAGCTTCCATCGATCTATGGCTCTCAACAAGATGCGCACAGCTCCTCATCTCAGGAATCATCCAAGTCAGATAGCCCATCGTTGGTTTTATCTACACCTTCCTCTCAGGAGATATCAGAAACTAAAAAAGCAGAGACCAAAGTGATTCAGGGATGGCGCGAGAAATTCTCTAACCCCCTCGGACCTACATTAACTGCCGCCACAGGACTTACACGGACATTTCAGCCAGGTACTGTAAAGGTCAAGAGCATGCGATCATCAGCAAAGAGCCATTCATCAAAACATCCGAGAGCAGTCAGTTCAATGCAGCAAGAACGGGTCAAGAGCTCATGTCAGGATACATCGACAGTCTTGAATAAGACTCCAAAGCATCTACCCCTACATTCTATTAATAATAATAATATACATTACCAAACAAATACCATGCATCGACCATCCGATTCTTATCCCAGAACTTTGATTACCAAGTCCCCCAAAGCAAGCCTACCACACATGTCGGACGTGGTCATGTTACGATTGGGAGGAGCAAATGCTCTGCCGCAGACAATAGAGGCTGAGAATGAGAACGAAAGCGGTAATGTAAGGAGCACGATGCTGAATCTTGATCGTTTCAAATATACCCCTGTCATTACTCCTGCAGTACCAGAGAGTCCATAAATAGGTGTTGTAGGGTGTTTGGATGCTAATTGATGTGCTGTGTGACGTTCTCATCCCTTGTATTGAACATATTGAACATACAATAAAGCGCACTAATTTTTTCGATCCTGAACATTGGTGATTGAAAGATGGAGAAAAGGATATGAGCATACAATTATCGTTGCAAAATTAGGATACAGCATGTCGAGAAAACTGAACGAACAAAGTTACCACGAGAGAGTGCTTGTTTACTAGACCCAAGGCCCATGAGCATTGCGGATGTGCTTGTGTATTCCCAATTACACCGCTTCTGTTTCCGCGTGATTAGCTTTTTTTTGTGAATGTAATGTCTGTCCCCCCTCGCCTCTTTCTTTCTTTCCTTTTTTTACGCTTGCAACATAAACATTTACATACAACTATACAAATTATACATATTATACATCCCTATATTCATTTGTACAACTTACCCTTCACGCTCCCACTCAATCATTATTCTTATTCTTCATGAGTTCAGGAAGCATGAGCGAAGACGACTTTGTCGGTAAGGAATGCCTTGGACAACTGAACCAATGCATACAGTCCATACATTTAATGAGGAATGGCAAAAGCGTAATACGGGACAACAGGACAGGAAAGGAGGAAGAAGACAAGAATATCCTCATGTTCATTGAACAACTGCGCTCGCTAGCATACAATACTGCATGCCTCCAGCAATTCAATTCATTCATAATGCTCTATGTACATTTATAAACTTACAATTCTATGGAACCTGTTTTATTACTGTCGTTGCAATGTATTCACGCGTGCATCTCTTAATTCTCTTGTCATGAAATGGTACTTTAGGTTCTGATTATGATGATAACTTTGATTCTCAAGAGGATTCAGGTAGGAGCTTCATGACCCTCATGTCGAAATAAAACAGGCTCCACGGAGTCATATGACAAAAGGGCGCATTCGAATGAGACTTCCTGCAACATCCCATTCCTTGGTTCGCAATAATGAGGCTTGACTATGATAAATATGTCAACCATAACACGATGAAGTTCTAATGTCTCCAAGATAGGCTTCTATTGCGTCCTGGCGCTGGACACCCGAAACACAAATCACTATATAACCCTATCGCCTGATACTCAGTTGACAACATGCTATTAACACAATTGCATACAATTTCTAACTCTTTTTTCCTTCCGGCTTTTATCGTCTGTTTAAAGATATGGAATATGAGCAGACTGAAGATATTGGATTTTCGGACATGGTTGCAGAGAAGCAGCGCAAAAAGGCCTATGAAGTCGACTTTACAGTCCTTCCTCTCTCCGACATTCAGGCCGCACAGGTCAATGCCTCAAATCATGTTTCTGGCATTCTCGGCATCACACAGGAACAGGCTGCTGCTTTACTTCGGAGCTTCAAGTGGAATAAGGAACGTTTGGTTGAACAGTATATGGATCACTCGCAAGAGATCCTAGACCGAGCTGGGGTGGTTCTAGGCGACGTAAACACGAGACTAGTTCAACGACCCTCAGGATTTGTCTGTACGATCTGCTTTGATGACAGTACTAAAGGTGGCGCTGTTGGATTAAGATGTGGGCACATCTTTTGTCAAGCGTGTTATGAGCAGTATTTAACCCAAAAGATCATTGAAGAGGGCGAATGCCGTAAAATATTCTGCCCCGAGGCTGGTTGCGACGTTGTGGTGGATGAACAAACTATTAAGGGTGTTGTACGACAAAATGTCATGAGCAGGTTAGGATCAATCTGTGATTTGAAGTCTCAATATTTTATTTATTTATTTGTCACACCGGATCGCGAAACTAAATTGAAAGTTTTGATTGGTTGGCTTCCTATGATAGGTACTGCCAATTACAAGATAGAGTATACGTAGAAGACCTTGACAACCTTCGATGGTGCCCTGCTCCAAATTGTGAGAATGCTGTTGAATGTCGATTGCCACACTCATCATTCAAAACTATTGTGCCAACAGTCCAGTGTAGTTGCGGATACAAATTCTGCTTTGGATGTGGCCTAGGTGACCATCAACCTGCACCTTGTGGTCTAGTCAGGATGTGGCAAAAGAAATGTGCGGATGATTCAGAGACAGCCAATTGGATCTCAGCTCATACAAAGGAATGCGGTCAATGTCAGTCAACAATTGAGAAGAACGGAGGCTGCAACCACATGACTTGTCGCAAATGTAAATATGAATTCTGTTGGGTCTGCATGGGGCCTTGGTCAGAACATGGTACGAGCTGGTACAACTGCAATCGATACGAAGAATCAAGTAGTACCGATGCCCGTGACCAGCAAGCAAAATCTCGTGCTTCTCTTGAACGATACCTTCATGTAAGTGTTGATAAAATTTTCATTTACTTCTATTGTTGAAATCCCCTTACAATCTTCTATATGCGCAGAGCATGTTATTTATACCAAAGGACTTTGAATCACTTTTTTTCTAGTACTACAATCGCTTTGCAAATCACGAGCACTCCGCCAAGCTGGATCGCGACCTATACATGAAGACAGAAAAAAAGATGGAGGAGATGCAAAAAACGAGTGATCTCTCCTGGATTGAGGTACAGTTCTTGAAGAAAGCAGTGGATGTATTGACTTCATGCCGTATGACTCTTCGTTGGACATATGCATTCGCCTTCTACTTGGCCAGGAACAATATGACGGAGCTGTTCGAGGATAACCAACGTGATCTCGAAGTGGCAGTGGAGGCTCTTAGTGAACTGCTCGAGAAGCCCATTGTGCGGGAAAATATCCCCGAGCTTCGGCAACAGGTTCTGGACAAGACTGTGTATGTTGGTAGTCGTCGTGAGGTCGTTTTAGAAGACACTGCCAAGGGCCTTGCTGAGGGTCGCTGGGAGTTTACTGCAGAGTTTGACAAGGTTTAGACCTTAATAAAGTGACTGTGAATAAGCGCCACATTTTAATTAAAATGAAGATATTTATTTGGCTTTCTCTTTCGCGTGGATAAAGAAAACAACTTTTATCTGGATCACAACTGAAGAGATCATGAATTTTTTCAGACCCGTATCATCAGCTAAATCGTTCTGGACGTGTAATTACTTCCTTAAAAGAAGGCAACAAGCCGTACCTGAATCAAGCCAACAATCACTACTTTATAGTATTTACTACCATGGACCTCCACTCAAGTCCGATCCGACACGGAAAAGATCATTCCTACTGGATCCACCTAGGAAACCGCCTCTGAAAAGGTCCCCAAGTCCAAAAATATTACCCAAGGATGCCAGTGATTTCGAGCATAAGATGGCCAGTAATCCATATGGTATATCGGTGGAATTATGGAAAATATACACATCTCGACTTTGCTGCCAATATTGACTTCACTAATATCATAAAAGAATTTTGCTTAATATTGATCATAATGCCCCAGCGGCCATACTCGCAACTCCAGTACGTCGATGCTTTTACTCGAGAAAATCATTACCAAACGGTAGAGAAGCAAGACGCAATCTTACTGCAAGCGAAAAAAAAAAAAAAAAAAAAAAAAAAAAGACCAGTGTTTTTAATTGATTTTTTTTTTTTTTTAAAAAAAAAAAAATCGGATCTATGTATTGTATATAGCCTTTTTAACAAAGCTGATACAGGCTGCCCCAGATTCTCAGGAGGATGGTGTTCGAACATGGATAGTTCCGGAACGAATCATCCCTACGGAAATACAAAAGGATCCGGCATCAGGAGCATCTTTTGGGCGTGCAGGAATCGGAAAGTGGATATACTCGGCATGGAGAATTATGGAAAATATGGTCAAAGAAGGTAAGCGTTTATAAACATATTGGAAAAGTAAGGAGAGCTGATACAACTTGATTAAAATAAAATAAAAAAAAATAAAAAAAAAAAAAAGCTTTACATTACTCTTTCTCTTGTTAATTACTGATGCCATTTCTAATCTAGGGAAATTCAAGGCAATCAATTCGACTGCGTTTATAAGGCCAGATCTGGCTCAACTGGTCTATACTCAATGGACAATTCGCGTCACTCATGATATTGTGAAGTTTTGTAAATATGACCGTCGCCGTCGCTGTAATAACATATTGGTTCACCTTGCACAGGATCCTTCAGCATCAATCCCATATGCAATTAACAGTCAACGCAAAGTGGACAACCTTGGCTTTATTTTCGAGACACCCAAGAATGAATGTTTACAGTGTATCCTCTACTTTGACATCATCAAGGATGGTATAGATATGGATCGTACGAAGAGCAGAAATGAATCCTCAGATGCTGAGTCTAACATGTTGAAAGAGCAGGAACAACAATTGTCGCCGTCTTTATCAACTCTTGATGACGATAATGACAATGAAGATGATACGCAACCCAAGCTTCCCCTCAAAATGAATAGATCTGATGTTATGATTCAGGCAATGATTCGTGGGAAGAATGGAGACACGTCTACAGTGCCACTGTATGATATAAATAAGCTCTTTAATAATTATCCACATGGTCTTTTAAGTATTCAACAGATGTGCTCTAAAGTTTTGCCCACCTTGGGCAAAACAGCAATATCGGGTCAGGGTGGGACTTGGATAGGACTTGTGGCATCCTCTTCGAGTGTACCCGTTGCAACAGGACTTTGGAAGCTCGTATCAATGCTGCCTGAATGAGAGTTGCCTGCAATAAATAATTTTGGTTTAGTTCTTGTTTATTATGTTATAATTTTTATACTGATGATGAGTGGGTGGAAGAATCTATATCCATGCTACTGTCATCACCAGCTTTCCTGATTGGTACTGATGGTACTGCTCGCGCTTCTGGATCTAGCCTAGCTCCAGCGTTTTCTACTTCCATGCTCTGAGCCTCATCCTTAATTGTCTCTGTAGCAGAAAGAGGGAACCCATGCTCGTATTCTTTTTCTTTTTCAACCTCTTCCTCTTCCATTTCCTCCTCCATTTCTGCCTGGCCTTCATCCAGACTCTTGACTACCAGCTCTACCTGAGCGTCACGTTTATACTCATCAGCTTCAACAGGAGTTGGTGACATGCTCTCAAAATCCTGAGGTGTGTTCGCTTGTGTGTCAACAGGTGTTTCGAGTGAAGGAGTGAAAACAAGAGGGCGACTAGAGTCTGTATCATCCTCCTCGTCATCAACAACATTATGAGCACGACCACGACTACCAATGACACCACTACCAACTGGCATGACTCTTATCATATTATCATCCCGTGCTGTTGATTTTGATGGAGCATTAGTCTCTCCAGGATGAGAAGATGTACTTGGTCTTCGATCTGGTTCCGAATATGATTGTGATAAAGGATGAGATGGCGGTGGTTTAATTGGACCTTCCGGTTCATCCTCCTCGTCTTCCTCCCCTGTTTGTGCTGGTGTCGAGACCGTGGTATCATCAACATCCTGAAGTGTTGGTAGAGCAGGTGCTGGTGTACCAACCTCCTTTATAAATGTGTGTCCATTGTTATAGTTAGTAGATAACTCAATATTAGAATAACTGATAAAAATGAAGAAAAACGCTGATAAGGGACCCATTGTGATCTTGCATTTTTTTTGTTATAAATAAAATACCTCAATCTCTTCTGCTGGACGAGGCGCTGGAATCTGCTCTATCTCATCATCATCATCCTCTTCGTCAAAGTCAACTTGACGATCCGCTATAGAAGAAGAAAAGATAAAAAAACCTTGCAATGATTAGATATATTCTATTTAATCACTCTAGACAGCTCAACCGTGGCGTACTGAATGAAAAAAAAAAAAAAAAAAAAAAAAAAAAACATACACTTGACCCATTTAAAGACTTGAAGCCCTTTTCCGTTCTTGGATTCGGTCCATTTTTTATCCCTGATATTATTTAGAATAAAATAGACATGGGGGTGAACCCAAGGTGTCAACTGGTTGATATGTCTTTTTATGACTTGAGAAAAAGTCCATTAGAGATGAAAGGATTGGAACAATTAGAGAAGGGGGATGATCTCATTTCCATTTTACCAGCACTGCACAGGCTGTAGTACGGCCCTCTTGAGACGGTCGTGTTCACCTCCTACTGCATTTCGTACACTCCTGCCCTCGCGTGGACGTGTTGATGTCATGGTCAGCCAGTTTACTTTAAATAATAAAAATAAAATGTGTTTTATTAGGGAAAAGAGTATTTCTTTTTTGATTGGCACGTGATATTGAATACTTGATCGTAAATGCTCTAGTTACGACCTGAATTCCTCGGACAATTTTTTTTTTTTTAATGAGTCAAAAGAAACGCCACCATCTTTACGAAGTTGGGCAGACTGTTTCGTGCGACCATTGCTTATCTCTTTTTTTTTTCTCTCCCTTCATTCCGCCTCCACATCACCCCCCCTCCCTTTTGCACAGTACAGGACTAAGCACTATGGCAGACAGAGCAAGAACAGCTACCGTCTCTCGTAAGACGAATGAGACTGACATTCACATCACTTTGGCCATGGACAGTGCAGGAGCTCAGTCCATTGACATTGACTCTGGCATTGGTTTCCTTGACCATGTACGTTTTTTTTTTTTTTTTTTTTTTTTTCTGTTCGCTCTTCAATGTGGAGGAAACTGAAGAGCATTCGATCAGGGTTTATCTTTTGTTGGCTGTCAATCTTTTGCTTTTTCTCTTTTTTACTGACAGTAATCATTCTTTACCATTTTATTACCAATTTTTTTTTTTTTTTTCTTTTGCGTTTTTTATTTTCAATTTATTATTTTCCGTTTTTTATATCCATTTTTATTTTCAATTTTTATCCTCATTTTTAACTTTTATTTTCATTTTTCATTTTTATTTTCACATTTCATTTTTACTTTATTTTCATTTTTGAATGTAGATGTACCATGCTCTAGCAAAGCACTCGAGTTGGTCTCTGTCACTGAAGTGTAAGGGTGATCTTCACATCGATGATCATCACACTGCCGAAGATACTGCCATTGCCCTTGGAATGGCTTTCAAGCAGGCCCTTGGTGAGCCCCGTGGAATTAAGCGATTTGGATCCGCTTATTGTCCTCTAGACGAGGTAAAAAACTAAGCTCAAAACATTACAGTCGGTCAGCTAACTTTAAAAAAAAAGAGAGAGACATCCGAACAAATGCTAACTCTGAAAAAAAAAAAAAAAAAAAAAAAAAAAAAAAACTCCAGGCATTATCAAGGGCTGTAGTTGATATCTCTGGACGGCCCTTTGCGGATATTAATCTCGGCCTCAAAAGAGAAAAGATTGGAGCATTGTCTTGTGAGATGATCCCCCATGTCTTGGAATCGTTTGCTCAGGCTGCAGGAATCACTCTTCATGTGGATGTTTTAAAGGGTTTCAATGACCATCACAGGTTCGTCTAGTTGAATTTTTTAAAAATGAAAAAAAAAAAAAAAAAAAAAAAAAAAAGTGATAAATGTACTGACGAAAGAAGAATTATTTAATATACTTGATTGATCTGGAATATATTTTGTATGATATAGAGCGGAGAGTGCCTTCAAGGCATTGGCAGTTGCTCTGAAGAATGCTATCGAAAGAACAGGAACAAATGATGTACCTAGTACCAAAGGAGTACTTTAAAAAAAAAAAAAAAAAAAAAAAAAGATAATAGCGATCAGAGGGATAATAGATCTGTTTATCAAGAAATAAAAACTATAATAAGTATAAATGCATACATGATTCAATAATTACATGGATCCATGTTGATGGTGTTCGTGTCCGAATAATAATAATAATAATAATAAAAAGAAACAAAGAAAAGGAAAACGATTTCAAAGTTCCTTTTGAAGCTGATTACAAAACTCTGAATGGCAATCCTTGACAATCCTTGAATCCTTGACAATCCTTATCATGGAGCTCATTGGATGGGTAATGCGTACAAGGAAAAGAAAACATTCTCTGCAAATTATAGAAGATGATGGGCTCTGTTACACCATTTGTCGGAAAAAGGGAGATACCCCTTGTCCTTTTGGGCATATTTATATATTACACGTAGGTAGTGTAGCATATGTCATTGAGTAACTGTGGAACGCGTCATCTTTTTTTTTTTCTGAATCAGGGGCCTGTAAGCAATTCAACATACTATATAAGATGCTTTTTTTTTTTTTTTTTATCTTTCTTTTTATTTAATTCAGTCCACATCACATCAATTGCCCCACAATCAACAGTCAATTATTCCTTTCCTTCAACAACAAAAAAAAGAAAAAAAAAAAGACGCTTACTTGCTCAATGGCTACACATTCAAGTCCCGGATTCTTTGGTCGCCGTACACTGTCTAGTCCAAAGACCTCTGTGTCCAAAGATAATGTATGGTAGTAATTCGTTTTTTTTTATATTTTTTTTGTAAAAAAAAAAAAAAAAAAAAAAAAAATCACAGTTTAGAGTCGTGCTAGAAATAGAGTTGATGACATTTGCAATCTAAATATACGTTCATCTTTTTTCAAATATAAAACTACCTTAGGATGCCCTTCGGATTGGCATTCTTGGGGCCGCGAATATCGCACCTGATGGTCTGATTAATCCTGCGAAAACCATGAGGTCCATTGTGGTTGTATCTGTTGCTGCACGCGATGAAGCTAAGGCAAAGGTACTTATTAAAAAGAAGAAAAAGAAAAAAAAAAAAAAAAAAAAAAATAGTCGTCCAACTTGTGTCTCCGACTCCAACTCAACAAAAAAAAAAAAAATTCTTTTGGTAAAAATGACGTTGCTTCGTAGGAATTTGCCGCCAAGAATGAAATCCCAAACACCCACCCATCGTATGATGCTCTCATTAATGACCCCAGTATCGACTGCATCTATAACCCTTTACCCAACGGCCTTCACTATATTTGGACCAAAAAGGCCCTTGAGGCTGGAAAGCATGTTTTGCTTGAAAAACCTGCTGCCTCCAATGCAGAGCAGACGAAGGAACTGTTCGAATTGGCCAAGGCAAAGAATCTGGTGCTATTGGAAGCATTCCATAATCGATTTCATCCTGCCTCGCTCCGATTTCGAGATATCTTACAGAAACATATTGCGGAAGGTCATCCATTAAAACACATTCAGGCCGTCATCGCGCTCCCTCCTCTTTTACCACCCACGGATATACGCTTTGACTGGAACCTTGCTGGAGGGACCATGATGGATGTGGGTTGTTATCTGATCAACGCTGTTCGGTTCTTTACAGGATTAGAAGTCGAGAGTGTTGAGAGTGCAGTGCCCAAGATTGTGGCCGAAAACGTGGATGGACGGATGGACTGTGTCTTTAAAATGAAGGGACCTCATAGCAATGGCGTCTTGGCTCAAACCACAGCCAGCTTAACCAATCCTTGGTTATCCCTTCAGACCTATCTCGAGATCATCCCTAAATTTATCGCGGAGACTGACGACAAGGTCTTTACCTTTGGAGTCTTTTTGCTTCCTGGTGTAAGTGCATAATTCCTTTTGCTATGATATGTCTATGTAAACAATACAAGAGCTTTATTTTTTCTTTTATAATCAAAGTGAGGGAAAAAAAAAAAAAAAAAAAAAAAAAAAAAAAGTTGTTAATTTGAAACGCCAATTAATCCGATATCGAATAGATGTATCATTATATGACCATTAAGGACAAGGTGACAGGAAAGACTGAAAACTTGCCCAAAGTCTACGGGGATGGCCATTCATCGCACAAATTCCAATTGGAGGCATTTGTCAAAGCTGTCAAGAACCATGGGAAGGATGTAGAATCGATTCCTGGATGGGTAACGGGCGAGGACAGTGTCTTGAACATGCAGGCCCTTGATGATGTCTACAGACGCGCAGGCATGAAAGTCCGAGAGTGATGAATCAAAAAAGGAAATATACAATATATACAATAAAAGATATATATTACACGTACGGTAACCTCACAGTACAAGGGAAGATAGTCGTCAAAAATGACCAATTGGGTGCGGGTCTCCTTGTTTCAAGGTTACTATTTGATCTCTGTTGAGGATTATATATATTAAACAACAACAAACATCAATGATAACGAATAACTAGCAATTGCAATAACTGCAATAATTAAACAGCGGAGAGTGTCCTCCAATTGAGAGCGGGTTGCATTCAACTTTGTATAAACTTGTTTAGATAAACTTGTATAGACTTGTATGGTTGCTGCTAGTGGTTAGTATAATTTTGACTGAAGTTCTACATTGGATTATCAAAACACTGCTCTCAACTTTTGCACAGCTTACGACCCTGCATAATGTTATAATGCATTTACATCAGTGCGCAATGTGATCATACGAAACCATGCATGCATAAGCTTCGAATTATTAACCATTTAATATCGCAACTTTTTACTTTACAGTTTAATATGTCTTTCAGTTAAAGGGATCGATTATATTACATATATATATATATATATATATATATCTATCTACTCCACCTTGCTGAGTTGAATGAATGAAAAAAAAAAAAAAAAAAAAAAAAAAATAGGCGGATCTAGATTCAGTCAGTCAGGGTGCAGGGCGTAAGGGCGTAGGGCGTGGGATGTAAGGTGCAGGGTACGTGGTGTAGGGTGCAGAACAGAAGAAAGGACAGTGGACTTTGAACAAATGAAGAAGCTAAGACAGTGAGAGAAAAAATATAGGGAACGAACCAGGTTTAGATCTCCTTGTTTCCTAGTTCATGAAACGAGGTTGTAATCCTTGTATAGTATACATTGCACTACACTACACATGAGATAACTTGTTCCTGGCACATGGGGCTTCATTCAATCAACGACAATTAACTTTACTTTGGAGTCCTTCATATTCCTATTGCACTTGTTCGCGCTGTTTGTACTGTTCGCAATCTGCTTATTCGTCAACTTTTTCCTTAATTTATCTCATTTCCCTTATTTTCCCCTTCACCAATCAAACCGATATCGAATCAACCGATCCTACATCTCTACGCTAGTTTCAAATCTAAGGGATCTCTGACTCTTGATATACTTTGGGTGTCAAACTGTGTTTGGATAGAAAGGTCTCTGACCTTTTTTTTTTTTTTTTTCTTTTTTGGTCTGAGGAACTTCATGCCCCTGCACAAAAAAAAAGACTAAAGTCAAAGTTATACTTCATTGCCTGCACAGCGGACCTTCTAGCCCCCAATATGGTTGTTGTTCAGCCATTCAATGTTCTAAAAAAGGTAAGAGGTCAAGAAGAAGAAGTAGAAGAACAAGAAGAAAAAGAAGAAAGGAAAACATATAAAAGGGTCAATGGCTCTCATCCTTCGACACGTCCATCATCTCTTTCATTACACAGCACAGCACAGCACAGCACAGCACAGCACAGCACAGCCTTAACAGAGCCCACTCATCCATTTCACTTCGCTTTAAATTTTAAAACAAAATGTTCAAGGTCCAGATCACCATCCTCGCGGTTCTTTGTGCTGCTACCTTTACCTTGGCCGCCCCTATTGGCAAAGTATCCCATGACACCACCGTTTCTATCAAGGCCAGCTCAAGTGACGATGATGCATTCCATGGCCGCGGCACCTGGTTTTCAGACGACTCTGGCAGCTGTGATATCGGCTTTGGTCAGGATGACATGATTGTCGCGATGAACAAAGCACAGATGGGTGATCTCCAGGGCCCTGACTCTCAATGCGGCAAGATGATCCGAGTCCATTACGGTGGCAAATCCGTTGATCTCAAGGTGGTCGATACCTGCCCCAGCCAATACTGTGACGAGGGTGCTCTCGATCTTTCTCAAGCAGCCTTCAAAAAGTTAGCAGGTGGTCTCTCCAAGGGTGTCCTTCCTCTCAAATGGGAGTTCATTTAAAAAAAAAAGATTGACCAAGAGAAATTCTCTTCCACCCAACATCCTGTCTTTTAAAGAAAAAAAAAAAAACTGCCCCTTCCCTTCCCATCTCGATTATCCCATCCAATTCATATTTAACAACTGTACCATAGTGATCTTCAGCATGAAAATAAAAACAATCCAGCGCTGGTCGCTTACTTTGCATCTATTATTATTTCTTTTTATTCTATGGAGCTAACTTACAGAGAGTACGTTATTTCAAACTCCCTTTGACACGAAAGAAGAGAAAAAAAGGTTTAGCTGACATGCTGCTGATCAACAACAGTGTCGAGTTATAAACATGGAGAGGGGAGACAAATGATAAAGATGGAGAAGTGATAAGAAATGAGAATATAAAAAAGAATAGTAATAAAAAAAAAGTAAGGGAGACAACAGGATGAAGAAAAGGCTGTAGGATTAAATATGATGATTCATGGGCAGAGCGATGATCCTGATTTCCTGTTTTTTTTTTTTTTTTTTTTTTTTTTTTTTTTGCATGGTTACGATGTCGTTTTTTACTTGTTGTGCCACAAAAAGTTCCTGAGAGTGTTCCAGTGATTTGAATCGAGGTAGATATACTGCATTGATGCCTGCAGTGAAGGCTGGAGCACATCCCGCTCATTCCGGAAGAGGTACATGACAATAGCCCAAATCAATGAAGTAAAGATTGGGAATGTCTGTGCTGGCTCCGCAATGACATTCTTCTTGACCGGTAGCTTGGCTAGACCCATCATGATACGCGAGAACAAGTAGAGGACAATCTAAACATTTATGAAGGAAATTTGTTGTTTGTCAGTCTTTGTAAAGTGAATGCTTTTTTTTTTTTTTTTTTTTTTTTTTTTCCCTCTTCTTGATAATATTCATCACTTGTTTCTCCGGAAAGTAAAGAGATAAAGGTGGTGACGAGATCAATTCCGACCCGATGTCTATGGCTCATCATTGTCTGCTTCTTAGATGTTGTTACTGAGACTATGTGTCTGACGAATGCCGAATCTTGAGTAACATCTGGGATTTGGGTGTATAAGAAATCTCACCTGCTGATTGACGTTGTTATTCTCTCCAAAGACAAAGTATCCACCAACAAGACCTGCAAAGAACGAGTCGAAGGGCCTTTCCTTGCCATGCATCCTTCTTTGCAAGATCAAAAGTGTCTTGTAGATGGTACAGAAGAAGGCCAAATTCCGAGCATGTTGTTTAGTTGCCTTGAGCACAAACGTTGCCATATCTTTGAAACTGACATGAGTTTGATTAAAAAGAGACACGAAAAGTAACAAAGCCTGTTGTTATTCTCGGGATCATAAACTCGTTTTTTGCATCATGAAGGTTATAAAGCTATTATCATGGATTTGATTTTTAGAAAGAAAAATAATAAAAAAAAAAAAGACGTAAAGGGACATACTTGCTTCGACGGAAGAGCAAAGTCATGACGAGTGCATGAGGAAAGCGGATCTTTGCACCATAGACAAGACCGTTCCTGAATCCCTTAACAATGGAAAGCAGGTCATGGTACTCTGGAGTGAGGATGAAATCTGTTGCAGCCTTCTTGATTGAGTCCATTGCTGAGATTCTGTGGAGGTTTTTATGGATGTAAAGAAGTGTTTGACGATGAGAGGAGAATGAGAGAAAGATGAAGAAAAAAAGAAAAAAAAAAAAAAAAAAGGATGAAAGCAAGAAGGAGAAGAGAAGGAAAAAGGGAATAAACAGTAAAAAGGCTAGAAAGGAAAAGGATTGAATGGGATATGCTCAGATGCGAACCCTGTTTTCATCATGTAAAGATCTACGCTAAAGGAGCCGTTTACCAGGCATTGGAGCACTAAAGCGCCTAAAGTATCGAAACATTAAAACGTTGAAACGATGAAGCGATGGGAGGGAGGTTCCTTCTATCGTTGGCTTTTTCTTACTCGATATCAACAAAGTGAATAAAGCGGTAATTGAAGTCTCTTCCGGAGTACCTGTATCCGTGGAATCAATTGATGCACACACACGCGCGTGTAGTCTTTTCTGTTTAGTCATAAAGTCTTTGTGGAAGTATCGCATTCTTGCAGCACGTGAAAGCGTCTATGACAAGTATCACCGTGTTGCCCGCCCGCATGCCATTCCATTCCAACAAACTCTAATATCCAAACTTACTGCAGTTTCAGTTTACATGTCACATTTTAAAATACGTTTGGATGTTGTATACATCTCTGTGGAGCAGAGGAAAAGCAGTAGGGCAGTAGGCATACTCATAAGTTTGTTAGCATTAAACATGGGGTATCCTGGATCCATAGCATTAGCGAAGAGGAAAAAAAAAAAAAAAGACTATCCGACAGCTGCAGACTGCTGAAATAAAAAGGACTTTCATTCCATGATTTGAGCACTAATTTTTTTTACCATTCTACAGCTGTCTAAAGTGAAAAGTATAGATTTCAACGATGATTTTTGTCATAAAATAGATATATCTTCACTGATATAGCCCGATCTGCTATTAGCGTCTTTATACTTCACAGTGTAGTCAATGCCAAGACAATATCCCTTAAAGCATGCTACCCAACATTTTGCTGGAGACCAAAGTCAATTCTTCACCAACAAGACATGAAAGACTGGAAGCTTGGTTAGCAAGATCGTATCACGTGGATTGTTCAGGACTGTCTCATTTTCTTTTTTTTTTAAAAAAAAAAAAAAAAAAAAAAAAAAAAAAAATCTTTACAAGGAAAGCCAGTGTTCTCATCGCAAGGACACTTTCAGAAACAGGCACCAGCATAATGTCAGGAGCAGGAGGGTTGTTTAGGGACTCATTTTCTGGAGAACGTTCCTCTTTCGGCAGAGGACGCGCCTCTTTTGCAGAGAGACCCTCTTCTTTTGGAGGACGCTCTTCATTTGCAGATTCAACTAACCAACATCCTATGACCAGCACCTCACGTCTCTCCATGCTACCCAAGAATGGGTCATCTTCAACATTCGTTCTTCCTACCCCACAAATCGACAGCGAGGATTTCTTGGCCACTGCTGCAACATTCCTCAATGATTTTAACATCTCTGTTGAAAAGATCAAAGCAAGGATTATAAGCAACGCGAGCCAGTGGGTCCAAGATACATCTGAAGTACGTGAATCGGATAGAGAAATTCGCGAAGATATGAAGGTTGCTATTGCTAAACAAATTGCTCGGGCCAAAGGTACGGAAACTGTTCTCGCTCTCTCCCCTCACCCTTTTATAAAGGCATTGGAATGATTAGTACTGCGGCCATTGATTCTAATGCGATGTTCTATTTTTTTTTTTTTTTTTTTTTTTCCTTGATTAGCGCGCAAGAAGGAAAAGGAAGAGGCTAGTAACATGGCAAGAACAATCGATCTGTTGACAGAGCAGAAAGATCATATGGACCAAGTTCGCGGAAATTTGGAAGCACAAGTTATTGCCCTCAAGAAAGAAATTAAAGCTAAACGAGAAGGTATCTTTTTTTTTTTTTTTTTTTTTTTTAGGTTGCAGACTTTTTTCTTTTTAATCAATGACTCTGCTAATATAACGATTCTTTATTATTATTATTATTATTATTATTATCATTATTTTTTATTATTATATGCTAGCAAGGACTGCGCTGAAAAAAGCACTGGATGAGCAGATGTTAAAGAACAAGCCAGAGTTGACATGCTTTGAATCAATTCTGGCGATGCGGATTGTTGGAATCAAAGGTAGGTTCTCGTCAATTAATTGAGTCAGGGCTTTTGTTTGACTCTTTTAATATAGCAGTTTTATTTAATATCCTTGTCTTCTTATATATACTTGTTGGTTTGCTCTATTGGCTTCACAGAGGATCATATTGGCTTTGTCTTTACGCGGATAAATGAGCTGGATTGGGAACAAGAGTACTCTATCATTGTAGATGTGTCTCAACGCGACTTTTCAGGTACACTATGCTTTGGCTGATAGAGACTGTATAGCTGATATGGCAAGTGGCTGACAAAATAACCCTCATTTGTTTATTTTGTAATGGACGTGGATAGTTTCAGATTGTAATCCTCTTATACCTCAACTTCCTTCATTAATTCAGTCTTTGAATGAGACCAGAGACTTCTATGAGTTCCTAAAAAGAGTTCGGAAAGCATTCAAGGACCTCGCTAAGAAATGACCTTTATTTGAGTGACCTAGATTGGATCTACAGGAAGAGTGAGGTCCATTAGCTTGTTATCAAAGTTATACCCCTCCGTCATGAAGAGAACCGGATCATAAGCAGAGAAAGGAAAAAAAAAAAAAAAAAAAAAAAAACAAACCAGCATGGATACCCAACTGCAGCAGATGATGTAATGGGATGCTATATTAGTTCTCGTTGACTTTTATCCCTGTGAGTAACAAGTCTTTATACCCTTTCTTCGTTTGTCCCCGTAGCTACTGCGCTACTGCGCTCAAATCGCTAGATCAGCGCTGTTACTTGCTTGTCGGATGTACAAACAGAAGCAGCGCTTGAAATAATAATAAAAAATACCTTTTTTTTTTTTTTTTTCAAGACAATGCATGGCAGGCTCTGTGCGCGTCACAATAGCGCCGGTTTCAATTGCATGCTTTATAGTTTCTACAATTCTTTTCTTCTTCATTCTCATTCTTTTTCTTTTCATTCCTACCCATTTAGTCCTCATATCTCATTTCTTTCTATTATTTTTATTTCTGCTCTCCTTGTTGTCTTTATTATTGATTATTGCTATTCTTTCTATTTGTAACCAATGACCTCGCAGCATGCCGCATTCCTGGCGTCAAAGACAGTCGCTGACGTTCTTAATGAAAAAGCACAGAACCATGCTTTAATTGATATTCCTGTCACTGCCACAGTGGAGAAAGTCTTTGAAACACTTCAGTCGAATGGCAAGTAAAATATTGAACTTTGTCCAAGTCTACTTTGCAACAGTAACTTTTTTTTTTTTTTTTTTTTTTTTTTTTCACACGAATGAGCCCAATTTTTGAATAAAAAAAAGAAAGGGCGTTGTGGATACCTTTATGCTTGAAGGAAAAACTAGCTGCTGTCTTTTTTGAACTGATGCCCTAATTTTACAACGTCATGGTCGGAGCATTTTAGCTTTTTGCAATCTATTAACTGACAGCATCCTCTTTTTTTTTTTTTTTTTTATTTTTTATTTTTTTTTTAACCTGGATCGTCTTAGATATCCTCTCGGTACCTGTTTATCGACGCTTCAACAATGTTAAGGACTATGTGGCCATAATTGACACTTATGATCTTCTATCCACAATGGAGGTTAGTTTCTAATTTTATCTTTATTTCAATAACAATAAGAAGTATAGAAAATAAAATAAAATGAAACCAATTGATCACAGGTGGAACAATCATTCGCTTTTCCATTTTTCCGTTTTTCCTCAGTCGATTCTTTTTTGCTTGACATGGATCATTGCTATATAGCTCTGCCCCATTCTAATCTTGCTGCTTTCTGCTCTTTCCTTTTCCTTAATTGCCGGGTTTTCTGGCGTTATTGTATAACAATAACACTGTTTTTTTGTTTAGGAACGAGGCTTTACAGTCGAATCAGGATCTACACCAGATACAGAATATTTGTCCATGCCTGTTGCCATCCTCGTCGGAATGACAAAATCATCTTCAAAGTTATGGACATGTCAACCGAACCTTCCTTTGACTCAATTGTACGTTTTGTGCTTCTCTTTCTCTTTCTCTCCCATGATTCACTTTGTACTACTTATGGCTGAGGAAGAGCAATCACCTACCAATCTGTTTTCTTTCATGAATGTTCTTTACTCTTTTTACTGTTACTGTTTCTGCTTCTGTTACTTTTTTTTTTTTTTTTTTTTTTTTTTGCAAAAAAAAAACAATGTGATGGATAACAAAATCTAAACGGACATGGATAGGATTGAGTTGTTTACGAAACATAGAGTGCACCGTATCCTTGTCCTGGAAGAAATCCCAGTCAAGTCTAGTGACATTGAGAGCAATGAGAATGTGTTGGAAGAGGCAGAGCCTCAACAGGAACCCAAGGGCCGGCTTGTATCGCAAACAGACGTCATACGATATTTGCTTGCACACAACCATGAGCTTGGACCCATTTTGGATCGGACAGCTAACAGCATTGCGGGCCATGCACTCCAATTCTCAGACGCATATTTGGACTCGGCCTCAGCAGACAAGCTGAAGCAAGCTCCCGCCACGATCACTATTAATAACCCTGCGTGGACAGCGCTCCAGAAGATGTCTTCAGCTCATGCCAGCTGTGTTGCTGTCGTTGGTAAGGGTGATAGTATCTTTTTTCTTTTTCTTTTTTTTGTAACAACTTTTTGACATGACGAATTTTCTGATTTTTTTTTTTTTTTTTTCTTCTTCTATGGGAATGTACCTCATATGTGGCATGGTGATTAGACACAGATGGAACATTAGTGTCAGAAATGTCTGCAGCGGATTTGCGAGGCGTGAACCCAAGTAGGATTCAGGACTTGAATAAACCTGTGCTAGTTTATCTCAAGACCTTGCAAGGAGGCAATCTAAAGAGGCCTTTGAGTTGCAGAGCTCAATTCTCACTTGGACAAGTGCTTAGTGGTCTAATTCGCAGTCATGCTCATAGGTCTTGGCTAGTCGATGGAGAAGATCGACCCGTTGGTTGCATCACGCTGAGCGATATTCTATCAGTATTTTTGGGTTAAAACAAGAGATGATTTTTTAGACCTTTAATTATCTTTGAAGTACATTTCATTATTTTTATTTTCATTTTGAGATCGAGGAGAAAATGAACTAATAAAAATAATTAATTATGGAAAGGAATGTACACGGACCATTTGACTAGAATTAATTGGGAAATAAGTAACAAAGGAATTAAAAAAAAAAAAAAAAAAAAAAACTTTAAGGATGATCTACAGGAGTAGAACAAAAATAAAAGTAATATGGATGAGTGTAAAAGGTAATGCTTTTTTCTGAAAGAGAAGCTTGTTTTCTTTTTCTTTTTCTCACTTCCTTCCTTTGCCCTTTCTGTTGAGGTTTCGTTTGCTCTTGTCAAAAGCGGTCCTGCCCTTGCGTTTCTTTGATGGATCAGAGATGAGTCCATCAAAGAGACCTTCATCCGCATACGATCTCTTCCGACTCCTCGAACCACCATCCTGCTCATCTTCATCATCACTGTTCCTTGCCATTGCTGCCTGTTTACGCTCGTTACGACGGGCCATAATATTTCTACGACGTTGATCATCCGTTTCGAGATCATCCTGTAGTGGTGCGATCTGTGCAAAATCATTCAGGTTCTCAAACTCGTTCTCGAAACGAGGAAGAGCACCCTTCTTCAAACGGTTGAGCTCCTTCTTGGACAACATTGTTCTTGTGAAATTCTCTTCTTCATATCTCTCACGCTCACGTTGTTTCTCATCCAAGCCCATACCAAAATGAACGCCTTCGTTGCTGAGCGACATCTCCTCTGGACGATCATCAAACTCCGAGACCAAATCCTTCATGACGCGTGACTTGACAGCACGGGCCTGTAATCTAGCCTGGTATTTCAGTCTCTTGGCCACCGCACTCGAATCCTCCTCAAAGTGAACAGGGACCATCTTGGGTGCTTTGTAGACTCCCGTAGTTGAGGATGACTTTTCATCCTGCTCCTCTTCATCCACATCTCCTTCATCATTTCCTGTACTGTCCGCAAGCAAGTTCTTTGGATTTGGTTTGAACGACAATGGATCAGCGACTATTGTTGTTATTGTTGTCAAAAAAAAAAAAAAAAAAAAAAAAAGGATTTTAGTAAAGAAAAGTAAGCAAGTTTAGAAAATTATATATAGCTCCAAGCCCAAATTATATATATGTTACCTCCCGCGCTGACAGGCGTATCATTATCTTGTTGCTGTTGCTGTCCGACCACTGCAGCACGAACCAACTTGTCAATCTGATATTTGAGTTTCTGTTCCACGGGCTTCATCTTTTCGAGAATGATTCTCTGTTCAATCAAGGCCATGACTGCAGGATGATCCTTGATGGACTGACCCTCGAGTTTCCTGTACATGACAAATGCCAAGTTTGTGATATATTCCAGTAGAATGTGATATTTGACTTCTAGAAACGACAGTCCTTTTGATGTATCAATCTCCTTTGACTCTAATCTTTTTTTTTTTTTTTTTTTTTTTTTGTTTTGTTTCGTAAAAAAAAAAAAGAATTATATAAGTCTCTTTTCTTTTTCTTTCGTTTCGGTAAGAAAAAAAAGATTAATAACGTCTTTTTTTATTTATTTATTTTTTTTTTCTCACTTTGCAATGGTAGGCTTTAGTTTGGTCTCAATGTCCTTGAGCATTGTTGAGAGTTCCTTCAAGTTCTTGGTGAATGTGGCCTGATCAGCCCTGAGGGCTTCTGCAACTGCATCAGCTGCTTTTGACGTCGCTGAGGGACTCATTTGGTATTGTATGGATGGTATTAAGGAAATATTATTTGCTTAATGATTCTTTTTTGTCGTTGTCGTTGTCGTTGTCGTTGCTGTTGATTTCTTGAATGAACACAACAGGTCAAGAAGCTGTGGAGGTTGTAAAAGTTGTGACAGGACCTTTTAATAAACAAAGCAACCATAATAAGCTTAAAAAAAAAAAAAAAAAAAAAAAAAAATTGTTTTCATTTGTGACTGTATCATCCCAGTTGACCATGAAAATGTGAATATGTGTATTTGTGAAGAGATCATCATCTACTCTTTTTTTATTTTTATTATTATAAAAGTATGCAAAAGCAGTAATAAAAAAAGGTATATGAAAGCTATTATGATGTGATATGGAGATTTTTACAAATGAACAGGTAGAAAGAAAGAAGAAAGAGGAGGGGGATTGTACTTTATATATATCAGCTTAGCAGAAATGGATGCCTTCTTCATTGAATGCCGTCAGCAATTTGAGAAAGTCATCCTGATCCATCTTTGCTGCACGTTCCTCTGCTAATCCAGCGTTGGTCAACACCCCTTGGACCTTGGCCTTCATATCCAAGGGATCCTCGATCATCCGATCATGTGTTGCACAAAAGGTCTTGTAGTTCGTCTCCAACATCTCCATCACAGTATCAGTCTTAAAGCTGGCAGAGAGGGTCTTGTTCTTGCGAACAAACAAGATACGCATCAATCCATCCCATTCCTTGAAATCGACAGGAGGAGGAGGGTTCTTCGGTTCTAACCGTACTACACTAGATTCAACTTGAGGTGGAGGACGGAAGTTATTCTTGCCAACTTTCATGATATGCTCAACTTTAGCATAGAGTTGAACATTGACACTCAAACGGCAGTAGAGACTATCACCAGGTTTGGCGACGAGACGAAGAGCAAATTCACGCTGAAACATGAGGACTGAAGTTCTAAAAATGGGCCGGTGCTCCAAAAGTTTGAACACAAGTACTGAAGAAATCTATCAAGCGTGCCAAGATTAGAGGGGGAGGGAAAGATATATCCATTCTAGATGATCAGTACCATGTTTTACTACTCCCATAAACCTTTTTTTTTTTTTTTTTTTTTTTTTAAAAAAAAAAAAAAAAAAAAAACTCATCTATTTGCAAAAAACGCCAATTCTCTGTACCTGATATGGAGTGTTACTGATGCAGACGTCAAAGTAAGGCAGCGTAGTCTTCATGAAATCTCCAATCATGATCTCCAATCTCCTTTGATCAGGACTATATTCGTTTGAAAATGGGAGAGAAAGTGAAAGGGTATTTTTAGCCTCAGTTCCTGTATCCCGTATTCCCATTGTAAAATTTATTGTATATGTTTTCCATCTTCATGATTCATGTTACTGCTTCTTACGTTCCATGAACACGTTTAGTCAATTCTGCTGCAAGTCGAGGATCCATCTCGACAGCAACAACCTTCTTGCATTTCTCCAAGATCTTGACTGTCAAGTTTCCTGTACCGGGACCAATTTCAAGAACTGTATCTGTTGGTTTGAGGTAAGCCTACATGTATTTAAAGACCCAAGATATTGAACATATTTCAAAGTTAGCTCAGCCATAAGAGGAAAAGCTTTTTAAGCTACCTTTTCAATAAAATAAAATAAAATAAAAAGCCTTAGAAAAAGTAATGAACGTCGGTTGTGGTTGAATCTCAAGATCTCCTAACCTTGTCTACAATGCCCTGGGCAACAAGAGGGTTCTTGAGAATATGTTGACCAAGATCTTTATTGAAAAGAGGACCAAAAGCACGACTGGCTGCTGAAGAGGCTGATGCTGAATTGGCTGTCTTCTCCTCCTTCTTCTTCTCAGTCCTCTGATTAAATTTTTTAGATACGACCTTTGGCATGGTTTGATTGTGCTGCTTGATAAGCTGAAAGGAGGAAAAAAAAAAAAAAAAAAAATGTATATGAAGAAATAAAACTTTATATATATAGCCCCTCTTCGATTTTTTTTTTTAAAAAGAGTTGTTGGAGTTGAAGTTGATGTTGAGGGGGCTAAAAGGATGAAGTGATGCAATACAAAAGGGTCGAGAAGGAGAAAAGTAATAAGTAGACTTGAAGAAGCATTTTTTTTTTTTGTTGTTGTTGTTGGAGGGCAGATAATTGTGACAAGCTTTTCGGCTCTATTATCTCACGTGTAGCGCCACCAAAAGATTAAGCCAGGCCTAATGTTTAAAAAACTAGCGTAATATTGAAGAAAGGATCTGTATCTACAATGCGCGTTCCTTAAGCGCGAAACCCCGAATGAAAGATATTGGATATTAGATATTGGATATCGAGGTTCTCTCTATCATTATAAAAAGTAGCGTGACATGTTTAGGAAAGCTTCAGATTAAATACATTTTAAAGCTATAAGCACCTGTAGCCGGTCCACTACTTTCTGTGCATTAATATCACCTTCATGGTTATCAGTTCAGGATCGATTCCTTTCTCTTCCCTCCCATTTATAGACAACATTTATGTTGATTATATTCAAGTCATAGAAATCAAGTTTTGCGAGAAAGCACCATTCACCAATCCTCAGCTTTTGCCTTCCCCTTGGCCCAGGTTCTAAGTTTTGTATACTCACTAAAAGAATATTATTGATCTTTTCCTACTCTTGAAGGTCTTGTCTAGGCCATCAATCCATCTATATACACCTATATATGTTCATTCAAGAGTACTAGCCTTGTATTCTACCATATGATCCTCTCTTTTCAAAATCTACTCCTCTTATTAAAAGGAGCAGATGTAAATACACCAACAGATTCTATGCCATCTGCTCTGGGATGCTTTCCATTCTGTACCCCTCACGAAGAGCTTGCTTCACTAGTCTGGCAGGTCTCTTTCAGTAGGTCCTCGCCTCACTAGATCTCCATATGAAGTACTAAAGGCACGCATATGTGGCTCCGACTCTGAAGATAAAGAATCGGGCACTCTTATTCTGGATGGATTCTTCTGGTATATGGGTCCAGTGGGTCAAGTCCTGACATTAACAGCCAATGGTGCTAAAGGAAGGCGAATACATCTTCGAGTTGGCCTTGCTTTTGGAGCCACTGGCTCAGTCTGTTGACGTATCACTGGCCTGATGGCGTGTGAACGCCCAGATGTTTTGCTGCAGGTGTTTGAGAAAAAAAAAAAAAAAAAAAAAAAGCTCAGCAGTGTGCAGTTTGAGTGTATGGGTAAAATTTGCCAATGGTGGTTTAGGATTGAGGAATAAAGCAGCAAGGATCACCTCAAAATGATTCTTCAAGAATGACACTCCTCATTGACATCCTTACGCGATCTGCTTTCATCATGTATGATATGACTATCAGCCATTCATTGATCTAGATTTTATCAAGTCATTAAGCTGTGTACAAACTTTGTACCCTGTTTATAGTGTAGTGTGAGAGACATCTCCATCTCCATCTCCATCCCTATATCAATATCTTGGTCAATCAATTGGCACTTACCGTTTGAGCGGATCGAGACCACATTTTACTTTTTAATTGCGCTATGCTTTGGAGATAATCTTTCACTGGCCTGGTTGGAAGGATATGAAAGCCACCCTGGTATTTCAGTATCCCAAAATGATGGCTATGGAAAAAAAAAAAAAAAATCTGAAGGGTGAACAAGGAGGTGGCAGTGGAAGTTGGTATGTTTGCGCATAAGTCTATTGGAATGGATCTTCGAGGCGATCCAAACAAGGCTCGTCAGCCTATTTGAACCAGCCTAAAGCTCAACTCTGCTCATTCAAAACAAAAGAGAAGAGTATGCCTAGTAAAATCAGGTGCTTTAGACCGACTTGATACTGGGCATTCGCTAAATTGTTCATATTGACCATTGATATGGCAAAACAGATCGATGTCTCTTCTGTAAGGATGAATACGTGATTAACTCTTTATTGCACTCATCTGTGCTGCTCTGCCACTACAAAGTCCTACTACTTGTTATTCTGCTATCTCACTGTAACTTCGCTGATTTATTCAGCTTCAAGCTTGGGGAACGCAATGTGGGACACAAATGAACACAGTGCTTTGGCTAGGATAGGATTCTTCACGGAGCCATCAAAACCTGCAAGTGTAAAAGTATTGCTCTTGGTCGTTAGGGTATTGTAGGTATCGGGATCAGTGAACGTTGCGGTAGCTGTCACAGCGTTGTCACCAATGGCCAAGTATAGGCTCGGTATATTAATAACTCCCATCAAGTCTCCATTAGCGTTGAGTATGTTGAGCGCAATGTCTCCAATATTCATGCTAAGCTCCGAAGGGTTATGAATATTCAACTTTTGTGCCACTGTGGTAACACCCGAATCGGCATCCTTGGTAAGACTCACTAGCTCCACATACTCAATCTTTTGGAGGTTATCCAAACCTCGTACAGTGACGGGGGCCGAGATACCAATGTTGGTGGCAGTTAGTGTCTTCGAGGAATCCGCATCACTGGACTTACTGTTGCCTGAAAGGGATGGAACCTTGAGCGAAGCATCAACATTCCCTCCGATGGAGAATGTATATGAGGGCTTGGTAATGATATTCGCGAGGTAGTTGGAGAATGCATCTTCAAGTCCTGGTAAAATATTTACTACATTTCTCTCGATCGGATTTTTGACAATGCTGTCTTTAACCTCGGCAGGGGCCATTGGAAAATCAAACTCTGCGATTGCAACACCATTGTCCTTTTGTTGGAAGAGGGGAAGAAGGAGGAAAATTATCAAAACCTTGTCTCGTTATTCAATCGCAGATGGTGCTGATATATACGAGATATACTTACAATAATATTATGCTAAGGAGCAAAGGAGGGGAAATAGTATTAATGGCTGTTTACTTTTCTTCTATTGGCCATTGCAGAGATTTCGTAATGAAAACAGGCCTTTAACTTACATGATTAGCAAGGCTGACAATTGGCCAACTGGTTCCAGGGAGCGAGGCCAATCTCACCTGCAAATTTGGTAGGGAAATTGGCATACTCATTGGGTCAGAGCTTGCAAAATCAATATCGAATTCGCCAAGGCTAACCTCTTGGGCAAGGCCGATATCAGTCTACAAGATGTTTAAAGAAAATAGCATTAAATAAAAGACTCTCTGCCTTAAAAAGAAGTACAAATAAGAGAGGAGCGAAAGAGAAAGCAGCTTACCGCTGCAGCTGCAGCACATTCTGGGCTCCAAGCCTCGTCACCCTTCATAAAGGTACTATAGACAGTACAAAAGTACAAACATATAATCATGTTAAATTTGGCTTCAAGACAATAATATTAACTACAAGCCAAACTATAAAATGGAAGATATTTACCTCGCTAAACAACCGAGAACTTTGGTTCCATCAATAACCCTCTTGGACATCGACGGCATTGCCAGTGCGGTGGCAGTAAAGGCAATAGCACTTGTAGCTAGGATTTGAGTAGAGACCTTCATTGTTGAAGAATTGTATTTTGTGTTGTATTTTTTGTTGTATTTGTTGTCTGGATCGTAGACTGAAAGGTGTAGGTGCTTTTATATCAAAATCACAAAGCTAAGAGTAACCAGATTCTAGTTTTCAAAGAATATGGAGTTTTTCTCCTCAGGACATTCTCAGATAATAACCGTGTGGCAATGCTACTTCAGTCGCTTCATGTACAGTACATTCCAACTTTACTTACTGTTCCAAATACTGATTGATAATCTAAACTAGCGTATGGTAGCGATTTGTATAAAATCCATAATTCCAGCCAAATCAGGCACGGCAGCGACAGAGAGACCATCCTCATTTCAGTAACTCTTGTCATTCCACCTCACCATTGCTGTCGCATCAGGGCGCCAGTCTTAGTTCCGAATGGAGGTGAGCAATTACAGTATATATATGTATACTATACTCATCACCATGTCCCCAAGTTCGTGATTAACTGGCTCGTACAAGAGATGTGCAAACCTTTGGAGCCATTCTAGAGGTTCTTTATTACCTTAAATTATTATAACTATCTCACTTTCTTTTAATGCTATTTTACTTGGTCCAAAAAAGTGGATGGCTAGCGGGAATATAGAATGTTGAATGTGAATACGCATTACCGAAATGGCTCAGGATATGTAAAAAAAAAAAAAAAAAAAAAAAAAAAAAGTTAAAAAAGACTAAAACTAGGATCTTAACACTTGTCGCTGTTTCAAGATTGTGACTCTCTCTAGCTTCTGCAGTTTGTATCCTACTTGGCAGGACGCCAACTAGGCGGGCCATGACTAAACACCGTTCAGATAGAGATCCTTGGCCTTAAAAGAATATGGGTCACGTATATGGGACTTGGGAGAAATGCGCAAATCTTTTTTAAGAGGAAGGAAAGAAAAGTTTGAGGAGAAAGGCAAAATGACATATCAAAGAGATGACAGTTTGGAGGACAGAAAAGACTTGGATTTCTACAAAGATGAGTTTCTGATACACACAATCTTCGGGACGTAATAATAGTGCTGAATAACTAACGTTGGATCTAATTAACTCTCTGTCTTAATTGTACTAATTTTCATGCTATCCATCAACAAATAGCCAATGTCCACTGGAATTGACGGCTACAGTTACTCGGCTGTATATGAAGCTGCTGAAGACGTAGATGTGTATGGTAGAGCAAGGAGTTTCACACGTCGTGAATTAGACTGACCAAAGGAGAACCTTCTTTACGAGCATGGTTGATGCATAGCCAGATTCGCTTCACAAAGCCTGATATAAAATTATGAAAGTTGTTTTGTTGAACACTTCGGGTTTCCACTTCGGTGTTCGCATCCTCTTTTTAAACCTACAACCCTTTTGCTACTTCTTGGCGTGACCCTGGAAGTTTATGATGATGGTACATGATCTGTAACATCAAAGTGCTCTTGCCACTGCCGGCTCTGGGACAAGGTAGGATCTATCCATAAGCCGAATGAATGCTAGCCTACTCTGCAGTGAAGTAGAGCAGAGGCAAAGATCCTCTCAACCCTTCAATAAATACGTGAGCAATCTAATGCTTGAAGGAATCAGAAATGGGGATATGGTCGCTGTGCACATAATATACTCATGTATAGAGAACTAAATGGCACTTTGGCATGTTACAACTGCATGTTATCATGATACAGAGCCGACGCGTGTTTATCTAGATCAGTGGCGATTCATTGGGTCAACTGGCTCAAAAATAAGTATCAATTGGCTTATAATGAAAAAATGAGAGAAGAATGAGTTAAGCCAAGCAGGCAGGTTAGGTGAACAGGGAGAGATAGACGAGTAGAATAAAATAGTTTCCTATGCGACGTCGAATGATCTAAGCTTAATGGAGTATCGACATATTCATACAACTTGATGTAGATATGGAGCTGTAATATCCAAAGATGAATGGAAGGCTCCCTCGCTGAGCATTGTTTATTAAAACAGGCGTTAGCCAATACCATGCTTATGAAAGATCTTGCGGATCAGCATTGCAGTGACTTGATTCCTGTTCGTCTGACAAGAGACTTCCTTTAAACATGGCCAGTTCTTCACCATCCACATCGCTTCTTCTGGTCCCATCCTCTGGTAGTAGCCAGTGAAGCATAATGACCTCAGATGCTTCAGGTTAGCCAACTTGTCCAGACCTGACTCTAATCTCAGATCAAACGAACGTCCATGTTCACTGCCTTTCAGTACAATCTCCCTGAGTTTTGTCAGCTTACCCAAACGTTCAAACATCATTCGCTGCTTCACCTTACTCTCCTCACTATCTTCCGCATCACCATCATCCACATCAGTGATGTTGATAACTAGCTGTTGTAGTTCAGAACAGACCCATTCCTGTCCTTCCACAATCTCTGCTACTTTAATTTTGCTTGTTTCCAGTTCAGTGAGGTTCCTACAGCGAGACATGATCACCTGGGATAGCCCGTTATACGCATAACCGGAGAGATTAAGCTTCTCGATCGTATCACACAAGCTTCTCCTCCCGCTCAATGGTTCTCTAGATTTAAGTAGCTCGCCGAGAGAGAGGGATCCAAAATCTGCAAATACTGCATCCAATTCTCGAAGTTGATTCATCTTTTTCAGAAGACTTGCCAGATCTTCATCGACCAATGGGAAGTACGGGATGATCAAGGTTTCCAGATGCGGCAATGTCCAAGGATGCTGTTCCAAGGACCTGAAAAAAACAAGTGCATCAGCTTTTTCAGTCTCCTCAAAATAAAGCGATCTCAGCTTTGAGCAGCTTCGGACTAAAGCTGCTGTACTATGACCTGGGGATGGTCCGGACACCCAAACTTCAATGAGCATTAAGTTAAGGATACTTCCCAGAACTGTTGCAGAGACTAGAGAAGCAGCTGTTCCATGGATAGATGGACCACCAGTAGCTTCAATATTGGTATCGAGGTCGCCTATCAGACTTCCATTTGGCCAACGAGGAATCTGTACATGGTTCAGCTCCAAGACTTCAAGTTGACTACACGTCCGAAAGAATAGGTCAATCTCCTCAGCATGGACAGCGAATTCGTGGAATCTGATCTTTTTGAGGTGAGGGCATTGAAGCATAGCATAGTAAAGATCCTTGGCCTTGTTGGACCATCCATGGACAAGAATACCGATAATATCGCACTCTTGAAGTGCCCCATAAAGTCGGAAAACCTGCTCAATCCTCTCCCGACAAGCTCTGGCAAATCAAGATGACATCTCAGCTTTCGGAGACGGGTGCATCCATGTAATGATAGGATGTGTTCTGGAAAGTAATGATCAAAAAAAAATCTCCTCGATGTAATGCTTGTGCTTCTTAAGTGTCTGGCCAATAGTGGAGTTCCATCGGACAAAAGAAGTGACATGGAGGGTTTTCCATAGAAATCGTATAAAGGTCTGATGAAAAGCCTTGGAGACAGTTATTCATGACTTGAGGTCTCCTTTATCAAGATGTGGAGCTATTTTGTCAAGCAATTCAGGAATGTGAAGTGGATGAGATTGCATCACGAGTAAATGGAATAAGCAAAAGAGGTGAATGCATTTTTTCTTCGATCGCCATGTGAAACAACAAGTTGAACCCCTCCAATGTGATACATTCCTTGTCCCAACAGTGTCAGATTAGAAGGATTCACTTTTGGTCCAAGGCTTCGGATTGCCTGGCTTTTTTTGGCCTTGGTAAGAGCTGTAATTGTTCGCCAGAGCGATCAAAAGGAAGGCACTCTGACGATGCTGTAGGGTAAAACCCAACACTACCACCAACAAGGCCAAGTAAGCGCAGACGTATCATCTTTTTTGTACGCACACTTACTCACTTCCAACTACTATCTATTTTATTCAATCTTGAAGCATGTACTGACACTTCAGCCTCGTATATTTCATCATGAATGTTTATCTCAAAAACTTTTCATGATATCTCTGTATGGCTTCTATGGTGCTCTAGAGTATGGTAGGTATACCACTCATTTGTACAAGACAACAGGATATTTCCAAGCTTTGTAAAAATTATAATAGGACGATTCCAAACCCTGCATCATTTCCCCGAATGCTTCACGTAGGTACTTTTTGAAAACATCGTAGTACTCACCAGCACTATTCTGATACAAGTTTGGTACCGAAGCTCCATAGGTGATGTAGATGGTGTTAAGTGAAGAATGAAAAGCGTTCAACTCATCATTAACAACCGATCTCGGGAGTATTGCCGCCATTACAAAATGGTCACCATACATCGTTGACAAATGACTGGTGGAGCCAACGATGCTTAGTGTGTATGTCTTGGGTCAGAGTGTAATTGCTAAAAACGCCGCGGTAGCGCTGGAGCCAACAATCCTGTTTTGATTAGCAGCATGTGCCTTGATAGGTTGGCACACGCATTCGAATGAATAATAAGAAAGTAAGCGTATACGATCCAAACTGTCCAAGGGAAAGTTGACCGGACGAAGAGCACGATATACAGTCAACGGCAACGCCAACAACAACAACGTACATGTATACAATCCAACGGTATCGTTTAAAATAGAGGGATTATATTTTCTTATCACACACTTGAGAGATTGATCGATGTGGAAAAGACAGATATGCAGGTGAAAGGATAGAACAAAATAAAATAAAAACATGGTTCGTCAGGGGAAAAGGAATGCATAACATGTATCGTCCCTGTTCCGTCCCATGAGGAGGCGAAAAAAAAAAAAAAAAAAAAAAAAAAAAGAGCATGCGAACGTTGATAAAACAACCATAGTTTTACATCAGCATAGACAGACTTTGTGAATCGAATCTGGCTGTGTCATCAACCAGAGTCCTAAAAAATAAAACTCCCTTTGGTTTGCCTAGCTTCCAATGCAGAGAAGACTGTGAGTTTCTGTGATGGATAATGTAACGTTGTAAGATCACATCGATGTTGTATTGCTTGCATGGTTCTTATTTACAGGAGATTGATGGCAATTGAGTATCTCCTATTAATCCTGTTCGAATCGCTCACTCATTTCTTCTTTGGAATATGTGGTCATGCGCGCGTCGGGTCACTTTTCTCTTTCTAGGGGCAGCATGGAAGGTACAGTACCACCATTCCCCCTCACATCCCTTTCCTCCCTCTTTTCGCAGATAGGACTACAAACATCGTTGGGGAAAGAGACAAAGACGATATTCGAAAAGACCATGTCAGAAGATGAGACGACGGAAGGTAGTACAATACAAAACACACAACTTCCAAACATACAACATCTTCGGGAGACTTACATGTATCATGGAAGGAAAGAACAGCCTGCAAATGTTCATTGTGCCAGTATGCAGCGTTTAGTCTGGAGATGTTACTGCAGGCCATTCCATCCAGCCCATGTACAATTGACATGTATTCACAAGTAATATGCATGCAAAGGAATATTCAATATGAGAGAGATCATGGTATAGACATCCAGAGGTTGAGGGATTGGGGGTTGTTTTGTTTGTTTGTTGCATCATGCCACAACACAAACATGCACAACAGACATGCATACACGCACTCTCTGTCTCTTACACTTTCTTTCCGTAATGACAGTTACAAAATAACTAGCTATTTCCCCTTTCCTCTCTTTTTCTCTCTCTCCTCTTTTTAATTGTTCATTCGTCTCTTATTTCCTCATTCCCTCGATTAACTCCTTTTCACATTCAATCTCTTTCATTCATTCTTTGCACAAACCTTTTCTTTTTCTTCTTTTTTCTTTTTCATACGCACATACACACAAGAGTGGTTGTTCCTCTCTCTTTCTTCTTCTCTTCCCCCTCTTTTTGTTGTTTTATCATTAATTGTTTTTGAACCTCACCTCGCCTCCTCTTCAAATGAGCCTTACTTAATCACCTCTCTCTTCTTTTTCTTTTTCTTTTTCTTTTTATTATTCTTTTCATTTGTTGTTGTTTCTCATCATTATTCACTCTCTATCGTAAACATATTCACACTCACTCTCTTTCTCTCTCTCTCTTACATTTTCTCTCACACTCACATTCACACTCACTTATACCTTTATATACTCTCTCATACACACCCGACCTTTTCATATCACCAAAGCATCAGTAACAGTTTCTCAGCTAAAACCATCTCATTCCAACCATGGCGAGTCCTCCTCCCAACAACAGCACTGTCGGCATGAGGGTTCATCATCCAAAGAATGTTAAAGCAACGACAGAGATCAAAGAAGGTATTGTCACTTGCTTGTCGGCATCCAAATAATAATAATAATAATAAAAAATCTCAATTGCTCTTTTTTTTTTTTTTTTTTTTCTTCTTCATACACGTTTTGATACACTTTTTTTTTTTTTCTCACACCTCATGGTCCTGATGATCAATTGTCAACACATGCAGCCAGAAGGAGTAATCGAATGTCGATTGTAATGGTGGTTGACACACCACATCTCTTTCTTAGACCTTTTTATTATTATTATTATTTTTATTTTGGGTTGGAATGGAGGCTGTCTATCTGTATTTGTACCTTTTGTCAAAAGAATACTTGATGAGCAAATTGTCTCTTTCTACCTTTTTCTTCCTAGTCTTTGTCCTTTGTTTTTAATTATCTCCAATGCCTCTTCGTTTACTCTCCACATTGTTTGTGTAAATGAATAACAGATACACATTTTTGTACATGTTGGCAAAGAACATTTTCTTTGATTTCATGTCACTGTGATCCACTTGCTGACATCCTAATCATCCTATTGTCCTGTTATCCTATCATCCTATCATCCTATCATCCTTTTATACCCCCTTCTCCCCTACCAAAGACGCAAAAAGCAACAACAATAACAATAGCAATAACAATAGCAACAATAACAACATCCACACACACATCATCGACAAAGAAGGTTTTCTGTAAAAAGGGGGTGCACTGAATGTTTTTCTTCCTCGAACCTCCTCCTCCCTTGCCCTTGCTCTCTGCCTCTGCCTCTGCCTTTTCTCGCTGAATTCTTATTCTGCAGCTCAGTAGTACAGAAAGAAGACAGAAATGGACCTCGGGACAGGATGGATCGCTCTCACTCTTTCACTTGTCCACTATTCTTTTTTTATACACATACACATACATATATACACACGTACACACATACACATAAATGCTCGACATTTCGCTTCCCGCGACGTCCCTGTCCCATACCTCTTTTCTCGCGTGCTTTTACTGTATCCTATTCATCCTTAATTTTTCTGAAGGCGATGTGTATCCCAGAAGGAGGAAAAGAAAAAGGAAAAAGAAAAAAAAGAAGAGTAGATGTGACCTCGGGTTATCCATCTCCTTACTGTGTGCACAGTGGTCCTCTCTCAAGACCACCCCTGCTTATCAACTCGGCCTTTTCCCTCTGTTCCAGTCCTTTCCTTTTATATGACCCATTCTATGTATTAAGTACAGTTCATTTACCATGCGAATGTTTCCATTTGGATTTTCAGACAAGTGGAGACCATGTATTACAATGTGGTTCTTTTTTGTCCCTTTCCTGGCATGGACATGTGCGCGTTAAACACTGTCCTACCTCTGTTTTTCTTCGTGCGCTCTCTCTTTCTTGCATGGAAGTATCATCAACGCCAATGTGACTAGAGCACGGCAAAGGGGCGATTACTATTTTTTTTTTTTCTTTAGACTTTTAGTGAACAAGATATATTTCACTCAGAAAACTAGTCAAAAAAGATAGTCATTAAGTTTCCAGATATGCACTCAAAAAAAAAAAAAAAAAAAAAAAAGGGGTGGGTTGGGGGAGGAAAGGGAGGTAATAAAAAAAAAACGACATAATCGAGTGGGAAAAAGGGGGCAGACAGACAAACAACAAAGAATAATGATGTCGATGATAATGACCACAACGAGCTATTGACATGACCTGGCAGGTCATTTTCACAGTCGTGATATCAAATATTGGCAATTAACATGGGCCACATTGTGTGGAGAAAGGACCGCTATAGATATATATTTTAATTATTATTGTTGTTATTATCCATTCTGAATGTTGCCTCTAACCTTTCTACTGTTTCTCGATCGTTCTTTCCAATGTTGTAATGACAGATCCTGAATTATGGAGAGACATTCAGGCCAATGTGCGTAAAATGGACGACCTCTATGATGCTACGTTCTACACCTGGCTCAGATCCGAGGACAATGTCCTTGTTACGGCCTCATACCTGCAGCGCCTCGCAGGCGAGTATAGTTTGGAGAGGATTGAACATGCGTTGTGCTGGCTCGTCAATGGCTGGCGCCTAGAATCCATCGCCATCCTGGTCAAACAGGTCACATTTGACTGGGCAATCACTAAGGGCGACCAAGGTAAATAGTCACATATTTTGTTCTTGTCCTTATTCCTTGTCCTTGTCATTTCTTTCTAACAGCTTTTCTACCCTTCTCTTTCCCTCTATAGGTGAGATCAACAGAGCAAAGCTCGTATTGGCGTTGACAGACAACTGGGCTATCCAGTACATTGCTCGCCTAGCTTGCACACTTCTGACTAGCGCAACAGCCTCGTCACCTCCACCTCCCGTGCTCAAATCCTCATCCACACATTCACGCATGTCCTCCATGCCTGGTGCATCTATGGGACCGTCCACTCTGGGCATGACAACAACCGTGCTAGGCGCAGATGGACACTCACTGACGAGCACATCCCGGCCATCCACTCCTCCACTCTCTCTACGGGCTGCTGCATCTTCATCACCTTCCTCTCCTTCATCGTCCGTGGTAACTTCACCTGTCTTCTCCACCTTCACTCCTCAGCCAACTCATGGCCGACGCATGGCTGTATCCCGAAGATTGGGCTCTCCTATATACGCACCCGCATCCACAGCTGACGATGCGGCACATCAGCTAGGGCGGCCAACGTTGGCAGTAGGTCCAGTATCACCAGCTTTAATCCTTGGATCTCGTCGCAGTGGACACTTTCGTCAAACATCATCCACTCTTCCCGTGCAGCAACGACAACAACAGCAGGATCATACCCAACAAGGGATTTCTATGTCTCCTATGCAAACGTCCTCATCATCCACTTCAATGATGCCTGCGATGCCAATATACCCTTCTCATCAACAGACGAGCTATCACTCTCACCATTGCACTTTGTCACACCATCAACACCCAGCACATCAACAACAGCCATTGCACTATCCCCTCTCCCGAGGCATTCATCAGGCTTCAAGGAACCATAGCTCACACTCACACATTCGACAGCAATCACAACCAGGAACTATTTCTGCCTCAAAACAGCACTGGCTACAACAACAGTCTCCCTACTCGAGCAACCCCGTCTTTTACATGAATAAGTCTCTTTTCATGGAAGAGCTGTCTAGAAAATGGAGCTTCTGTCGTCTTTCAGAATTTTTCCAATGCATGGATCCAGCATCGGGTATCAGTCATCGGTTCAAATGCAAACTCCTAAAGGAGAGTGCCCTCAAGGAAGAATCTAATCAGACGCAATCGTCAGGATCATCTACTAAGGTTGTTATTACAGCTACCACTACAACACCGGCTCAACATCATCATTATCAACAACAGCAACAACAACAACAACAACAACAACAGCGACAACAGCGACAACAACAGCGACAACAGCGACAACAACAGCAACAACAGCAACAACAACAGGAAAAGCAGCAGCAACAGGAATGTCATCAGTTGACGGGACATAGAGATAGTAACTGGGCTAATACTGCTCAAACAATTGAGGATGCATCGATGTCGCCCATGGCTCAAACACCATCAACAACAGATGGCTCAAGTGATGTGATTATGGCTGAAAGTGATGAGCACGGTTATGATACTTCATCAACCACTTCATCATCCTCTTCCCCTTCTCCTTCCACATCCTTAACATCACCATCATCAACACAATCAACTCCAGCTTCGACATGGGGTGCTTTCCAGTCGCCACACTTGCTGCAAAGCGAACGGAATAGTTGTGAGCAGACATCTCTACATCCTTTTGATAGCGGTGTAGACTCTACAACCGCAACTTCATCATCTAATGTTTGCAAGAATGTATGTGTGCCGGTTCCTATCAACGTAACCCCATTGCAAAATGAACAGCCTCAGTTTCATTCTCTTCAGACCACTTTCTCTCATGGGGACTACAATGATGACATGAATTCTGGATTGAATCGTGGATGCAAGAATACGGATGGGGGTCATCAACACTGTCGCGCCCAGACAGTTGAGGCTATCATGTCTGGCAGTCGAGTGATGACAGGGTCGCTCATGTCAGCATCATCCTCATCATGCTCCTCCTCGTCTTCTGCTTCGTCCCACACCTCTACGTCCGCAGCATCTGCTTCACTCTCGACATTGACTCTAACAGAGTCCGGGATGGAACAAACGAATGCCATTAGACCTATGTCGCAGCCACGATCACATCAACATCAGCATCATCACCAATCGTCATTTTCGTCAAATTATCCGACAGCAGGGCTCTATCGTCATGCAACGACGATCGCTGGAGGACCTGTATCGTCTTCGTCCTCGACTCCAGTAGCGGCATCATCATCAACCAGTGTTATGAGTATCCATACAAACGCGAACACGAATACAAATGTAACGACTAGCTCGCGTCTTACTCATGATTCAACATCTGCTAAACGTAAGAATTCTCTTGGAGTCGGTCTGGTACCACCTTCACACTGTTCTTCATTCTCATCAACCTCTTCAGCTTCAGCAACAGGACATTCATCTTCGAATGATTCATCTTTGTCTTCATCATCTGCTATCTTCCCAGGTGCGCGCCGTACAAGCACCAGTACTAGCACGACGAATGAGGATTTGAAGCGACTTCGATGCAGCCGACAGAACAGTACTTCATCAACGACTGGTATCTAAAAAAAATACGCGATGTTTTTTTTTTTATTTTATTTTTTTTATTTTTTTTTTTATTTTTATCATTATCACAAGGGCATTCTAAAGCACTTTTTTTTTTTTTTTTTTTTTTTTTTTAATGCATCAGCATCTCCCATGTAACAATTCTATTTATCATAATTTTAATGTATCTTTTTTTTTATTTATTTTTTATTATTTTTATTTTTGTTTGTGAATAATAATAATAAAAAAATCATTTATAATAGCAAGGAAAAAAAAAAAAAAAAAAAAAAAAAAAAAAAGTAGTTTATGTTATTAAGAGGCTTTCAAGGGTTTTAGGGATTCACTATCATGAATCATTCTCAGATTCAGAATGGTCATGCTGTTGTTGAAACCGATCCCAGGATACAGTTTCCAACCTGCGGATGAGTTCTTGACCAAAAAATTGTTCGAATCCAGGACTGAGAGCCATGAGTAAGGCCTCAATAGTTTCATATATTTTCCCAGATAATGCTTCTTGTTGTCGTTCAGAGAAGGATGTTATTGAAGATGAGGCTGAGGCTGAGGTTGAAGTTGAAGTTGGGGTGGAGGTTAGAGCAGAATGAATAGCACTATCCGTGGTATCAGTGGAGAGAGATAAAAGTTGAAAGCCTTGACTGTCCATGAGCACTTGAGCGGTCCATTGCTCTAGAGTCATGATGGTGAATTCAACTGAGAGTGTATTGGAGTCATCATCAAGAGTGTCCTTGATCCTAAGAGGAAATGTAGCTGCATCAAGACCTTGAGCATAATGGGTTAAGTCTGGGATCATGTGTGCCATTGAGGGAATAAAATAAAAAAAGTTTGCACGTCGCGTTTGTTGTCGCGTAATGGGGTATGGGAATATCCAATGGATATGATTGGTCAATTGTAAGATATCGTTGGATTTGGCTGGAATTATGGATTTTATACAAATCGCTACCATACGCTAGTTTAGATTATCAATCAGTATTTGGAACAGTAAGTAAAGTTGGAATGTACTGTACATGAAGCGACTGAAGTAGCATTGCCACACGGTTATTATCTGAGAATGTCCTGAGGAGAAAAACTCCATATTCTTTGAAAACTAGAATCTGGTTACTCTTAGCTTTGTGATTTTGATATAAAAGCACCTACACCTTTCAGTCTACGATCCAGACAACAAATACAACAAAAAATACAACACAAAATACAATTCTTCAACAATGAAGGTCTCTACTCAAATCCTAGCTACAAGTGCTATTGCCTTTACTGCCACCGCACTGGCAATGCCGTCGATGTCCAAGAGGGTTATTGATGGAACCAAAGTTCTCGGTTGTTTAGCGAGGTAAATATCTTCCATTTTATAGTTTGGCTTGTAGTTAATATTATTGTCTTGAAGCCAAATTTAACATGATTATATGTTTGTACTTTTGTACTGTCTATAGTACCTTTATGAAGGGTGACGAGGCTTGGAGCCCAGAATGTGCTGCAGCTGCAGCGGTAAGCTGCTTTCTCTTTCGCTCCTCTCTTATTTGTACTTCTTTTTAAGGCAGAGAGTCTTTTATTTAATGCTATTTTCTTTAAACATCTTGTAGACTGATATCGGCCTTGCCCAAGAGGTTAGCCTTGGCGAATTCGATATTGATTTTGCAAGCTCTGACCCAATGAGTATGCCAATTTCCCTACCAAATTTGCAGGTGAGATTGGCCTCGCTCCCTGGAACCAGTTGGCCAATTGTCAGCCTTGCTAATCATGTAAGTTAAAGGCCTGTTTTCATTACGAAATCTCTGCAATGGCCAATAGAAGAAAAGTAAACAGCCATTAATACTATTTCCCCTCCTTTGCTCCTTAGCATAATATTATTGTAAGTATATCTCGTATATATCAGCACCATCTGCGATTGAATAACGAGACAAGGTTTTGATAATTTTCCTCCTTCTTCCCCTCTTCCAACAAAAGGACAATGGTGTTGCAATCGCAGAGTTTGATTTTCCAATGGCCCCTGCCGAGGTTAAAGACAGCATTGTCAAAAATCCGATCGAGAGAAATGTAGTAAATATTTTACCAGGACTTGAAGATGCATTCTCCAACTACCTCGCGAATATCATTACCAAGCCCTCATATACATTCTCCATCGGAGGGAATGTTGATGCTTCGCTCAAGGTTCCATCCCTTTCAGGCAACAGTAAGTCCAGTGATGCGGATTCCTCGAAGACACTAACTGCCACCAACATTGGTATCTCGGCCCCCGTCACTGTACGAGGTTTGGATAACCTCCAAAAGATTGAGTATGTGGAGCTAGTGAGTCTTACCAAGGATGCCGATTCGGGTGTTACCACAGTGGCACAAAAGTTGAATATTCATAACCCTTCGGAGCTTAGCATGAATATTGGAGACATTGCGCTCAACATACTCAACGCTAATGGAGACTTGATGGGAGTTATTAATATACCGAGCCTATACTTGGCCATTGGTGACAACGCTGTGACAGCTACCGCAACGTTCACTGATCCCGATACCTACAATACCCTAACGACCAAGAGCAATACTTTTACACTTGCAGGTTTTGATGGCTCCGTGAAGAATCCTATCCTAGCCAAAGCACTGTGTTCATTTGTGTCCCACATTGCGTTCCCCAAGCTTGAAGCTGAATAAATCAGCGAAGTTACAGTGAGATAGCAGAATAACAAGTAGTAGGACTTTGTAGTGGCAGAGCAGCACAGATGAGTGCAATAAAGAGTTAATCACGTATTCATCCTTACAGAAGAGACATCGATCTGTTTTGCCATATCAATGGTCAATATGAACAATTTAGCGAATGCCCAGTATCAAGTCGGTCTAAAGCACCTGATTTTACTAGGCATACTCTTCTCTTTTGTTTTGAATGAGCAGAGTTGAGCTTTAGGCTGGTTCAAATAGGCTGACGAGCCTTGTTTGGATCGCCTCGAAGATCCATTCCAATAGACTTATGCGCAAACATACCAACTTCCACTGCCACCTCCTTGTTCACCCTTCAGATTTTTTTTTTTTTTTTCCATAGCCATCATTTTGGGATACTGAAATACCAGGGTGGCTTTCATATCCTTCCAACCAGGCCAGTGAAAGATTATCTCCAAAGCATAGCGCAATTAAAAAGTAAAATGTGGTCTCGATCCGCTCAAACGGTAAGTGCCAATTGATTGACCAAGATATTGATATAGGGATGGAGATGGAGATGGAGATGTCTCTCACACTACACTATAAACAGGGTACAAAGTTTGTACACAGCTTAATGACTTGATAAAATCTAGATCAATGAATGGCTGATAGTCATATCATACATGATGAAAGCAGATCGCGTAAGGATGTCAATGAGGAGTGTCATTCTTGAAGAATCATTTTGAGGTGATCCTTGCTGCTTTATTCCTCAATCCTAAACCACCATTGGCAAATTTTACCCATACACTCAAACTGCACACTGCTGAGCTTTTTTTTTTTTTTTTTTTTTTTTCTCAAACACCTGCAGCAAAACATCTGGGCGTTCACACGCCATCAGGCCAGTGATACGTCAACAGACTGAGCCAGTGGCTCCAAAAGCAAGGCCAACTCGAAGATGTATTCGCCTTCCTTTAGCACCATTGGCTGTTAATGTCAGGACTTGACCCACTGGACCCATATACCAGAAGAATCCATCCAGAATAAGAGTGCCCGATTCTTTATCTTCAGAGTCGGAGCCACATATGCGTGCCTTTAGTACTTCATATGGAGATCTAGTGAGGCGAGGACCTACTGAAAGAGACCTGCCAGACTAGTGAAGCAAGCTCTTCGTGAGGGGTACAGAATGGAAAGCATCCCAGAGCAGATGGCATAGAATCTGTTGGTGTATTTACATCTGCTCCTTTTAATAAGAGGAGTAGATTTTGAAAAGAGAGGATCATATGGTAGAATACAAGGCTAGTACTCTTGAATGAACATATATAGGTGTATATAGATGGATTGATGGCCTAGACAAGACCTTCAAGAGTAGGAAAAGATCAATAATATTCTTTTAGTGAGTATACAAAACTTAGAACCTGGGCCAAGGGGAAGGCAAAAGCTGAGGATTGGTGAATGGTGCTTTCTCGCAAAACTTGATTTCTATGACTTGAATATAATCAACATAAATGTTGTCTATAAATGGGAGGGAAGAGAAAGGAATCGATCCTGAACTGATAACCATGAAGGTGATATTAATGCACAGAAAGTAGTGGACCGGCTACAGGTGCTTATAGCTTTAAAATGTATTTAATCTGAAGCTTTCCTAAACATGTCACGCTACTTTTTATAATGATAGAGAGAACCTCGATATCCAATATCTAATATCCAATATCTTTCATTCGGGGTTTCGCGCTTAAGGAACGCGCATTGTAGATACAGATCCTTTCTTCAATATTACGCTAGTTTTTTAAACCACGTTTGGGCGTACTTTGTGCTACACAATGTGGCACGAGAAACCTTCAATTGCTTTCATCTTACTAGCTACGACATCAATGTAAAGTCTTGAGTTCTGTGCATCACCAGTTCTTTCCATGGAGCATGCCCTTGAACCCACTGCAGGCTGACTTCCTTAGGTTTGGTCAGAGCATAGACTCCTTCAACTCACAGGACGTCAAAACCCGCCGCACAGCACCGCTAGAGAAGCCATCACCGTTCCAAAGATCATCCGAAAACTGAGAATAAAAGGGATTCACAAGTCACTACATGTTGGCTTTTTCCTTCGCCAGGAATGAGTATGGAGTTTTTTTTTTTTTTTTTTTTTTTTTTTCCTGTCATGGAGTGATGATGAGTTGGGATGTAAGGATGTATTATCAGATCACACGGGCCTCTCAGTGCATCGCCACTGGGCACAGACGCCTTGAAGAGCAATTGTTTTCTCACTTTGACATTTCCTCATCAAATTTGTTTCTTCATCAACAACTCCTTCTCATCGACATAACCTTTTCTTTTTGCACCTAGCCAATAACATTTGCATTACGATGTTCACGCGACGCGCTGCTAAGCCCAAGGAGCCCATAACAAACAAGTACACGATTGCTGCGCTTCCTCCAGAAATTATTGAATATATCCTGCTCCATGTTGGAAAAGCTACTCTTAGTCTAACCGTCCCTTTGGTGTGCCGCCAATGGCATGCTATTGCTATACCGCTCCTCAGGAGATCCGTCAGGATTACGGTCATCCAACTTGATCATGATCTGACGAGGCAGGACAAAAGCAAAAAATCAAAACATACGACTGACCTAACCAAGTGTTCATTAGCATTAAAATCAAGGTTGATACATTTTCTAGAATCGACTCATTCACTCATATATGAAGCAGGGCTATATCCCAATTCAGACGTAAGGCAACTATCGGATGAAAAGGAGAAGATAGTTTGGTCGGTTCTCGAAAGTGCTTTGTCATCCCTATCAAACACCACTCCTGAAAACATCCGGATTCGACAATTGGTCCTTAGTGTTGAGTTTGATTCCAGTATCTGGAGTCGATTCCAACCATTGTTGACGTTCGTTGGCCATGGGCTCACCAGTATACGCCTGGATCAAATCCCGGACGGCACCATCTTACCCATCGATACAATTATAGAACTTTGTCCTCATCTCAGGAACCTTCATGTTGCGTCTCGTGCGCTTTCGACCAGTAACAAGATATCCAGGCTAGGGGAAACCAGCACTAACTGTAATAAACAATGGGAGTTACGGTCTATCAGCTTCGACCACCTAGCTTTGCCACAGACTGCGCTTGAAGCGCTAGTACAAAAGTGTCATAATCTGACAGAGCTTCGGATCATCCGCTGCCAACCTTTGTTCCCCAAAAGGATACACTATGATTGTCCAGGGAATTTTCTATTCATCAGGGAAAGAAGAGAACAATTCTTCACCAGTTTGGCATTATATTGTCCAAAGCTCACAAGCCTTCATGTCTCAGTGGCTGCAGAAGAAATATATGACAGGTTCGAGGAGGTAGTACCAATATCTCAGTTCCCTTCGATTGAGCATTGGGGAGTAGTCACATTGAGTATGTTCAGGACACCATCGTTATCTGCTAGTACGCTTTTAGACAGACACAGAGTAGAGAATCGACTGACAAGCCTCGAAATCGTACTATCAATGTCCAACGGCTTGCTTATCACTGGTTTAAATACTGGCGAATGGATACATCAGCTACTATGTGAGAGTCCATTGCTGGAACACTTAAGGGCACCGGACGTTAATATCCCTTTACACCTGCTCTATGTAACCAAGGCTTTATGTGTGAAACCATGTCGCAGTTCAGACTATGGTGATGGCACCTTTATACCCCCGGTCCCTCGACAAATATGGGCCTGCCGAAGACTTAAGACATTGCATATTAAAGTCAAAGAGTCATTTAACTATGGTACTAAGGACCTAGAAGAGCAGGTTCGTGTACTCTATGGATATATTAGCCGCGTTTGCCCAGACCTGGAAGATTTATCCATCAGGAGGAGCCACATGCTGTCTCAATATCGCTATCATGTCAACATGTGTTTGTTGTCACGTCTTAAGCATCTACGGATTTTACAAGTCATGGACTTTGATTATGTGCGCGAGCAAGACTTTGACTGGATCAAGCAGCACTACTATTATGATACGAGGGAACAGACGAAGTTGAAGCTGGAGCAAGGATTGCAAGAAACCAAAATGCCTCTCCTTGTGCAGTCTCTGCTTAAGCAATGGGGAACACTGTCTATACTCAACACCTCATTCAATGTTGCTGAGAGTGCTAGCTTGGCGGAACAGAGCTTGGGGGTCCCAATTGACAATAATGACGACACTAGCGTTGCAGATAATAAGCATGAACGAGAGGAGCATAGAGAGATGATTGATGGTGTAGATATGACTCACCTTGGCCGGCTGCAAGATGTCATTAATTACTTCAGAGATCGACGCCGAGCTCGAGACATAAGCCTGTGGCCAGAACTGGAGATCCTATGTGTTCGACTCGATATCGATTATCGTGAACAGAGGAGCGATTTTGATAGTTCCATCAAACAATTCAAGCACATCATGAAGAAGCTTCGGCCAGAGATCGACATTGTCATCATTACAAAGAAAAAGGGAGACGCTATTCTATAAACTCGATAAAAGATACATATGAAAATAATGACGATGGATACGAATGATAGAATGATATGGGATATAAGGACCCTCAAGTTACTCTGAATGCGGCCCCTTGTGGATGGTATGTTAATGAGAGACAGCCCCACTGAGAGGAGCTTATTGGCACAGTGAGCGAAAATTACACCCATACTTGGACATTCTGGACATCCCCATCTTTGGCACATGATTCTTCTTTGAAGAATTCGTTGTACCTGCCTCAATGTTTGTCCTAGTCATTCACTAATCTCAAACAGTCCCTTTCAACCTGTCCCTATCGCTCAAACCACCACCCTACAATAGCCGAGGCTCCTCCAGAGGCCTCTGAGCGTACTCTAGCATTCAAAGAGTCAGTTGTGGTCTGATTTGCCGTCCCGCCAATAGTATAGTATCCCTCAACGACTTTTCAAGAAATTAGCAATGGAGATGCGATATGTTGGCTTCCTTCATAAGTTTTGGCTCGGGATCCGAGTCACTCCTGTAACAATAAATGCAAGGTCGCACAAGACCAGTGCATCGCCATTCAATTGAGAGCTTTTTTGTTTGTAGCTCTGAAAGAACGAGGATAACACATTCTGAATGAATGCAATTCCCATTCTACTCTTTATTCATTTGACATTTCACTCTCCTTCTCAATGCCATCATTGCTTGACCACATGTTCCCACGACGAAGTGAAAAGGCTGGGGAACAAACAAACAGTGTTATTCTTCCTCCTTTCCTTCACTTCCTCCGTCGCAAAAGCTACCTCCCGAGACAGTAGAGCTCATTCTATCATATCTAGGACAAGGCACCATTCAATACTCTGCTTCATTAGTGTGTCGTCAATGGCATCGAGTTGCCCAGCCCTTTATCAAAAGAACTATTCGCATTTCAATTGTACTTCTCAATCAAAAATTACTATCCAAGGAACAGAAACAAAATGCATTTTGGAAAAGCCATCATCATGACCAACAGCAAAAACTACAGCAATCTTTATCTCAAGGGTTACAGCTAATTCCCCATACCCTCATCTACGAAGCAGGGCTATTTCCCAGATCTGATGAAAAGGAACTTCCTCCTGAATACGAAAAAAAAGCATGGTCCATCCTTTCTAATGCTTTAATACCTCTTGTGTACAGTAGCAACAACCCCATCAATGGTCTCGACGGCAACTTCAATGGTTTTAGAATCCGACAGCTCATCCTCAATGTTGAACATAATGCCGCTGTCTGGTCTCGTCTGATGCCACTCCTAGAAATGCTTGGCCCCAATGGACTTGTAAGCCTGCAGTTAGAAAATATTTGCTTTGCCTCTACCATCCCTGTCGAAAGGATTATGGAGTATTGCACTTACCTTCAGAATATACGTGTCGCGTCAAGTGCACCCCCAACCAAGGATTTGGTATCTCGGTTGAAAGAGCCATATGAAAGCGACACAGTCCCGTATACCTTTGCGTCGTTAAAATCTTTCAATCCATTACACATTTTCTCATCTTTAACCACAACGGCTACAATTAATACCAATACTAACACCGACATGACCGAAAGTATTGAGACCATCCCTCCTTCAGCTAAGCGTTGGCATCTGCAATCTGTTGTATTTGACAACCTCTCTCTAAGTCTGACAGCACTCGAATGTCTCCTTCAAGCCTGCCCTGACTTGATCGAACTTAAACTCATTCGTTTTCGACCCTCTTCCTCCTGTTGGCTGGATCGAAATCCTATAAAAGACTTCCTATTCAACAAAGTGTTGCGAGAACGTTCTTTCGGCGCGTCGCATCGTCCTACTGTCCCAACCTCAAGAGCCTTCATGTCTTTGAAGCACCCAACTCAAGATATGACGAGCGTGATGATGCTGAAGAGGTTGCGCCCATCTCACTATTCCCTCAAGTAGAGCATTGGGGTATCTCAACGCTGGGGATGCTTTGGGCACGTCAAGCTCCTGCTCACGTTCTTTTAGCTAGACATAGGATTGAGAATCGATTGACATCAGTCGAAATTTCATTATCTTACAGTCATGGTTATTCTGTGAATGAGGGGAACGTTGGAGCTCTAGTTCACCAGTTCTTATGCCAAAGTCCACAATTACTACATTTTAAGGCTTCAGACGTTTGGATTCCCTTGGAATTGCTCTTCGTCACTAAAGCTCTGTCTATGAAGATAAACCATGGTCACCCTCGTAGGTATAACTATCAAAACAATAGAGGAAATCATAATAATGAAAATATCTGGGCCTGTCGAGAGCTCAGGACTCTTCATTTCCGGACCGAGGAATCATATGATGCTGGGATAAGGGATTATTTTGATGAACAGGCGCGAGTAGTTTTTGGATATATCAGCCGTGTGTGTCCTCGTCTTGAAGATCTATCGTTTTACTCGAAAAATATGATCTATCGACCGCCTGTCAGTCTGTGTTTATTATCGCGGCTACAGTATTTGAGAACATTGCAGTTGATGTGTATTCATCAATTGGATGAAGAGGACATCGATTGGATAAAGCATTATTATTATTATAAGACTCAGTCAAGTGGGGAGGGAGCAGAGGAAGGCCGAGCCGTGTCTATTGACCCGGATTTTCAGGAATTTGAGCAACACCAGCGGCAGCAACAAGAGAGCAAAACTTTGCCTATATCTACTAGTAAGGTATCACTCGATAGCGGAAACAACGCCAACAGTAGTGGTGAGAGTAGTAGCAACAAAAGTGGTAGTACCAATGGGGTTTGTATTGCAGAACAAATGTTCATCAAAACATTGTCGCTTGGTGTCGCTCAGGTTAATTCAAGTCAGGATCATGATGTGATCCATAAGGAGCCCAAGATGGGTGCTGAGGCTGAGATCGAGATGATTGGTGGTGTAGATATGACCCATCTTGGCCAAGTACAAGACCTAATCAACTATTTCAATGATCGGCGTTGCAACAGAGATGAATGTCTATGGTCTTATTTGGAAACGCTTTCTATACGATTCACGGCGCCTTCACATCATCGTAATAAGGATAAGCAAAGACGGAGCGGCAATGATACTAATGTTGATGATAATAACACGCCATCTCAACGTGGGCGCCAACTACGTGATGTCATCAAGAAGTTTCGACCCGAATTAAGCGTCTCCTGTAATCCAGTGCTTGGTTATGTACTTTGATAGTGTTAGTATTTATCAGTAATGTTTCCCTTTAATTGTAACTAAAAATAACTATATTTGGTTCGTTTACTTTTTTAATTTATTATTTTTTATTGTTTATTTTTTATCGTTTATTTTATTTTATTTTTTATAATACTATTAGTAACATTACATAAGCTATGCAGCTTTAGAAGACAAGGAGGCAGACGGGGCTACCACAGATGATGAAGTGGATTCGTCCGGTGCCGGCCCTTGTGCTGTGCTAACTTTTGAGTCAAAAGCCTGTCCTGAGGATGATGATGACGATGATGATGATGTAGATGTTGCTATTGCTGTCATTGTTGCTGCTGAATCACTGGAGTTTGTCATTCCCTCTTCACTATTGTCAACCTTGACGCCTGCTGTTGTTGTTGCTGAAGGCCCAGCAGGCAGTGGCCATGCTCTCTGGCCTCTCTTCAATTTCTTGACTTCGGGTTTCTTTAATGCATCCTCACCCACTCGCTCTCGGATTAGATCACCAAAGATGTCTAGCGGCAAATCAAAGTCCATTCGTTCCAAAATTGGCACCTTTTCTCCAAAAGCCAATGCCACTCGAGAACTCTTTCGACCACCCGAAGCAACAATAGCCCCAGGTTTAAGGAACGTTGTAATTGGTTTAGGTGGTCTAGGTGGCTCCTCCGCTTGCGTCATGACAATATTAGAGCCCGCTATCTTTTGTGGAAGGGATGTCTTTGGTGGAGCTGCTACTGTACTAGGGGTTGTGGCTGAAGCTTTGTCTTTAGCAAGAGAAAATGAGGTTGTAGTATCCTTGTGAACTTCCGCAGATACTGTAGAGGATGAATCAACTTCCGCCTTGGTCTTCTTACGACTGTGTCCTTCACTAGGTCCAGGTCCAGCGGCAGATAGTGCTAAATGTGACTTGGCTTTCTTTCTAGTGTCCACCTTTGCAGCGCCAGCAACCTCTTTTAGGCCTGGGCTCGAACTTGATTCTAGACTGTTGGCGGAGGTCTTTTCATCTAACGAGATAGTACCTGCCATCATGGCCGACAGGCGGTTCTTGGTACGGCTAAAGGGCGAATACCCTGGTGCTATTGTTGCGCTCGAATTCTCCCCTAATCCAAGTTGCTCATATCTTCTCAAATTTTCCTCTGCTTCACGTAACAATCGTCGATGATAAGCATCCTGCATTATTTTCGCTGTAGCTAATGATATTGGGGCTGCCGCTGCTGCTGCTGTTGCTCCAACAGTCTGCTGTGAAGATGAAGCTGAAATTGAAGGTGAAGCTGAAGATTCATCCATATTTGGGTTCGAAGAATCTTTGTAGTGATGTGGATGCTGATATTCTTGTTCAGTTGTTGTCTTTTGTAGTGAGCGGAATGCGCTGATTGGCATCAGACGGTTGATATCAATATGTCTCAACTTTTCAACCACCAGTTGTTGCTGATACATGGCGTGACGCAACTTTTCCTTTTCTCTGTTCTTGAGCTTCTTTTCTGCCATCTCTTGCTTCCTGTGGCGTTTTTCATACACCTCATCCGTCAATACCTCTTCCTGTGAAGCGTTCGAACCGAAGACCCCCTCGATCTTTCCGATCGTCGTATTAACGGTTGTCGCTTTCTTGCCATGTCCTGATGAGTGTGAGGAAGATGATGGAGAAGATGGAGCTGCGGTCTGGACGCTAATCTGCTGATTATTTAGAATCTCTTTATGCTTCTGGCGCGTCGATACTGGCCTCGACGATGGGACGATGACGCCAGTTGCGGCTGAAGCGTTTGCACTCGTTAGTGCTTCGGCTGCAGCCTCTGCCTCAGCCTTCGCCAGCGCTTTTGTCAATAGCTGCATTTTTCGCTTCTTTTCCTCTTGAAGGAATTGATTGATAGTGCATGGTCGAAAGATAGGAACTTCAATATGACTGAGCGTAGAAGGAGAAGGAGGGAGAGTGGGCACTAGGGGGGTTGTGTCTGGTGTTAATAGTGAGGATGATGATAATGATAAAACCTGTGATGTGGATGTGCTCAAGTGGCTGTTGTTATTGAGTTCCTCAAAGCCTGAGCTGTAAGCTGCTTTAGGAACTCTTTTGGGATCCAGGACCGTTCGTTGCAGCACCTCTTTGTTTGCAAGGTATAAAATATATTCTCCTGCAGGAGCAATGGGTGGCTCTATTGTAGCATGCATGTGGAAGGCGGAGGGTATGAGATAATATTCTGCAGTTATACTGGATTACGTGTACGTTTATAAATATTGTACGTAGCCCATAGAATTACCTAGGAGAGAGGGTTCAATTGAGAGCCCGGCAGTCTTGTCGCGTCCACGCGTAGGAAGTACACGCTTCTGCAGGCCTGGTGTCTCTGAGGCTTCGGTGCTTGCTAATGAAGGAAGCGAGGCAACTATATCTACTACTGGGGGAGTAACCTTGGATCTGTTCGCTTTAATTGCTACTTTAGATTCGCTTTGGCCAGATGACAATGGCACTTCTACAACCGAAGTAGTTGCACTGATCCTTCGCTCGGCGCTAGAGCCATCTTTGGCAGAGGTCTTGCTCTGGCTTCTCTTATTTGGTTGAGTAGCTGTGGCCTTTGTTGTAATGGCTCCATTACCTCTTTTGCGAGAGCCGCTAGATGGTTTTGTAACGATAGGAGAAATAGATTCTGTTGTCTCTTCTGACATGTGGTCTTTTTGAGGCTGGGCTTCATCCACGTCCATAAGATGCATGCTGTTGTCTGTAACATCAACTTTATGGGGCTTGGCAGAGGAAGAAGAGTGACGCATCGTGGAACTGGTTGTTTTTCGTGGGGTAGCCAGGACGCGCTTCTTCCTCATGTTACCGGATGTTTCAACTATGTAATTGCCGTCCTCCTCCTCCTCAGTCCGATGTTCATCAATCGAAGCTCTCTTATTCTTTTCAGTCGATGTTGATGATGTGGAGGATGGGGTCTTTGCTGTGGAAACATGGCTAAGGTTATCGGGTGCAATAGTTGTAGAGGAAGAGGGCACGCGTCGTTCACTACTAGCAGTAACCTTCCGTTTTTTGCCGTAATTATTTTGATCGTTATTGTTAAGAGTGCTAGTAGAATGTGATGTTGATGTAGGTGTAACGGAGATGGATTTAGTGTGATGATCAGCTTTGCGATCAGTCTTCATCGTCTTGTTTATGCTATCGCTGCTGCTGTTATTGTTATTGCTATTGGTGTTGCTGATAGTAGTAAAAGTGGTATCAGCAGTATTTTGCTGAAAGCTGTTGTTGCTGTGAGCGCTGTTAGCAATTGTGATCACACCTTTGACTGGAATGGCAGGAGGTGTGGCGATGCTGTGCGGATTCGAAGAGATTAAATCAGGTAGCACTAGACACTGCTGTTGTTGTTGTGGCGTGTGCAATGCTTGTGCTGCTGCCGAGCGGATGAATGAATGTAATTCTTGGTCGGATGAGGAGTGCAAGACATGCGCGGTAGGCACTGGCATCCTCTATGATGTTATGAAGACAGTAATTATTAATACTATTATTATTATTCTGGATGGAAAGGAAGGTGGAAGCGAGAATTAAGAATCAATCTCACACATTCACATAAAGACGCGTCAAGAAAGGAAATGTTGCTTTTCTTTTTCTCTATCTCTTTCTCTCTATCTCATACACTGTCAGCTTATGGGCGATCCAATTTTGTTTGTTTTTTTTTTTAACAAAAGTAAGGAACAACAAGCAAGACACCCAATAATTTCTGCTCTTCGGAGACCCTTGTATATAAATTGATTGTGAGTGTCAATTTAATGAGTCGCGCAAACACTTTTCTAGGGATTATCCCTACATCAATCTTGGCAAGAATTAAGCCGGTCCATACATATTTCATTTAGAATGGGACCATTACCCTATTTAAGCAACCGTTCGAGAGTGGAGGTTACTGTGACATAAAAAAAAGCTTTCATTCATAGAAGGAGAGTGTAAAAAAAAATAAAAGGAACCAAATAATATCCCTAATTATTTACTATGAACTCTTACAAAAAGACCCAAGGCTATGATGTTCCTTCTTATCCTTGAAACCATTAAGGCTCACCTTAGTGAAAAGTATTTCCGTTGGACAATTAGTGATTTTAAGAAAGGGAAAAGAACGGAAGAAAAGAAAAGGAAAGGAAAGGAAGGAAAGGATTCAATTTATAACGAAAACCTATATCAATCGTGCTTTGCATCAATTTGTTCCTTCTCTGCCTGTTACGTTGGGGCTCCCAAGGAGTCCTACTCACTCCAAGTGACATTGGGGTTTTTTATTGGGAATAGTGCTAAAGAAATCTGCAGCTTAACCTAAATTACAACCGTGCAAGTAGGCCCGACTTTGTTGACGCTCTACAAAAAAAAGGTCCGGTGTTCAGGAGGCGCGTGAAGGAGGGGAAAACATAGGCGAACAGCCTTAACGATTTGGAGTTGAGAGTAACAAGCCTTAAGGGAAAACTAAGCTTCCACGTATATTCCGTTCTGATCAACGAACGCGTCGTCGTATAACAATCAGGTCAGTGAGAGGATACACGTCCATAAAAAAGAACGCTGGAAAAAGAACAGGCTCATGTCCACTCCATGAGTCCTGGAAACCTAACACTGGCGAGGGCTATGAACATTTGTTTATTGTATCGTCTCGTTTTATGTATATCTTATCATTATTAGACTAACCATGGTATCATTAAATAAAAGAGATGCTAAAACGTAATAATAATAATAAAAAAAAAAAAAAAAAAAAAAAAAAAAACCTTCTAGAATTCCGCTACTCTCTATGAAACAATTGTATTTTGGGTAGCTAAGCTCTGTCATTCAGTCTCCACAGTTGGAGGGTAGTCAGATAGGAGCATATAATATTATTGTGTGGGTGTAAGTAACATTAAAACGATTGCGGTTATTGTTGGGGTGGTTGCTGTTGTTGTTGCTGCTGCTGTTGTTGTTGTTGTTGTTGTTGTTGTTGTTGTTGTTGTTGTTGTTGTTGTTGTTGTTGTTGTTGTTGTTGTTGTTGTTGTTGTTGTTGTTGTTGTTGTTGTTGTTGTTGTTGTTGTTGTTGTTGTTGTTGTTGTTGTTGTTGTTGTTGTTGTTGCTGTTGTTGTTGTTGTTGCTGTTGTTGTTGTTGTTGCTGTTGTTGTTGTTGTTGCTGTTGTTGTTGTTGTTGCTGTTGTTGTTGTTGTTGCTGTTGTTGTTGTTGTGTTGGCTGGAGTGGCTGCGATAGTTGTGAATGCGGTTGCAGATTGGCATTGGCAGCTATTATATTTCCTGAATGGATCCTAACTGCATCTCTAAATAAATTCTGAGATGAGAGTATTTGAGGCGCCAAGTCTTGTGGGGAAGCAGGCAGGGACATAGATCCAAATAACCGTGCAGATCCTGCTCCTGTAAATAGCTGTTGTTGCTGCTGTTGTGTGAGCTGTGGGTGCTGCTGCTGCGCTTGTTGGAGCGAGTGTTGCTGCGAGGCATTAAGTTGGAGACTTTGTGGAATGAAAATGGATGGATACATTGGAGCGCCAGATTGGATGCCTTGGGGCCCAATTCCTGCTGCTGCGGCGGAGGCGCTAATTGCTAATTGGCCGTGTGCAAGCGATGGCCCCTGAGTTGGAAAAGATGGATGAGGTTGCGGTGATTGGGGATGTGTTTGTTGTGAAGGAAGAGTGATCGGCCCGAAACTGGAAAATGAAGAAGATGTAAATTGGAGTGGTGAAGCAGCAGTAGCTCCAATGCGACTCTGAAAGACGTGTCCTGGATACATGCCTTGTTGCTGATGCTGTTGTAGGCCACTAGTCATAATTGAAAGAGGATTTGGTGACATTTGCACCCCTGATGTACCAACGAAGCCACTAGTGCCCACGCTATTAACTTGCATTGGTGCAGCTCCTGCGGAGACCATCCATGCAGGTGTCTGTTGCGTCTGTTGTATTTGCTGCGCACGTTGCGCGGTCTGTAACGGCCGAGCAGATGTAATATCGGCTCCCTGGAAGGTACCGCTGAAAGACTGTGTGCCTGATGAGACGGATGACATGCTGGACGATCTTCGTGTATTATCAGTATCAGTTCCTTGATCACTTTCAGTTGGGAATGCGCTTGTTATCGTCGTGACCCCTAAGCCAATCAACCCACCAGCACTGACTCCAGCTTCTTTATTCTCTGTGCTGTTTCCAGGCAAATCCTGAATAAGCGATCTTTGTGGTCCTGGAGTAATATTTCCCGCGGGCCTTGGCTCAAATTTAAAAGATTGCCCCGGTTGCTGAACCCTCGGAGGTGCACCCATCACCATATTCCCTGTAATCCCTGGTGTGCCCGGCGTTTGAGGGCCCATCCGGAAAGTTGGACTTGGGAGCATTCCATAGAGATTTGCATCGATAATTGTATTGATTTGATCATAGGGGAGGGCCATGGGGTTACTGCGTAATGTTATATCAATAGGGGGGACACCTAATGGAAGAGCTGAGTTGTACGATTGAGAACGGGCGCGCGTAGATCCTGTGTGCCGCGAAACTCTCTATGTAAACATGGGATGATGGGCAGAGTTTGCATAAACAATATGAATTAATGTATTCTTCCTTTGGTTAGAGCCCGAGAGTATAAAAAACCACTTACTCTTGGATAGGTATAGCCTGGTTTAAGTTTGTATAAAGCGCCATCTTTTAATAGGCGGCCCTTCTTTGCAGCCTTGGAAATGGCTTGTCCACACGAAGCGCGAAATGTCTCCGGGACTGGAAAGTGCCTGCATTACATCAAATTAAAAAAAAAAAAAAAAAAAAAAAAAGTTAATGAACTCATAAGATTGGTCGCAGTGATATCATCTGGTGGCAAATGCACGCCTGTTCTTGTGGTAAACTTCCAACATGACAACATACTCCTGAACCCAATCAAGGATAGCCTTGGGTGCACTCCCCGCCTCTTGCTTCAGATCAGCAATAGCCATGAAAATCATCTCTTCATACGGTGGTAGATCCTGGGCTTTTACGGAATGATAAGCTCCGCTGATCCCAGGGCCAGGGCCAGGACCAGCTCCAGGTGTATGCCGTCCACTATGTTTGGGGGCGTTTGTCGTTGCGGGCTGGGCAACTGGGACATTTCCTGTTGTAATCTGTGGTACATTAGCAACTCCAGAGAACACAAATGGCCCTATGGACTTAGGTATTCCAGCACCAGGAGTACGATTGGCATCTGTAGATGCTACTGCCTGTATGCTAGATAAAGGAGAGTTTACTGTAGAACAAGAATGCATAGCGAATGAGTTTAAAAAAGGAAACATATTGCGCATTCTAAAAGAAGCTGGAGCTTCAAAATGTGAATTTAGATATCTCTTGAAGATTAATATTTACCAAAATAGTCTGACTGAATGCCTTGCATTCTCTGGTAAGAGGGGCTTGTGATCATGGTATGTCCTGGTTCTTGAGCGAGATCAAGGGGAATGAGGCTTTCTGAGAATGCTTTTGGGACAAATATCGATTGGTCTGCTTGCGGAACGGTTGGGGACGATAGACGCGAAGGATAAAGTTTGATCGCGGGTGATGTGGCCTCGATCCTGCCGATGAGCTTGACCAAATTAGATTTCGACAGGGAGCGCAGGTAGGTGTCCTTGATATCCTGTGGTACCTGTTGGCCTGTTAAGGACATATCCTCTGTAAGAGCAGAGAGGCCCTGTGAACTCGTCGTGCTTAGTGGGAGACTGCATGCATAGCAAGTCCACTCGAGATCTGTATCTACATATTTATTTTCAATGGGTGGCGAATAACATGCTTGATGAAATCCTCGGTCGCAGTTATCGCAAAGGACGATCTTATTTTGAGGGCTCTCATATGTTTGACAACACATTATGCATCCTCCGTCCTCTCGTGGCGGCGGAAGATGCTGGTAAACTATATTGGTGTATGGAATAAAACACATGAGATCTTGATGAGAAAAAAGAAAAAAAAAAAAAAAAAAAAAAAAAGAAGAGTTTAAATCGTTTACTCACCTCGTGGGTCTGTCGGAAATGAAGTCTGATTGGTGTTCAGAGTTACAAAAGTACCTTTCTGCAAATTGAGGATAAGGATCCGTCAAATGATCGTCAGTAAATGATGTTTCTCCATTAGGTCTATCATTTTTAGTCAGTTAAGCCAGCTGTTGAGACTTTCTACTTACCCAATGATCCTGTAGCTGCCTTTTCTGTGCAGGCTGCTCATACTCATCCCCCTCTGGATCTTTTGTTACTCCATATTCGTGCTCTATATGTAAATTGTAGATCATTTCTATTGAGTTGATTTGTCTCCTTGGATTGTTTCTAAAAGACCAATACTTATTCAAACCATACCTGCTTTCTTACTCTCTGACTTCGTTCGTAGTCTTTTTATCATGATAGTGGATTTTTGGATGGACTCATCCATCTCAAACTCGTCTTCATCATCCTAAGGTGATATTTTTTATAAGCAGTAACCCCATTGATTGTCAATAAAAAAAAAAAAATACAAAATAAGATAAAAAAAAAAAAGAAAAAAGAAAAAAGCATGTACAGATTAAGGTGCCTTCTTTGTACTTACAGTCGTTCCTGAAGCCTTCTTACTAGGTGACAGCTTCCTGGATCTGGATTTATTGCTGCCACTCAATGCCATGCTTGAAGTATTGGTGGCAGTCGAAAAAGGGGTAAGAGACTGCATTGGTTCATCTTTTGAGAAAGAATCTTGATTGGCCATTATTGAGTTTTCAGTTGATATTGCTTCTGTTCTATTGAGGTCATGTTCCATCTTGATTTGAGCATTAATGCTCGTTGTGTGATGATGTTGATGCTGGTGATACTGCTGTTGTTGTTGCTGTTGATAAAACTGCTGTTGCTGTTGCCCATTTGTCGAAATAGACTCCGAGCTGATCATAGGCGGCGGCGCGTGATCTGGACTGGGGCTGTCAATGCTCTGCATAGTTTCTGTCCTGTCTATCAACTTTATATCTGAGTCCAACGATAACACTGGTACTGTTTGGAGGCTGGGCATCTCTCCGAGACCCAACTGCAGCGCTGTAGTTTGTTGATGGTGATGCTGATGTGGCCGGCTTTTTATTCTCTTTGTACGATTGTAGGGAGATTCCGCCATTGAAAAATGGAACAATATAATGCTGGCCTATCCCTCGAATAGCTTAATCACTATTGCCAGTTCACGGAGCAGCAAACGTGTGTGCCGATTCCTCTCCTTGGTAAGAAAACAAAACCGGGCGATCGCCTCAAACTGCGTTTTCAATCGCTAATGTTAAAAAAATAGACTTGCAAAACACGATGGTCTCCTGTTTGATCTCCTAATTGGTAATAATAAGAATAAGAGCATGCGATGAGCGTTGGTGATTAATAACTATTGAAGCTATGCAAAGGTGCGGTCTCTGCTATCTAAGATCTTCAGCGTGATCAGATAGATGATTGATAATCTAAGTAGCGCGAATGCCTCATGATTGTATGTATAAAGCAAGGTATTGTAATGGGTAAGCAACGATCCAAAGTAGTGTGCGAGGCAATGGAGCGCGTCAATTATATAGGACCCCCAATATCTGACTTAAAAATAGCAAGGGCCAGTAGCCGAAGCTACACTACCCTCCAAAGAGTGTCTGTAATAGCTAGAGAAAATGATAATTCTTCACGATAGGGATTATAAGTGATAAATAATATGAAAACTAACCAAGTTGTTGAAGGAAATAAAAATAAAAAATAAAAAAATAAAAAAAAGATTGGTAGCAAACCTACTGAAGTGCACTAGATCAGCACTGAGAGAACAAAGGAAGCAAAGAATGAGATGATGCTGAGAAGGTAGGGATACAAGCTAATCAAAACAGGGACAAGTGAAGAGAGAGATATAGGGAGAGAAAGAGGGGAACCCCTTGCATTCAGCATTCAATACCTCTCATTCAGATTCACATACACAAACACAGAGAAAGGCGTTGATGTGTGTATCCTTTGTCGGGTTGCACAATATTTTGTTTCCTCTGTTCTATTGGCCTCTTTCACAAGAGCGGATGCTGTCCGTCCCATTTTGATACATGAAGAAGGATTGCTTCTTGGAATGATAGATATATAGCCCATGTTACAGCGAATCTTCTTTGGTCATATCCCATTGGTTTTCTATCCATGTCTATTTCCTTTTTCCTCTTGACAGTATTCGTTTTGCAGGATGCTGATCATCCAGAAGCAGAGCAAAATAAAACAGGGTAGATGAAAGTAAGACATAGGCACCATGATATGAACTGTATGGCTGAAAGTTTAGATGTGAGGATAAGCGAGAGAGAAAGTACTTTTTCTACAGGACATAACATTCCGTCTGCTCCTCTCTCTTTTCTTCTAAATGTCCTTCCGCTCCATTTTCTCCTTAGAGGGTGTATGCATACAAGGTTGAATAGACATTTTTACTTTTGGGGTTTGCATTATTGATCTTGTAAACTTAAAAAAAAGAAAAAAAAACACCAGATAAAAGCAGTTACCCTAATAGATACCCTTTTGGGAGGGAGGAGAAGATGGAGAGGTTTATAAGCATTCGATCTGTCGACCATAGTTCACTTTTATGTGTTTGTGCACTGACATGTATGGATGAAGATATGTCTGTCTTTTTAGAATATGGGAAGAGCGAAAAGGAAAGGGATAGATTGTGTTCAATGATTCCTGTTCCCTGGTTGGAGTTGCCAAAAAATTAAAAATAAAGTATTTTATTGCCACTGTGAACTTGTGTGCACACGCTATAAGCTTCTCCCCCACACGACCAATAGGACAGCAGAAATGCGTTGGCCCACTCTTTACTGCATTTCATAACATTCAATATTAAAACATTTCAATATTATTCAGTGCGTACCCTCCTACAATGTTTGCCCTCTCTCTGTCTGCCTCTCTATCCCTTCACTTTTTTTTTTTTTTTTTTTTTTGACGATCTCATCGCGCATGGACCATGATCTTTTTTTTTTTTTTTTTTTTTTTTGAAGAAAGGACTACATGCGAAAGCATCTTTACAATCCTCATTTGTATACACATTGACTATTGACTGTGTATGCTGGTCCATGTGTTAGTCTGTTGGAAATAAATAATTTTTTTTCTTGAATCGCAATGAACTTTCGAATGTTGAACAGGCCATGGCTTGTGCTTCGGATCCAATCCATGGTTCATCCTTCCATTGCATTCACCCATTTCTACTCCTCTGCCTATTTCATCTCCACCATGCTAGCAGTTGAAGCACACGTTGTGTTCATGCTGCGTCTTGAGCCGCCAGAAAGGGCTAACCAAGACTGATTAGATGGATGAATGGATAAATGGGAAATATGTGGAGAGGGGTAGGGGCTAAGTTGGATTATATATTACTAATGATTCTCAATCCCTACCTGAAGATATAGTTTAATAATCGGGGAGTGTTATGTTTGAGTACAGTTGACTATCGTGAGTGGAGGGGGAAAGATGCACAGGAGGGAGTGGAGGAAGAAGTAAGATGTCCAAAGCCGACACAACAATTTCTGTGAAAAGACAGTAATAAATCAACGGTAGCAGAAAACAGAAAGTAAAAAAAAAAAAAAAAAAAAAAAAAAAAGGGTAAGAGAGCAAGAGTAGAGTGAATAGAGATAGAAGAGAAAGGGAGGCGAAAAAAGGAAAAAGGAAGAAGAGGAAGGAAAGACTAATGCAGATAAGATTGGGGTAGAAAGAGAGGAAAAAAAAAAAAGAAAAAAAAAAAAGAATGAGTGCGTCCCACATGAACATAATGTAACAGCATCCATTTATTTACTGTTGTTTATTGTTTTCATTTCTAAATTGCACATCCTTCTTTCGTACACTGTATGCTCTTTGTCCTCTTACCCTCACCGTAGTCTGCTCGTGTTGGCCTATTTGCCTTCCCTGTGAACGCATATGCGTTATGTGTGTCTGTGTGCTGACGAAAGTAATGCTATTACTGTATGTTTGTTTACTTTCCCTTTCCTTTTATCTCTTTCTCTCTCCCATTCAAGTAGAAATAAAAAGGAAATGCTTGCGATAAAATCATCGACAGCTGTGCCAGCTCCTTGCAAAACAACATTCTCCACCAACTTCTGGATCAACTTTAAATCCTTGTTGATGGCCCTCGCTCGATGTTCATGCATCTCCAAATCGGAATGCATAAGTACATGTACTCTAAATTGCGCTTCGTCAATCCTCTGGCTCTCGATCGCCCTCGATAGAGTACAATTTAAAAAAATAAAAAAAAGGCAAGGGTCCCGAAACTCTGAGGTTCTGGGGATGTGTGAGAGAAAGAGAGAAAAATGGAGAGAGCAAGAGAGGATGAGCAATCCTTTCAATCATATCGGGTGTTGCGCTCTTCACATCATCTTTATCAACGTCAACAAACAACCCCATTGATTCTCCTGCTTGTAAAATTTTTTATACCATAACGAGTTGAAGGGGGATCATGATGCGACGAAACGCACCCAGATTTAAATTAACTGAAGCGTTAGACTGGCCATGAGGTCTTTTTATTTTTTGTATTTCCAGCCATGGTACCCAAAAATACACATGCTACACATCATTCTGCACAGGCTTCTCATTTCGAGGCAGATCGTGGATTCCAAAGAGACAAGGTAAACACAGACATAGACCAAGACCAGGCCAAACCAGACCAAGACTAAGACCATGCTTAAAAGGGGAAGGGGACCGAGAATCTGTTAATTCATTTTAATTTTTTAGTTTAATAAATCTATTTTAAACCATTTTAGTAAAAAAAAAAATTATACATTGTGGTTTTTGAACAAAAAAGAGTGCAGGTGTAGGATGTGGGATGTGGATGTAAAATGAATGTGGGAATGAAGAGGATGTACTTAATAGGAAGAACTGTGAAGTAGAGTAACCGGTGAGAGAGTGACCTTGTCATTACTTCTCTATCCGGCGCACGAACCCTGCGCACGCGCTCAACGCGTACAAGGCGTTGCATGAAATGAAGTGAACCGCATAATAAATAAGAGTTGGGCCACCTTTGTGTCCCCTTCTTGTCCAGCCAATCGAAATGAATGGATGTAAAATCAAATAAATCACAGAACGAGTAGGAGTGACGGGAAGAGAAGAAAGACAGAGAGAGCTTTTCCGTCATTCATTCTCTCTCTCTCTCTCGGAATCCTTTCAACCATACAACAAAAGCAGTAGTAATTAAAAAAAAAAAAAAAAATTATCAGAGTGGCCATTGAGCGTACATTCTGGATTAACAGTCCCAATCTTGTGGTATGAAGAGTCGTTGCAAGCGTGGGTACTTTACTAGAGCCCAGTCTCCAAGCGCTCTTACTTTTCTAACCACCAACGATCACCTCCGTGCTGTTGCTCTATCTTTTTTCTTTTTTTCTCTCTGTCCTCCCATCACAGACAACAAAACAGTGCAATCAGCGCCTCAGGATAAACAACCTCCAGTATTTATCAAACAGTAGAACATTCACAGATTTTATCCAAGTATTTTTGAACAAATGAATAAGGTGTTTATACAGAGAAATTGGTTAGTTTGATCTGATCAAGCAGAATTAGCTCCCGGAGCATCATCCTTGACAATGTCACAACAACAATAACAATACAAAACACTATAAAATAATAAATATGAATATACTAACATGTGCCCGGCACATTCACATGGCCTGTCTTTTTTAATTCGACAGAAAAAAGGAAAGCTTCGGGCCAAATGTTTTTATTTAAATATACTTCAAAATTAATAAATAAAATAAAATAAAACAAAATACATGTATTATTTGTAACGATGTTTGAGCGCATAAAGTTGTATACTGATCGACTCTTTACTCATGTTGTTGAGATACCCCATTGTTAATCAAGAAATATGTCATAGGGTGGACGTGCAGGTCAACAGTGTTGTGTATGGCATTTGATGAATGGTATAATAAACTGTGTAATGTGAAAAGCCTGTACAACCACTCAAACCAGACAAAAAAATAAACATGTGCGTTGCTGTGGGAGAGCTATTAGACTTCATGAGAATCAGATGTCCTCTCACCTCATTATCTTGTGTGACATTGCCCTCATCTTTTCTAGGGATCTGTACCAACCCCTAATGCCTGGATACCATCTGTGTCCTACAAGAATATGATGCTTGACGACGCGGTGCACATCCTGTTCCACGAAGTGCTGTTGGATCAATCACGATTATGATCTCAGTCTTCATTCATGAACACAAAATTACCATTATTTTTGTATCTTCTTCTTGAGTGAAGGTTTCTTGCATAATTTCGTTTTTTTAGCTTAGCTCAGAGCTCCTTCTGAAGCTGTTACTGATCATGCTTCTCTGCCCTCCCTTCCCGAATCCGGGAGAGCCTTCTAGGCTTGAATACATTTTTAATTGTTGGATCCGATTGACCACCTCATAATCATCTTGGGCCATAACCATCGATTATTCGCCCAGACTGTGTTGTAGCAATAATTTCTGTTGTTACCGTTGTTGCTTTTGTTTATGGGGTTCATTCGAAAAGCCGTTTGCGATCGCTCACAAGCCTTTATTGTGCTCCCATGTCATTGTCACTATCAATGTCGATCGGCACTTCGTTGTCAAAATTAAACTTTGATTTCTGGCTCGCTCGTTTTTACAGTGTTTGAGACAGGGCATTAGACCATCTTGCAATGTTTGGACGGAAGAAGAAACTGTGAATCATTGTAGATCTTGGTTCCACCATTGGTGCAGACGCAATTCCACCCAGGTGCGTCTTTGTCGCTTTTTATTTTTCACCGAATTGGGAGGAAAAAAAATAGCGTTTCATGTTATTTCCAATGCAAGAATAATAACAACAAACAAATAGCACTTATTCTTCCTATACATGAACAAGGTCATATTGTTTTTTTTTTTTTTTTTTTTTTTTTTTTTTGATTCACTCTTTTCAATACAATCTTTACTCAAAAACTGAATTGGCATGCGGTAAAAGGATTGTTAGTTTGGGTAGAGCACCCTACACGTGAGCATCCAGCTTTGAAGGACGCTTACCAGCAGAAGGAGTCTAAGCCATATTCAATTCTGCCAGTGGACAATGATGACGAGCGATGCTCCCTTGTTTCTTCTCTCTATCGTCGCCATTGCCAGCGCTGCTGCTCTTTGTCTGGATGAAGTTGAGAGAACAGTTTATGTGACGATAGAACTGAAGAGGATGAATAAGAGTCACACACAAATAAAGACGATTTTGTTATTTCTGGCTTCTTTACACTGATAACCCACATAGTTTTCGAGAATGTCTTCTGTAAATATCGAGAGAGAAACAGTCCGAGAATTATTTTGTGCAGATTGTTTGTTAGCTCGACCTGTCAGAGTCCTTTTCTTTCCTTTTTGGATAGATGCCAAGCAAAAAAAAAGTTCATGTTTGTACTTGATATTCAGTACATGTGCACTACACCCAAACAAGCAAGCAAAGCAGAAGTAAAAAAAAAAAAAAACGCGATCAATCACATCACTTTCCACCATCTAAAACTCATTCAATGTCCCTTAGGCTAACCACCACACCGCTATCCCTTTATCGTGGTCAATGGCTTAGTACTCGTCTGCAACAGACCCTAATCCAGACCCAAACCCAAACCCAAACCCAACCTTGGTTGTCCGTCGAAACCTCTGTTTTTTTCTTCTCTACTTCAGCCGTTTCTTCATCGCGTATTAGTAAGCCTCCTCGCACTCACAAGCAAGGATTGTGGCCACTGAAAAAGATTCGTAAAAAGGCCACAAAGGGCAATTTCAGAGACTCAATTTCAAGTACAGAGGCACCCTTCTCAGGAACATCAAGGGGATCTAAAACCTATTCTGAATCACAACAAACAATTATCCCTCTTGAGACTTTTAATGATCATGGAATAAAGTATGACGCTCGCAAGAGACCCAATTATCGACAAGACCCTCAACATAAGCAGCAACAGCAAAAAACATCAAGGCTGCAATATGAAGACTTTCTTCCTCCGCGCTATCAACGTCAACATCTTTTACACCGTCAACGATGGTTCTATTACTTGCACCACCTAAAATTACGTCAACAGCGTGAGAAAGATCATGGCTATACCCATGGGCAAAGGAGTCATAATGGAAGTCGCCATCACCATAATCGTTATAATTTCCACCCATGGTGGTCTCAACAGTATCAAAATTGGGATCCATGGGTTTGGCATATTTTAAAAGAAGCCAAGAGAGCCCCCGCAAAGGGGTTTACACTTGGAATCATAGCCACAGGGTCGTGTCTTTGGATATATGATTCAAATACTTTCTACATGCAACAGTGGGTTGACTTTCATAATGACCTGACTCAACTCAAAAATCACTTTATCAAAAATCCTGCAAAGCCCTCAGCACAGCCTGATGACTTGCTATTTAGTAATCCAGCAGCAGCAATACCCGTTGAACTAAAAATGTTGGGAGGATCATATGCTCTACTATTATCTCAAGGGCACTATGGAGCGTTCTTGAAACATCTCAAGATGTTAACACCAGAAGAAGTAGAGCTCCGCTTAGCACAGTATCAGAAATCACATCGTATCATCAGCCAGCAGAAGAAGGGTAGGAAAAATAAAAGTCAGAAGCGCTCAAGGCACCAACAGCAGCAGGGCTTGATTCAAGGATATTGTGTCAATCAGCTGTCATCTAACAGCCCTATTGAGGATGATCAGTCACAGCACATAGTCCGAGATGAGGATGGCGAAATTGAGCGCTTGTTTTTTGGTGTTTTCGATGGACACTCTGGTTGGTGTTGCAGCCAAAAGGTGGCTAGAGAGCTGGCCCCTTCGGTTGCCAAGGCGCTCGACCTTGTCAAGGATCCAGCCGATCCTAAAAGCGTGATCGAAGCTATTGAACAGGGATTTATAGAACTGGATCAGTCGATCGTTCAAAATACTGTCAAAAGAGTATTAGAACATCCTTCTCGCCAATTGGCATGCTCCTCACTCTTGCCAGCCATTTCAGGCTCGTGCGCGCTCTTAGCTTATGTCGATGTTCAAGAAAGGGATCTTTATGTTGCCTGTGTCGGTGATAGCAGGGCAGTGATGGGTGTTCGAGAACTTTTGCCAGATGGTACCAGGCATGTCTGGCGAGCCGTTTCACTTTCAGTCGATCAGACAGGTAGAAATCGAAAGGAAGTCAAAAGACTCCAAGCGGAGCATCCGGGTGAGGAAGACATTGTCGTGAAGCGAGGTCGAGTCTTGGGGGGTCTTGGTAAGCAATTTTTTCCAATTTTTTTTTTCTTTGCTTAATACAAATCAATTAGAATGAATTCCCTTTCTTGATCTTTGATATAGAACCGACAAGAGCCTTTGGTGATGCTCGCTACAAGTGGACCAAGGACATTCAAGAAAAGGTCTTTCATTTATTTCCTTCCTATCGTAAACCATATACACATCTGATCACTCCACCTTATGTCACTGCAAAGCCAGTGGTACGACATCACAAGATTCAGCCCAATGATCGGTTTATGATCATGGCGACAGATGGATTATGGGACAAGTTGACGTCAGATGAAGCTGTACAACTGGTTGGAGACTTATTGGACGGGAAGGTTGGTCATCATGAGATGATTTTGGATGGAGAGGGCATCCGGAAATATAAGAAGCAGCGTAAAAATGCTCAACTTCAACAGCAGGCAAGCAACGCGGTAGAGCCAACAGTCAATGGCGGAAAAGTAGCAGTACCTGAACAGGCTAAAGCTCCCCAGCAACAGCAAAAAGAAGAAATAGAAGAAGATGAGCAGGAGGAGGAGGAGGAAAAGGAGGAGGAATTGACACCTCTTGGTACGGCACGCAAAGGTCCAGTGAGCCAGAATCGAAAGTTTACGTACCGAGATCAAGCCAATGCCTCGACACACTTGATTAGAAACGCGCTTGGAGGAGCAGATGATGATAAGGTGGCAGCAACATTATCTATCCCATCTCCCATGAGTCGCGCCTACCGCGATGATATCACAGGTGCGTTTTTTATTATTATTTTTTATTTTTCTCTGTTTCAAAAATCCCGAGGAGAATAAACTAATTCTTTTTCCCTTTTAACATAATTAGTCACTGTGGTATTCTTTGAGGAACAGAATACTATCCTGGCGTTGTCTGACGCGAAAGACTCAGATGGGATGGTCGAGATCCATTAACATAAAAGGCGGTTTTCTTTCATTATAAATTATATAATAAACAAATTACAATATCATATGAGGAAAAATATGATCCACCAGGACAAGAGGGTCCCAACCGTATATCGTACAAATTTGTACAGTAACTTATTTTTTTCTCTGCTTTACTTATTTTTCTCAAAATTTCATTAAGCTATATACCCCTTGGTAAACTGAAAGAACACAAAAATCTCTGTAGGCTGGAGCATTCACTAATGAATACTCCTCCATTAATGACAATGAATATGGTCCTGTGCTGATGAGAGGGAAATGGAGGACAGCATCTTTGGTATTACTTTTTATCTTCCACGTCGCTGCAGAATACGAGGCGACGATATTGAAGAGTGAGAAGACATCGAGGACATCTTGATGCTTTAATTTTTTTTAAGGTTTCAGTGATCTTTATTTCTGTCTCAGTGCAAATGTACTAGCTACGGCGACACACTTTACGCGCTGTCCGACAGAACTCCCGGAATTTGATATCAGACTCAAGTTGCCGCAGAGTCTGATGGATCGCATCCTCGGACTTCTCATACCTAGAGAGAAGCCCAAGGTAGTAATTCCTACTTTCCTCGGAGACCTCCCTGTAATGGAGGATCCGACGGGCCCTCGACGTGTACCGGTAGAGGTCCGCAAGCTCCGACACCAGTACGGAATGGAGCTTGTCTTCCTCATCTGAGTCAACAGACTCTTCAAGCGACTCCGAGGATCGCTTGCGGGACAGGGGTGGGTTACCCCTATCCGACGAGGCAGCGGGAGGAAAGAAACGTTGACTTGCGGGCACCTGAGGACTCGGGGACAGCAAAATAAAGGTCTCATCAGCACCGACAGAGGAGATCTCATCAGGGATCTCAATCGCAGAGAGGTTGGATGAATCCGTATGCCACAGAGGCAAAGTCTCTTCACTCTTCACCTGCGATAGAGCAGGCGAGGAGTGTCTGGTGGCAGCACCAGAAGACGAGGAAGCAAAAGACCCAACAACAGGCAGGGAAGACTCCGCACCGGCACTGGTCGTGTCAGAGCTAACTGACTCAGGAGAAGGCTCCCTACACTTGACGGAGGCACCTCCGAAGCTAACACTACGACGAAGAGAGGCAGACATGGTTGTTGTTATAGTTGTGGTGGAGGTGGAGGAAGGTGCAGACAGGAAACTTGAAGCGAAAAGGCAAAGGTTGCAATGAGTTGAGGAATGAGGAATGGAGCAGAGATGGAGCTGCAATTTATGTGTTTTTCCGTCTCATGCTGCCATCGCCATTCCCAGGCTCGTCTCTGACTCATTCTTCCAGCTGATCAGATGGTGTGCTCATGCATCATTCTGATTGGTCCAGGCGCAGGCTTGGCAAACATTGCCTATAAAAAGATTTCAGGAAAATAAGGAACATGGAGATGGAGATGGAGATGGAGATGAGATGAGAAGAGACGAGGAGGAAATGAGGACATGGCGGAAATGATGGTGATGAGCGGAGGAAGATGTCATTTTCAAGTTGATCTTTTTTTCTTTCCTTTTTCCCTTTTCTCCCTTTTGGTGGCGTCTTGGTCTTCTCCCTTTTCCTTATTTGCTTCGCCTTTTTATATTTTTATTTTTTATTTTTTATTTTTTATTTTTATTTTTATTTTTATTTTTTATTATTTTATTATTTTTATTATTTTTATTATTTTATTTTCACCTCTCCCCCTTGTACACTATTCCCTATACCCTTTCTTTCATGGATCCACTCGGCGGTACTACATTAGGTTCGGTCGGTGGCCTTCCACAATATTTCCACGATAGTCATTTTTCAGCTCATGCCCATGGCGCTTTTTTTCGTAGTATAGAATATGAACTAGAGTAGAAAGTCACGTGGGAGAATACCGGCGTGAATCGTAGGAACGACCCGGCTCCAGAAATAAAAACCTCCATCGGAGGCTCGTTTAGCTTAGTCGGTAGAGCGTCGTGCTAATAACGCGAAGGTCGCAGGTTCGATCCCTGCAATGAGCATATTTGCCTTACTTTAATATTTTACTCTTTTTCGGTAGGATTATCTATTTGGCAGCCTACTTCTGGGGCTGCCAAATACATTACTTTTTTTTTTTTTTTTTTTTGATAACAGGGTCATAACATCAGTGGTAAAACAGGCAGCGTTCTGTGGATACATTGCCTTGCACAGCTAATGCCGCCGGAGGTACTAAGGACAGCGGCGTTGACATCTTCACAAAACAGCCTTCAATTTACACGGTTAGGGGATGATTTATTGAAGACGTCTAGGTAGCAGGTGAGACGCGTTTGCTCCGAGCGAAAACCTCTCATTGGCATTGAACTCCAAATGGCACCTCCAAAACTGTATGAGCAACCTACTTGAAAAAAAAAAAAAAAAAAAAAAAAAAAGTCATTAGTTTTCTAAATGAGACAAGACAATGTCACTACACATAACTATGACGTAGAAGACGGGAGCTTTATTAATTTGAAGTATGAGCGTTATAAACATATACGGTTCCTAGGAATGAAAAAAAAAAAAATAGTTAGAGGCCAAATAACGCTGGGTAGGCTGCCAAGTAAATAATGAATGTTATTTGGCAACTGGGGTGCCAAAGAGAGTCTTGAAAGTTGACTGTATTTGGCAATGGGCTGCCAAATAGATTAATCCTTTTCGGTATTGAGCCGTAAGGTTTGTCGAGCAAATTTGTTCGATTATGTTTAGGTTTTATTGATTGATGGGGCTCCGCTATTTTTCACTTGGTATGCGATCCAGGAATACCATACACATGCTGCACGCTTTTCTCATGTTTCATGCCAATGGCCATTATCCTCGAAGCAGCACTCAGGTAACTTGAATTGTTTAGTTACTCTTTGGCTCTGTGTCTTCTTGGAACTTGAACTTCGAGGTTTGGTAATCTCATGAAAAGAATTAATAAGCCTCCAGATAAGCTTGAGCCTGATAATATAGGAGTTTACGATTGAGGTGTTCAACAACTAGAGAAAGAGTGGCAGCTGAAAATTTTTAGCAGATAAATAGTAGGCAGTAGAAAAATAAGTGAGAATAAGATATGGTTCCACACACACCATATCATGGGCATTTATCTATTTTCTAAGAGGGACCTGTACCAGCTAACTACGTATCTATCTATAAGATGACACGAGTCCGTTCTAAACCTCATATCATAGATATATCGCGTCAATGTGTATGGCGCGTTATTGCCACTAATTTTTATTTGATTTTGCAAGATCAGCGATTGGTTAGGCTCAGTGACGCGCTGTTGCAAAATTTAGGGGCAGATGTGGTAGGAGATTTAGGTCGTTTTGGTGGATTATGAAGCCGGTCACTTCCAGCTGATAGATAAATAATTCTAACACAATAAAAGAACACACACACACTACTCGAAGACTGGACGAGAACAGTCAGTAGCGTGCACAGGGTCACAAAATTTTTCCTGTGATCCTATATATGTCGTCACATGATATTTCAGTCCTCCCTTTTTGATTTCCATCTATCTATCCGTATCATTCTCTTATGGTGAGTTCCTTGCGTCAATATGAATCACAAATATAGCTATTCATTTATTATATTTTAAAATAAGAATCAAAAATGGATAACATTCTCTTCCTATTTGCAAGGCGCATTGTGGCTTTGCGCTATCGCCATCCTTTAAAATACTCGCTCCATTGAAACTATTGAAACAAACAATCATAACACTACCATGGCCACCGAAGTAACCCTCTTTTGCGTTATCGATGGAGATTCCTCCATATTCTCAGTGGATATCTCCTCTTCAAAAACGATAGACCATCTCAAGGATGCCATCAAGAAAAAGCAGCTAGAGTTTCATGATATTAATGCAAGCAAGCTCACTCTCTGGCATGTCGCCATTTCTTCTATCTCCAAGAAACCAATTACATTAAGCAATCTTACAGACGAGCAGAAGGCGCAGAAAAACCCAGAGAAGCTCGAAGATCCGACTAGCGAGGTCTCTGAGGTTTTTGGCGCTGTACCACCAAAAAAAACCATCCATGTCATTATTGAACGACCAGGTACTATTCCACTCTACTGGTATGCCTTTTTTTTTTGTCCACAGTTAACTATGATTAAACAAGTCATACGCACTTTCTATTTGTATTCCTTTCTCCTAAGTTAAAAGTGAAGGGAATGAACCTATAATCGCAAGTCTACAGACGACGAACGCAGATCTACAAAAGGAAATCGCCGACTTGAAGCAACGACTGCATACGAACGCAAATTTAGGAACGATGATCGTAACTTTAGAAACGACAATCGCAAATTTAGAAACGATAATCATAAATTTACACAAGGAAATGACCGACCTGAGGCAACAAAAACTGCATATGGAAGCAGATTTAGAAATGGTACAAAAGAAAAACGCCGAATTGGAGCAACAACTACAGGCGGACACATATACTAGTAAGTGATAATCAACAATAAGTGAGAATGTGGAATGGAAAGATGTCGAAAGGAACCATAGTGAAAGAGAGCTGACTTTGTTGTTATTCTAGCACTGAGCGTCGTGAACAAAAGAGATCGGAATAAGGTTATTTGCACATATTCCACCAATATTAAATCAGCTACTATAGGAAGCCTGCGAGAAAGCCTTCGAGATTATTGCTTGGAGTTTGAGGAGTTCGAGGAAGTCCAAATATTTGTGTACGATGAGGAAACGAAGACATTTCCGTTGTTGAGAGACGACATTCAATTTCGTTCTATCTTGGAAAAACTTCAGCAAAAAAAGTGGAAAAGGCTCATTATATCTTTGGCTACCCCAGCCATTAGTTTTTCGTCATGGGACTGGAAAAAAGTTCAAGACACGTATAAATTACAATCGTTCATTGATCTACCAAAATTTGATCTCAAGCCCAAGGAGGACTTGACAGAAGCTGAAGAGACAATATTGGGACATATTGTGGACGATTGCATTCGCAAAGGTAGAGCCTATGCATTTAATGCACAATCAAATGAGGCTACAAGATCAACAATTGTCGATGCATTCATGGTTGGAGCAGTATCGCTCTATGCGCCCGACATGATCCTTTCGCAACAACAGTCTTTGAAAGGCA